AGCTATTTATAACTCCTTTATCTTGTTTTTGTGCACCTCTTATATGGCTGGATCAATGAACTTGTCACACATTATTTGTTTAAAGACTGGCCATGAGAAGAACTGATGATGTTGTCATGTGGAGGAGTAAAAAGAAGGGAAAATAAACATCCACCATTGCTTGGCCTTGCTTTCAAAATAGAAGGCTGTGAATGCCATCTTATTCATGTCTGTACTGAGGTGAATAATATATACCTTGAAATATTGTTCACAATCAATAAGAAAGCAGTCAATGTCATTAGATACACCTTTGAAGGGTTGCAAAGTTTAGAGAAGGTCTAGCTTGCATTGAAGTATGGCAGCATTCTGAGGCAACATGCTCATCAGATTGGGATATTCATTGAATAGTGGTCAATACCATTCAGTCAGAGGCCCAGAAAAAGAGTGGAGAGAGCCATCATCAGTGATGAGACTTCTCTGTAGAGCAGCTTCCTTGCATATGATTATCTTGTTCTTGATAGTGAATTCTAGTCAGACTGCTTCAGAGTTGTCTTTGATCAGGTCTTTTCCTATCCCACTTCCTTTGGCTTCATTTGGCAGTGGCTGTCCACTGAGTAATCAGCTGCCTTTGCTGATCCACAAATTTTAGAAGCTAGTGGCTTGGGTGGTTGATTGGGATTGAGATCAGGACTGCCAGGATGCCAAGACTTATACCAAAGAAGTTGAATATAAGAATCAGCTTATATTGGTTCAGATCAAGAGAGCTGTATAAACAGCCTGCTTTGGGACAGTGGATGGTGTCTATAGCATTGGTTTGATATTGAATCAGAGTTTGTACTTTGGCAATCTGCTGAGTTGATCCTCTGGATGTCATCTATTATAGGTATTGATTGCATACTGGATGGTGGAATATTACAGTATATCCCACTATTCATCACTGTCTGAATAAATATACTTCTGCCCCATTCCTGAGGCTAACCATTTGGCATCTTTTCACAAGAAAGCTGCCCTCTCACCATACAGTTGGTTATACTCCTTCTCTCTGTGTTGCTGTATTTCTTTAGCCAACAATTCTTCATCAGTTTCTTCCACTGAGTCTCTCAGATATTGATATTCTTCTAGGAGAGTGAAGGAGTCACTATTCTTATCATCCTCTTTCTTGCTGTCCTTATCCCTGCTGTCCTCAGCAAGGGAGCTGTCATGCAGGTCATAAATAGACAGTGCTAGAGGCCTGATCATCACTGATGAACTGGTCATTGTTTCCATGGCTGGATCCAGTGATATTAGCTGGAGGAGGAGGCTGGAGGGTAGCTCTATGGTCAGAGTCATATCAGTGGCTCCTATGTGCTCTTTCCTTCTCCAAGTCTTAGCTATAGACACAGAAGTTGGCATAGAATTGAGGGTTAAGGAAAAGTTGAGCAACTCTCTCCTTCAGGAAGCATCAGAGTCTCTGGTCAGAGGTGTGAGCATTGAAGGGAACTCAAAGCCCATAGGTGTCAAGTACAGAGTCAGCATATAAGGGAATAGTGTTAGTGCTAGCAATGCTGATAGTTTAGAGAGAGAGATTATTGCCTCTTCTTGCAGCCTCATTGGGAGTGACAGAGCTGGCAGATCCTGCTCAGGAGTCAGTCTCAGTTTTTATAGTACTAGGCTCTCTAAATGAGGAGTGCATATAGTCTGTTCATAGGTCAGAAGCATAGAAGCTGGAAGTGCCCCACTCAGTGGCTTCAAGCTCTCACTGTTGTCAATGATACTGCATATCATATAACTCATCATAATGGAGGGCTTCTCTCCATGCTTGTTCTTCTTTTGCCCAGTTGAGGTTCTGAAGGACTTCTTTGTTGGCTGCTCTGAGCTCTGCTTCAGTGAAATCTCTGGAATATTCATTAATAATATCTTAGACAGTTGGTTCCTAACTGATGTACCCCATTTCTGGCTTCATGTCTGACATATAGAGGGTCTTGGACTAGAGGTGTGGGCTGGACTCCAGGATGATATAGAGGGAGTCATGTTCAGAGTGCACAGGTAAAACAGATTGAAATCCTGGAGCCATCCTAATAGCATCAAAAGAGTCCAGGGCATAGTCTCCAATTCTATACTCCATGATGATGGAAGTGTCAGAGGGTGCATCATCAAAGAAGTTGTTGAGGAGGTCCTCATCCTTATAGTCAGAGACCAGTGATGAGATCCATGGATTTCTGAATCCTATAAGGTGAGAGTTGTCATTTCTACTGTTAGTTCAGAGGAGTCCAGAAGGGTATTAGTGTCTTTCTTCTTGTGGAGTGCTCCACAAATCCATTCCTCTAAGCTCAGCTTGAGGTACAGGTCCTGTCATAGACTGATGGGAGATGTGGAGAGTGACTGGAATATTGTGGAGAGAGAGATCAAATATGACATTTCAGAAGATTTGTCAGATGTTTTAAAATTCTTGGTAGTGTCTGACTGCCCAAGTGATGATAGATTGTCATCCTCAGCAAAGCTGGATGATCACCAGCAAGCCTAACAATATTCTGATGATAGAGATGAGAAGTTCAAAGAACTCATAATCGAGGTTGGGAGATTCTGAGTTGATGGATGATATTTGGCTTCCTCCACACTATTGTGCATGAGAAAAGAGAAGAGAAAGCTTTGAGCTAATTGTTAGATTCAAGTTGCACATGATCATAAACATATGATAAACTGATGTTACTTTGCATTTGAGTATTTTATCAGAGTTCACCAATGTGAATTTCAATTGTTTGTGCTATAAGGCCTCAGGATTGGCTTAAGAATAGAATAGTATGGAAATAAACTTTAGCTTGAAGCTGAGGATTACCAGTGAGAGCAAGCCTACTTATATACTGTATATATCAGGATAAATATAAGACTATCTATTGTATGTTTCCTGGTTTCTGTGTTTATTGTATTGAAGTGTCACTACTATATATAAAAGGTCAATTGTGCATTGTTGAGAGCTGGTCACTATATCAGAAGACAATGATGAATTGGCTTATTGGTGATGACTAAGCTCCTCCCACAGTCTTTAAGTGCTGGTCTAAGTGCCCTGACTAAGCATAAATAAAGATTAATATGGAAAGAAAAGGGAAAGAAAAGAAAAATCATAACACCTACTTTCTAGCCTCCTTATGATGATGCTTTCTAGCAGTATGGTCAGTGGCACATTTACAGTTCCATTTAAGTGAGAGCTTTTTGATTATACACTCTTTCTCTGCATGATTCTCATAAAGGCACTATCCACATTTTGCAGTAGCATTGGTAGCTGAATTCATGGCTGAATGAAAAGATATGGCTTTAAAAGCAATAGAGACTGTTGGATCACCAGCATGCAGCTCCTGATTGTTTTCTTCATTGTGAAATGCAGTGTGGAGTCCTTTGAGAGTGAGCTTATCAGAGAGAAGGAATAGTGATATGATGAAGTTTCTAAATTCAGACTGAAGGAGTGCATGAATCAGGGCCATAATGAGAAGCTCTTCTTCTAACTGCTAGAGACCAAAATAAGCAGGGCACAGAGCATGGATATGACTCATAATTTGAGTGCTCCAACTGGCAAGATCTGGAAGTGACTCTTCTATCTTCTTCTTGAGATTGAAAAAGCTATTGTAGGCTACAAATCAAGTCACTGGTTTTCTTTGCTGATGGTGTGCCTTTAATATGTCCCACATTCTCTCTGGATTGTCAAGACAGCTCTTGATATAAGCCTTCTGGGATTCATCAAGATAGAGGTAGATTGTGCCAGCAGCTGGTATTTAAGTCTCCTTCCAGTCCTTCCAGTCTTTCTTTTCCTGGTATGTTGGCTTTTCAGAGTCTGCAAACTCTGGTTCAGGGTTACAGCCAATGGTGATAAGATACTCATAGTGAGTTTTGAGTAGAGCTGATATATTTTCTTTTCACTCACTATAATTGAAGGTATTTAGATTGTCAAAGCCCTTTTTGATTATGTCAAAGGATGGCATGATATATGTGATGATATCATTTCAGTAGTGAAGTGACTGATAGAGAGATAGCAGGATACAAGCAAGATGCAAAGATGAAAAAAAAACTCAAAATAGACCTTAAAATATGAGGCCTATAACCTGTTGCAGGCAGGTTATTTTCATGCAGTGAATAATAGCCAGGCTGGGTACAATGGTCAATTGCTTAAAGGCAGTTGGTATATATGACTACTACTCACCTGAGTATGACAGTCAATTGCTTAAAGGCAGTTGACTATTGACTCAGGACAAAACTGTCTATGCTTATATAAGGTTGACATCAGGTACTTGTGTCATCCCGCAACAAGGACAGCATAGAATCAAGATACTTGTCAAAAATCCAGGCTTTTCAGCATAAATTTTTGCAGATTTGAATGTTATGCCACCAGTCTGCTTGTTGAACTGGTGTGAGAAGAAAGACATGCCACTGTATAGAAAAGAAAGCATACCCTTACAGGTGTAGAACAACTGGATACTCCCAATATCACATTCTTGACACTATACTGTATCACAAGGTAGAAATACGACATGATGTGGTTGCAACAAAAGATATTGATTGAGTGACTCTGAGTCATTTAGCACAGCCGCATCTCCGAACAAGAATCACGTGATAGGGATCTGGACTAATATTACCTAATACCCAGACTGAACGGAATTGTCCCACACCAATTGCATGCCAATGAAATGTAGTATTAGTAAGAAAGGTACTGGACAGAGCTTCCGCCTGCTTTCTGTGCCATTTTCTTTTCCTTTACTGTACGACCGCGAGCGGGAATACGGAACGGGCAGCCGTCGCGTGATGTCATATTTGTGACAGCTACTCGTGATGTGACACCAACGCGAACTTCCACTCCGACCACCACCTGCTCCCCCCGTCGGCACTCCTTCCAGTATGGCACCAAGAACAAAGAACCAGGGAATATTTCCACTGATGGACGTGGCAGAAATTATCGAGTCTCTCAGTGCATGGGGCTTCTCAATTGGTCAGGACCAAATAAACCACCCTTCAGCCGACCTGGTCGACACCATTGCCTGTGCATGTCTTGCAGAAGTAACCGGCATTTCTCGTGAAATATTGCAGCAGCCTGTACAGGAATCTATGGAAGCCTACGAGGACAAGGTACGTTCATGCTCTTCCTAGTTAATATCTACAGCACTTGAGATATGTCCTAGGAGAGAGACAAGGTGTGTCCTTCGTTCACTTTGCATATTACTTAAACCCATGTTACATCGCTACAAGGATAGGGTGCGGCTACTCTATATACTCCACCAGATGGTGCTGACATCAGATCAAAGGACCTCTATACTGCAACGTTAACGAATAATCTTTTATTATCACACATGTAGGTGCTCCTGACAATCGCGGAAGCTCATTTACTGAGGATATTCAGGGCTCGCTTTGCTGCCGCAGCCAAGCTGGATGACTTTACATCCTCTGATATCTACAAGCCCACACGCGAGCGTACCATTCGCTTTCTCTCAGCGTTTATCAACTTTGTCAAATTCACTGAGCAGGATTCCAACCCTTTCGCAAAGGCAATTCGGGAACGCTCGGATGGTATACTTATCGAGAGAGACCAAGTTGCAGAGCAACTTTCTCTCGTTAAAAGGAAAACAGCTACAATACGGTGGGACTTCGCCACAATCCTGCTGTTCATGCCGATAACTATCTTTGGCAGGGCTAAGATGGCAGAAGACGAACCCCGTTGCGAGAAACTAAGGACTGAAAACTTTGAACTAAAGGGACGCTTACGGGCATCAAAAGAGATCCAGACTACTGGCCTTCAAGAACTCGAGAAGTTAAAATCTGAAAAGTCAGCTCTTTTGAAACGGAGAGTAAGTCCGTTGATCTATTCCCAACAATCTAGTTTGTAATGACATCACACAGGAAGCTCTCAACGATGAATTAGAAAGCGTGTCAGAGTCGGTCGGTCGCACCCGGTCGCGGGTCGTGCAATCCCCGGAACGTATTAAACGTACAATCAGCACTATGAACACCAGCGCGAACGAAGACAAGAAAATAGTCGCCATGCAGGAGAATAAGGCGAAGGAACTGCAAGCAAAGTTTAATGCTTTGCACAATATCGAAAGAGTAAGTTATTGCCCCTGATACAGAAATTCGATACTCGACCGAAATCGCAGGATGTTAGAGGGTGTATTGAACAGTTACAAACCGTTGAAAAGGAAGAGCGTTTACTGCAAGAATCCCATAAAGAACTTGGTGGGCTCAAGGATGATCTTGAAGGCAAGAAAATCGAGCTGAGTGAGCTCAGGCTGAAAAGAGAGGTTCGGTCGTCTGCTCTGTGTCAGGATGTTCTCTAATATCGAACTGTAGCGGGTTGAAAAGCAACTTTCCAACGCTCATGAAAAACTCGACCGTGCTCAACGTCATGCTGAGGAGAAGAAGCTCGCCAGTCAACGAACCATCGACCGTCTTCAAAAAGAAATCAATGATATGGCTGTCGAACGACGAGATAACGATAAGCAGGTGGAACAGCTTCGATTAGAGGCTGAGGATGTCGAAAAAAAGGTCAGTCGGGTAATATATCTGAAGTCTTGTCACTGATCCTCGCCTTAAGATTGCCGAGCATCTAAGGGCCAGTGAACTAGAGATCAACGAACTTTTAGGAGAGTATTGGAAGTTGAGACATCAAACAGGTACGGAGCATCTTTGTCCAGCGGTTTGTTAGCGGTGACCTCTTGAAAATAGATGTCTATGGAGAAACGTTGGCGAACATCATCGGGGTTCGTTCCTAGTCTCGTTATGTATTTTTCTTTATGATGTACCTCGTAATTTATGCACTGTCACAGTTGTACGTTAGTTATGCCAGAACTGGATCCTTCGCTGCCTGGCGCCGAATGGCGTGCTGTTACCAGTCAAGGGTGACTCTCATTGTATCTTAGCTTCACGGGATCCAGTGGTTGGCAGTCTGGCTCTTGGGTGGTCTATGTATAATGCAGCATCCTCTAGTAGCCCAGCACAAGGTGAATCCTGGTTTTCCGAAAACAAGCACTTTTCGCCACTCACTGATCAGAGCAGCGCGGCAATACTGATACAGAGGAAGGGCAGTATGTCGCCAATGTCAAGACAAAAGAGTGACAGCGCGGAAATTCTTTCCACCGAGTCACCAATATAATTATGTAAAAAGATACAATGAGGGGAAAAAATAGAAATTGAATTTTTGATAAGAATAGGAAATTTTATCAGTGAGACCAGCTCAAAGAGACCTAGTCAACCCAATTTCACCATGTGATCGCGGTTCCGAGCAAGTAGGAAAAACTCCATTTTTCCCTATTTCTCCTTCTCCTTAACCTTGACCATGTGTAATGACAAGGCGTCTCCAACAACAGTGACAATAATTCGACTTCCCATTGAACTTCAGCAGCGCATTCTTTCTAAACTTTCTTCAAAGTCCCGACTGCCCTTCGTAAGCGCCTGCAAAGTGCTATCCAACAGCTTCGGTTTCAGCGCGGTTCGCGACGCTCTCAGTGAGACGAAGGGTCGCAACTATACTGACAGAAAAGATATCACATTCCCTCAATTGCTCTGCCCTGCTCCCTCCCGTACGCTTGTTGGAAATAACGTAAAGCACGTCACCTGTAAAGAAGAGAACGATGATATTGATGGTAGCGACTTCCGTGGCGATGACACCAATTTCATCGTAGCCCCATTGGGATCACAGCAGAGGAAGGAACGTGCCAGCAAGAGTTGGGTCATTGAGCCTGGGGACCTTGAGCATGGCTTGACCCAGCCTTTTTACATCTGTTCAGCCACGTTCACGGAGCCAGGAGATGATATTCTTCTATACGTGACATTCCCAAAGTACAATGAGGGCAGCTATGAGGACAATGACATCCCACGTCTCTGCCGATGGCGTTAAACCGGGTTCTGAGTATTTGGAAAAGTGCATGGCTACACTGGAGGAACGCATCCCGAACGAGGACGGAGTCGACATTAGCTGGCCACGCAGCTACAACAAGATGCTTGAGACAGGAGCTGTGCTCGGAAGAGTTGACCAGATTGTGCTACGCGAATTCTGTCTTAATAACTGCACTGACTGCGGCGGAGGCCAAACCATATGTCTCGATGCAGAGGAATAGTAGAAGATGGTCTGATGCGTTTTCTTCATGCACGTACATCTCTCCCTAAACTTTGACTTCATTAGACTGACGAGTATGAATAATCAGGTTTAATACCCCTGTAAGTCAGCGGCATTGGAGACGTTAACTAGTGTTGAATTTACTTTTGCAAAGGGTCCGCAATGTGTAGATTATGACGCTGAAATGACAAGGGCCAACTTTACCCACTACAAAAATGGTCAGAGGGTGATGGACGAAGAACTGAACATTGCACTAGTCAGACACACCTGTTGGTCACGTGAGCGATGGGAAGCCAAACACAAGATAAAGAAAAAGTCGGATAAGAAGAGGATACAGACAGCTAAGCCTACGTAGATGCTTAACATCTTCACGGACGACATGGTGTATCAGATAACTGTACAAAAGTCTAACGTTGCTTAGCATTAAACTTGTAGCCACATCTTCCAGTATTTCTCTTCTTCATGTGTACCTTCAAAACGCCAGTTAACTGTCTTGATTTCGACAAAGCCTTCTTCCTTGTCAGGGACTTCGTATTTGTCATGAAAGCTGGTGAGAGCCAAGTACGGAAGAACTTCTCGGGGTTCCTGTGGAAGTATCATTACAAAAAAAAACCTAAAATGATCGAGAAGTCGCACATCTCGAGCTTTCACTGACGGAGGGAGATTATAAGCACGATATAGATTATTGTGCCAGGCTAACTGTACGGATCCGGTAAACAAGAAGCACCTGTAGCTACCTTAATCTGAAATCACATTCCAGAGAGAAAAGAATCCCACCTGACTGGTATTCTAGCTGCTTTTGCGATGTCTATGTAATATTTTCTTGTCTTGACATCACGGTTAGTGTTGTCTATGGAAGACACGTGAACGACTTTCGAGCGACGTGAGTGTGGAAGGCATACCAACTACACAGCTCTTCCCTTCGTCAAGGGCTGCTTTCACTGCGGCGATACATTTTGGACGAGATCCAAGAGTATCCTGGTTTGTGTGGATGTAACCAGCGGGTTCAAAGTAGCGACGAAAGAAGGAGGTTTTGCCTAGACATGGATAGCCCACGAACAGCACGAGTTCTTGAAGTGGAGGGTCAGGCAATATTGGAGAGGACGTCGGCAAAACACTTGGTACTGCAAGAGGGGGTATTTAGTTGCAGTTCAGCAAGGAGAGATGCTACCCAACAGGTTGGTAGAGATGACACGTCAAATCCATCTAGGGTAAAATTAGTATGTACTGGCTGTCCTAAGAAGTACTCCTGTGTTGTGATCAGCTGTAGGAAGAAAACACGCTTTTAAATTTACCTCCGGGGTGTAGAATGGAAGGTCAATGTTGAGAGACCATTTGCGATCAGTACAAGAAAAATCCTTCTGTGAGCCTTTCCATTTTCTTCCAGCCGCATCGCCTACAAAGAAAGAGCTCTCCTTGTCTGCTAGCGACGTGAGGACAAGGACATAGCAAAAGGGAAGAGGTGCTACCTATGAACACGCCTTCGGCCTCAAATATTCCAGTCAACTCATTCCACATCCCAGGCATAGGCTTGCGGTATTCATCCTTGGCAGTGGCAGCCAACATTCGAAATGGCACTTCGGAAAGCTATTACAGTACGGTCAGAAACTGACTTAACGGAAAGATAGAAACGTACGGCGGCAGCTATTGACGGTATTTTCTGCTTCCAGGTCGCAAGAGCAGCACCCTTGAGAGCCTGGTTGGAAATTATTATGATGGAAAAGCTTGTACTTCAGTCAGCACGGTCTAAATCTACAGCCATGACATGCGTACCCATCCTGGTGCAACCTTTTCAAAACTTTAGGGACCGTACCATCCCACCATTCGAAATGTGTCGGATTTCCCTTCTCCCTTTTGCTACCCTTGCCGAAGCTGGACTTGATGAGCGTGCCATCAAGGTCAAACGTCGCGACCTTGGCGAAGCTTTTCGGCGCCAGGTTGATTGCATGGAGACACGTTCCACGAGAACCTAGAGGCTTGAGCCAATGAAACATAGAATCCGGTTTCGAGATGGTCGACGCGTCGGAGGACCTGTCTTTGGTAAAGAAGGGATGGACTGAACGGCGGTCAGGGTCTGAGGTAGTGACAGCAAGATGAACGCGCCTTTGACAACCTTTTTAGCGTTCCCAGCGTCAGAATCAGGTGCAGAACGTTTCTTGGACGACAGCAGTGACGATGACGTGGACGGCGGCATGAGAGTGATAGTTTAGAATATGGGTGGCTGTGTATGCGCCTTGTCTCTCTATTACTGTCACGACTGCGACCCAGATTATTCCCTTCACTGCTTGTATCCCGAAGAATAATGTCACAGACGCCCAAGGTCATCTCCTCGACAGAACTGCCAGCCTCAGAGGCCAAGTAAATCTTCCAGGTTACAGACATTTCTTCCCTCAATTGACTTGACTACAGATGGATCACCTTAAAGAAGATAATCTACCAGGATGCTAATGGGAATGAGGTGAGCAGCCAGTTTCGTTACGATATCCTTGCCTGAGGATGCCTGCAGCGACTCTGGGAATGTGCCGAGCGCAAGACGCGCAAATCAACAGGCATCGATGGTGAATAGCCATTCTCAGTTGGCGTCGAGGCTATAAATGAACAGTTAGCATGCAGCCGTCGCCATCTTCGCCCTCATACGATCAAAGACAAATGCATTTCCGCTGTCGACTGTCGTCATCGAGCAGTATAGGCCACCGGTTGACGCGTATATTATCGGTGAGTGATCAGGATCCGAACTCTTCCATGACTGCTGACTTGCATTCAAGAGTTGCCTGCAGGTACCCAAAAGACCATTGAAGCTAATTCTGAAATTTCTGACATCGCTTAAAGGGCTTATAGATGAAGGAGAGACGCCAGAATCAGCTGCTATCCGAGAGCTGGAGGAGGAGACGGTGATTTCATCTTTTGTGCGAGCTATCAACTCACCGCTGAAACTATCTGCAGGGATTCCTAGCTGACAAAGTCGTAGAATCATCGTCTGTGGTTGTTAACGATCCTGGTATGTTGCCGTTCCGTCGCGTCAACTATCCACTGAGATGTTGCCAGGAATGACCAATGCTAACATGAAGTTGGTCGTTCTGAGTGTTACGTTAGAGGATGCCATGGAGCATCCTGAGGCCAAACTTGAAGCGGGCGAGTTTATTGTCAAGCGAGTCGTAGCGCTCCACGAGCTCAGTCAGGAGCTTCAAGGTCAGTACGGTCCCTTTTTGACGCAGGACTGACTATATAACATCCCTAGACTACAGTAAGAAGGTAGAGACCCTCTTCTGTGTTGCACCTCACGCTGACTTCGTTGCAGGGTTTCGTGGTCGATGCTCGCCTGTCACACTTTGCTGCAGGCTATAACATGGCGGAGTGCATCAAAGCAGGGAAGTTCAACTGACACCCAAGTAAATATTTATATATGCATTCTCATAAATCCGTATCCTACCGACGGGCCTTTTTCGACTTTTCAATATGGGCCCTCAATTTCTGCTGCTTCTCTCTCAACGAAGCCTTCTTCTTTCCTCTCACCGTCCCGCTACTTAATATCATCATGATTGGCTTATTCCTAGTCTTTTCACGATTCGTTGAGCTGCTCGGCATCTCCTTGTTCTTCTTCCCTTTGTGTGAGCCAAATTTGTCTCGCCCTTCACGTCCCTTTGCTATTGACGCCATTCGCTCTGCGTAATCAGCTTTTGCTTTCTTGCGTGGACCAAGGATGTCGTTCTCTGATATGAAAGCGTCCTCTTGCCCACCCTGCATTGCCTTTTTGTTCCCCTCAAGTGCGGCTAGTTTCCGTTTTGCTTTGGGACCACCGCCTGCTTCCACAGCTTGTGCAGCAGCTTGTATTCGAAGATCATTTAGCAGGGAGAAATCAGCAGGCGTCAGAATCTGTGTACTAAAATGAGATCCGACAGATTTTGGAAGATAATAATGTCACCTTAGTAGTCGCCAGAGTGGAAACCCGCTTTACCAGATCTTCAGCATCCCTGTCTTCAGGTTTGGCGTTCGTTCCATCCTTCTCCTCGCCCTCATCTTCGCTATCGCTAATGGCCAGCTGGTCATCGCCATCGTCTACGTCTATCCACCCTTCAGATTCCTCGTCGGAATCTGACTCGTCAGACTCGACATCCCAGTTCTCCCAACCAGCATCGCTCGCCTCATCTATATCCACGTCTTCTTCTCGAAGCTTGTGGAAATGGTCTTCCAATAACTGTTTCACCAAATGATCACTTATTAGTACCATTAGTCAGGAGTTCACGTACCAAAAGCCCCTCAATATCTACAGCAGCATCTGCGCTGTGCCCGAAGGGTAAAGGCTGGGTACCCAAAGCCATTCCTATGCTAGCTTCTTTGCCCTATCCACCAGTCAAGATCAACGGAGGCGACAGTAATGTAAGGATGTCCTACCCGCTCTCTACGGTTCAACATTCCCGGATTGACGTCACGATAGAGCTGCAGAAGGCCCCTCGCTGCAGCTATCACGGCTTTATCCTTACTCTTCCTGTACTCGACTAAATCTCCCAACAGGTCTTCCTCCATGGCCCATGGCTGCCGCCTACATACTTCGCGTATAGCATTCAACCCAGCAGCAATGACCTCGCTGGCCACACCTGGGTGAACGAACTCGTGAGCAAGTTTTTGAATAATGGGTGTCAGCGCGTCGGGGGGTGTCAGTTCGTGTACAGACTGCGCTAGGCTGACGAGTATAGCCGGGACGCGCAGTTGGTGGTGAGTAAGGTATTTGACAATATATGTGTAAAACCCGAGGACGCAAAGCTTGTGCGAGCCCATGACACGGGAAAGGAGCTGCATGATGAGGATCTTGTGGTCGAGCGAAAACCGTTTTTCGTAGTGGTTGAGGACATCATAGAGTTTCTCGGCAAATGTTTGAGGGTCATTGAGGAGTTGGAGAGCAGGGAAGTTGGGATTCGCATCGCCTTTTCCGTTTTGTTGCTTCTACGCGGAGAGTGAAAACGTGAATTGAGTAGACCGTAGATTACACACCTTTTTGGCACTGTTGAGCTTCTTCTGAAGTTTTTTGTCGCCGCTTCTTGTCTTCTTGTTTATTTCTCGGCGATGATGGAGAGAGCGGACATCTATGGTCTATTCTAGATGTAAGTTTGTCGGCAGCGACGTGGGACCAACTCACCTCTTCTTCCTCATCATCGCTATCGTCTTTTTCTTCATCGCTACCCAGAAAGAAATGGATAGATGCGCTTTGCACCTTGACGACGGGATGGAAGCAGCCAAGTGCAACGATGGAGACAGGTTTAACATCAGTCCAAATGCCTTTTCTCCAGAGTTCTTTGGTAAGAATGATAGCCCACATTGCATCGTGGCTGTTGGTTGGGGAAGCAGACTGCGAGGTGGAGGCTCTCAGTTTACCCTTGTCACCAAGAACTTGTCCGTCCATTCCTCTTTCAACCATACCAAAGAGCATGACTTGAACGGCACGATTGAGCTTGTGGTTTGTTGAATGGATATTTGCGGCACGTATGTCAGAGAGGATGGTTTTTCGGATCGAAGAGCGCAACGCAGAGGAAGTGGTGCGAGGAAGAAGAGGAAAGAGGGTCTTGAGGAGGCTAAAATGCGGTCATATGTGAAGAATTGGCCAGCACAAGGGGACGTACTCGATGGACGTTATGACATTTTTATTGCGGAGCATGACAAGATTTTGGACGAGAGCCTTCTTTGTATCCGGCGACAAGGTTGCATAGTTTTCTAGCAGCAATGTAGAAAGATGAGACGAAAATTCCGCTGTTTCCTTGGGGTAGCAGGGTGCGACCTGGGCGATGAATGTGACGAGCTCTCTGAATTGTTGGGCGTGTTCGCTTGGATTTGCTTGAAAAATCTGGCGAATACTGTTGTAATGGTTCCATTGCTGCAGAAATTCTTCCTTGTATGCAGTTGGGTCACGCTTGATGAGATTTTGCAGTTGAGGGAGATTCGAAGTCAAGAGGATGCCACGACCCATGGTAGTGAATGAAGAGGACCGTGGGAAAGAAGAGAGGCGGCAAAAAATTCAAGTCGCAAAAATGTTACAGAAAGCATACAATTAGCAATAAACTCATAACAATTAAACCGCTGCCTCTGTCATCGTCACTGGTGGTGGAGTCATCTCCGTCTTTCCCTGGGAAGGCGTTGGATTCGTTACCGTCACCGTTGTCGACGTCTGAGTCTGTCGTGATCCAGCCCTTCCTCGACCTCTACCTCGACCCCTTCCTCGGCCTCTTTCTCGACTCCCGTCTCCGTCTCCAGAAGGGCTGTTAGCCGACGGCGACACAGAGGTTTCATTTGCCTCGCCGTCAACTGGCGAGGTGACTGTCGGCTTCTTCCATTCGCCAGTCGTCTTGCCCGAGTCCCATTCGCGGCTCTGTATCTTGTCCATCTTTCTCTTTGCATTCTGTTCCCGTGTACGGTCAATGTTCTCCTGTACCTTGCGGACATGCGCCTGTTTGATGCGCTCCGATTCCTGCGTCTTTCTGAACGCATCTTCGTCGGCCTGGACGTCCTGTACTACGGTAAGCACGCAGAAATGCGACAGAATGATGTAACACACCAGTCTGCGCTGCTTTATCTTTTCATTCTGTTCCTTCATACGCGCCATTCTCTCCGTGAGTGCCTCTTCACTTAGCTTACCCTGCTATCGTGGTAAGACGTAAGAAAATAGGGACAAGTACCACGACGCACCCGTTGGTTGCCGCCTGTCTTAACGCGGTCAGGGTTCACATACGGCTTCTTCTTCTCTTTCACGTCGTCTGTCTTTCCGCTCACCTCCGCTCCGCCGTCTTGCTCAGCAACAGTCGGCTGGGCTTCACTACTAGGTGCCGCAGCTGCCGGGCCATCCTTCGTTACCTTGAGCTGCTCAAAGTCCAGCCCAAGGGTGTTCGACGAATTTTCCATTCCGTGTGCAACGTGCAAGGGAGCCTGGATCGATGATGGTAGACGGTAAGGGCCAGAATAGTATAAGAACCGGGTTCCCAGTCCGGCCGGCGTTCCGTATTCCTCTACCTTCCCACTACCATGTCCCTCTCTAACAAGCTCGCCATTACTGACCTCTCGCTCGCCGGGAAACGCGTTCTCATTCGTGTCGACTTCAACGTTCCCATCCAGGAGGGCAAGATAACAAATCCCGCCGTAGGTCGCCATCGATAACTATACAGCATCCTCTTGACCTCCTTGTAGCGAATCGTAGCAGCCCTGCCCACCATCAAGTATGCTCTCGAGAACGGTAGTTCTATTGCTTGGATACATATATTCATATCTAAATGATGTCGCAGGTGCAACGACCGTCGTTCTTATGTCTCATCTCGGCCGTCCTGATGGCAAGGTCGTCCAGAAATACTCACTGAAACCTGTTTCCGTCGAGCTTGAGACGCTCCTTGGCAAGCCAGTCATCTTCTTGAATGACTCCGTTGGTCCTGAGGTCGAGAGTGCCGTCGCTTCTGCCCCTTCCGGTTCCGTTATTCTCCTTGAGAACCTCCGATTCCATATCGAGGAGGAGGGTTCAGTGAAGAATAAAGACGGCACCAAGACCAAGGCTGATCCTGCCAAGGTTGCTGAATTCCGTGCAAGCCTCACCAAACTTGGTGACGTCTATGTTAACGACGCCTTCGGTACTGCTCACCGTGCGCACTCCAGTATGGTCGGTGTTCAGCTCCCTCAACGCGCGTCCGGCTTCCTCGTCAAGAAGGAGCTCGAGTACTTCGCCAAGGCCCTCGAACACCCCGAGAGGCCTTTCCTTGCTATCCTTGGAGGTGCCAAGGTTTCAGACAAGATTCAATTGATTGACAACATGCTGGACAAGGTTAGCTCGACTGTGTTATGTGACGAACGTTGCATCTTTATATTATTTCAGGTCAACTCTTTGATCATTTGTGGCGGTATGGCCTTTACTTTCAAGAAGACTCTTGAAAATATCTCGGTTTGTTGTATATTATGAAGGCGCGGTTCAATTGTCTCATTGCGGTCCTAGATTGGAAATTCCCTTTTCGACCCGGCTGGATCTGAGAAGGTTGGTGGTCTCGTCGAGAAGGCGAAGCAAAAGGGTGTTAAGATTGTATTTCCTATCGACTATATCACCGCCGACAAATTCGACAAAGATGCAAAGGTGTTCCTATTTTATTCATTTCCAAGGGGCGATCTAATCTATTCCCACAGACTGGCACCGCTACTGAGACGGAAGGCATACCTGATGGCTGGATGGCTCTTGATGTCGGCCCCAAGAGTCGCGAATTGTTCCGTGAGGCCGTGTTGGAGGCCAAGACCATTCTATGGAATGGGTGCGTATTCTTTGGGGTGATGATGCATCTAGACCACTAACTTTATTCGCTATCTTTAGACCCCCCGGCGTGTTCGAGTTCCCTGCTTTTGCGGCTGGATCTACAGCTCTCCTCGACGCCAACATTGAGGCCGCTAAGAATGGGGCTGTCGTCATTGTTGGTGGTGGAGACACGGCAACAGTTGTCGCCCAGCACCATGCCGAGGACAAACTGAGCCATGTCAGCACTGGTGGAGGTGCCAGTCTCGAATTGTTGGAGGGCAAGGTTTGTACACTCTCATATCGATTCCAATCGAGTGCTGATTCTCGCCATTTCACGTAGGCACTTCCTGGTGTCGTCGCGCTCAGCGAGAAGTAGCAGTAAAAGGATGAGAAGAAACTAAATGTATGAGAAGATAGACTTTATGTCAGTCCTTTCCATGTATAAGTATTTAGAAGAATAGCAGACTCGTCGCGCAACGTTCAAATTTGCAATTATTTGGGCACGAAAGGCATGTGATGAGAAAGAATTGCTCATTATGGTGGCCCTCGTCATGGAGCAACTTGCATCCCTCTGTCGTGCACCATGGCCCAAGCTCGACGTCGTTCAACCCGTGGAAAGAGAATTGAGGTGGTCGAAGAAACGACCGCATCGCCCTCGAATTCTCTGTATGAATCAGAAGTGAAGGAGGAGCATAAGGGAAAATCCTCGGCGGCAACCGAAGAGACTTGTCCTTCCTGTCAAAAGGATGTCTCCGGAGATATAAGCCTTGACAAGAACAACTGGATCCGGTGCGACGCATGCAAAGTTTGGTATCACTGGGGCTGCGCAGGGAATGGCGAGGATTCTGCTTCTATAGACAAATGGTGCGCCTTCGCAGTCCAGCTACGGACAACATTAATATTCGCCTAGGTATTGTACACCGTGTCTGCAAGCAGATCCCAAGCGCGCCATCACACAGAAAGCTCCAGCACGCAAGTCTGACCGGAAACGGGCTCCCAGAGATTATGCTGGGCTAAATTCCAGTGGAATGGAAATGGACCCAACGAGGTGGGTGAGGATGATAGAGGGCAAGCATATCAAGCCAGACCAATTCAAGAGGATGAAAGGCGGAGATGTTGGCCTGGAATGGCTACAGGACGACGAGACTGCGATGTTAGAGCCCATTATCATCGAGAAAACCGATGGACTGGGTATGAAAATGCCGCCTAGCGATTTTACCGTTGAGGACGTCGTAGAAGATGTCGGAAATGATGTTCCTGTGGAGGGTATGTCTCTCCCCTGTCGCCGCCTGGGTTTTCGTCTAACCTGTGTTTTGCAGTCATTGGTGAATACAGTACACTTTCTTTTCATTGTGTTATGATTTTGACGTGGGAATTGCAGATGTCGCATCGCAGTCTACCTCTCCCGGATGGAATCTTGGCAAGTGGGCGGATTATTGGGCACTAGAATCGGGTAAGAGGGATAAAGTCAGAAATGTTATTTCTCTGGAGGTTTCTGGGACACCGCTGGCCGACAGAATACTTCCTCCGCGACTAGTGAGAGAAATAGATTGGGTGGACAACTTTTGGCCAAGTACCAGAAAAGGAAAGGGCCACACCTATCCTAAGGTCCAGCTATATTGTTTAATGGGTGTTGCTCAAGCGTGGACGGTAAATATACTTCGACGTCAAAGTGATACCCTTGTTGATGGTTCAATACAGGACTGGCACATTGATTTTGCCGGATCTTCCGTATATTATCATATACTGAAGGGGTCCAAGGCATGCTGCGCCGTGTTCGTTTTGAAACAAGCTGATACCTGGCCTTAGGTCTTCTACTTTATACGACCAACACCTACCAACCTCGCTGCATATGAGAAGTGGTCTGGGACCGAGATTCAGAACCAGATGTGGCTTGGTGATATGGTGGATGAAGTTGTCAGAGTTTCCTTAACAGCTGGAAACACTATGATAATCCCTACTGGGTGGATACATGCAGTTGTAAGTGTGTTTTATTGTACTGAAACATTGAGCTCATACGTCTTTAGCACACACCAGAAGATACCTTGGTGTTTGGCGGAAACTTTCTACATTCGTACAATGTTGCTACCCGTGAGCCCATCTTGACTGATTTGAACAGACCACTCATCCTAAGCAGAGCTCAAAGTAAGAGACATTGAGATTGCGACATCAGTGCCCCGAAAGTTCCGATTTCCGATGTTTTTAAAGTAAGTGAGCATTTGTTTGTACTATCCATCTTGGAAGGTTAACATTGGTGCCAGACTGTGCTGGTATGTTGGAGACAAATATTTACGAGATCTCAGAGTGTCTCCAAGCAGCTCACTTCCGCCTCGTGTCGCAACATCGATGGCCTTTCTAGCTGATTTTCTTGTTTCTCAAGTACGCATATTAGAGGGGGGCGATGAGGCGGCCAAGAAGGAGGTCAGGGAGCAAATACCACATGATCGTGTCAAAGACCCTGCAGTGGTTGCACGAGAGCTGCGATGGAGAGTGCGTATAGCAACCGGTCTCACAAGCGACGATGAAGACAATCGAAAGGCGCCGAATACCCGCCCTAAGAATGGGGTAGGTGCAAAACGAAAACGGACAATGTCGGAGGACCCCACAAATGAGCATCCTGGTCCTGTACGCTTCAAAAATTTCAAACCCAGGAAATGGGACAGCATCGACGAAAAGATGGAAGATGGGGAGAATAGAGAGGTCAAGTGCCGACGACCGTTGGACGATGAGCCCGTTGAAAAATGGACAGAAGCAGATGGAGAAGACATGGCTGCTGCGATGCGACGGCGACAGGTACTGATAAAAGTTCGGCGGACGCGGGATGGATTAGAGCGAGAGGTGATTGAACGAACAATTGAAGAGTGGAAATTTCAGTAGGAGAATATTTACAGCACAGAGCAGAATATTTATCTCTTTGATTTCGTATCTCTTTGATTTCGTATCTTTTTTTATCATCAGGTGCACGTGCACCCTCCTAACTGATATCATCATGTCCTCGTCGTCGTCACGCTCAAATTCTGTCCACCACCAAGACGCGAGCGCCATGCTGCCCATCGCTGAATCCGACGTCGACGGTGCCAGACGTAAGATGAAATTCCCATCCCATGTCGTGCGACACTGATAGCGGCGTTTCTCTCAGCCCTCATGTACCACAGCAACCATTCGATGCCCACTGTACCGCCAGATGGTCCCCCACAATACGACACAGTACTGGAACTGCCGACATTCAACCCGTCGGTCGCGCTCGAGGGCTTCACGACGATGAGCATGAGCGACCAGCGCGCTCCTAGCCATTCCGTGCCTCCCAACGACCCCATTGCCCGCTCAAAATCGTCCATGTCGATGCGTTCGTACCAGTCGGCACCGCAGCCACGGACATACCAGCCGCCCAGACATGTCAATAGCCTACCACCAGCCCCAAATTACCATCTTCCTCCCCGACAGTACTATCCTATCGACCAGGCCGACAATGCATCTATCTATACGACAACGACAGACAGCCCAGTCTCGATTAACAATGGTGGATTTGACCGTTTTGATAACCAAGCTACCGGTGGGTATGGTTACGACGAACAGGGCAGCTATGATTCCATGCACATGCAACGATACCCCCAACAAACATATAATCCTTTGTATGCCGCAGCATCCAATGTCCTGGGCATGGGTCCACCTCCTGGCCCTCACAATCCTTCTCCTTCCGCTCCTATCCCAGCCCCAGCGCAAAACTACTCGTCGAGCCTCAGTACTTACAGTAACGATTCTGTGCCCACTAATACCTCTGCTCCACATTTACCACCACCTAATGGTTACGACATCAGGCCTCCCATGAATGGCTACGATCCTAGGCCTCCGAACGGATTGCCGCTCAATGTCTTGCCTCCGAACGCAGTCCCTCTCAACGGTCTACCACCCAATGGGTTACCCCCTAGCGGATACGACGTCAGCCCTCATCCCGTTCCCTCATTATCGTTATCGCTAGACGATAACGCCTCGGATTTTGAGCCTCGGCCATCGCTGCAGCGCGCCGGGACGTCTGCTTCAGTATCTCTCGCTTCAAAAAAGTCCAAAGCGATCGATCTCAGTGCTCCTCCTTACACAAAGGAATATATTGAACAATATCGGCAACGCATAAAGGGAGATCCTGATCCCGAGGCTCACTTTTTGTATGCCAAATACCTCATCGATGCCGCTCGAAAAATCCGTGCTAGCGGCAAAGATCAGCGAGCTGCCAAAAAGTACAGCGAGCTGCTCATAACTGAAGCCCTCAAAGTTATGCGACGCCTGGCTACACAGGGTGAGCCGTATAGCGAAGCTCAGTTCTATATGGCCAACTGTCATGGTACGGGTGCACTTGGTCTACCGGTAGACCATGAGCGAGCGTACCATCTCTACCTTCAAGCTGCCAAACAGAATCATGCATCTGCCTGCTATCGGGTCGCTGTTTGTAATGAGATTGGTGCAGGTACTCGGAAGGAACCTGAGCGCGCTGCCAACTTTTATCGCAAAGCTGCATCGATGGGCGATACGGCAGCGATGTACAAGTTGGGAATGATACTTCTTCATGGTTCTCTCGGCCAGCAGCGTAACGCCCGAGAAGCGGTTGGATGGTTACGACGGGCAGCCGAACAGGCGGATGAAGAGAATCCCCACGCCCTGCATGAATTGGGGCTCTTATATGAAATGAAAGGCGGTCAGGTCGTCCCTCACGATCCAATTTACGCGAAGGGTTTGTTTACTCAAGCGGCGCATCTCGGTTACACGCAGTCACAGTATAAGCTGGGCCAGTGCTACGAGTATGGCTCGTTGACATGCCCTGTTGATCCTCGGCGGTCGATAGCATGGTATACCAAAGCTGCGGAGAAGGGAGATGCAGAGGCTGAGTTAGCCTTGAGTGGCTGGTACCTGACGGGAAGCGAGGGGGTTCTGAAGCAGAGCGATTCAGAAGCGTATCTCTGGGCCCGACGGGCAGCGAACAAGGGCCTGAGCAAAGCCGAATATGCTGTTGGATACTATGCCGAAGTGGGTATTGGCATCAAACAGGATATAGAATTTGCAAAGCGATGGTATATGCGAGCTGCAGGTCTGTAATTTTTTACATCGCTAGTCGATTCTTTTCTGATTTTTTTGAGTAGCTCAAGGCAATAAACGAGCAATGAATCGATTAACTGAGATGAAACGAATGGGAAGTAAACGACTAAATGTTGCACGACCTACGCGACAGCAAGCAAAGGATGAATGTGTTATTTGTTAGCTATAATATTTATTGCTTTCATTTTTGCAATGGAGATAAGAAATCTGCCGTATCTACCATGTCATTGATCAGCAAGGCTCCCATCTTCAAGCCTTTTACGCTGGCCTTGATCCAGCTGGGAGGTATCAGCGCCAACAAGGCCGACAATCTGAAGCATGCGCGAGAAAAGATACTCAAGGCGGCGACGAATCCTGCCAAGCCCCAGGTCGTCGTTCTGCCGGTGCGATTCTTGCCTTGCGTCTTGTATCGACACTCATCGGACGGATAGGAATGCTTCAATTCGCCTTATGGACACGTCCATTTCCCAAACTACGCTGAGGACATCGAGTACGTTCCCGGAAAGCCGTATGATGTTGCCCAGAGCAAGAGCGAGTCTGTGAAGATGCTTTCGTCGGCTGCGAAGGAGGCTGGAGTGTGGCTCATTGGAGGTGGGCTGCTCAGGACTCTGGGCATGAATTATTGACTGACACTAGGGCAGGCTCGATACCAGAACGCGAGGCCGTCAGTGATAAGCTCTACAATACATGTACAGTGTACAACCCTCAAGGTCAGCCTTTCCTCTCTTTGCTCAGGGTCTCGGCGCTGACGGTCTGAAGGCGACCTGATTGCCATGCATCGAAAGGTCCATCTGTTCGACATTGACATTCCTGGAAAGATTACGTTCAAGGTATGTTTCCTGGCCAGAGATATAGCAGCCGCTGAAATATGTTCCTCCAGGAAAGCGAGACCTTGACGGGGGGCACGTCTCTGAATTTCTTCGACACAGGTGGGTCGTTGGTAGCAGAAGCTGACCCTATTGACATGACCTAGATTTCGCACGTATTGGCCTGGGTATCTGCTATGATGTACGATTTCCAGAGATGGCGATGATAGCTGCACGAGATGGTACATCTCCTGGCTGGTCCATACTGTGCCGCTAATTCGTGATGTCTAGGTTGCCATATGCTCATTTATCCCGGGGCATTCAATCTGACGACTGGACCTCTTCATTGGGAGCTACTTCAAAGAGGACGGTAAGCGTAGTTGGTATTCCGTCTGCCAGGCGACTCATCGCTCGACGCAGTGCTCTAGATAATCAAATATACATGTCTATGTGCAGCCCCGCGCGAGACATGAGGTCTAATTATCATGCGGTATGTTCCAAGTATCCTGGAATTATCTACATTGGCTGAGCTTTGACAGTGGGGACATTCGATGGTGGTTGACCCAATGTAATAAGTCCCTGTGTTCATTGTATGAGTAAGGCTTACTTTTTTGCAGGGGAAAAGTACTCTCTGAAGCTGGACACGACGAAGAGATTACCTATACAGATATCGGTAATGGTTTCCTTTTTTTTTCAAGTTGTTTTCTGAATTCTTCCCCTCAGTTCCCAAGGTCTTTGAAGAGACCCGCGCGGCGATACCTGTAACAAAGCAGCGCCGCTTTGATGTATATCCAGATGTCAGTGCATGATAAATAATAAATTAGGATTTACTCGAAATGGCACAAGAAGAGAGCTGTGTAGATTTTCCGGATTTGTAATGTTGTAGAAACGCGTAGATGGTTGTGGAAGGACTGAAACAGCGCCAATATGTAACGTATGTAACGCGTGACCTACTCTGTACAGTCCGCCGCCTTCTCCTCTTAACTCTTTTTCTTCCCTTATCCTTCTTTCCTCGTCACCCCCATCATGGTTAGAGAAACGTCAGTATCTTTGTTCGTCTGTCTGTGATCTGAACGGTTTTCTCATTCCTTCTTTGCAGCAAATTTTACGATCTACTCGATGTACCTCCTACAGCCTCAGAGGGCGATCTCAAAAAGGCGTACCGCAAAAAGCAGGTGCTCTTTGTTCTTTTCCAGTACAGTTTCTAACCTTTTTCTGCCTCTAGGGCCTTGCGGTATCACCCTGACAAAGGCGGAGATCCAGATAAATTCAAGGAAGTTACGCATGCGTGAGTAGCATGGCTTATTTGTGCCTTCAGCCTGTCGAACGGCGTCTGTTACAGCTATGAAATACTTTCTGATCCCGAAAAACGAGCTGTATATGATGCTAGAGGAGAAGCAGGATTATCGGAGGCAGGGGGAGGCATGGATCCCCAGGTGAGTGGTGTTCCTCTTGCACTGCTCATCAACGTCCTGACCATAGCCTAGGATCTTTTCAGCCAGCTCTTCGGTGGTGGAGGTGGCTTCGGTGGTGGAGGAGGATTTTTTGGTGGAGGCGGCCCATCTCGAAACGGTCCTCGCAAAACGAAAGATCTCGTCCATCGCGTCCACGTCACTCTAGAAGACCTCTACAAGGGCAAAACCACCAAACTTGCACTGACACGGAACGTTCTATGCTCAAAGTGCAAAGGAAAGGGCGGTAAGGATGGTGCTGTCAGGAGTTGTTACTCGTGCAGTGGGCGCGGTGTCAAGATTACCATGCGACAGATGGGTCCGATGATTCAGCAAATACAGACACCCTGTGATGAATGTTCGGGTACCGGAGAGATAATCAATGCGAAAGACCGATGTGGGCAGTGCAAGGGCAAGAAGGTGATGCCGGAGAAAAAGTTCCTCGAGGTGCACATCGACAAAGGCATGAAGGGCGGCCAGACGATCCAGTTTAGAGGCGAGAGTGATCAGTCACCTACGGCCGAGGCTGGGGATGTTGTTATCGTTATCGAAGAGAAGCCTCACGAGCGCTTTAAGCGCCAGGATAACGATCTCGTTACCGAAGTCGAAGTAGACCTCTTAACTGCTCTTGCTGGCGGTCAGTTTGCCATTCGGCATCTGGATGAGCGCGCTTTGGTGGTAAAGATAGAACCTGGTGAGGTTGTCAATCATGGTAAGTCCTATTCTTCGTGATATTGGATATTAATGACATTCTTTCCTCGCAGGCGACCTCAGAGTTATCCATGGACAGGGCATGCCTTCACAACGGCACCATGAGCCTGGTGACTTGTATGTCAAGCTCAACGTGAAGTTCCCGGAGTCTATCGATCCAGCTGTTATTCCTCTGTTGGAGAAAGCATTACCACCACGCAAACCTATCGAAACCTTTGACAAGCACGTTATACTCGACGAGGTTCATTTAGAAGAACCCGACTCGCATGGTGGAATGCATGATGAGCCGATGGACGAAGACGGAGACGAGCCTCGCGTGCAGTGCGCCCAGCAGTAATTCTGGCAGTTTTCTTTATTGCTCTCCTGGCTTGTTGTCGTCGTGTTATTATGTAAAGCATTTTAGAGAGTCTGTCGTACACTGCTACACACTACCATAATAATTGACATTAGCGTTCAACAATCCCAACTTGTCTGCAAGAAAGGTTCATATTATCACAGTAAGAGACTGGTTGGTGGGTACCTGAGGGTTCCGCTTAAACTGCTCATACAACTCCCGGTTAAAGAAACTAACTTCGGTTTCATTTTCTATTTACACAACGGATTAGAAGGGATTTTCAATCCAGCCAGATACTCACCGAACCCGACATCGGCTAATATCTTGGAGTCATCATCAAATAGCCATTCATCGTGGTCGAGATTTATTATAAGATTTGTTGTCTAAAGGCTCATCGGTTAGAGCTATCGAGCATGGGAAGAGGACGCACCTTTGCACTGTGAGCCTGCGTATACAGCTTGAGCACATCAAGAACAACATTTCGATATGGCTTCCATCCTGGTTGTGTCTTGACGGCTAATCCGACGTCGTCGAAAGCAAATACTGGGAAATAGAACGAATGGAAAAGGTACCTTCATGCGCCAACTCCTTGAGCTGGCCTACAGTCGTCGTCTCGAGATTGACTTTGTGGAGGACAAGGCTCTTTTCTGTGCGATACTTGAATGATTTTATTATTCGCAGCGTAATGGTGGCCGCTGTCTTTGGGTGGGCGATATTGGTGAGGACGTTAGAAAAATCGGAATACATGGAAGTAGGAGGTGAGTGAAGGTCGGATATCGGTCCGGGGGGAGGGCACAGGCCCGCTTGACGAGGGATACTCAAGGATCACCGTGACCGCAGGATGACATCAATTATTCCCGAGAAAAGTCCGGAATTACCTACATAAGCTGCGCGATATTCACCGTCGTTTTCCATGGCACACCCTTTCCTTGACGCGGACATCGCTGACCTCGTACAGAAACTCAGAATCGATGAAAAAATCTCTCTGTTAGGTGCTCCCAATTGGTGGAACACCACCGCTATTGAGCGGTTGAAGATTCCCCCTGTTCGCATGAGCGACGGACCTAACGTAGGCGATCTCAAGGCTCGGTGAGACTCTTATTGAACGTTTCCTACAGGGTGTTCGAGGATCTTCTCATTTCGTCGCTATACCTGCACAATGTCTTCCGGTAAGTATAAAAATCTTGAAGGAGTGCTGCTCGCATTCTTACGGAGCGTAGTGCTCGACTTCCCTTGCCGCCACCTTTGACACTGAGCTAATATATGATGCCGGGATCTTTCTGGCACAGGAGGCTAAAATCAAGTCATCTGTTATTTTACTCGCGCCGACCTGCAATATTCAGCGCTCACCGCTTGGCGGGAGAGCGTTCGAATCCTTTTCTGAGGACCCCCATCTGTCTGGTAATCAGAGTTTCATCTTGACTCGGCATGGTCTGATTGCTGTTGAAAGGCATGATGGCTTCCGCCTACGTCAATGGACTGCAATCAGAAGGAGTTGCTGCAAGTACGTGCTTAAAACCACCGCAAAGACTATGCATCTAACAGTAATTAGCTATCAAACATTTTGTTGCTAATGACCAGGAGCACGAGAGAACCGCTGCAGACTCAGTCATGTCAGATAGAGCCTTGCGAGAAATCTATCTATATCCGTCAGCATCAGTTAATTTCTTCGAGCACCCTTTCTTCCCACTGACTCCCGCGTTTTAGGTTCATGTTGGCACAAAAACATGCTCAACCATGGGCCTATATGACTTCGTTGAATATAACGTTCTCTGCTTCGTGCTACTTTTAGTTGACAAGCCTCCAGATACGGTCGTGTCAGAGGATTGCATTGTTCTGAAAATCGACAGCTGTTGCAAGGAATTCTCCGAAATGAATGGGATTTTGATGGAATCGTTATCAGTGACTGGTAAATTTTTCATATCACAAAATCCGATGACTGACAAACTTAATAGGTTTGGCACTTACGGCGTCGACGAAGCAATCAATGCTGGGCTGGATCTCGAAATGCCCGGCCCACCTCGCTGGAGAACTCAACCGTTGGTTTCGCACTGCTTGACGTCTCAGAAAGTACTGCCTCGCGTGATAGACGAGCGCGTCACTACTCTTCTTCGTTTTGTGCAGCACCAGGCTCGTAGGAATCCAGATGTTGTCTATGGTGATGGGAAGGAGCGGAGTCGAGACTCTCCTGAAGCACGAACATTCTGTCGGAAGCTTGCTGCTGATGGCATCGTTCTTCTCAAGAATCAGGGTCATCTCCTTCCCCTCTCCGCAGAAAATGTGAAGCACCTGGCCATTATAGGCCCTAACGCCAAAAGCAGTGTCATTTCAGGAGGCGGGTCCGCTCAGCTGAAAGCTACCTATGTGGTGACTCCGTATGCTGGCATTACAGCGGGTGCCCCCAGCGATGTGGTCGTCGACTACGAAGTCGGTTGTTACGGTCAGTTTCGTTTCTGTGCTTATGCTTCCCGGATACTGAAAGTAAGTCATCACGCAGCTCACAAATACTTGCCCACACTGGAAGCCAACTTGGAAACGTCGACCAGCGAATCGGGCTGGCTTTGCACGTTTTATAGCTGCGACGAACAAGGAAAACTTACGGAGCCCATAGCAGACTTTATCCTACGTGATACACGAGTGAAGCTGAACGACTTTCTACCTGCTGGGCTCTCGTCGACTTGGATGATCAAATTGACCGGAAAGTTGACTATGGACAAGACGGGTCCTTATGACCTTGGTTTGACTGTCGCAGGTAAAGTACCTTATCCTATAGATTATATCAAGGCAGTGAAGTTTGGGGTAGGGCGTGCCAAGCTCTGGGTGAATGGCAAGTTGGCGATCGATAACTGGACAAAACAGACACCCGGAGATTTCTTCTACGGGTAAGTTATACAAAAAACACGTTTCATATGTATTGGTACCCATGGATATGTTGATAGGCAAGGGACTATTGAAGAGAAAGCAACGTTAGATTTTGAGGCCGGTGTTGGCGTTGACATTCTTGTGGAGTATATTAATACATCTCCGCCAAAAAATGGCGATGAAGAGGACGATATGAGAAGTTCTCAGCCAGCATTGATGCGCGGTGTTGTGAGTCCGAAATTGAAGTATCAATTCGACGCTAAAGTGTGCTCCATACAGCGTCTTGGCGGTTGTGAAAGGATTGACCCTGACAAGGCCATTGATTCTGCTGTATCGTTGGCTTCCAAGGTCGATGCTGTGGTCTTCTTCGGTGGTCTAACACCCGAATGGGAAAGCGAAGGCTTTGACCGACCTACACTGCAGCTTCCCGGAAGACAAGATGAAATCATCACTCGTATTGCGGAGGTAAATCCCAATGTCATTGTCTGTATTCAAGCGGTATGTGCTGTTTACATCAAAGTAGTTATCTTTTCCCTCATGCTATACAGGGCTCTGCTGTTTCTATGCCCTGGGCTGATAAGGTAGGAGGATTGCTTCAGTCATGGTACTCAGGCAATGAAGCAGGTAATGCCATTGCCGACATTGTTTTCGGGAAAGTGAATCCGAGTGGCCGATTACCCCTCACGTTACCTGTTCGTCTGGAAGATGTTCCATCGTTCTTGAACCGGCACAGTGAATATGGAAAGATCCATTATAGGGAGGATCTGTTTGTTGGATACAAGCACTACCAGGCCGTCGGTATACAAGCGCAGTTTCCATTTGGGTGTGTGCCGTTTGTTTCATGTTTGTGTAATGCTCTTACCTGGCCTTAGCTTTGGACTCTCCTACACAGAATTTTCAATGTCGAATTTGTCGCTGTCCGCAGCCACCGACGTGGATGTCAAGGTTTCTGTTGACGTGAAAAACGTAGGAAACAAGGCGGGATCGCAAGTTGTACAGCTTTATGTGTCGTATCCAGACATTGGTATTACGCAGCCTCCATTTCAATTACGGGGCTTTGCGAAGGCCCGGAATATACTACCAGGATCAACAAGGACGGTCCAAATTTCTCTTAACAAGTACGCGTTTTCCTTCTGGGATCCTTCTGTCAATTCCTGGCGCGTTTCCGTTGGAAAGTACGGCTTGCACGTCGGGTCCAGCAGTGAACAGTTGGATTTTAAGGTGATAGTGACAGTGAAGAAGGGCTTTTTGTGGAATGGATTGTGATGCAGTCAGTATGTACACTGAACAAAAAAGGAAATTCAGTAATTATGTCCTTGGATACCAACTCCCACCACGATGCTACCGTCGATGCCCGTCCCGACCCTCGTCTCCTCACGAATCTTCCTGACATTCTCTCTGCCCTTTCTTCAATACAGTCAGAGGAGGCAGAGCTCTCTAATTCGCTGACTGACCTGCTATCCGACCGTGCACCCATTCTATCCTCGCTGTCGCGCTTGCGTTCCGTAGTGCCTCAGCTCAATAACCTCAACGAAGATGCATTGCTTCTGTCGGAAAAGGTCGTGACAACGGCACAAACAGCGGAACGCGTTGGGGGACGTGTCCAGTCACTTGACGAAGAAATGCGCAGGATTCGTGAAGCTGGAGACCGTGTTGGTCAGGTTATCGAACTCAAGGTACACCCTTTCTCTTTTATTGCGATTTTCGCTAAATATGTCACAGTCATCTCTGGTAGAGTTGCAAGCGTCGATTGAGAGCCATGATTGGGAGTCGGCGTCGAGACACTGTGCTCGAGTAATGACGCTGCCTCTGGATGTAATATCGGGGCCTTTCTCGGAACATGTAGTGGTTCGTTGTATGTTTGCTAGTAAGAGTACAGACAACTGAGATAATAGGAACAGCCTACGTCGGATAACCATCTACCGCCTGTCCAGACGCTCCAGGCCGCCCGCGAGCGTCTTCTGTTGGTCTTTCAGGAAAACTTTGAACGGGCTTCAAGCTCAAGGGATTCGGCTGCAACAAGTCGCTTCTTCAAACTCTTCCCTGCTATAGGATGGGAGACGGAGGGTCTGCAGGCATATGCATCGTTTATTGTCGACCTCGTACGAGTCCGCGCACCTGCATCTGCGAAAAGTAAGTTGAATTCAGTCTCAACCATTCGTGGGTATTCATATCTTGGCAGCATCTTCGCCCCTGTACTATACAACCGCTTTGACTGCGCTCTTTGAGAGCATTGCAATGATCGTTGACCAGCATCAGCCCGTCGTGGAGAAATATTATGGTGCGGGTAAAATGATCAGCGTCGTGGAGCGGCTGTTAGAAGAGTGCGATCGGGTTGTTAAGGGGTTAGTTGCAGGATGGGAAGATGAAAGGTCTATGAAGCGCAAGGCAAGTCTTTCAAGCCCCTCCTCGCCTTGCAGCTAAAATGTTTGTAGTTGTCGGATACTTCCAATAACCCCCCAATACCCATGTTCAACACCACGATACGTCGTCAACCTTCTGTAATGTCCCCCGATGAGGAGAGGATCGATCCGCGAGAAATTGACAAAGTGTTGGTGGAAGCAGCAAGTATGGCAGGCCGATGGAACCTGTTCCGAAAATTCCTTTCTGAAAGCATGACTGTACGTTATGGGATTATTCTGTTTGCACCCCCCTTCATGCGGTTCCAAGGAAGACTCTAGCTTCGAATCTACAGAGGTGCCAGTGGAGACACAGAAGCTTTCGTTGGATTCCACGAAATCACATCATCTATTTGAGGACCTATTGACGACGTATTATATCCCAATGGAAATGTGGTATACACGTACCATCATGGACAAAGTAAGGATTGGTCTTGTTGTACACACTTCTTATGATGAACTCATAGCGTAGGCTCATAGGCTATCCAGCCCAGATCTTACTCAGTCACCAGTAGTGACAACTACGCCAGATGACGTTTTCTACATTCTCAAAATCGTGTTACTGCGTCTGATTTCTACGGGCTCGTATACGACTGTTGAACGGACACTGCAGCAGCTGCGCGAAGTCATGGAGCGAGATTACTCGGGAGTAATCAAGAAAAAGCTTGACGATGTCTATCATGCTGCTGGGACCTCTGGTCAAAGTAGAGGCGAGAAGGTGGAGAAGGAGAACCGTTTAGCATTTATTGTATGTTTTTTTCTCGGCTTCGAAGATGCAATCCTCAATGATTTTTAGACACTCTTGAACGACTTGGATGTATCTGTCTCGCACCTTGAACGCCTTACGCGGGATTTAGTGAGGGGCCCGACGATTGGTCAACATTTTAGCGAACAACAACAACCGTCGGTGAAGGATCAGATCACGTCATTCTCTACCTCGTCTGCTAAGCTTGGGGCAACTCTGAGAGTTAGTACAGTGTCTTTGTGTGTCGGACTGCCCTTTACACTCTAAATCTAGGTAGGATTAGAGCAAGTCTTCAATCAGCTTTTAAGACCAAAGCTGCGCAATCTTGTACCAGAGGTCTACAAGGATATCTCCTATGTCCTAGATGATGATACCTATGCCGCTGCAGAGTATCAAAATGTGGTTCGGAAGCGGTTCATCAAGACATGGGAAACATTTATGGATGGATACAAGGTAAATTCTGGTTTTTCGTATTTTGAGCTTGCCCTGGATGACCTGTTGGACAGGGTGCATTTACTGATCGTAATTACCGTATGTTCTTTGGCCTGGCTCTCGACGTCCTGTTGAGGCCATGGGAGAAATTCATGATGGGTTTCAAGTTTACTGAGGTTAGACTTTCTTGTAGTGACAAGCGTTTTGTGACTGAATGGCTACAGTTGGGTGCGATACGCTTTGACAGGGACCTACGGTCTATCACTACGTATTTGACATCGCAGACCGCGTTTGGCGACGCCAGAGAGAAACTTGTTCGCTTACAGCAAATGTCTACTTTGCTGAACCTGGATGGTGTATGTGTTCTAAGTTTATATGAGGCTGGTTTTCTAAAGAATGCTACAGGAAGAAGATGTGGACGAATTCTACAATGGGTCTGGTATATCTTGGAAACTAACTGCGCAAGAAGCTCGTGCCATTGTTTCTCTGAAGGTATAGGATTTCGTACTACTACTACTACAGTATACACCCATATGGGCAGGCCAATAATATACAGAATGGGATCAATAGTTTACGTCTGGTACCTAGCCTCGTCGCAAAGCATCTAGGCGTGCTTGTAGGGCATCCTCATCAGACACTCCACCGCCAGAGACATCACCACCGGTATTGCTGCTGTCGTTGTTTCGTGTTGGCGCTACGCCAGATTCTCCCAATGCCACTGGCTGCTTATTCGCAATGGGAGTTGATACAGCGATACCGGTGGGAGCGTCAGTGAGCTTGGCATAACATGAGTGAGGTGAAGGAGAGAAATACAGGCAACAGACCTGCTGCGACAGATTGACACCGATCTCGTCCAATACTTCTTTCAGGATCTTGTCGCCCTCCTCTTCTTCATCTTCGGCCTCGTCATCCATCACGTCGTCGACCGCATCGGACATCATCTCCTCCTTCATGTCCATCATTGAACTCTCCTTCTCGAACTCATTCATGATTCGCTGGATAGCTGGTAGATTAAGGCCACGATTCATGGAAGCCATTGCCTAACAGTGGAGCATGAATGGGTAGTTCAGGCAAGGCAACGAATACGTGCATACGCGAGTGGCACCCCTCATCGCGCTTGCCATCTGTTCATTGCTTCGCAGCGTCTGTATTCGGAGGCTGACGGCCTGGAGCTGAGTGCGCATTTGGTAGAATTTGTGAGTATACCGACGGGTCCTAACGAGGTCCTTGGCCATCACTTTGCAAGCATTCTGCAGGGTAGCATTATTGCCTGGCAGGATAAGATGGCGTGAATTCTACCATTTGCCCCGCCTTTGCGCTCTTCTTGATATCCATAATCAGTTTCTTCTCGCTTTGCTCCAGCTTGGTGCGCTCTCGGTCGAGCTCGCGCTGTGCTTTGGCGAGAGCGCGCTGATGCTGGCGCAGTCGTTCAGCAGGTGTGACAGTACGACCAAAGAGCGTCTCCTATACGTCTCTATCATCAGCCAGAACGACGACAAAGGAAGAAAGGATGACATGCGATGATGTTCATGGTGGCGGTGAAGGTAGAAGACGAATGTTGCCGTGCGGACCGCGGCTCCTGACCATGAACAACGACGACCTCCTCGACATTGGCAGGCAATGCTCGTTGCCGTCCTGCGGCCAGGTCGATTTTCTTCCTATCAGATGCCGTTGTGACCTTCTTTTCTGCAAGGAGCACATTATCCCTGATGCTCACGGCTGTCGTCGGGCCTCTATCACGCCCGTCGTCAGTGACAGCACTCTGCCCAAATTCCAGCGATGCGCAGCGCCTAAATGCTCCAAGCCCAGTCTCGATGCCTTTTCTACGCAGAAAGCCAAAGGATCTGCTGCGTGTGCTCGGTGCAGTCAGTCGTTCTGTGCTGAGTAAAGTCTGGGTCTCCGCCTCTTTGTCTGTGTGCTGAATGTCTCCTCAGCCACCGGTATCCCGAGGCCCATTCGTGTTCCTCTGTATCCACCTTTGAGTCTATTTCCCACAATGCTGTAGCTGAGGCTCTGATAATCAAGCATTTTTCTTCGACGTCAAAGACTTCGTCAAGCTCGCGTCGCACTGGCACTCCCAAAATTCCCGCTGACCCCGTCAAGCTTGCCCAGTATCAGAAAGTAGAACTTATGAAAATGAGACACAGGGCTATTCCTGCGGATCCAAAGGATAAGCCGTTGTCCGTCCCCATTGGCGACCGCATTCACATAAAGCTGCAAGTAAATGACAGTGACCAAGAAAAAATATTCTGGCTTCGAAAGGTGGGGCCAAGTATATATATATAGCGGCGTATTCACCTGTCTACTGTTCAGTCTATCGTGACCGGAAAAGCGCTGGATTTGCTGGCTACTCAAATGGAAGTATTTACTTCAGTCAGTCTCTCAATACTCTCCCTCAATGACAATATACTTAATTTACAGTGAAGCCTCTTCAATTGTCGGATGTTCGAAATGGCCGCATTCTTGTTAATAGTGACCTTCTCGCCGCCCAGGTTGAGGATGGCAGTAGCATTCTTATAGGACCAAGATGAAAATAAATAACCTATACTAATCCTTCTCTTCCAAACCAAAGATCTGCCACAACAAGTGAGCTTGTCCGAACGGCCTCTCGCTACCCAGAAGCGTCGAAGCTGCCTCGTATTTATTCTCCGGTCTCCTCACTTCATCGCAAATAACCTTGTACCCTTGTGCCATTCTTTCCAGGGCTGATTGGTGAATCGTAGTATGCAAGCGCTGCACGGTTAGGTGGGATAATCGTTGCGACTGGACGACTTCGAGACCCGAAAGCCAGGCGGAGAATCTTTGAAGAGCCCATTTCAACTCTTGCGGACGGGCAGTTGGAATATATGACAGTGGTTCCTGCAATACAGCAAGGTTACATATCGCGTAAAAGGGCAAAAAAGGACGTACACTGCGATCCCATTTATCGCAAACAGTTATTATGTCGTGCAGTCCAGCTTTGGCCATGATATCATGATACTGTTTCTTGTCAGCATCCAAGGCAATAGCAATGGCAAATGAATTCGGCAACGTACGTGCTCATCTGTAAGAAGAAGTACACGCTCGTTAATTATTACTTGAAGTCCTTTCTGTTTGTTCACGGTGAATACAAACGGTTCGAGAACACTCTGTCCGTAGCTTTGAGTATGAAGGTCAGAAGTTCAAATTCAAAAACTGACCAATAAATAACTTAGGCAATTCAAAACAAAGACGGATATGTCCCATCTTGATACTGCTCTAGCTTTAGCTTCAGCAGCGTTAGTGCAAATTTCAATGGCCGGATCCATCATGATATCCAATACATGCTCAAATCCCGCGATAAGTTTTTCTTCATCTTCGTTTCCTAGCAGAGATGACTGGTAGACATTCATGAGTTCTCGAAGCACTTGGGCATGCTCTATGATAGAGATTGGAGGGGTTAAGGAGAGATCGTTGTTATCCTGAAGATAAAGTCAGGATCAAGTCATGCCAAGAAGATAAACAACTCACGAGAGGTACTCGGAGAAGGGATCTGCCTAACGCTTCCACAGCATCAAAAAACACTTTGTACGAGACTTCGGTGATTCTGGAATGATGTTGGTGTCAGTAATATGGAAGACAATTAGCCACCTACTCCTGCAGTGTTTTCGACAGAACAGCCTCCGTTCCAATTGTGCGACGCATCGTGACCAAGTAAAATTGCAGCAGGTTCGCAATCTTGTAGGACACTATGCTGCTTTCCTGGGATCTAACCGTCTGTTGCACGCGAACCTTAAAAGAGGAAACATCAAGTAAGGCTGAAGGAAAAACACACGAGAAATACCTTCAAAGGCACGCAAAGCTTCCCGACGGCTAGATCCATGAGCTCGCGTATCCAATCTTCCTCTTCACTTTTATCGTCAAACAACCGCACGCTACCGACCATCCGACCATCAGCTTTTAATCCAAAGAGACTTTCAAAGAACTCCCTCTCGGCCGCTATGGCTTGATGCACCCAAGCAAGCATGTCACCAATGTAGCGCATGGGATCGTGCGCGTGTAGTTCAATGGGGCGAGGAAGACCTGATGGTCCGCCTCTTGTTAGAGCCATTAAAAACGAAGAAAGGAGCGAAGCTTGTCGTGTCTGCGATAGTTCAGCAAGAGCCTCACTGAGCTCGGCCGTCAATACACGAGGATGCAAAAATTAGTGCAGATGAGAAACGTACGTGAGCAGTTCTTGTCTTTGGCGTAATCGTCGTACAGCTTCTCGCATAGCTGGTGTCACTTCTAAATGTGCGTCGCGGCCTATTTGTCGGAACTCGTATGAACACCAACGAACTATCTTTTCATAACCTTGTTCCAGGTAAGATAAAGTGGAAGACATTATTTCCAGGCTATTTGACGAGTCAGAAGAAACACGGACTTCAAGATAGCGACTTTACCCAGCTTTCGTAGGGCCTTCTTCGCCTGCCATGAGCACCCGACAGTCATCTCGGATTCTCTCTGTTCTGTCCATGGCATCAAAGAATCGCTGGCCTAGCGGAACATCTCGCGAAGTCATTGACTCAATTTCCTCCTCGCTAAGAGCAAAACGGCCGAGGAACAACTCGACGACAGACTTCTTGACGTCTACTTCCTGCCTGTCGTAGATATGTTATGTGTTCATCTGCAACTTGAATGTCAAATTTACCTCTCTTGCCGGAGATTTCCAGCTTTTTCAAGCAGGGACGAACTAGCCTCGTTTGTCAGCTGCAACTGTATTTCAGCATCGTCAAGGCTGGCATGCATGGTGTCGACGTGTTTTTGAAGTTCACCGAGTTTCTGTGGTACATAATGAGTAAGCATTAGTTGCTGAAAAGATGGTTTGACCTGGTCAACCTCCCTGAAGGCAGCTAGAAAGCGGCGACTCCCTTCAGCCAGCTTCTGCTCCATGTCCTTCCTGAGGTTCCGTCGCGCACGAGCAGCCATCTCGCCTGGGAGCATCTCTGCCGCATCTTTGGAGCGTACTCGCGTATCATCGTCATCGTCATCGTCATCGTTGCCTCTCTGGACTACCTTTCCCTTTCTACTGGATGGAGTTGCGTACAAGTCAGAGAGCGTGCACAGCGCCTCCTTAGTAGCTTCATCATCAAAGTTGGTGCCAAGGACCTTGTATAAACGCAAGGACACCGGGTTGCGCGACTGAGCGGAAGTAGACGTCTTGCGCAGTGCCACAGACGGTGTCGAGGACGTAGGTGGGGTGAGCGAAGGCATACGGAATACGGACCGGATAGCCGGTTCATCGACACCAGCGTGGGAAAATGAGCTTCAATTTTTTCTTTCTACTCAACCCTCACCATGAGCCAGCCCGAATTTGACGCACGCCAGCTCGTTGGGGTCAAGGCAGAGCGTGTCACCAACATTTCTAGTACCGACTACCCTGGTCATTATCCCAATGAGGACCATGCCTGGAGTCTCAGCAAATTCACAACAGTACGTCCTCTACTCGCCCGTATTCCAGGGAGGATAGTGAGAGAGCCACGAAGGACAGAATCTAAAAGTGCAAGTCAAACGGCTTTCCAATCGCTCGATCGACTTTGACATCGTCGGCGTTGATGCCTCCATTGCGAATGCATTTCGAAGGATAATGATTGCAGAGGTGCATCCTGGTTTTCTCGTCGTACACTCAATGCTGAACTTCACAGGTTCCAACGGTGGCCATTGAGCACGTATACATCTTCAACAACACCTCCATCATACAGGACGAAGTTCTCGCCCATCGTCTTGGTCTCGTTCCACTCAATGTCGATCCGGCTCCCATAGAACCTCGCCTCTCTGCAGGTGATGCTACCGACCGCAATACCATCGTTTTCAAAGTAAACATAAAATGCGAGCGAAAAGCTGATGCTCCCAAAGATGCTACAGAACCTGAGGATCTATATATCAATCACGAATTTCTTTCGCGGCATCTAATATGGGAGCCTGCAGGGGAGCAAGGTCTGATGTTTGCTGACAATCCACCTGCACCCACGAATCTTAACATCGTCCTGGCGAAGCTACGGCCAGGACAGGAAATCGAGATGGATTTACACGCTGTCAAAGGTGTCGGTAAAGACCACGCAAAATTCAGCCCCGTCGGTTAGTGTCATATGCGCTTCTCATTTATCTTGTACTGATCTTCGATTTAGCGACCGCCTCATACCGGATATTACCCCATATCAAAATTCTGAAATCCATACCGCCACAACTGGCTGAAAAATTCCAACGGTGTTTCGCGCCGGGCGTAATTCGCGTCAACCCTGTTTCAAAAGAAGTCTCCGTTGATCCCGTCGGCGTACGGAATGACACAGTCAGCAGGGAGGTCCTTCGGCATCCTGAATTCGAGGGTTATGTAGAATTGAGCCGAGTACGAAATTGGTTCTTATGTGCGTCTCCGTCCTGCCGTCTATGCTAGCGTTTGCTTACAGTGGCAGTAGTCAATGTCGAATCAGAAGGACCCTACGTTCCTGAAAGAATTCTACCTGAGGCTATAATGGTGATGAAGAGCAAGATTGCTCAGATCCGAGCGGGAGTGGAGGCGCTAATATCTGGACCTGGCGATGGTGATGTGGTGATGAAAAATATCTAGTGCTCGGTCCGTGTATTACTGTTTAAGTCGCTTAGAAACTTGGAGCATATTTTTGTCACCCAATGTCGCCGTCGACTCGCCGATGTTTCATCAGGTGCCGAAGAAACTATTCAGTCGGCTGGTTGCAGGCGGATTATGTTCTTTGAACGTCGCACACGGAGAAGGAAGGCATCCGAACATTGAAATTTGCCCAATTCTAAGTACACCAACCGGTCATAGGACAATGAATACGCCAAGGGAAAGGTCAGTCCTACTTATGAGTCGATGATCGATCTCGCTGAATTAAAAAAATTCTGGTCGTTGGCGAGCTCTACAGCAGTATGGGCTAACGCCCTCGCCACCTTTCAGCTTGCATATACGCATAATCTAAGTCGGCAATATCATCGAACTCGGGTTCGTGGTTAAAGGGACAGCTTGCAACAGTCGACGTATCACAAATCCCGTAATTGGGATGAAAGATAACACGGCTGGTGCTGAGCAATTCATACGAAGTCTCATTGATTGTGGGGTTTTGAACGAGTGAAGCGTCAGTTGCAGCTGGCGCGATGCTGGAGAACGCCCAAGAGTTATCGCTAAATTCTGGCGTTGCCATCAGGTCTATGAAGTATTGCCCCAGTTCTTCGTGGACTTCCAGCGCTGGATATGGGATGTCATATGTAACTGAGTCGGACAGCTCCCATATGGCGTTGTCGATATAAGATCTGACTTCCTCGAGCTCGACAGTATATCGAGGACGGACGGAGACCGTTATTCCGAGCTGGGTATGAGAAGTGTTGAGGGGAGGTAGTATGGGTGAGTTGGGTTCGATGGTATGTTGGAACAGACAACGTCAGAATACTTTGTTTCCTTCCGAAGCGTGTCGTCTAGAGAAACAAACAGCACGATTGATACTAGCGAGAACAAGTGAGGGCACATACCCAGGGCCTGTGAACATGATCACTACGCCGCTCTCATTCTCACTGAGGGTATACGCCTGGGTGGCAAATGCGACATCGCGGCCCCTAACAGACATCAGTCAACTTCCTCCAAAGTAGTGTTGGTGACCCCAAGTTCGACCTTTGTCTGGATGACATTTATGCCATACATGCCGATTTGTTCGATGCTAGAGGCCGTCGAAGAATGGCCAGGAGGGCTATCTGCCAAATCTTGAATGGTAGCTAGCACCTGGTAAGTTTTTCCCACTACTCTGTCGGCAAAATGTGGTTCTTAGCATATATCATAAAGCAGGGACTGGAGAATACTCAAAGTGGGTACTGCCGCTGAGTTCGACCTTGACATCTATCCGAGCTTGCATAGGTTGGACGGCGCTGGTAGCCGTCGGGTTGGCCATCATAAAGATGGCATATTCGTCATCGAATGCCCCGGCGTTGAGCAGAAGGCGCTTGCCGTCCGTGTCTTCCTCATCGAAGCAGCCGTGAACGACGACTCGTGCAGGGATATTATACTGCTCCGTTGGATTGATTCAACGACACTAATACTTGTAGTGGAATGAAAACGTACGTATAGCAAAGCCTCGCGGGTCATGGTAGCTGCGGTAAGCCCGACAGTAGCAATGAGATTATGCCCGCATGCGTGCTTCACCTCTGGAAGGGCATCGTACTCCAGCAGAAACGCGAGAGTCGGGACGTTTCCTCCGTATCCAGCTGGAAGATTTTCAAATGTGAGCTTCAGAAACGTTTCGAAGCCATATGCTTGCTTAGTGACACTAAAGAGTGCTAAAAGGATTTAAGATGTCAGTGAATCGTCAAATGGGCAGTTGAATCGGTACTTGAAAGGATTGTCATCAAAGTAGCCTATGGTTGTACTGGTGGCAAAATACTCTTCAAGTGCTGTCTCTGGATTCACGTATATGGAGTGGCCAATATTCTCGATATGTGGCCGGACGTTGGTAGAAATCATCTGCAGCGTTTCGGAGAACATCGAAAGGTTCGTCTGAGTGGCGACATGTATGCTGAGAAAAATTGTAGCCCAAGCGCCAGCAGCAAATGACTGAACAAGTTGCGCTACCATTGTTGCAGATAGGGCTGATGATACCAGGAAGGGGAGTTATATACATCTACAGCTAGAAACATAAAGCAAAATCCGAGCCTGGAATTACCAGTGCACCGTTATTAGCAGAGGTTATGCCTTAATATTGTAAAGCTTGGAGATATATCCCCCCCCGGCGGATGTCGGTAAGTTCAGAGGTCGATACAGCCAGCCTCCGGATACTTTTAGAATACAGTCATATCGTTGTATAAGCTGCCTTGTGGTATAGAATGGATATTACATGATTCGATAGAGAAAGACCCTGAATGTGGTTCAGACAGCTAGGCGGAGGGTGTGCCTTGATTAGGCATGGCGCCGATTGATGCGTAACCCGGTCGGTACGTCATCCGACGCGTTCCAGCGGAGCTTTCCGCCACCGAACGATTCACTCTCCTTCCTTCCTTTCTCTCATGCATGAATATTCTACGGTTTGTATGGCGTTCGAAAAAGCGCGCAGTGAGGCTTTTTTTTGCTGATATTGTATATTCTAAATCTGATGCCACGCTCTAATACTTGGCTGCCAAGGGGACCCGCCAATTCTGCTTTTCAACCCTCAGCTATAGGCGCTGCCCGGTCTCTGGACTTGATGCTGTGCTCGCTAGAAATTCTGGTGAAAAACTCTATTGTTTTGCCATTCTAACCCTGCCGTGCAGTTTAAGGTCTCCGTCAACCCTACACAAATATCCGCACTTATTTCCACGTTTTTTCCTGAGGAGGAGGAAGGAAGCGACCGCTATACTCTGACCTGGACTAGTCAGCATGATTGATCCGTCATTCTCCAGTTCTATCAATGCATATCTTGCATCAGCCGTCACCTTCCTTCTTGCTTGAGCCCACATTCATTGGAAATACGTTGCTGATAGATTGTTCTTATTCGTCTGTAGTCCATGATAGCTGCTGCCGAAATACATACAATCTGGCGGTCCAGCTCACTCAGAACGTCGACGGGCCATGTCTAGCCTGCTCGTCGTCCTTCTTATCTCCCTTTCCGAGATACAAAAGAGTGCCTCTCCCTTCCCGTCTTCAGCCACGTACAAGTGGACATTTACACTCTACACTGGTGAGCTGCACTGGTACTTCTCTTGCTTTCACGTAAAGCTGAAAGGGTTGTGTTTCTACGATAGACCCACAATCGAGAAGAATTATTGCGAGCGAACGACGGACATTTATCGCCGAGAAGCCTGAGTAGTGTGTGTTTTAAAACCGTTTCTTCCCGAATTCTTTCAAGTTAAACTGAATTATGCGCCAGATTTATTGAGAGCATCATTACGCCCCCATCTATGTTCTTTCCGTCGACCTATTCGTGATTGTCTGGGAACTCGTCCCACGCAGGGTGCACTTTATGACGGGACTACTTCTCGCCTCGAATTTGATGTGGGAGTCCCTTCTGGAGACGAATCATGTTTTGAACGCCAACACCAGCCCCCACATATCTCAAAACGATCCAAAGGTGTAGCTTTCATCGGTCGAAATCAATCTTCCTGACCTCAAAATCATGCGAGATCCGGGCGAGCCACACAGCCTCGAGTCGTTGACATTGTCGTCGAAGGTTCGCCACGACAGCGGCTTCTCGTGACGTACATAGGGTTTCCCTCCGCTACTTATCGTTTGGAAGGTCAATCAATCTTTTCTGTTGCTCGAAGAAAGCAAGGCTGGCCCAACCTCTGGATAGGGCGGTCAATCTCAAGGATTCCAGAAATGGTGCCGGGTTCCCAGCGTGCAAAATTACGTTTCCTTTGCATATGTACGCTTACCCGCCATCGTTGGAAGAAACTCGGTGACTTGTTCACGGTGGATCGACTATATTCCCCGGGCCGTCTTTGACCTCGTAATCATAATTCTTCCGTCTGTCACTTATCTCCTCCAATCATTAGATATTCTGCGCCGATGCTGGGATATCTCGAACTAGGTCAATGCGGAGCGTCAATTGTCCGTCCTTTGACTGGCCTAATAGCATGGATTCGATTCTACATCGGTTGCTTGATGCACATGGATACAGTGCATTTCCGCAGCCTATCTTCAGAATACAAGCGGCCTGGATCCGGGGATAAGGCTTGTAAAAGCTGGCGTGACTAGCACGACGTTTGTGATGCAAAAGGCACGATTATCGATGCGGCTGGAGCAGGGGGGGAATCTTAGAGCAGGGACCTTCAAGTTCCGGTCTGTCTTTTCTTGAAATGTATGACCGTATCGTAATGACGCTTTTGCGTTACAAACTGAATGGTAAACAACCGAGAGGTACTGGAATACCTATATGACAAATTTCGGTGCAGTTTCCATTGGACCGTCACCTTGAAACAGAGAGCTGACTGCTTCGTAGGAAATGATTGGCAATTATGGTGCCGAGTTCCCCCGATAGCCCGGCGGTTGCGACAGCCATATGGCTGGTGGTAATACGATGCAGACCATGAGGCGGCGATACGGTCAGATGTTCTGCGGTAAAATTGGAAAACGAGGAGCGGGCCAGCAATGACGCTGAAATACGGAAAATACATTTGTCAAATCGCAGACACGCCGTTGGATGCCGGGGTCGAGAAGATGCTGGCCTCCTTGATAGACCGAAAAAGGGTCTTATCTCTGTTATTGACCTCTATTTGGCCCCCTTACTTAATCGCCCTTGTGCAATTCAGATAGGGGAGCCAAATAGAAGTCAATATCGGAGATAAGATCCTTTTTTCGGTCTCTGGGGTCCGATCAAGTAGGACGCCAGCATCATCCCATGCCCCCTCTCTCCACCGAACCTGATCGAACGCCATGTCAACTTTTACCTACGCCTCCCAGCCCCAGACGTCGCCCGACCTCTCCACGACGTTGCCAGACACCCCAGACCCTCCAGACGACGACCCAGATACCCCTGGCGGCAAGAAGAAAAAAGTTGCCAAGAGACGAAAAGTGAACCATGCCTGTCTCTACTGCAGACGAAGCCATATGACGTGCGACGAGGGACGCCCGTGTCAGCGATGGTGAGCGGCTGCTTGGTTTCCTGGCTTATATGACTAGAGTCCTTACAGTATAAAGCGCGAGATTGGCCACCTTTGTCACGATGAACGACGGTCGAAAGCTGGCGACAAAGCGGTGACGACGCCACCCACGACGAACAGCCTGGCGACGAGTGCGTATCTCTTCGCTCTAGGCTGTCTCGCGCGCTCACCGTGTGCAGCAACAGTGTACCAAGCACCAGCACCAGCACCTCCAAATCCTGCCTGGCCTATGTCCGTCGGCCAGTCAACGCCATTCATTTACCGCCCGGAGACATTGGGTAACGAGTTTTCTGTCCTAACGTATGCTGCTCTCTTTTTACCATTTTCTGTCTCATCACCATATCTAGGGACTTTCTTGAAACCCTCGACGAGAGCTCCTTTTTTACGCCTCCGCCTGCCGCGCCCATTCTCCAATCACCATTTCCTCAATCACAGTCACAACCGCCCATGACGAATGCACCAGGTGGAACCTCGTCGACAACGACAGATGTCTTGCCGGCAGCAACAAAGACCGAGCGTTTCTTGCTCACCGCAGCGGACCAAGAGTCGGGCTCACGCGATGAACGACTGAATAGAGTCATCAGGAGTAAATACGAGGCGGGACTACTGAAGCCGTACAACTATGTGAAGGGCTATGCGAGACTCTCAAGATGGATGGACAGAAAGTGCGTTCAACAATACATATATTTTGCAGCTGGTACTGAGTCTTCAGCGTTCAGCGTCTCACAAGAAAGCAAGCAACAAATATTACAACCTCTTTCAGTGTTGCGGCCCAAGTTCCGCGTGGGTCTCGCCCTTCTCTATGCCGTCAGCGTTAATTTAGTCATTTCAAAAACCTACTTTCCCCACAGGCCGTAGCTCAGTCTCTTCGTGACATTGACCTCGTGTTTATTGAGGAAGCTTTCGAACGTTTACTCCTCGACTATGACCGAGTATTTTCCGCCATGGGGGTCCCCGCCTGTTTATGGCGCCGAACTGGGGAGATATACAAGGGTAATCGCGAATTCAGCGAGCTCGTGGGAGTAGATGGGTACATGATGCGGGATGTGAGTCTAGTCTCCTTCCTGCCTTTCCTTCATCTTTCTGTCCCATGACCTCCCCCCTGACTGATGTACTTGCCACCCCATTATTATCCGTCCAATTTAAACGAGACTGATGGGGTTTAATTTGTTTGTAGGGCCGATTATGCATATACGAATTAATGGCAGAGGAGAGTGCGGTAAATTATTGGGAGGTGAAGGGGCACACGATCTGTCGTTTTTAATGCTTCCGTTCTCACAGTTCTCTCTAGAAATATGGTCACGTCGCCTTCGACTCGTCTCAAAAGGCTGTTCTGACGTCTTGCGTACTTCGTTACAAGCCCAATCTTAACAGTACCGCTCCTAATCCCAATTCCAATTCTGCGGCCACGAATGGGTCGTCGAACGGGATCGGAAATGGTATCGGAAACGGGATGAAGAAGGAAGAAGAGATCGGGCGGAGTGAAGAGGGCCTTGTGAATTGTTGTTTTTCGTTCACGATTCGGAGAGACAAGTGGGGAATTCCCAGTATGATTGTGGGAAATTTTATTAAATGCTAACGTGGAGGGGGCAGAGGTCTTTAAAAATATTGTTGTGTAGATGACGATGGTATTTATTCTACCTCAATGTATATACTTATAGCTACACTATCATTCAGGGACAGTCCTAATCGTACATCTCTTATTGGAAGGAACTGCTGGGCATCTGAACCGTCTGAACCCTGGAAGTTTTGAAATTCCAGCGAGCACGGGGCCGGGACAATCGGCCTTGGCGCGTCATGGTCGGTGCTCCAGCCTCGCCTGTGCTATCTGGCCTTATATACTTGGGTCTATCAGCTATGCTGTTTTTGGGTTGCTGCTGCTGCTGATCTGTATCGTCGAGTGCCTGCGCACTGCTGTTGGCTCGACATTAAATAAATAACGTCCTTAACAACGACGTTTTCAAGGTTGATGTCGACGTAGGGCGGACGTTCGTCGTCGTATCCATAGAGCAGACTACCAGATACTATATTGCTACTATATTGGAGAGAATACAGTACATCATCGCAGCATGCACCGTTCTGGCGAGTGTAACAAGGCGATAATATCCAGCTCGCTGTTGTATCAGGCAACAGCCACACACACGCATACAGCTGATCCTCCAAACAATTCCAATTCTTGCTTCCGTCCCCTTTTCTCCAATGGCGGAGAACATATACAGCAAGGGAACCAGGGTCTGGTTCGAAGACAAGGACCATGCTTGGATCTCTGCTGAAGTTCTTTCCCTCACAAAGGCTACCGACGACAATGTCAGGATCGTCTTCGTTGACGAACGCGGCAAGGTACTTCCCATTCATCTCCCTCGACTACGTCCACCTACTCTCTTTTCATCCAGGAAATTACTGTGAATACAACTCTCAAGGACATCAAGGATGGCGCCAACAGCTTACCTCCCTTAAGGAATCCTCCGCTGCTGGAAACGGCGGACGATTTGGCTACTCTCTCTCATCTCAACGAACCTTCCGGTATACACTTTTCTTACTCGTCTTCTCTCTCTCCCTCTCAAGTGACCTTTCGAGACAGTACTTCATACAATACGAAATCGATATGCTCAACACAGCATCTACACGTACAGCGGCATTGTGCTTATTGCCGTCAACCCATTTCAGCGTGTCACTCTTTATGGTCCAGAGATCATCCAAGCATATAGCGGAAGACGGCGAGGCGACTTGGAACCACATTTGTTTGCCATTGCAGAAGACGCGTATACTGCCATGAGGAAGGAGGGCATGGGCCAGACTATCATTGTTTCAGGAGAGAGGTATGTCACGCTCTACTTTTTTCCGCGTTTTGCTGACCCTCTCCAGTGGTGCTGGAAAAACAGAATCTGTATGTTTCTTCTCATTCAGTGCTCCACCCTGCTTAATATATTCCAGGCAAAATTTATCATGCGCTACCTGGCTTCAGTTAATCCCCCCGACTCTACCGCGAAAACGAGGACAAAATTCACCCTCGACGACTCCAGTGAAATAGAACGACAGATTTTGGCGACAAACCCCATTCTCGAAGCATTCGGAAACGCCAAGACGACACGAAACGATAATTCTTCACGCTTTGGCAAATATATCCAGGTCGGTCTCATTCTTTGCCCGCGCTGTCGTCTCTCATGCGCCTACAGATTCTATTTGACGGCCAACAAGAAATCGTTGGCGCACGCATTCGAACCTATCTTCTTGAACGCTCCCGAATCGTTTTCCAACCCCTCACAGAGCGCAATTATCATATCTTTTATCAGCTATGTGCAGGCGCGCCTCTGAAGGAACGGAAGGATCTCGGTTTGGATACAGACGTTTCAAAGTTCCATTATCTCAAACAAGGCGGTCCCTTGTCATCTCCCATCACAGGGGTGGACGATGCTGAAGAGTTCAGGTCTACCCAACAGGCTTTGTCCACTGTTGGAATCAGCGTCGAAAAGCAATGGGCCGTGTTCAGACTCCTCTCTGCCCTACTTCACCTAGGCAATGTCAAGATCACTCAGCTACGAACGGATGCCATGATCGAAGAAAACGATTCATCATTGCTTCTTGCCACGCGATTTCTGGGTGTCAGTATCGCTGAATTCAAGAAATGGACAATCAAGAAGCAGATTACTACGCGTAACGAGAAGATTGTGTCGTCGTTAAATGCAGCTCAGGCAACTGTTGTTAGGGACAGTGTCGCAAAATTCGTCTACGCTTGCATGTTCGAGTGGTTGGTGGCCATCGTCAACGAAAGTTTGGCAGGCGAAAACGGGGACGCGGCCGAAAGAGCCGAAATGTTCATTGGTGTGCTGGATATCTACGGTTTCGAGCATTTCCAAAAGGTACCGCATCATTCATTGTATTGTTCGTGACGCGTTGCTATTTTTTCTTTTAGAATTCCTTCGAACAATTCAGTATTAATTATGCCAATGAGAAGTTGCAGCAGGAGGTCAGGTCTTTTCTGTCACTTTGCCGACCTTAGAGTACTAAACTAGTAGCAGTTCAATTCGCACGTCTTCAAACTCGAACAAGAAGAGTACTTGAAGGAGGAAATAAACTGGACCTTCATCGATTTCTCCGACAATCAGCCTTGTATCGACGTTATCGAGGGCAAATTGGGCGTGCTGGCACTGCTTGATGAAGAGTCTCGTCTACCCTCCGGTAGTGACACCTCTTTCCTGCAGAAGCTCCATAACCAACTGGGCAAACAGGAATACAAGAAGGTTTTCAAGAAACCAAGGTTCGGGAACACCGCCTTCACCATTGCTCATTATGCCCTCGACGTCACATACGAAGTGGAAGGTTTCTTAGAAAAGAACAGGGATACTGTGCCAGATGAGCACATGACTCTCCTCGCAGCTACCAGGAATCCTTTCTTGAAGGAGGTCCTTGATGCAGCTTTGCTTTCAACAAAACCTTCTGATGGTCCACATCCTGCATCGCCTGCATTTTCGGATTCAGCAAGTGGCGGATCTCGTCGTTCGTCAGTTATTCCAGACCCCGGTCGACAATCTTGGATGGGTCCTGCACCCTCCGCTTCCATGTCAAACATGGGTGGTTTAAAACGAGGCGTAGGCGCCGTCAAGAAACCAACCCAAGGTTCTATCTTCAAAGCCTCTTTGATCACTCTCATGGACACGCTTAGCGTTACAAATGTGCATTATATTCGATGCATAAAACCCAATGAACAGAAGAAACCATGGGAGTTCCAACCACAACAGGTGTTAGGTCAGCTCCGAGCCTGCGGTGTATTGGAAACAATTCGCATCAGTTGTGCTGGATATCCAACTCGATGGACTTATGAGGAGTTTGCGGAGCGGTACGCTGCTGCTTTTCTGTGGGGTTACCAGCACTAATCCGTATGTGTTGTTCAGGTACTACATGCTCGTCTCATCATCAGTATGGCAGCCTCTCATCCAGTCCCTGGATCTTCGACAGCTGTGTACGGCCATTCTTGGAAAGACACTTGAAGATCCCGATAAGCATCAGAACGGTTTGACAAAGATCTTCTTCCGTGCTGGAATGCTCGCGGCCTTGGAGTCTATGCGGACGGATAGGCTGAACGCTATGGTCACAGTTGTTCAAAAGAACATGAGGAGGCGTATGGCTGTCAAGAAATACCAACAACTCCGCCATGCGACAATCAGGATACAAACGTGGTGGCGAGGTATTAGAGCGAGGAGGCTTGTGGAACACATTCGCCGTGAAGTTGCTGCTAAGCGCCTGCAAACAGCGATTCGGAGGTTTATCCAGAGGACCCATTTTCTGGATATCAAACGGGAAATCACGCTGTTCCAGAGCCGTAAGTTTTTCACGTGGTTTCTCAAGCCCGGCGTCTAACTTATTTGAAGGTGTCCGGGGCGTCCAAGCCCGTCAACGATACAGAGAAGCAAGAAGCGGAAATGCTGCCGTCCTACTTCAAAGTCTCATCCGTGGCGTGTATGCTATCTAAATATTCTCCTTTCTCATCTGTGTTCTCATAGAAGCTATCCAGGTTTACTCGGCGGTCATTCCGATCCGACGTCAAGCATGTTATCTATCTGCAATCTTGCATGCGGCGGCGTCTTGCGCGTAAGGAACTGAAGACTTTGAAAGCCGAAGCGCGTTCAGTCTCCAAGTTCAAGGAGATATCGTACAAGCTTGAAAACAAAGTAGTTGAACTAACGCAAAATCTCCAGAAACGCACCGAGGAGAAGAGGGACTTGCAACGAAAGCTGGAAGAATTGGAGCAACAATTGCAGCAGTGGATCAATCGCCACGAAGAGGCCGATGTGCGCACCAAGACCCTGCAGTTGTCGCTACAAAATACCGAGGCGCAGCTCTCTCAGCGAGACGACATCCTTCTGGCCAAGGCCGATGTAGAGCAGCGGTTAGAAGAAGCTCTTGCAAAGGCCGCTGAGAAGGACGAGTTGATTCAAAAGCTGAGCGCTGAAGTCAGCCACCAGGCCAGTCGGTTGGAGCAGCAACAGCGGGCAGTTGAGAATGCTCCTGTTCGTAACCAAGAAGACAACTCTGTCATCATGACCCTGAAGAACGAAGTCGGAAATTTACGGGAACAGCTCAACAGATCCAATGCTCTGAACGCTCTGACACGGGGATCGCGCGCTGAGCCCCCTCCTCTTTCCCCGACATTCGCCCCAACCCTCCGAGCCGCAGACGCCAACGGAGCTCTTAATGGTGCACAGCGTCATCAGCGAAGACACAGTTCTGCCGGCGTTTATGCTCTATCTCCATCTGACCACCGTTCCTCTACTGACGAGTTGATGTTTGATGTACGGAAAGATCATGCACTGAACCCTCGTGCAGTGTCGGTGGCTTTCAACGGAGAGGATCACTATACGCGCTTCCGTTCGAACGGTTTGCCTGACATACGGGACTACGAGGACCCTGCGGAAGAAAAGATCAAGCTGATGCAGGATAACAAACGCTTGGAAGAAGACGTGTTCGATGGCCTGGTTCGCGGTTTGAAGATCCCAGCCCCAAGTCTGACGAACCCTTCTGCTGTTAAGGAAATTTTATTCCCAGCCAACCTTATCAGCCTTATCACCAACGAGATGTGGAAATATGGTCTGATACAAGAGAGCGAGAGATTCCTAGCAAATGTTATGCAGACTATACAAACACATGTTATGGTAAGATGGTTGTTTCAGAATATACTGTCCGCTGACAGTGTTTTGCAGTCGTTTGCTGGCGAAGATGCGATTGTGCCTGGTATCTTCTGGTTGTCGAACGTTCACGAGATGCTATCGTTCATATGCGTGGCAGAGAGTGACATGCTGCAAGGTATCGGACCTGGAGAGGAGAATTCTGTTCGAGATTTCGACTGGAATGACTATGAACGGCTGGTGTCGGTCGTCAAGCATGACCTGGATTCCTTGGAGTATAACATCTATCACACATGGATGTTGGAAACGAAAAAGAAGCTTTCTAAAATGGTCATCCCTGCCCTCATCGAGAGTCAGTCGCTACCAGGTTTCACCACGAGTGATGGTGGAGGCCGTCTTTTTAATCGATTGCTCAGTAGCAATACGCAGCCGGCATTCAGTATGGACGACATTCTTAATTTGTTGAATAAGGTGTGGAAGAGTCTGAAGAGTTACTACATGGAGGAATCTGTGGTGCAGCAGGTTGTTACCGAGCTTCTGAAGCTGATCGGCGTGACGAGTTTCAATGATCTCCTTATGAGAAGGAATTTCTCTTCGTGGAAGAGAGGTCTGTTCGTCATATCCTGCCGTCCTTGTACAAACTGACCCTTCTGCAGCGATGCAAATACAGTACAACATCACCCGGATAGAAGAGTGGTGCAAATCTCATGACATGCCAGAAGGGACGTTGCAGCTGGAGCATTTGATGCAGGCCACCAAACTGCTGCAGTTGAAAAAGGTACGGTCATTACCAGCCTTTACAATAGTGCGCTCATCTTATTGACCATTTCTAGGCCACCGCGGCCGACATAGAAATTATCTATGACGTATGTTGGATGCTGAGTCCCATGCAAATTCAACGGATGTGCACGAACTATTACGTTGCTGATTATGAGGTTAGTCGCTTCTCTGCTTGTCGGTGACTCGCTCATCACCCAATAATTCTCATATAGAGCCCGATCTCGCCCGAAATACTACGGGTGGTAGCATCGCGAGTCCAAGCTAATGACCGAAATGACCACCTTCTTCTGTCACCAGAGACAGAAGAAGTAGGACCATACGAGCTCCCGCTTCCTCGCGAAGTGTCTGGTTTGGAAACTTATGTCCCAGCATACTTGAACGTTTCCCATCTGCGGCGTCTAGCGGCATTAGTTTCATAGTACGGTTGTCATGGATGGTTATCTACCCGTAATTCGTGTACCTTCGCTTTGTTGGACTCCGACCTTTCTCGCACTGCTGTATTAATTAAGGTTGTCATGTTTTTGGAACTATTGTAGATTTTTTTATTGCATGCTAGTGTTGGACGTGAAGTAAACGCGCCCGACCAATGCGACTATTTGTGAATATTACAATACAACAGTGGAATGCTACAAATCCGAAATATACAAAGTCACAGGAGACGGAAAAATATGAACGTGCACGTACCACGATTTCGCTCGGTGGAAGAGCGAGGGGCGAGTAAGTATTGTCTTCTATAGCGTTGATGGCTCTAACGTCATGGAAGCTTCTCAGATACAAACCCGCGGGATGAGACCAAGTGTCAGACGAGAATAAGCTTTCTACTCTGTATTACAAGACCCAACCGAAGAGCATGAGAAAAAGTGTGATACCAAATGTTTCCCACTTGGCCTTGGTTGTCAGTGGTGCCTTATTTCCATATCGGTGCGGTTTCTTCGTGATGACATTCTCTCCATGTATACAAATCTGGCCGGTAACTGTCGACGGCATCAAGACCTGCCCGTAAAAACGTTATGCAGTCAGCGAAGATGAAGAAGTTAATGTACTCACCTTCGGCGACCCATCGCTGCTGGACATTGTCATGGTCCCATCGGAAGGCACGACATATTGGCTGCACGTCAATACGTCAACAATTGCTTGATTTGCATTAAGTACTCCGGTGGTATTCCATGTTACTATGGCCGATTGTCCAACGTTGGTTAACAGGGTCAGTAGAGGAGGCTTGGATAGCTGTGTTGCTTTCTTGAGGAATGAATGTCATCTTGAAAGTTTTAGCTAATGACTCGTCTAAAGGAAAGAGCATGCATGGAACGCACAGGTGTGGTCAGAAAGCCGCTATTGAAAAGATATTGCTGATTTGCGAGCAGCATTCAATGTTTTGACATGGGACACGAGGGTCTTATTCGCTGTTGCGTATCCTGACAGCCAAAGACTGGTAAGAGATGACTGCTATAACCGTATGTTGAAAAGATATAGAAAAAATACACACGCTTCGCGATTGTCAGGGTCTTCGGCGCCCTGATAACCTTGCTCTTGTCCTACAAAATGACCTGATGAGAAAGGTGTATTTCCAGGGTGATGTGAAGCTCGCATAGTATAGGATCGGAATTCCGTCTGTAACAAATGACCAAGTCATTTACGTTTTTAACTAGCTGCGAAAGAATGTGCGAGTCTTCTAGTGTTTTAGTACCAGTTAGAAGCTAACCGCAAGGTCCCTAGTTTTTGGCTGGAATCTCGGTACGTCGTGGTTTTCAAGAAAAGAGCCTGTCATGAAAGTGCCGTACTTGTAGGACTCTTGGGACGCAGTTGCAACATCTAAGAGAGCAGAAAGGTTGCCTTGTATAGACGAAAATTCGGCAATGAGGGCGAAGAATGTGGGGTAGTCGAGAACACTATCTATGATCTCTGCTTTCGTTAGCTTCCAAGACGAGGACCGGCATTTAAAGGTTTACTTGTGTAATCTTTTACGAGGCTGACGTTTTTATCATAGACCTAATGGTAAAAGAAGATAAAGGTGTCTATAAAGGTAAGAAGAGGGAGTAGCTAACCTCTCCAATTGAAAATACTCCAACCGCCTTGGTGAAGCCTGGCCAAAAGTCTTTTCGAATGTGCTTGACGGTATCAATGCGGATACCATTGATGTGGTAGTCCTGGACTAATGAGGAAATCCAATCGTTCATTGTGGTAACAACCTTAGGATCTTCAGTGTCGAGGTCGATCAACGCAAGGATCTTGTCTCCCAACCAACATTGCTCCGCTTGAGTCTGATTGCTATAGTCTTCGATCCAACAGAGCGGATGGAAATCGGAAGACGAAGGAAAGGGAGAGAGGTTGAAATCATTGATACTCGAAATGTTTGTACCCATATGAGAAGGAATACCTGCAAAGCTACGGAGCCTATTAGAGGAAAGATACATTTGGAAGAGAAAAAAAGTGGGTTACCGGTTGACGACCACGCCCACCATGAGATATATGCCGCGAGCATGTATGACAGAAGAGAGGCTCCTCAAGTCGTCTGGCGTGCCAAAGTGATGATTCAAGCTTGAAATATTCTCGGTCCAATATCTTGGGGATAAGTCAGACCGGAGACTTCTCCAAGGCTAATCACGTACCCATGGCATGTCTCTCCATAGGATGTTTGGTAATCAATGTTCGCTACGATGGGCGATATCCAAATAGCATCGAAGCCCATATTTGGAATGTAATCGAGATGCTCCGTGATGCTCATCCAGGAGCTGCCGCACAATTTACGAGACGTGGAATTGTAAGGAGCCCCAGCGCTGTTTCTCATGGCGAACCGATATGTCAAGACCTTGGTCGCCGTCCGTTAGCACGCTCTGGAAGAGAATTTGACGAGACCTACCTGGCAGATGGATCTCGCCTGCCATTGGTCCACAGAGGCACAGAGGCAGACATAAATGCAGGAGAAAAGAGTCAAAGCGTGAGGTATCGCACCATGGAGGTCGAAGAGAGAGTGCAGTTGCCGCCCTTCATTCTCCGTCACGTCATTGCTAGAAGCGCGCCACTGGTTCCGCGTCCAAGGCACGTGATCCTATATTTCATGTAATCAGTTTAGGGCAGGTCGAGTCGTGCAGGGGTCTACGCGCCTGGCTCTTCTTTCTTACTACTACTTTCCGCAATGTCGTTGAGCCCCACCCCGTCTTCCTCGCCTCCATTTATGTCTGAAGCAGCTCCAAGTACGGCGCCTTCGACTCCACCTCCCAATGAGGCAGAGGATGGCGACGTGAGTGCATTCAGTTGCCGAGCCGCATTCGTAGATACTCATCTTCGAATTAGACATCAGTGAAGCCAATACCCCTGGAGGACGCAGAAACAGCCAAGAAATATTCGGAGCTCAATCGCGTTTTGCAAAAATCTGCCATGTATTCAAAAATTCTGCACGAACGGCTACTTGAGACCAAGGCGGCGCAGAAGAAGATCGCTGATGAGAAGACAGAACGGAGGAATGCTACTGCGAAGAAAGGAAGGAAGAGGTTACGTGTCGATGGGAACGACGACGGTGTACGTGCGAAAAAGATGAAAATGGACAATGGTAGTGCTGAGGCATCTGAGGTGGACGACGAGACAGTCCTCTTCCCTCAGCCATCACTCATCACCGGTGCGAAACTGAAGACTTACCAGCTAGAAGGTCTTCACTGGATGGTGTCGTTGCACCAGAACGGGATTTCTGGTATTCTTGGTGTGTGGCGGGTGTGCTTGATCTTGTTACTAGCATAGGCTAACGAACCCTCTTCTAGCCGATGAGATGGGCCTCGGAAAGGTCTATTTCCCTTATTCTTATAGGAATCCTGCTAAACTTCTTATCAGACCCTCCAAACGATTGCATTCAGTGCTTACCTGAGGGAGAGCGAAGTGTCTCAGGCATTTCTTGTCGTCTGTCCACTCAGTGTATTGCACAATTGGGTGGAGGAGTATGCCAAGTTCGCACCCGAGGTATGTGGGCCTCTCCTTGAAAAAAAGACACTGCTAAGTCATTGTTGTAGATTCCTGTATGCATGTACCATGGAACGCCTGAAGAACGAGCTGACTTGAGGAACACTGTCCTGGCTACCATTCCTCGCTCTAAACAAGCTAATTTCGTTTCAAAGACAACGTCCGCCGACAAAATCAAACTGAAAATCAAGGCTAAGAAAAGTCGAGGTCGTAAAGTCAAGTCCGTCGCCGATGAAGAGGAAGAAGCCTCTTTACCTCCGCCCTTCCCTGTTGTCATCACCACTTACGAGATGATCATGAAGGACCGCGTTCACCTTGCGGACTACAATTGGGGCTACATCGTTGTAGACGAGGGTCACCGGCTGAAGAATCTCAACAGCAAGCTCATGCGTGAGATCAAGAAATACAACAACGCCAGTCGGATGATACTGACGGGGACACCTTTACATGTACGTCGTCTTCGGTTATGGTGATTCCATGAACTCATAAGGGTATTGAAGAATAACCTCTCAGAGCTTTGGGCACTCTTAAACTTTGTCCTTCCCGAAATATTCACGAACGTCGACGATTTTGAGGAATGGTAGGAAGACTTTCTATCACCAGCATCTTGATGTGCTGATTCGTACTCAGGTTCAATTTGCCGACGATGCAAACAACGCTTGGCTCTGAACGCTCGTCGGAAATCATTGATGCCCTTCATGCCATTTTGAAGCCATTCCTGCTTCGCCGACTCAAGGCCGATGTAGAGACAAATTTGCCGCCGAAGAAGGAATATGTCCTGTATGCGCCGTTGAGTGCCACTCAACGCGAAACATATAACAAAGTTCTGGACGGTAGCCTTCGCGCGTATCTGATCGGGCGCGAGGTTGCGAAGAAAAAATCTGTCCCGGCGGTGGACCCTGATGAACCGAGACAACTACGGAAAAAGAAAGGCGGCAGGAAAAGTTATTCAGTCGACGGGGATGACGATAATTACTTGGCTATGCTTGAACATGGAGAAGTTGACGAGAGAGGTGTTAAAGTCCAGGAACAGTCTCATAATATAGAAGCTTTGAGCAAAGAGCATCAGCTGCGGGTTGCCGGTGGGTCTTTTGTCCCTCACTCATTGCTGTTGATATTGATACATCGCCAGCAAAACACGTCAATAATATGAGACTGCAAAATACCGTTATGCAATTGCGCAAAGTTTGCTCCCACCCCTTCCTTTTCGAATGGCCTTTGGATGCCCAGACGCATCAGCCTGCACTAGATAATAGAGTCGTAGACACAAGCGGCAAGATGATGGTTCTCGATCGGCTGCTCGATGAGCTCTTTAGAAGAAAACACAAAGTTCTGCTATTCAGCCAGTTCACGACGATGCTAGACATTATAGATGTAAGTTATACGGGTTTTAGTTGTGCCCTTCTGATATAGCTATGTAGGATTGGGCGCGTGAAATGAAGGGTTGGAATATCTGTCGCATCGACGGGTCAACAGCCCCAATGGACCGTCGTGAGCAGATGAACTTGTTCCAGAATGGTGGGAACGTGCCTGGTACGCCTCACCTGTTCCTCCTTAGCACGCGTGCGGGAGGATTGGGTATTAATCTTACTGCTGCGGATACGGTTATCTTCTATGATCAAGACTGGGTACGCTGTGTCCACTTAGCGTATTGTAGACACTAAGGTCGCTGTTCTTTAGAACCCACAGATGGATGCCCAGGCTCAAGACAGAGCGCATCGGATAGGACAGACGAAGCCTGTTCTGATATTCCGGATTGTTACGGCACACACTATCGAAACGAAGATCATGGAAAGGGCTACTGAGAAGAAGAAGCTTGAAGCTTTGGTCATTGCGAAGGGTAGGCTCTTTCAGTTTTTGGTATTTACGTTCTCATTTTTGTCGATAGGCAAGTTTCAGGCGCCTACTACTGCTGCCCGTCGAGGCAGGCCTGAAACGATGGCCGAGATGGCCGCGTCGCTTCTCAGGCTTGAGGGCGAGAAAATTGATGTCGTCCCTGAGACGGTGGAGGGCAAGGCCAATGTTATCAGCGATCTTGACCTCGACGCCCTGCTGGATCGCTCGCCGAAGGTATTCGCTGATAGAGGACAAGGTTGGACTCAGGAGAAGGAAGGTAAGAAAGCGGCATTTGCAGTTTATGAGGCTCCACAGAACGAAGGGAACGATGCACTGGCGAAGATGCTTAGCGAGGATATAGAGTAGATTTGACGTTTTTGTTTCGTTTCTGAGTAAATAAAAGTTAAAATAAACAGCGACGAGCATGTGATCAGCACGTGAGAAAACAAGCTCATCGTTAGACACGTTCTACTACTAGCCGTCACGGTCAATATTCGCTACCAAGGCTTCCGTCATGGTCCTGCTTCGTTTTGCTCCATCTCCAACAGGTCCCTTGCACCTCGGAGGCCTACGTATGGCCCTCTACAATCACCTTTTTGCGAGGAAGCACGGCGGTAAATGGATTTTGAGGATCGAGGACACGGATGCTGTGAGCTCAGTTTTTTCACTGTCGAGGAGTTCAATGCCTTATATCGCGACAGTCTCGACTTGTTCCAGGGTCAGTGGAAGGGATACAAAAGGCGCTGGACTGGGCTGGACTGGAATATGACTATGGTCCCGACAGGGATTCCCGCTATGGCCCTTATTTTCAGACGGAGCGGCTTGAACTGTACCGCTCTTACGCCAAAAAACTGCTTGAGGTAGGAATTCTACTGGTATGTATATATTTCCCTAATCCTATTCAAGTCTGGCCATGCCTATCGCTGTTTTTGCTCTGCGGATAAATTGGCTTCCATAAGGGAAAGACTGGCTCGTGCTGGCTCGAATTCAACATACGACAAATCCTGCGTCCACATCACTGACGAAGAATCGGCGCGAAAAGCTCGTGCAGGCGAAAAATTTGTTATCAGGCTCAATGTTGGTCGTTCTTGTAGATTCCAGTCAGCATGTCGTGCAGACACCTCTTCGTACAGGACAGTCATCCCCCTTCCAGGCCACCAGCAGTCGACTTGGTATTTGGTCATCTCAAAGATGCTCATGCGTCTTTATCCACCGATTCCGTTCTCCTCAAGTCTGACTCTTTTCCTACATATCATCTGGCTTCTGTCGTAGACGACCACGAGATGAAGATCACGCATGTTCTTCGTGGGGAGGTCAAGACATTGTTTTTGACGTCGTGCAGTTTCTGAACTTTTGGTGTAGGAATGGATTACCTCTTTCCCTTTACACCTCGATCTCTATGCTCACCTTGGCCTCTCACCACCTAAATTTGCTCATATTCCCATTCTCCTCAACTCTGACGGCACCAAAATGTCCAAACGAAAGGGGGATGTTCAAGTCGTCGATTACATGGTACGAATGATCTCTTCAAATACCCATAATTTAACAAGTACTCCATAGAGGCGCGGATGGGAACCTGCTGCCGTGCTCAACTGGCTTGCTCTCGCGGGGTGGGGCGTGACTCACGAAGAGACTTCACCCGATTCCACATCACGAACACACGTCAAAGACGCGCCTGATAGTACTGCCGTAATGTCTTTACCGGAGCTCGTCGAATCAGTGCGTTCTTTTTTTTTAACCCAAATATTCCGCCAACAAGATTTTTGGTTTCCAGTTTGATATCTCCGTTCTCACTCAGCGCAGCTCGGGACTGGATGTCTCAAAATTGGAGTACATTAACAAACACCACCTTGCCTTGACCTGGGCAACTGAAGAAGGCATGGATACTCTTGCCGAGCGCGCACATATCCATGTGAAGGAAGCATTCCCACACAGGTAAGCTCTAGATACATAACTGCTGCAGATGTGTATGAAGCTGATATCAACTCTAGTCAGTATACTACAATCGATAACATCATAAAAACCATACGAGCACTGGAAGCAAGTCATGGGTTCCATTTCTCTTCCCTTTTCTGACCTCTGGCATTCACAGGGTAGATTGACGAATATTCAAGACATTCCTCGCCATGCGCCGTTCCTGTTTGTAGAACCTGATTTGACTTCCGACGAGGCGCAGAGTATGTTTGCTGTAATGCCGGATGTTCAGGGTAAGTCATGCATCTAGAAGGTGTCTGTCCTCGTTCACGACTCGACATAGATCGGTCTAGGATGCTCCAGATGCTAAGGGATGTTGTTGATACTCAGGTCAACGATTGGAGATCGGACGTTGTCTTCAGTATATTCCAGGAACAGCTGCAGGCGGCTGGCTTACCCCGCAAGATTTTCCTAAAAGTCCTCCGCGCTTATCTGACTGGGATGAAGGTAAAGTTATTCTGCCCTTAAACAATGAATCCTCTCACGAGTCCATAGGATGGTCCGCCTCTTGCTGATATTCTCACCGTTTTGGGTCCTGAAAGAACAAGAGCGCGCTTAAGTCCAAGCAGAGTGTAAAATCAATCATGTACAAAGTAGTACAGCATTTTCTCAAATGTGAGAAATATTAGTTACAAATTAGATATCAAAGCGTCTCCCAACCTCCTGAGTCCAAGGTACTTTCCAGCTTTCGCGCAATAACAGTCGGAATGCCTTGGTTGAGCCACGTCTTCCGTACTTCTTCCCATCGTGCATGATGCAGATACTGCCTACGTCCACGTCTGAAAAGGGATAGTCAGTAGGTCCACAAGCTGGCAAAGATAGGTGGCCTACCGCATCGATATGTCAATTTCACCATGAACATCCAGATAAGGGGACTGTGAGAACGTTCCGTTATTCGCATACAGATACAATAGAGAGCATCGTTTGACAAGGAAATATATTCCAATCGCCCCACCGCATCTAGGGGGATACTCAATTGTCAAGAACATCATGTAGGTGCAGACAGACTTACTCTCGAGTATGCATGTTGCATTCCCCATGACCTTCACCAGACTCATTGTCCATGCAACAGTGACTCTGCATGCAACAAGTGACACCACAGAGCAAACATATCGCGGCATCGATAGGCACCGTCTTGCATTTTGTACAGGTCAACGTTTTTTCTCGGTCGGCAAATAAGTTATCAAGCACAAGTGGAAGTCGTGCAAGACGATATATAGTCGGAGTATCCAAGAGAACTCCAAAGTTCAAGGGTGATGCGGCATGCGAGTGACCATAATGTGCGCACCAGCCTGATAATGCGTTCTGCAGCGTGTCCTGATTTGGAAGATCAGAAAGTGCAGGAATTCCAAGCATGGCGAGAAGTCTGTTGTACTCGCTTTGGCTGGCATCAATACCGTCGGGAGTGGGGAATGCGGAAGGAAGAACTGAACGACACAAGATGGTGGCTTTTCGGAGGAAGGGAAGCGTGAATGAATACATCAGTTTCTCTATACGGGCCTCTCCGAAAGTCTCGAAGGCTAGGGTCGCTGTGTGTTCGAACACAGGGGAATGCCGCACGACAGACATGAAGAACATACGAATGTCGCCAAATATATCATTGTGCATTCGTTGGATAGGTGGCGTCGAGTTATAGCTTCGCATTTTGTTTAGTACGAATACTAAACCGATGACTGTCCGGGCTAAACAAGCGTAGTACGTCAATACCAGAAGGTGCGGTAGCATATCTGGAGCAACTGCGGCGGTCTCGATGAGAAGAGTGAAGGGATCTCGGAGGAGTAATGGATATGAGAATGATGTGAGCGAACTACGGCTCCATTCGGGTAGTAACCGTTTGATAATAGCTTGCCGTACAGAGTCTCGTCCTTCATCAGGTCGACCTTTGTAGTGAAGTGCTGAAAGCCTGGTCAGACACGTCAGAAGCCCTCTGATCATCCGCATCTGAGCCTCCGACAAGTTGTCCACCATGAACCCAGTTGGTGGCTCCATGCCTCGCTGAGAAATTTCCATGGCTGCAATGGTATAACCAACGAGCTCTTCGGGAAGGTACAGGCCGGCTCCTCGCTCGGACGATTCTGGTTCAGGACGGTCCCGGAGGTGTCTGGTCTGTTGGGAAACTGACTTGGACACTATCATCACTGTATCCACCATTTTGAACGAATCAGAGCCCTCTGCCTTCTCCATACTCCGTAGAGTAGTCGTGTATACTGGATCCTGAGCACTCCAAAATACAAATTCACCTGTTCCTGTTCGGAATTGGAGAGAATTTGTGACCGGGTCAGGGCGTGACTTCAGAATGTTAATTCCGGCTGCACGTATCCAGTCGGGGAAAGGTGTGGTGTTTAAGGGGATTGTCAGAGGGGCTGATACAGGAATAATAACATTTCCTAAGCTTTTGCATAACGGACATATGAATTCTTTTCGAGGAATGCTCTCGGGATGGCTGCGGGTAGCTTGGGCCCTGTGTCGCTGCCTAATTGACACGCTGTAGATGTGGAAGCAATCTAAATGCATCATGTGGCTACACACTGATGCGTTCATGCCAAAGCGAGTGTACTGAGCTGGGAACCCTTCAAATTTGGATGATAAACCTGCTTTAGCATCATTGATCTCGGCGTCGCGAGGCGGGAAAGTGTTGTTGAACTGGGGAATGGATCGGTCCAGTGAAATAGGCGTCTGTAAGGCTTCTTTGAGAAATGTGTTGTTAAAGCCATCGGGTTGGCGTCGAATGAATCGACTTGGCTGCAGCATTCCCAGCATCCCGAATAGGCGAGAAGAGTGCACGCTAAGATCCTCTTGGCAAACGATACAAGTCCCGTAGGAAACTTGTTGTTCCTCAGCATCTTCCATGATTTCATCTTCATCGTCGTCAATGTCATCAAAGTTAGTCGCGAAACTAGCTTGCTGGGCTTTCATTTGCTTCATGATAGCTTCTTGCCTTGCTTTCGCAGCGCGTTTCCTAGCGTTTTCTACATCAGATGTGGCAGGAAGTGTTATGTCGGGAATGTGTCTGCGACTGTGGACTTCTTGTGGAACATGGAGAGTTATGCGGTTCAAGATCCACCCAACTCGAGCCTCATACACCTTGAATTTGTCGTGGTATTCGAGAGCGCAAAGAACATCGATCAAAGTCTTGCTTTCAAATGTCTTTACGACTGAAAGATTGCTGAAGATGACTGCGCGCTCCACCAGTGCCAACATGATGAGGTGTAGGATCTGGTCAAGGATAGCTTCTGCAGAGGGCGGGGCGGATCCAGATTCATCTGTTGCAGCAAGGACATTATGAATTGAGTAGAAGATCACTTGTAACAACGCCTCGGACTCGAATGTCGATGAGATGATAGAAAATGGTCCTGTTGCCACTTGCATTGGTTTGGGAACGAGGACAGGTTCAGATTGTCCTGTTTTCCGTAAGCGGTTGAGAAGAATGGACTCCACCTCTTCCCGTTTGTTGCGCGTGTAATGATAGAAAAACGGATTAACTTCATCGTACATGTCATCCTTCAACTCATAGACGCCGCAGTCCGTCGTGGACTCGGGGGAACGGAAGACTGCGACCTCCGTCAATACCTTTTCGAAATTGATATCCTCGACCAGGCGTTCCGCGACCCTCTTCACCAGGTCGGTATACGAACATGGTCCAAGGGCTAAAGCATGGATGATTTCACGGCGTATTTGGCTTGGAACGGGCAATCGGCCAGCACTTGCGCTCTCGCTGAGGATAGTTATGAAGATATACAATACCTCTTCGACCATGCTGGATAACTGAGCGCCTTCATACACGGAGTGCAGAGAGGCTCCGGAGAAGTAGCCCACGAGCCTGAACCGGTCCAAGATTGTGACGATGACGGTGTTAGGGTCTAGAACGGCAAGCGCGACCTGAAGAATGAAGATATCCTGATCATAGCAAAGCTCCCTCAGCATGAAATCACGGTAATGAAGAAGTTGTCCTCGAATGGCAAAGCCATTTCGAACCCAAAGACCGGTACGAATCTGTGCAATCATAGCAAGAACTGGAAAAATAATTAAGACTTGAAGCTTGAACACCCAGTCTTAAACTTACCTCTCAGAGGGAAGTCGATCACGGTCAAGATGGCTTGCTCGCTCGCATGCCGCAAGAGGATATCACGAACCCCTGTCATCCCAACATCACGTAAATGATCTTCTGTCAACAGATCCACATGCTTGAAGAGCTCAGCAAGTAACCAATGGAGAGAATGATGAAAACTCGTCCATCCTTCCAGCACATCGAACTGTATGACATTGTAAACAGCGTTCCCAAAGAATACCTCGTGGAATGCGATGGGAGAATACTTTGTTCTATCGAGTCTGTCCTCCGCAAGCGTACACACCATCAAAATATGATGAACTATCGTTGAGATTGCCGAAGCAAGTTCGGCGGTAGTAGCCTTGGCGAACGCTTCGCCATAGACCTTGATAACACGGGACAGCGACAAAGTCACATTGAAAACGCTAATCCATGCGTCTGTCTCATACTCAACATGATTGGTTGCGGCTCGTTTGTTTGGATTGATGCACATGAAGAGCTGGCATGTTTTGGCAAATTGCACGATAAATTCGCGGTTATGAGCGATCATTCTTTGCACAGGTTCATTATGGCAAAGATAGCGAAGGTCACTGAAGACGGGCATGAAGCGCTTGGATTTGAAGGGAAAAGTATCGACGTCTATGCTTGTTATGAGCATAGGGGGATAGATGATATGTTTCTCAGTTATCTGGTTTGTGAAGAAAGCTGTGATGATGGCCAGAAGTCGGGAGACAAGCTTGTAGTTACGGACGATATGGGCGGCAACGGAAGGTGTCGTGAAAAGCTGAAGAGCAAAGTATTTGATCGACGTCTCCGCTTCATGATCAACAAGGAGGTATGCATCGATGACGCGATGGTACACACTTGCAAAGTGTCCAGCTGGAATAGTCTGTTAGCGCCTCGTGAACGGAAGATAAACATGATGACAATTACCAATTGCAAGCTTGTGAATGTGGCTGAGGATAAGGACGGAAGTGTAGATCTCCTTCAAGCTCAGGCGAGGCTTCTTCCAGAGCCTAGCGTGATAGAGGAACAGTATATCAAGCCTGGTAGGGACGGCAGAAACGTCAGGGAGGGAATGTAGAGCATGAGGGTTTGATGCGCAAGTTGTCCTTCGACGCGAGAGTAATTCCTCGGATATGATTTCACGCAATATGACAGTATCGCTTCCAAGGCGACTGTGTGTGAGGTCTAATAGCCATTCTATGATGACGGAGACGACCTGTTCGCGGAATGTATCATAGGCTCTCCGGACTGTCACTCCCAAATCAATTATGGTCAGAGACTGAGCTGTGTCGAGAAGTCGCTGTGTGTTGGAGCTCATTTCGATTATCTCCCGGCCATTTTCGTCGATTCTCTGGGTGATTTCAGAGGCCTCATCGCGGGAGCAATTTGTCTTGTCGCAGAGAAGTTTGATGACTTCGTCAAAAGAGTGCTTTTCGTCGTTCCAGAGGACGATACAGAACTGATCCTTTGACATGGGATCGGCAGAAGGTTGGATACGGAGATCTGCCTCATTGGCAGGGACAGAAGGCTCGTCGGGAGAGAAATCCAGGGTGTCAAGAATGAAGTCGAGGGCATAGCCTACTGTCCTGCTCATGGTCTCACGAAGATCGGGAGGTACGAAGACACGGTCAGGAAAGTTTTTAACAGTAGGGATAGAATCCTGCAGGGATTTTGAGCTGACTTTGGGGGTGGAAAGGCCGGACATTTCATCATCATCGGATATGAGTAGTGGATGGTAAGGACAGCCTATGGGTGTTCTCCATGCCTCCTCATCGCCGCAGTCACAGCATCCACCGGATTGTTGGGCGATGAAGAAGCTGACATTGTGTCCAGTGTGGTTTGTCGCATGAAAACACCGGGGACAAAGGACGCAGCTGTCGTCGAGAGCGCAGTCCCTAGAGTAATGCAAATGAATGTAGTGAGAGACTGAGTGAAACTGGCTACGTACTTGCATCGAAAACAGCTCTCTCCCTTCTTGAGAATGTGGCCACAAGGCCTCCCTGGCAGTACAGGTGCCTCTTTCCCAGCGCCGGAGAATCCCAAGGATGACTGTACTTGACTGAGGGTGGCATGCAGTGGCAGACTTGAATTTGAATTTGGCAGAAAGAGGTGTGCGTACGAGCCCCAGAACGCGTCGTAGAGCTCTGAGAGAATCTCTGCACGAGTCGCTGCTGTGAAGAGGTATTTCCTGGAGCCAGGCATTGTTTCGAGGACGAAGCGAAGGTGTGATAAAGGGTCGGCGGGGCGGTCGCGCGAGTTGATGGATGGTAGAAATTTGGAAAGGGAAGATAACGCGGACATGTCAGCCGAGCCAAACAAAGGGCTGAGGAAGTAGTGGTGGTGGTGGTGAGGAGGAGGAGGAGGAGGAGGAGGCTATTTGTTGTGCATGGTGATTCCAAACAGTGGTTCGACGCGGGTTCAAAGTATATTACTTGTTTAGGTGTTTAGGCTATTCATTTAGAATTGGTAGCAGTACAGCAATGTAGTATAAAATCGTATAAATCCATCTAATAGATATTAATATTATTATTCCTCTGAGGTGGCCCCGGCTTGTAATTGGAATTTTGGCATGATCCGGCCTGCCCTTTACGTAAAGCCTATCACATGTGCGGCATTTGTACTTTGTAGCGTAGTACACTGGCGCCTACTTGTTCGTCTTGCCTTCATCTCTTCTCTGTGCCAATTTTTAGGGCGCCCCAACAAGCAAGGACTCGCGAGGACTCTAGGATCGGAAACGGGACGCGGTTAAGCCCAGTAACGGCAGTTTGCAATTGCTTATCTCGAAGAAAAAAGTGTTATCTCTGGTCGTGATATAATGTCTCACGGCTCCTATTCGTCTGCAGCTTCCATCATGACCGAAGATGAAGAGGACTGGGAAGAGTATGTCAAGGGCGGCTACCATCCAGTCAAAATCGGGGACACCTTTTCGGACGGAAGATATGTGGTCGTACGCAAGCTTGGCTGGGGCCATTTTTCTACCGTATGGCTTGCAAAAGATATCAAGTATGTCTTCTCCTTCATTCCTTACTCAGCTGCTTAACATCCTAGAATGGACCGCCATGTCGCCTTGAAGGTCGTCAAGTCGGCTCCTCGGTACACAGAGACAGCTCTTGATGAAATCAAACTTCTCCAGCGCCTCATCACTTCCTCGACGCCCCCCGTAATCCCGACCACCTCAAATCTCAATCCACCCCAATCTCCATCTCAGACCCATCCCGGTCGTTCTCATGTAATGTCCTTTCTTGACCATTTCCGGCACAAGGGTCCCAACGGCACCCATGTATGCATGGTATTTGAGGTCCTGGGCGAAAATCTCCTTGGCCTCATCAAGCGGCATCAGAACAAGGGTGTCCCTATGCATCTTGTCAAGCAGATCGCCAAGCAAGTCCTTCTCGGTTTGGATTACATGCATCGTTGTTGCGGCGTCATCCACACAGGTTGGTTTCCGTTTTCTCCCTACCACATTTTACCCTGAATGTTGTCTAGACCTTAAACCGGAAAACGTCCTCATCTGCATCGACGACGTCGAGTCTATTATACAAGCCGAACTTGCTGCATCCTCTTCGAGTGCCTCTTCCCCCCCCACCAAGCTTGTCGGCGTACCCGCTTCCAAGGGCCGCGGTGGAAACCAGACGCCTAGATCCGAGAGCATCTATATTACCGGGTCCCAGCCCCTCCCCAGCCCGTCCTCATCCTATGGCAGTAGTCCTATGCTTGATAAATGGTCCTTTGGCATGAGTAAGATTGAAGGTGAAGAGCTAGACAAGAAGCGCGCCGACTCGACCGATCTCGCCGCAGAGGTTGGTAACGTTTCGCTAGAGAACGGTTTTGGCGAAAAGGTTATTCCCCATCCAGCAAAGACAGCCCCTTCGCTTCTATCTCAACAGGCCCCTCAATCCGTCACTTCCTCCTCCTTACGACCATCAGAGTCATTGCCAACGCTCCATAACTCTAGAGAGGACCCTGTATACGATGGCCACGAGAAGATTACCGTCAAAATTGCCGATCTGGGTAATGGTTCGTATCGTGCTTCTCCTTCTGTGTTCTCGTTTAATTCTTTTCCAATAGCCACTTGGACGGAACACCACTTTACAGATGACATACAGACGCGTCAATACCGGTGTCCTGAGGTCATTTTAGGCGCAAAGTGGGGGGTCAGTGCTGACATATGGAGTGTCGCATGTGTGGTGAGTATGCTTATTTGTTTCTAATTTCTTTCCTCTTATCGTGTCGCAGATATTTGAGCTGATAACAGGCGGCGACTATCTCTTTGACCCGGCCGCGGGATCACGGTATAGTAAAGACGACGATCACATTGCACAAATAATGGAATTGATGGGCGAAATACCCAAGAGCGTCGCGCTCACGGGGAAATATTCCTCTGAATTCTTTAATAGGAAAGGGGAGCTACGCCATATCAACAAACTACGGTATTGGCCTCTTGAGGCTGTGCTACACGACAAGTACCTATTTCCGAAACCAGAGGCAGACGCATTAGCGTCCTTCCTCACACCTATGCTGCGTCTCCATCCGGAGAAACGTGCCAAGGCCGGAGATCTGATATACCATAATTGGCTGGAGGGTGTTGTTGTCCAGGGTGAGAGGGACGTGATACGGCGGGCAGAGGAGGAGGAACGGGAGAAGAAGGAGAAGAGGGACAATCGGGAGGTCGACGCGATGAAGCCTGTAGAAGAGGTCGAATTGGCGACGACCGTTGAGGAAGCCAAGCCGCCACCTCTTTCTTCTCATCATCAAACACCCGTTCTGGCGCCTGCGCCGGTACCGCACGCCCAGCGAAAGAGCTAATTGTATCTTTATCGATTTGTGGTGTACGCTAGACGTTATTTAATGCATCGAGTAAAGAAAGGGCCGTTAATATGGGAAGGCACAAGAGTTGCTACTGTTGCCTGTAGGTTAGCCTCCAAAAGTGGGAGGGTCAACATTCTTGAATTAAGTGAAAGGATATTTTACTAGTATCGGCCTTCCAAGTACCTGTATTATTTTGACCATAAGTTGATTAAAGTTGAACTCAATATATACTAGCAAAATCTATTCCAGAACCTATGATACACTGTAAGCATCCACATTATTGGAATCTGCGAGAATTCGAGCAATCCGGCATTTCGGCATGTTGAGTAAGAAATTGATTCAATAGAAATTACTAGAATAAGTGTAGTTTAGTATAAACATATGAAGTCAACTCTTTTTAGGAGTTTGTAACCCAAAGACTAAAGGTCTACTAGCATTCGGATATAGTCCAATCTCAGCACATGTGTATCAGACCTCTAAAAATTTATATTATCTACAAGATATTCCTGAAGTACAAGAGTTATAGTAAGAGAATACTATTGGTAAGTTAAGGCCTTAGTATTTGATGGACTAGATTTGGCTATTTTATCTACATTTTCGTCGCAGGGTTTGTCTTTGTCTTGAGCTGGGCCATCGTCTGTCGGATAGCCTGCAAGGAGGTACAACCAACCAAAACCCATGCCGCAGTTTCTAGCCTAAGCCAGTGCTGGGCAGTCAACTGTGTGGTGGCATTCTCGACGCCGTCGTTCCTTAACTGCTCTAGCTAGGACCCATACTTTTTGTTCGGAGGATGCTCTTTGTTAAATTCAGCAGTGTGCATTGTGTTCCAACCGGAGGCCAAGGGTTTGACTCTGGAGGCAATTGATAGTAGGTTGGACAATACGCCGTTCCAGTCTGCACTGAGACACCAGATTGGGAATTTGCGGAACCGGGGCAATTATCCTACCTGGGATGGGGACGAAAGCAATACAACTGCGATTGAAGTGGTAGAAGCCCCCCTTCATGAGGCATAGGATGGATGATGGATGTATTAGTTTGTACTGTCGGGAAGACCCCAAATATAATACCTAGATGTTGTGCCTTCAAGATTCGGCACGCGCGGACTCCCCGCTTCCCAATAGAAGCGGCCAGAGATTGACATCAAATGTTTTGACAGACACTGCACAAAGACGCACATGAATAGAGTAGTCCACTAACTGCAGCGGTAGTTGGTGTAAGCCATAAGAATTTCCATTGATATGCGCTAGTACAACGACAAGGGGGGGAAGTATTAACTGTAGAGGATAACCTAATTCCTATAAACGTCATCAGCATACAGGATTATGGCACGAATACAAGATGAGACGAGAGAATCAGTTGCTCGATGCATATCAACAAGCACTCCCATCCGCCTCCGCTTTGTACACGAGGAGACTTTGGTATGGACGGGGGTGCATTCGTGTCCGCCCATCGATAAATATCATCAAAGGAGACAACATGAAATGGAGAGACATCAAGCTCACCTGGAGGATAGTAGAGGACATGACGAGCACTAAAAAAAGACAGATATCAGTATGCGTCGAGAAAAAAAGGGCGAGATGAAAAGATCAGACAAGGCTGAAACTAGATAAAATTTTCCACAGTTTGTGTTCGGAATGTGGTAAAGGTATGGAATTGATATGGATCATCACTGAGATAAAATGGGAGAATTGCACATACCGCATTGAAAGGGCTAGACGAAAGATGAATTCAGAAATGAGAAAAAATTTTCGCTTTAGAAAACCGGGTCAGTCACGTGCTTTCTGACACAGCCACTTCCCACGCATTATAGCAAAGTTATCAGTGGACACTGGAATACTCAAGGAATAGTCTTGAGTCGACTGCCTACGTTTACATGTTGAGCAATTGTACAGGAAAGGTGAGTTGTACGATATTTTCTCTGGATCTACACGAAGCTTATCTACCGACGCCTATTAGGACCTTTGGGCTTCGCGAAAGGTTTCTTCTCCCCGCTGTCGGGCAGTTCTGACGCGTTAGAAGCACTGTTATCGGAAGTAAGCTTGAGTTCAATCTTCAGATAGTCTTCTGTTATCTCTTTGGGATCAGAGGTCTCGATCCGACGCGCTGCGACAACATCAGGGGGTAAAAGTGTTTTCGCCACCATGTAGATGGGATATGCACTGGTGGAGTATAGCATTCGGTGCTTAATTGGCGATGTTGACGGACACGAGTAGATGAATACTAATTGAAGGAGTAAGTAAAGAGAGTGCCTAAAAAGGTCAATCACCTACTGATGTCGCGACGAGGAGACGAGGAATGCGAGTGCGACCAAGCAAAGAAGGCATAGCCAGGTTCAGAAGTGGGAAGGGCAGACGAAAGGTCCTTTACAGATGCGGAAGTCGAAGATACAAGGGTTAATGTTTCTGTTGGAATGTCAATGTTCTGCGAAAGAGTAAGTGAAAGCAACATAAGAATCAGTTCAACGAACATACCATTAGAACCAATCCGGAACCTTCACCATGCCCCAGAGCTTTAATAGCATCTTCGACTTCGTCGGACCAGTTCAGGCCAACACCATGCCCTATAGGGTTGACTTTGGGGCGATAACTGTGAGCACCAGCTTCGCGTTCCGCAGCGCGCGCATCTGCTATTTCCTGCTCGCGAGTAGAGAGTGGTTGTGGCGCGGTGACATGTCGCCGATGCGCAGCATATGCCTCTGTTAGATCCTCCTTAGAGGTCACGAATATGGAGTCGGTGAAGACCGAGGAACCAAGGGAACGGGTCAAGGAGCGTCGTGATGCGGCGTAGAGCATCTAGATATAACAGTTAGAGCATTTCTGCTGACAAAGTGAAAGAACAGGGACTACCTTGTATCTGACGTTAGTCCCTTCGGGAACAAAGTCAATGACGAGCCATTGGGTAGGGGGCTCATCGAGCCGGACAAGAATATAAGCAGGAACGTCATCCCGTATTATTTCAGAATCCTGTAGCTTGGCCAGATCTTCTGAAAGTGTTCCTTGGACAGGAACAGACAGATCGTGGACAAGCAATTCTAGACAGCCTTTCAGTAGTCATTCAATTCGCGTTGTGGTTATCGCACCATTGTCGATCGAGACTTTGATAAATCTTGTATCTTTGGAATCGACGGCTGCTAAAAACCGGGTAGAAAGATCCTGGGACACACCGATTCCTGAAGTTGCAGACATGATGGCGGTAAATTGGAGGAATTGGAGGGAGGCACAGCAACTTCGGAAAGCGGACCGCCTCGACCGGTGATGATATATATTCCCACGACCTTTTTTCCTTCTCTCCGATCTCATTCTGAGGATAGAATACAAGGGAGTAGAATTGAGATGCTAGCATATTACCGTTTCAGTGCTTCATTTACATCTTTTGATAATTGTTGGAGGAATATTTATTCTGGAGTCTTTCTGCTATTATGGCTAAGGAGGCGGGCTTGGTGGCGGTGAGACCTTTTCTGTACTTTCCTTTTCGAGATCAAGCAGCGTGTTACAATTCTGACATCAACTATCACGCAGCAGCAGTGCTCAGCCTGAGCCTGCGTCGCTGCTGAGGCTCTATCCGGCCCAACTATCAGCGACGGGATAGCCCTCTCAGATACCACTAGTTCCAGGACGTGTCCACTTGACGAAACTTGCCGCCGCCCTCTACCAACATGCAGGATCCAGAGAGTCCACCGCCAAACGTTCCGTATCAGGCATACAGGGTGAGTAGTCGGCCTTTTTGTTGTTTAAGAGGACTACTCACAGCTTTTCAAGTCGAAAAGGCACTCGCGCACTGTCTCAAACTCGCGGCTTACACCCAATGCTTCACCCCCGCCGTCGTTATCAAGACCAACGAGCATCGTAGGTCCACCAGTACATTTGAGCTACGACTCGTGGGAGAAAGAATCTGCCGCAACGTTCGCCTTGAAGACACAGTCGTCGCCAGCTGAGTCAATCGTTGTGCTGGAACCTACCCCGCCTGCGAAGATTAATGGCCTTCCAAGTCCACCCGACTCTCCAAATACCACTGAGCCTCCAGAGACACCAAAGGAAATGTCGTTGATCCCCGAGCCAACAACGACAAGACACGAACACCATTCAGATCACCATGAGACACCCACTTCGACGGCCCCTTCATCACCTACCGCATTATCTTCCGGTAGTCCATCGCGGGCTAGTAAGCCTTTGCCGCGCACCAGTAATGTTCGCAGGGCTTCCACTTTTCGCTACGTCCCCAGAACATCCCGGACACTGGTTGCATCTTCTCCTCTGGGTCCTCAGCATTCTCGCACGGGTTCTGCCACAGCCGCTGTACCCAGCAATCTTCGGCATAGCATGCCCCCGACAGATAACACGTACGCTGCAAGTCGATTCAACCCTCTCCTCTCCCCAGACACTCCCAGTCAGACAACTCCCTCGCCATCTATAATAGCGCCTTTACCTTTGTCCAAAGAAAACAGGCCAAGTTCAGATACCAAACTAATGACTATTACTAACGGCACCACTAATGGAAGTGGAAGCACATTTGTATCATCTCATGCACCATCATTATCCCCTTCACCTCAAGCAGTTACGCCACCAACACGAACAATCTCTCTTCATCCATCTCCATCCGTTTCGCCCGCCCCTAGGACATCGTCATCTGGATCAGTTCGTCATACGCCTTCTAGATCCTCGACGTCCACGCCTCCCCTTGCGACACCCATAACACGATCAACCGCCCCATACCGACCCGGTTTCCAACCGGCAGGTGTTTACAGACCCCGAACAGATGAATTTCTTGCCCTCCGCAAGGTTTCACGGGATGGTATGGAGGAATCAGGTATGCAGAAACGGATAGAACGGACCAAATTGGAACGAAGACTCGAGAAGTTGATTGCGCTTCATTTTCCAGTAGGCGGTCATTCTGCTGGGGAGAAACATTTTCGGCCTGGAGGGAATCGGCGGGCATCATCATTCTTTGATCTGGAACTTGGCCATTTGAAGCGAATGAGTGTATCTGATGCCACCGGACTATGGAAGGGTATATTATCATCTGGAGGAGGTCAAACCGATGTGCGAGGTATGATATCTACTTTTCACACCTTGAGATACCACCTATATTCACTATCAATAGCGGCCGAACAGCGAATAACTCCATGGGAAGAAGATGCTGATGTTAGCAAATGTCCTCTCTGCCGGTAAATTAAGCAGTTTTACCTCTTTTATTTTATCACTACAATTTATGCATTTAGCGCATCATTTCATCCCCTCACAAATCGGAAGCATCACTGTCGCCTCTGTGGGAAGATCATATGTTCTCTGCCTGTGAGATACCCACAACGAGCTGCCCAGTGTTCAACACTATTCGTCGTTGACCCAAAATCACGGAAAATCGAAGAGGTCGGCGAAGGCGTGGACTACGGTGTTAAGAAGAGGCGAATGGGGAACGTAAGCGGTCCCGGAAGCTCAGGGAAAAGGCCAGCTGAAGAACCAGAGGACGACTCGGAGAAATTCCTGAAGGGCGTTAGGATATGCCAGGATTGCCGGCCTATATTATTGTAAGTGTACTGCGAATTCCCTCCATGACACATGTACTCATGGGATTTCTACGAACAGACGACAGCAATATCAGCAGGAAATAATCACCGTTCCTACATTTTCAAAGCTGTATCAAGTCCTTATAGAGCTTGAAAAAGAGCTCGAAGACTGCTTGCCTCAATTTCAAGAACTCATTGTTAGCCTTAAGTGGGTTTTTCCTTATCACGAAAAGTCTGATTGTTCATGGAGTTTTCTTCGTAGTCAAGATGAGCATCCTACGAAGGAGGCAGCCGCAGCACGCAAACGTTTGCTTGATATCTTTGCACAGTATGATGCTGTCGCGAAACGAATACGGAAGCTTCCTTGTACCCCGGGAAGCTCTCAAGATCGTGTTCAGATGGCCGTCACAACACGGGCTAACATATTCCTACAAAAGCATATGTTCCCACTTCAAGTAAGTTAGGATGTCACTTCCTGTCTGATATTTGGTTCACGGGTCCTTCAGTCACTGCCAAAGGCGAAACCCAAACACAAGAAGTCCTCGAGTGCAGTGGAGGAAGCCCCGGTCATTGATCCTGATTCGGAGGTTGCCCACGCGTTACAACCTCTATTGGAGCAAGAAGCACTCTTAGAGTCGTTCGTGGAGGAAGCCAACGCGCATCGGAAGTTTGAGGACGCGAAGGCGCTGAGGATAAGTCTCGGTGAAATTCGCGAGGAGATCGAGCGGATATTAGCGAATGCAGAGAATGGTGCAGTGAAAAGAAAAGGGAAGCACAGTTGACGGGAATCAACACCTGAGTCCTGATGGAGATCTCTAGAAGAAATTTGTGTCTGCTTTCCAATGTTGAGCTATCGACTAACGAGATTTGTGATCCTCATCAAGAGTCCAAGATTGAAATTGGTATTATTGAGGTAAATTACAGATGCCATTTATGCGTAGGTGGCGAACCATCATTAATCACCATGTTCCTATTTGACTCGCTACTTTGAAGTCACATCCCGTCTTGGCCTTCACTTCCTCTAACGTTGCTCCCTTTGCAAGGTCGATGAGCTCGAGGCCACCGTTTGCACGGTCAACGTTGAACACAGCTAGTTCTGTAATAATCTGGCTGACGGTCCTGGCACCGGTCAATGGCAGCGAGCATTCTTTGAGAATCTTGGGGCTTCCATCTTTAGCTGTGTGTTCCATGGTGACAAGAACCTTGGTTTTATCGGGGTTGGAAACGAGGTCCATTGCTCCTCCAATGCCTTTGACCATCTTGCCGGGGATCATGAAGTTGGCGATATCACCAGCCTGCGAGACTTCCATGGCCTATATACGTTATGAATTTCCGTGCGAATAATGGATGGATGGACATCACACATACACCGAGAATGGCAATATCAATGTGGCCTCCGCGGATCATAGCGAAAGATTCACTGGAGTCTAGAGTGCTGATAAGATGATGTGCCAGAGTGAGCGTCTGTGAATTCCATACCAAATACTGAAGCTCCTGGGACGAGTGTAACAGTCTCCTTGCCGGCATTAATCAGATCCCTATATCATGGAAGGTCAGAAGATACCGGTGCTTTCACGCCAGCACTCACGCATCGAGTTGCTCCTTCGTGGGGTAAGGTCCCATTCCAAGGATACCGTTCTCACTCTGCAGCCAGACACGGACGCCCTTTTCCAAATATTCCGGAACAAGCGTGGGCATACCGATACCAAGATTAACGTGGAAACCGTCCTTGATTTCTTTCGCAGCTCTTCTGGCGATGTAACGTCTCTGGGCTTGGGCGGCCGCTTTTTCAGGAGATAGAGTGGATTCATCCGTGCCAGACGTAGCGAGTGTGACGATTTCAATCGTCTTAGGGGACGTTGCCTTCACGATTCTGTCGACATAAACACCGGGGAGATGAATCGCATTGGGGGAGATGGATCCGACAGGGACGATGTTTTCCGCCTCGACAATTGTAAGTTTCGCGTTTTTCGCCATGACCGTACTGAAGTTCTGAGAAGCAAATCTGTACGCAATGATACGTGTCAGCTTGGGTCACAAAAAGAAACAAGGAAGCTGACCTAAATACACAATTGCCGATTTCGTCGACTTTCCATGCCCTAATAAATGCGACATCGCCTGCGATAGATGGCTCGAGGATATATCGTCTGCCTCCAATTTCTCGACTCTCCTTTTTGATACCGGGTATCTCGATGCCTGCCGATATGCCACCGGGTTTGTACCGGACCGCTATAGCACCTTGCTCAACTGCCGTTGATGCGCCTGTGGGAGTGAAGAACGCAGGAATTCCAGCTGCATGTGCACGGAGCCTTTCCGCGAGTGTTCCCTGTGGTACGAGTTCAAGAGATATCGCGCCCTTGAGATAAAGGGCCTCGAATTTCTTATTTCTGAGAAGAGCCTTAGAACAAGGACTTAAATAAGAAACGCAAGCATACATACCCTCCCGGATATGATGCTACGATCTTACCCAGTTGCTCCGTGTTAAGAAGTTTTCCTCAAACACAATGAGCGCTGCGTCTAAAGATGAAGGTCAAGGAAACGCATACCTAGACCAGAATCGCCTGCCCCGGCATTATTTGAGACCCCTGTAAGGCCCTTGACATCTTTTCGCTTTGCCAAGGCGCCCAGAAGAGTGTCTGAAATACCAGATCTTTAATCAGCATTCACGACAAAGAGTATGAACGACAGATACCTGGAATGCCAGCAAGACCGAACCCTGTGATCGAGTCGGTTAGACAGCACTAACCTTCAAGGAACGGAAAAACGCACCTCCGCACAACAGAACATCGCCTGACTTTACGTCCTTGACGGCGTCGTCAACCGAGTCCCAAACCTTGCCCTTTGGCGTACCAGTGGGGATGCTATATTTCCTGGCCGAACAAACGAGAGCAACCCGGAAAGTGGCCGCAGTGAGCCTAGCAGTGGAATAGGCCTTCACAGTGAGCATGGTAGTGTTCAAGCCACAGCGGAAAGAGAAACGAAAGTACGTTGGATATGGGGTTTATATGGTCGTCACATGTCGGAAGAAGTTTCCTCCGAGCATTTTCGGATCTCCTATCGGTAATGTTCGGACCGCATGACTCCTTGCCACGACGATCGCGCGCGCGGACTTGAAAGCTCAATGATACTGTAGTCTCAAATGGATAGGACGAAGGAAAGGTGTAACAAGGATGAACAGCTAATTCCCACTAAACATTTATATTCTTACCCAGGGAGACGAATACCACTGTAGAGAGTCCAGTTGTTGACAGTTGAAGTGAAAAGAGAAAATATGTAAAAATGGTACGTGGTGCAAACTGAACGCGTGTAAGCTCCTTTATATGTTCAGATTTACTAGGGAAGACTACCACTGCCAGGATGTCAGACCCTCAACACCAGCCCAAAGGTTAAACCAGTGATAAAGTAGAAATAAAGTCTATTGAGAAATCTACTGCTGACAATGGAATGTCAACAATAGTCAGGAAGCAACCAGGTAGGTAGGTCCTAGGTAGCTGGGCAGCATTACACGGCAGTGTCCACATAGCGAACGCCAGTCAGACAGGAAATATCTATAATTCTCCACAGCCGCCGAGATAAGCTTCCCTATGGACCAACGCAGGGGAAAAGAGTCGAAGGCTAGGGCGTGACGTGACACATATGATTACTTTGCAAACCCTAGGACAAGTTGCAACTTCGGTAAGTCAAACTATTCTGGCTCAAAAGTCCGCAGGCCTGGGTCTATTACAGATTAGAATAACACCAATAATGGTGTTTGTACGGACCCAAGGTGAAGTAATATAGATAATGAACCGTCTGGATGAGGGCTGCGAAGGATCAGGAAGCAAGCCATGGAAAAGAAGCTTCTTAGACACTTACGGAACAGACGGTTTGAAATTAGGCATTGGAACAGATGAATACTAGCGGACGATAAGGATTTAGGTAACATCCTTACGCAGTGGGGGATACAGCGTCATTGAAAAGAGGGTTGAAGCTACAGCCGGTCAAGCTCGTCGGTCAATGGTAAGTGACCGCATGAACATTGAAGCCATAGATCGATAAGTGCTAAATAGTAAAAGATTCCACGTCTTGGTCCGGTAATCGTAGAGCTTGCCATAAAGAAGAATAGGCTCCCAAGATTGGTGATTAAGAGGATAAAATTTGGAGGAAGACTAAGCTTTTAAGGAATGGATTGCGGCCTGCGCAGTGACAAGAGACCAAAATACTACAGTGAAGAATAGGCACATTACGCGACTTGACTACGAGTATACGGTATGTTGAAGGTGACAGAGGCGAAATGACCTTTAATGACCTCTCTGATTGTCGCACGTCGAAGGTTAGCCTCTTACTTAAGGATTTGTAAGAGGTGGTCACGGCGTCATGGCACACTGACGGCTTGAATCTGATGTCCACGAACACTGCCATTCCCGGAGGGTTTTGTGTGCGGTTTGAGCCTAAGTATAGCAAATGTTGTAAGTTACTCATACTCCAGTGGATTTCTGGATCGGACGATGGGCCGAGCCGATTGACATCAGATGATAAGCGACTCCCTTGACAAAAAACTTGCTCATGGCGGCAGTCTGAAGCTGAAGGTCCTTAGCTTGAGGGCAGGAAAAGGAGGAAAATCCGTCGTGGCGTAAATTTCTGTGTCTGCTTCCCTTTCAGCCTCTTTCTTGGTCTCGCTAGCTCGAAATTGTGTTATTACATAACCGATCATAGAAATCTCTGCTTGGAGTTCAATGAGCTCATTCCGTGGCGCCTAGCCATCGTCATTCTCTGTCGCAAAGCCTGTCATTCTGACATTGGCCGGCCCACATGAGCATGCAGCCTGACGGGGACCGGTATCCCTTCCTATTATTTCGATTGATATATGATGAAGGTTATGACCTCTTTGGTTTTGCTCAGCTCTCGCACTGAGGTCTATGGATAGCTTGGAGTCAGCAGTCTTTCTGCTTCGTACACGTGTTGTTCTGATGGTTCTTGTGCAGGAGGGATCTCACTGAAACGCCATAGGACCTTGTTTACCGCTTCTGATCACATTTGCCCGGCTAACTGATCGTCAATTTCCTTGAGGCCGTGGCTGAGAAATTTCGTACTTTCACACGTCGAGCACGTTTCCCTGACACCCAGGACGGCCTGCTAAGTGGCAGAATATAGATTCACCCTCTGCTCCAAGTACTTACGGAATTCAACGTCATGATGGATCAAAACCGCTGGTACCGCGTATCACCTATTAGTATCTATCCCACTAACCGGAAAATTGAACGGGGAAAGTGTTGCAAGTCCGTCGTTTACGATGTGGTGCGCAGTATACTAGAATGAAAAACGGGAGCGAGCCACCGGCGCATTCAGTAGCCCGTCACCCCGTTTAAAGACCTGCGAAGATTTTCACCTGATTATTGACCGAAATGGAAGTCCTGTCTATTCTTGTGCATAGAAATTGTGGGAAAATATTTTTAGATCAATCTTTCTGTTAGAGCTTGCCTGATTAGCAAAGCCGCCAAGGCAGTCAACGACGACCCATAACCATTGCCAGTCCCAGGAATACCCAGTCGATATCCTGGCGCTGGTCAAGCCGCTGACGACGCCCGCCACTTTCACTGCCATCGTTGCGCACGTCGGGCTCCCTTTCTTCTCTTCACCCACGACTCTTTCATCATGAACTGGCTTACATCCCTCTTTTCGTCGGGCTCTTCCCAAAATTCGCGAAAGGGCCAAGCCATATCATCCACGCACGAAGCATTTTCCATTCCGTCGTCCTCGCCCATCTTTTCTTCTCATCCAGATGTAGATACCCCGGACCCTGAGACGGCGACTTCTGGGTCGTACACCTACCCTCCAGCAACTCCCGGTTCTTACGCATATATCCCGACTTTGTACGTTTTATTGTTATGCGTGGCGGTATCATCAGGCTGATGTCCCAGAAGAAACGGCTCAAGTTCACATTCTGCATCTCTGTTGCCCATGCATCATGACCCTCTTCATACACCCTTCTCACCTTCCTCTGCTTACCCTTCTTTGACCTCTACATGGAACCGCCTTCGCGCATGGCTTGCTCGTGAATACCCGGAACTAGGAGATACCCTCAACTATGGCATTCTACCAGAGGTCCTGGCCCAGATTGAGATGCAGTTTGGCTTCCCTTTGCCTTCCGTAGTTCGCGAGTCATATCTCCTCGTTGACGGCCAAGAAGCCGAGTCAGCCGCTGGATGCTCGGACGGTCTTTTCTTCGGCCTCAGTCTCTTGCCTCTCGAGGACGTGTATGAAGAATGGCGATTTTGGCGCGAGGTCGATGATGATCCTATGACTGGCGCTAACGCCAGGCTGCGTAGCGCCATGCAATCTATCCCGCCTAATTGGATCCATAAGGAGTACTCTCAGCGTGGTTGGATCCCTTTAATTGCAGACAAGGCGGGCAACTATATAGGCGTCGATCTTAATCCAGGCGAAGCTGGTGCTGCCGGACAAGTCATTGTGTTCGGTCGTGATTTCGACACAAAAGTTGTTCTCTTCAATGGCGATGGCGTTACTGGATGGGCTAAATGGCTGGCAAGCTTTGTGGATGAATTAGAAAGTGGAGACGGGTTTGAAATTGGTGCATCTAATGATGCTAGTGATGGGAGTGAAGATGATATCGGTTATGAAAGCTATTTCTACGACGGTAGCGGTCGGGGCCAAGGCGACGGCGGTGGTGACGCGTACTCTGGCGGTGGTTTACGTTTAACTGGAGAATATAGAGGCTGGAGCGTGTTAGAAGCGTGGGCAGATAAAAGTGTTCGGCGATGGTTTGACATCGGCGTGATTGCAGAGGCTATGGACGATGAAGGAAAAGGAAAGGTGAGTAAAGCCATCTGTTCGTCAAGTTCACCCCCTTACGCATTTCTGCAGGCCCCTGAAAAGATGGACCTCAGTGTATTGGAGATATCGCAAGGCTCTGGAGCCGAAGTTCCAATACCTGTTCTCGCCGATATGGACGAATCACCTATCTTGCCGATTGCGTCCAGTAGCATCGTCATAACAACTGCGCGGAAGACTCTTCCGATAATAGCGGTGACCAAACCACCAGTGCCTCTCCCCGTAGAATTACCTACACCTCGGGACATCGTTTCTCTGCCATCACCTCCAGATTCGACGCATTCATCTTTTGATGAGGATCTGGAAGCCGGGCGTCGCCGAGGTATCCGGCAACTATCCCTAGAGCAAGAGGTTAGCCTCGTATCTTCGTCAAGGCAATCTCAGCCGACCGACGATCTTCCTGATCCCACCGGACCTACAGTTCTGATAGAGGAGCCAGAGCCTCTACTTCCTTCCACACCTCCTCAGGAAATTTCAGGGATACTGTCACCATCTCCACCCGATATTCCTGATCTTCTTGCAGATTCTGCGCCGGTTTTGGCAGAGCCCATACAACCTGTAACCCCTTCATCATCACGGCCTGAAGTGTCGAGCTCATCGGACCCCATCATTGACACTTCTGATGAGCTGAAACCTGAAACTGATAGGTTGCAGGCACCAGGTGTCGACGTTAATGCTGATGCGACAGTTCGACTGGTCGACGAAGGCGGGTCAAGTACGGCGGAGGCGTCACCGGATGCCGAGGAGAGGCACTCCACTGTAGAGGCTATAGAATCAGATGCCGCCGCAATGATCTCAGAACTTGGCGTTTCCAGCAGCGATGCAGGGGATAAGAAGCACAAGAAGTCAAAGAGCGGTTTAGCTGGTCTGAAAAAACACCTTGGTGGACTACGGAAAAAGAACTCTGTTAGCAGTGTGAAGGATATGCAGGATTCGACCTAATAACACGAGGAGGCGCATCATCGTTCTTTTGATTTGTTTTCATGCATTTCCCTGACTCCAGGATGCGAACTTTGTCCGACACTTGCATCTTTCCTCATGACTGATCACTGTATTGGCTCGTTAATTGCCCATCTTCACTCCTTGTCGTTCATGTATTCTCGCATTTCTTTTCGTTATACCCATAATCGCAATAAAATAGTTCAAACGGTATGGACATTGGACACTCGCAATAATGCTTTCGTTTTGTCAGACTTTTTTTTATTTGGCTATACTTCACCTATGGTAGATGACTCTAGACGAAGTCTTTTTCGTTAAGATTTGGCCGTCTTGTTGTACGACGCGGACCAGCTCATAATGCGATGTTCATAAAAGTATAACATTGTTTTATGACGCTTTTGTGGGAATGTTCTTGTCAAAAGCCCAAAACAGGTTAGTCGTTGCACGTGACAAAAATGGACAATGAGAATCGCGTGTGTTGGATGTTCATTTCCTTCTTTGAAGCTCCTTCTGGTATCTAAACATTTCTAGAGCACCTGTTGTCAAGACCTTTCGTGGAAATTATGGATAAACTCATGTCACTGTTTCTGCACCCTCTCATCACACTCAATATTTGGTCTGACGACCACGGCATCGACGTTTTTTACCTTCTTTCCTTATTTTTTGCCTTTGGGATTTGGCTCGTGTTCCAACGGTATCAAAGAGCCAGCAACAGTGCGGTTCCGTTCAAGTTCTCTGTCCCTGAGGTGCGTCTACCACATTTTCTTGTATCAATTTATTAAAGGGAGTTCAGCCTGCCGAAGTTGGATGGAAGTCTTTTGTAATAGATGATCCTACACTGACCTCCCACGAAACCAACGAAGATCTTCTACCTTCTTTCACTATCCAAGGACGAAAATACATCACCAGCTTCGATCCAGCGACAGGTCTGCATATCCAAACGTATTTAGCCGATGGCAAAGAAGAAATCGCGCAAAAAATCGAGAAAGCAGACGAAGCACAGCTGTCATGGCGTGAAACCTCGTTTACTCAACGAAGACGCGTCGTTCGTAGCTTGCTGAAATGGATGGTAGACAACCAAAATATTTGTGCTAAAGTTGCTTGTAGAGATACGGGAAAGACGAGTGAGTTGCCCCATATCAGGGATAGACACATATTGAATTCCCGCAGTGGTTGATGCGGCTCTGGGTGAAATTCTGACCACTTGCTCTAAGATGGAATGGTTGATAGCCCACGGAGAAAAAACTCTACGACCGGAGAGGCGATGTCGCAATACGATGTTGGCTTACAAGACTTCTGAGGTACATTATGAGCCTCTTGGAGCGGTTGCGGGAATTGTCTCGTGGAACTACCGTGAGTTTAGGTCTATATTCGATCAACTATTGTTTGTGACCAGCCATTCGTATAGCATTGCATAACGCCTGGTCTCCAATACTAGCAGCCTTGTTTTCCGGAAATTCTATCGTTCTGAAGTGCTCTGAGAATGTAATATGGTCAACGTCCTGGTATATCTACATCATTAGGTCTTGCTTGGAAGCATGTGGTCACGACCCAGAGATTGTTCAGGTAAATATATATGCTTCGCTGCGGCAATCAGCTCTGAACAACATGTTAGCTTGTATGTTGCTGGCCAGAAGACGCGGATGCTCTGACGACATCGTCGCTGATTAAACACATCACATTCATCGGTTCTGAAGAAGTGGGACGCAAGGTATCATTACTACCATTGTTTAATCGCACATTGTGAGCTAAGCGCGCCTGTAGGTCGCGGTGGCTGCTACCAAACATCTCACGCCGGTAACATTGGAACTCGGAGGAAAGGACCCTGCGATAATCATGCCTGGCACTGACTTGAATAAGTGGGTGAGTACCTGGATGCGGGGTGTATAGTAGGTGTAATCTCCAAGTCTATTTCCGATGTTTACGTTTTTATAGCCAAAATGTCGGCCAGAACTGTATTGGCATTGAACGCTTGATCGTCCATCGTTCGCAATATGATGACCTGTTCGATATTTTCTCCCAGCGGGTCACCAAACTGCGGCTTGGCTCAGTTATGGCACCAAATGATCAAGGTTATCTTTCACCGGTGGATTGTGGCGCTATGATTTCTTCCGCCCGATTCGATGCGCTGGAACATCTCATCACAGAGACAGAGGAATTTGGAAACGGCGTACATGTCGAAGGCGGTAAGAGACATAAGCATATCTACAATGACAAGGGCACCTATTTTTTGCCCACTGTTATTGGACCGGTATCTTCTGACATGACGATTGCTCAGAAAGAGCGTGAGTCTGCCAATCTCCCTCTCTTGCTAAGCTAAGTCCGTCGTAGTGTTCGCGCCTATCGCCCTGATTATGCCTTACGGTACCGTCGACGAGGCCATCAACATCGCGAATAGTACTCGTTACGGTCTAGGCGCAAGTGTCTTTGGACCCGACCAAAGACAATGCCTCAAAGTTGCGAGAGAGCTTGAGTGCGGAATGGTGTCAATCAATGACTTTGGAGTCTTTTATGTACGTTCAGTCTTTTTCAATGACCAAGTCGACTGAATGCTCTTTGCAGATGAAGTTTGTGAATTACTTTGTAAACGTGGCCCAGCTGAATTAGCGTCTTTCCCCTGTAGTCAAGATCTGCCGTTTGGTGGAACGAAATACAGTGGTTATGGAAGGTTTGGTCAGTACTATATCTTTTTTTCTCGTAAAAGACCTTCTGCTTATCGGTCGTATCCCTCAAGCCGGACCTGAGGGTCTTCGCAGCCTAACGAATCCCAAGGCGATTATGGTCGATCGGTGGCCTGTATTCGTACAAACTTCCATACCAAAGGTGCTAGACTACCCGATTCGTTCGTTGACAACAAGCTGGTTCGTACTCAATGGAAATGCATTTCACTACTCGCCATTTTAATCTCATCCATTAGGGAGTTCACGGCCGGTCTCGTCCGCTTTCTGTATGCAGATGGATGGCGATCCCGCATTCGCGGCCTTATTACCGTAATAAATGCATCGCGGAAATGAGTTGATGTCGCAGCATATACCTTCTTTGAGATCTAGTGTGGATTGAGGAGTGGTAGGACACGTAGGAGAGTTGTGATTTGTGACAGGTGTAACGGCCCACATTTAGTAATTTATCTCTTGCTTTCAACTTCCACTACCCCCTCGCTCCTTCTTACCTCAAAAGCATCCTCGCGCTACGTGGGCTTCTATTTGGTCTCGATATTACACATATAAGATAGTGCCGACATACTCAATGTCACTAACAGGCCATCATTGAGAATGTCACACAAGTTACCAGATGTTTTAGTCGAAGAGCGTGTCGCCCAACTTGCGTGAGCAATACCGACTGTTTCTTCCGCACAATCACCTCAGATCAACTTCACAGCGTGATATCGAAGAGAAGGAATGAACTCCTAACCGAAATGTACCATTTGTTGCGACGAAGGGACAACATTGGTGCTGTTTACATGGTACAGGAGGGTGGAGACGACCTGCAAGGATTCCTGCAGAAATATGATATAAATAAGAAGTACGTGTTGCACCTCTGTTACTTGAACTCGACTCATCCGGGTTAACATCACTAGTCCTGACACTGGGAGCATCAATCATCTCCCAGGTCTCGATATTGCGTATTTCGTGTCACCTTCACAACCGACCTTTGAGCCTAGCGCGTCAGCAGCGGAATATATCGATGACGTTTATCAGGGCAGCAGTCCCGAGCCGTGGACAATGGAGGATACGTCTATGGAAGGCAACAATGTTGTTCATACCGCAGCCCAACGCTCGGGCGACCGTAGTCCTACGGAATCTGAGGATGAACTGAACATAGTCGGCCCTTCAAGACCTCATAGCAGCGGTCAAGTTATACCACACCGCCCAAGCATTCCCGTTTACGTCGCGTCAATGGAGAACACAAACGTTTCCATTGTGGACATCGTGCCAGACGAAAGGGACTTAGATGAGACTGACACGTCATTGCCCCCTATAACCGAAGAGGCGATTGGTGAAGACATATTGATGCAGGATGTCGAAGAACCCGCCATCATAGAAGTACAAGCATTCTCCGACGTCGTCCAGCCTTTCCCCCAGCATCATACCGCAATTGCGAACCTCAAGAAGGAAGAGGAAGAGGAAGAGGAAGAGAAAGAGGAAGAGGAAGAGGAGGAAGAGAAAGAGGTCATAGTGCAAGATCATATAGTGACGTCGACAGGTCTGTATGCAAGACACATTTTTAAAAATGAACGTTAACGTCTCCGTAGTAGTTACGCCCTCACGGCCGGCAGGTCCCGTGAATCCGCAACAAGTTCTTTTTGTCAATCGCCAGGCGACTCTCGAAACTCAACATCATGGAGCAACTATGAAGACTGAGCCCTTGATACTCGCCCAACCTAGTATTGCATCCGAGTTTCGTCATATATCCCCTCAACAACTTCTGCAGAGCTCTTTACGAATACTTCCTTCTGTGCGGCCTGTATACATCCCTACACCGACGGAGTCGTTTCAAGGACTTCCACAGTATAATTTTGACCTTGGATCTCCTACCCAAACCTCACCGCCAACACCTGTGTCTTCACCCAAACCACATTTACAATTTGACCCCCAGTACACCTTGCCGCCAATAAAAACTCTACCTGCCGAATTCAGTAGGCGGGGTAAGCTTTCGAAGCAACTGCGCAAGAAAGAGAAGGAGCGTGAGAAAGGAGAGACGAAGAAGGACAAGGACGATTACATTCCCATGGGCTTGAACAGATGGGGTTTTACTATTAATGCTAATTCTCTGTGGAAGAAGGTGTCAAAGGCGACGAAATGCCTCACTACGCGCGATTGGAGTGTAAGATATCTTTCAGCCATATTTTGACCTACGACTAATAGGTATTTTGTTAGATCGCCATGGCTGAGCTTAGACTTGCTAGAACCATTGATCGAATCGAGACGCTCAAGGACGCTGGAAAGTGGAGTTTTAGGCAGCCTAAGAAACAGCGGTCTGTTGATACTATTCCGAAGACTCATTGGGATTACCTCATGGATGAAATGGTAAGTGCGGTATCAACCCTCTCCGTTTTTCTATACTCACATCGGCCCAGAAATGGATGCGAATTGACTTTCGGGAGGAGCGAAGATGGAAATACGCTGTTGCTTATAACCTGGCGCAGTCGGTTTTGGAATGGCACAAGGCAGGCTCTCCGGAAGAGCGGGTGAAGAGAGGCATCTGCGTGATGTGGCGACGACCACTGGAAGGCCAAAGTCCTGAGATCGAGCACTCTGATCCCGATCCAGGTCTTATGGATATCGACGACCCTCCCCATTCGAGCGATGCAAACCGATCATCGATGCTCATTCTTGACTATGCATCAGATGAAGACGATAACGACGAACAAGATAAGGAAAGCGTCGTTGATGCTATCGGGAGCTCGACCCTAATCGAGGATGCCCTTCAAGCCATCGAAGCCAATGTCGAAGACAATCCTGGGCGGATTGAGCTCGAGCCAAAGAAGGAGGAGATTGACCTGACGGGGACTCTCGCGGATGGCGAGGACACGGATGCTGATCATCAAGCTACCCAAGATAGTGAAGAATTAGTACAAAAGACCGAGGAGCCGGATGTCTCGGCCCTTGGTCTAAAAGCAAGTTCCAGTGACCCTATTCTGACTTCTTCTACATCCACATCACAATCCGTTTCCGGTGAACACGAACCAACTTTACCCACCTCGAAGTCTTTCAGGATTAACATGTACACACCCATCCGTGAACGAGTCGCCTATTCCGATGCAGACAAACTATTTCTCGACTTCGATGATTTTAAAATTTCTGATGGCGATCCGTCGAGTGAAGAAGTTACAGAGATATCCCTACCCCCTGCCGATCTATCCGACATATTCCCTGATTTACAGGTTTGGAATCTCATTGATCCCCCTTCTGACAGTTCAGTACCACCGCCTCCTACAGAAGGAAAGAAAAAGGACAAGAAAGCTGAAGATATACACAGGCGGGTTGACGAGTTCAACTACTCGAAGGTTTTTCCGGTCGGGACGTTCATGATGACGAGACCAACGCTTGTAAGCGCTCTCCAGCCGGCGAAACGCTGGAGAGACGGACAGTGGCTACCCTTCGAGGAGAACCCGATCGTGGAATCTGATGCTCCATCAAGCAAAGTTGTGGATGAGTCCGCTAGTGGTAGGCTCTCTGAGCTGTAGGCTGTTGCACAAAACGGACTAAAAATTATACAGATCTATTTGGTCGTGTCACTATGAGAAGTCGACCCGACACGGAGCCTCCTTTGACCCTTAGCTCCAAAAAACCTGATATTATGTGGTTACCTAAGGAGGATGATCTTCTTAAAAGCCTCGTTAATACATATGGGTCCCTCGACAAGGACAGGAACTGTAATTGGAAGCTTATCGCTGAATGCTTCAATTCGTCTCGCATTACTGTACCTTCTGACCGACGTGGACCCCGGGAATGCTATGCACGGTGGAAGGAAAGATGGGCCGATGTGGGCCATAAAGACCAAGATACCCTTTTAACCAGCCCTGGGATAACCATTCCTGTGCCAGCTGCACAGATGACAACCAGAGGAGTCAAGCGATTGGCTAGTACTAGTGTATCCAGCACCACAGCCCCGAGTCTCCCAGGAATGGACGTGGAGCCCAAGAATAAGCGTCACAAGACGGTACAAGATTCCATGCGGAAACTGATCAAGCGGCGCGCAGAATTAACTGCCAAAAACTCTCGTTCGTTTTACAATTCTTCCCTTTCTATCCTTTACCGATGTCCATTCACTTTTAGCTAGGAAATCCAGCACTGTCCATGAGACACACGGCCAATACGCTAAGATGCCTAAATTAGCTCCTGCTGATCTGGTCAGGATCAAGATGGATAGAGATATGAGAGACGTGAAAGATTATGCTTTGCTGGTAAACGCAAAGGCACAACAGCAGCAACAGCAGCAACAGCAACAGCAACAGCAACAACAGTCTCAGCAAGGTCAACAAGCACAACCTGCACCGCAAGCGCAGTCAGCTCAGGCAGCGCAACCAACTCAGGCAGCGCAACAGCCGCGCGCGTCCCCGGTATGTAAGGTTTTTAAGCCTCGGAGCTTTACTGATTCTTTTGTATTACCTTGTCAAGGCCAATAGCACACCTGTTGCCAACGGACAGACGCAGAGTTCTAACGTACAGAGGACAGCCGGGCAAGCTTTACCTACTCAAGGGATGGTGTCCACCAGCATACCGATCCGCAATCAAGTCAACATATCTCAGCAGCAGCGAATAGGTACCCCGCTGATCTCAGGAAATAGTCGACTTTCGCCACAACAAATACTGCGAAACCAACAGCAGCAAGCCCAATTAGCTCAGCAACAGCAGCAACAACTAACGCAACAGCCGATCCCCCAGTCGCATCAATCGCTCACGACCCAGCAGATCCAACACGCCATTGCCCACTTGCAAGCACAGACAGCTGCGGCTGCTGCTGCTGCTGGTCAGACCACGGCGAGTGTCAGTGTCAACGGGGCTCATTTGTCGCCGCCGTTCGGCGCACGCGATGCAACATCATCGCCTCAGATTAATAACAATGGCCTTGCCAATTCAGTCAGCTCTCCACGACCTCCGTCGACGCAGCCTCAAACGCAGGTATCGGTGCCTGTCCAGTCTCAAGTTCCTCGTGCGACCAATGTCCCGTATTACCTACCGAATTATACGCAAGAGCAACTTCAAAATGCGTTGCGGTTGCAGGCGTTGGTGCGCGATTGACTGCTTGCATGAGATTGATTCTTACCTTGGTCTCTGCAGCAACAAGCACAGGTGCAACAGCAACAGCAACAGCAAGTTCAACAGCAACAGCAGCAAAACCAGCAGCAGTCTTAGGTTGGGTATGTGCTGAGGGGTATTGATAAGTCTTGTAATCATTTTTGTTCTTTCTATACTATTGGTTGCAAATGCATCATATTCATGAAACTTTAACATGAGGTCTGTCACTGTCAGACCCCTTTCTGTTTCATTCAACCCACAGTTGCCGATAACAGGGACCATGTTCAGCGAATGACATAGGTCTGCCAGAGGTGACATTGTTAGATTTCTTGTTGATAATGGTGGTAGAGAGAATCGGTCGCGAATTTCTATTGGCTCGGTGAACATGCGCCGTGTGCGAAAATCGGATTTGGACCTCTACCGGGTTGCTAGGCTTACGGCGACAAGTGAGCCAGTCAGAAAATAGATATGACGGGCACCGTAGCCTAGCGTAGTGCAAGAAGCGTTTAGTGCACGGGCGCCGAGTCGTTTACGGGACTGAGAAGGCAAATCAGCTCGGGCCGGAATGTGGCTCAAGCATCCTAACACAAAAGTCCTGTCAAGTCAAGGCTTGGTCGATAACGTCCTGCCCCACGCATCCCAGCTATCCGCCCTCGTCGTCCTCGCGATCCCGTCCTCACGATCCCGCCCTCGCCAAGGTCGTCGTACTCGTCAAGTGATATCCATCAGCTGAATTAGGTTCGACTGCAAAGACATGTGCCATCTTTTTTTTAATTTACCGTGTATCCCCGTGGCTTTCTGATCAGTACTTCTTCAACAGACGCTCCCAGCATGTCAGGGCCTCACAATGAACCAGTCAGCAACGTGGAGTACGACCCTCTGCCATTGACGAGCGACGACCAGCACATCATTGCCCTCTATAATGCCGCGTCTCCCCTTCCTTCCGCTCCCAGTACCCCGCAACCGCCAGAGCAGGATCTCCCCCCCGATGATATTGGGATCCCTTCCGGCGCTGAACAGCCTCGCTTCCTCGGTGCCGCCCTGTACAGTGAAGGAGGACCCGTCATTCGCGACTCATATCATTCACACGGCACATTTCCTTCCACTGGAGGTAGAGACTCCGAATACAGTTCTTCAGTGTATGCCCTGAACGACACGCAGCTCCGAAACCAAGGCAGCGAGGGCTTTGATGCCGCCTACCATGATGATCCACGCGACACGGAATATTATGGCGCTGAGGGAGAGAGAAGTATAGGCATGGCACCAATGACCAGTCGGGGGAGCAAATACCTGGAAGAAAAACGCGCTGTTTATGCCGCCCCAAGATCTAAACGGAAAGTTGTTATTGTTGCAGGAACAGCCGCCGCCGCTCTTCTCATCCTTGCCATCGTTATCCCCGTGTATTTCACCGTTGTCAAACCCAAAAGCACCACGAGCTCAGACAGCAGCGGCAGCAGCAACAACAGTGGCGGGACTAGCAGTCCATCGGCCACCAGCACCGGCAAGTCAACCCTCGCGGCTGTGACAGGTGGTGACGGGTCCAAAATCACGACGGAGGATGGATCGCAGTTCACGTACTCAAATTCCTTCGGTGGATATTGGTACTATGACCCTACAGACCCGTTTAACAATGCAGCACGACCCCAATCTTGGAGTCCTGCACTAAACGAGACGTTCAACTATGGCGTCGACATAATTAGAGGGTAAGCGTTTTCCCATAAATTTCCCATGATGTCAACTAATACAATCCGTGATACGTAGTGTCAACGTTGGTGGATGGCTTACCATCGAACCTGTAAGTGAACCTCTCAATACGTATCATGTCTTCCGCTGACCTGACATCCTCTTAGTTCATGCGAGTACCTTCTACAACCGTCTAAAGACCGGCTCGACTGACGAGAACTACAGTTCTCCTGCTCTCTTCGAGCCTTACGCAGCTGACAGCTACCCGGCAGTTGATGAATACACTCTGCATACCATACTAAGGGCGGATACTACAAATGGTGGCATTGAACAGATCGAGGAGCACTACAAGACATTTATCGTATGCCGCTCGCCTAAAATCCTTGTTTTCGACGTGTTTGACAATGCAGTAGACGGAACAGGATTTCGCTGAGATTGCTGGCGCAGGTCTAAACTATGTTCGAATACCTCTGCCGTATTGGGCCATTGAAACTCGTGGCGATGAACCATTCTTGCCTAAAGTTGCTTGGACGTGAGTAAGAAGCGACCCGCTGTATTGCGCTTGTTTTAAAATGTCCCTCCGTCACAGATATTTCCTGAAAGCCATTCAATGGTGTCGTAAATACGGCTTGCGAATCAACCTCGACTTCCATGCCCTGCCAGGCAGCCAGAACGGATGGAATCACTCTGGCAAACTAGGTAGTGTCAACGTTTTAAATGGACCCATGGGCTACGCAAATGCACAGCGTTCCTTGGACTATATTCGTATCCTCGCGGAATTTGTATCACAGCCTCAATACCGAGATGTCGTGACAATCTTTGGGATTGCAAACGAAATCCTAGGGTCAACCGTCGGCGAAGACCAGACTAAAGCTTTGTAAGGGTTTCTACTTTTCTCAATTCTCGGTATCTAACAGACCGTTTCAGCTATCTTCAAGCTTATGACATTGTTCGCAATGCTGGAGGCATCGGCGAAGGGAAGGGTCCTTGGGTCAGTTTCCACGATGCATTCTTCTCTCGATCAGAGTGGTCTGGTTTCCTGCCCGATGCCGACAGGATTACTCTCGATTCTCACCCATACTTGTGTTTCAACGGTCAGTCCAACGCGGCAATGAGCACCTACACCACGACACCTTGTACTACTTGGGGATCCCTTGTAAATGGAACAATGAGCGACTTCGGTCTTGCCAACGCGGGTGAATTCAGTCTTGCGGTTACTGATTGTGGCGAATATCTCAACGGTGTTAACTTGGGCACTCGGTACGAGGGAAATTATACCGGCTACACGACGTCGATGGGAAGCTGCACGGAGTGGACCGATTGGAAGAGCTGGGATGATGACATGAAGAGTGCTATGGAACAATTCTCCCTCGCGAGTATGGACGCACTTCAAGTATGTTTGCTTTCTTTTGTCACTAGGCTTCGACCTTCTAACTCCCATCCCTAGAACTGGTTTTTCTGGACATGGAAAATAGGTAAGATCCAAGGCTGCTGCTATGCTGGACAATGTTCTGATTCCTATCTTCTTTTTCTCACAAGGCAATTCGAGCATTTCAGGCGAAATTGAATCACCAGCCTGGTCATATCAGCTTGGCCTCCAACAAGGCTGGCTGCCGAAGGACCCTCGTAATGCCGTTGGGACATGTGGAAATTCTAGTCCTTGGACAGGTACTCTTAGTGCTGGCTCCGGCAGCATACCAGCAAGCGTCAGCAGCTCTCTTCCATGGCCCCCTGCAACCATCAGCAATGCCGGTACAGTCACGAGTCTGCCTTCGTATACCCCCACCGGAGTTGTTCCAACGCTCCCTGCTCCAACGTTGACAGCCAGCGCGACTGCTTCTATCGATGTCGGGGATGGATGGAATAACAGCGGCGACAATGATGGACTGATGGTGAATATCACGTCATGTAGCTATTTGGATCCTTGGGTGGGGCCCTCAGCATCACCACCGTCGCCCTTGTGCTCCTAAGCCTACTAGGGGAATATTCCCCTCGTATGATAATGGCAAGTTCCGTCCGCCCTCCTTTCTGCTATATAAAGACTTTGAACCTTGCTATCTTTTGTTTGATACTTTGTGGAATTTTCCTTCCTTGCCGCTGGTTTTCCATCACAGTATTGGTTGTAGCCTTTGTTCTTTCATCATGACTTTTATATTTCAGTAATATTACCCTGCAATTGATTGGACTTCCGTTTCGCACGTCCATTCTTTGTTCAATAGCATAACACTATATATAACTTACATCTAGCGCACAATATATAAAAAAGGGCTTGTTGTTTCGGTGTATAAAAAAAGGTGTTTGTAGATTTAGTGTTCTCCGCTTGTAGTTGCGTAACGATCTTCTAGGTCTTCCTGCCCGCCAAAGCCTCCTTCGAAGTCGTGATTCATCGATTTGGATTGGTCCTGGTGGTTCAGCTTTTCTTTGAGAGCTGCAAGCTGTTCCTGCTCCTAAGTGCGCGGGTCTATAATTTCAATGACACCAGCTGTGGTACATTGGGTCGTACCTTTTTGTGAGCATACTGTGCTTCCTCGCCTTGTTCCCTAGACTTCCAGGTCTTATCCTATAGGTTCATTAACATTAGGTTCTCGCTAACAGATGAACGAGAATTACTTGGGCGGTAGCACCAGACGACATTTTCAGATACAGGGTACGAGATGCAGATGGTGGTGCTGATGTAAACAAGTGATATGACGTCACTGCAGATCCTCTTCAAGAAAGTAGTACAGTATCCCATGGTATATCTTATCCTACAGGAAGACTACAGGTAGACGTGTTCCGACCCCTTATTTGCAACAGCGAAGCTTCGCCCTTCAACCTTCTTGACATAGTTCTTCATCATTTGGCTCTCCTTCAACCATTGCCGGTAAGTACGAGCAGTTGGATTGATGGACATCGTTTGTTCGATGTTCTAGAACGAAAATCGAAAGACATCCCACGCAATTCATCACGAGAAATCCCTTACCTTAATACCACTGCCCGGCCCCGATCTTAGAACAAACTCCCAAGACAAGTATAACGTCTTTGTTGGATGGTGTCCGTACCGTGTAGCTTCGAATTCCTTTGCATCAAGCTCGAGTCCAAGACAGGCCTTCTCACCCGTCACTTATGAGAATTCTCGACGCAGATCTTCACCTTTACACCTGAACAAAAAATTCGGTGATGCAGGTTCCCTAAGCGCGGGTACTTATACTTACCTACCCATCCTCCAAAGTCTCTCCACGTTCATGGAATAAATTGGCGCCTCGGGAGGAATAGGGATGTCACTCTGCGAGAATCCTTTCTTAGGATCGTAGCTAGGAAGGAAGAAGGACGTGAAGAAATTTTCGTAGTACATGGGAATGCAGATGAAAGTCCCAGGAATGCCGGACTCGATGCGAGCCTTGGACATCCAGCTGACGGCCTTGGACCACACAAAATGTTGTACATCGTCGGTTTTCGCAGCCTTGACCATATTCTTGCCGTGGAGCTGCTCCAAATCATATCCGGTCGTAGAACAGGGTCCACAGCAAAGAGGCTCCATGCTCCGGCAAACGCATTGGTGACTTTGTCTAGGTTTGAAAGATAAGCCTTAACGACCTTGGCCGCGGTAGATTCGGGGCTCCTGGTGATAGCGCGGATAGTGAAGGTCCCGGGATCCCTAAGGGAGATATAACCACTACTCCTTACCTGAAAATGAAGCCATCGGTACTCATATCAATGTAAGTACTTTCAAACTCATTGTCCCGTCGCTCCAGTTACCGCAATCAGCTCAGACATTATGAGGGAGGACCTCAGGGAGAAAAATATGTTCCTCGTCCATGATATATGAACTATGGTGGTATTACCGGCTAACTTGTCGTTATAGCTTGACCGAAAGGAGATCGTTATAGTGACCGTTTTCAAATCAGGGTGTTCCGGAGGCGGGAACCAGAAACATGCATGGTCGAGCAGCGCAAAGACTCTGAAAAGAAATCCCTACTGCATCTTTGTGCCTGTGTAGTAAAGATAAATATGGAGTGCCGGACAGGTCAGTAGGAATAGGAGGTGCTGTCTCATGAAGGAGGGCACGCCCACACGCGCCCGTCGAGCGTCCAGTGTACGTGCTGCCACTAAAAGGTGAAGCAGAAATATGAACCCCCAAGCAGCGCTTATTACGATTCAGAATGAAACGTTACTCCTGTAGGTTATGGACAGAAAAAAAAAGAGACCTTCGGCAACTTTCAACTTGCTTGGCCTTCTGCTCTTGATATCCTCGTAAGCTTGCATGTGTCCAAAGTTTTCAGTAGCGATACGGATGGGCGTCGTAAGTCCAATTGTACACGATAATGTCAACCGCAGCATCTCCGCAAACCTTTGAAAGATCCTAATACAAGTAACCGTTACGTTTAGCAACCTAGAAATGAAAACTTGCTGACGTTCTGGATGAGAGAGACGTAAAAATCGCCGGTGAAGAATCAAAAAGATCCGCGTAATCAACGAGTGAACGGGAGACAGAATCTGCGCAAATGACTTGTATTTGTCAATGCGGCCAGGATTCGAACACTGAGCGCTGGCTCATCGAAGCCTTCAGTGAGGACCAGGCACGAGATCAACGCGCCGCGTAGAAACGCAAGAGAACACAAGCCTAGAAGTGGGAAGACAGGCGTACGTGTGAACTGGTAAGTCTTGTTACAAGGATTGCGCCGTCAATATCAAACAAAGGTCTTTGTAATTCTCCGGTCAATGCGTAGCATGGTCCGTAGGACGGCCCTACTAACCCGCAGAGACAGCTTGAAAGCCAGCCCAGGAGAATGTGAAATTTGGGGATATTAAGCCTGCGAAGACGTGGGATCAAGAGGCCGTAGATTGTCGGTGTATATGCGATGATTTGGCCAGGATATGCAGGAGTGTTGTCCGAGGCCATCGCGGATTGCTGGTCCTAATTCTGAGATTCTTCTTGTTCTAACACTGAGTAATACGAGTACCGATTGAAGGTGGCGGAGGTCCCTAGTCTGTAGGAATGGCAATCGAACAGTAGCTTCGGTATAAGGATTCGATGATGGCCCAGAGATAGACTCGGATCTATAAGAAATGGGATGAGCTGAAACTTGGATGCTAGTGTTCGGCCTTTGATCGTTAATGCTGGTCCCAAGTTGCTGCTGGTAAGTCTTTCAAACGAACCGCGGCCAGAAACTCTGGACAAATTCCTTCAGTTGCGGGGCATTTGTCGTGAGCGTACACATCGGAGGCACAAGCACAGTCGGGAGGGCAGTGGGCCGCATAAGCTGAGAGAACCATAAAGAATCAAAATCGAAGACAGGGCTGAAGCGCTCGCTGATCCTCAGTAATTACGTACTTGAACTTCCTCTCCTGAATTTCAAAGCCTCTCTATTGACCCGTCGTGATAAATAAAGACACGATTGTACATTCGAAAATACGCAGGTGAATTGGGATCAAGGCGCAGCAAAGGTTTGGGAAACTGCCAACTGCCACGGCCAACGCGAAACGGTTAGTCGAAGGCCCAGCAGAGGCCCTCTTTTGTAGTCTCGATATCTTATTGTGGAGAGTTGACTTGGATTCAGTGTTAGTGATAAATACCTTTCCCAATTAGATAGCACCTGGCAAGTCGCATCTGATTTGAAGAAGCTCCAGAGAGACCTTCTGCTTCATATTTATTACTGTCCTCGACAACGAGGGTATCGCACACGAGGGTCGAAAGAAGGACGTGTCAACGACCGTGTGACTTGCCGTTGGGGCTGCGGATCGTTTCTAGCCAGCTCGGTTGATACGATGAGCAGTTGGTATTTTGAGTGAGTATTCGACGAAGTTTGCGCAGCAAAAACGAATGAGAAGCCTGATCCAGTCAGACGTAAAGGGAGGGAGGGCTCTTCAGCTTTTGGTAGACGAGAGATCAACACGACCGTCACGACACATACAGCGATGTGGAGTCAACGTCTGCTGAGATACTATATTAGCCAGGAGATGTCCGGGAGTGTAAACAGGGGACTACCTTTGGAGCAAGCCATTAGACACCTATATGCTCGGAAACTGACGCATGATGGACCTCATGGAGGACAGATCGCTTCTTCATAGATAGGCCATCCTTTCCCGGCGTTCAAGGACGAGAAGGATCGGACTTTGAAGAAGGCCACCCTGATTGACTCATAGGCCAACTCGTCTGAAGGTGCTCCGATGCGGCACGGTGATGGCCCATGTGCTCATTCAGCCTGTACGCCTGTTGGATATTTATCTCCTTCTACAGACAAGGTGGCGATGAGAAAACAAGTCTCGTCATTGATTTTACGAACCTCTTACGAGGAAACGGAACAAAAGTGGTTGACGTGATAGCTAACATTCGTCTTGCTTTAGGCATATAGGGGGGGGGGGCCTTTCCTGCCGCGACGTAAGAGTTCAACGTTCATGGCGGATACGCCACTCAAGACGTACGCCATATGCGTAAGTCCCCATCTAATGGTCCTATTCGGTCTTCGGTTGCTTCTCGACTTGCTTTGCATAAGATAGCAGACCGGTTTTCCCTAGTTGATAAACGAAGCGTAAGTCCGAAGCTACCTCTGGGATGCATACTGAGCCCACGAAATATTCCCCTCGGTACCGGTTGTTGTATCATATCGGTGCGTCATACCACCCGAATGCAAAATAGTATGACAAGAAGCCATACAGTCCCCGGGCCGCCGTTTCCGATAAGCTAAAAACCTTCCTGAGCGATATAAATAAATCTGGAATCTATGGGAGGACCCCAGCAACCAGATATCAGCTGGTCCTCAGACACCTTCGGCGAGATTTCGGAAGGGGTTCAGAAGACAGCTTTTTTTTTTTTTCCCGCGAAAATCGATATCGTTGGGTCATAGAGTGCTGGTAAGGACTGCGACACGAAAGCGGTAGATGGTTGCATCATGTCCGAGGTTGTGCATCGAAGGCGGCCGAAGCACTAGTCCAAGCTCGGTACGTAGGGCCGTCAGTTAATGAAAAACGCGTGGACGACGACGACGACGACGTATATGTATGATGCCCCATTAGCGTGCCGCCCTTCTCCAAGAATAGTTCACTATTGTTCATTAATAGCTCCAAGTCTACCTGAGATACACACGCTATTTCCAACCCATTAAGCAGCCATGAATGAGGAAGCACATCGAAAAATTTGTAACCTTGATTGCAAACCGAGTAGTCACTTCTCAAAGATGACTCAAGGAATTCTAAAGGCCAATTTTGAAAGGATGCATGAGCTAAATATAGCGTGCTCCATGAATATATCCAGTGAGGTCAATTTTGACACCACTTGGGAACCATAGAAGTCTCCAATTGAGGTGTCGTTGCAGCATACAACCGATGCGGTCATCGCCAGTCACTGGCAGTAAAGGCCGCTGCCCGTCTGCGCAGTAACGACATTTCTAATATAGAGAAGAAATTAGACTTTAATTGTACTTCACTCCAATGCCAGCAAAACTCTTCGCAGTCGCAAGCCATGTCTCGCAGCTTTCGAGAATAATCCAAGTTTCGTTGAGCCGATTCGATTTGAAACTCCGATACGCGGGCCTTCGTTGTCCTCGCTTTCCAACCAACTTGAACGAAGGATCAAGAAGCGCGAGTGAACAAGCTTCAAACACCGAGCCATGGCCATGCTCGATAAACTAGTAGTATTCCGTATTTCGAGGTCTGATGGTACTAGTATCCTCCTATGTCCGTCACCGCGGCCTCGTGGACCGTACTGAAAAAATTCCTGAATGAAAATGAGTGGCATCTGCTACGTACAGCGCTAGCAAGCTACCCGTCCATCTTCTTATCCAAACGGCAACCCCACAAGAAGACACACAAATTGGTTTCGAGCACGCATACGCTAAAATACATATACTTACTAACATTCAAGGAGGGTCTGGCCGCGGTGGCGGTGGCGGGACCCGCCTGGAGATGCGAGGGACGGGCTTAAGGGGAAACACGGCCGACGGCCATGGCTCCAAGTCATGCCAGTGGAAAATTATCCGAGTCCCTGGAATTGAGAATATATGAAAGTATATATTCGTAATCGAAGGAAAGCGTACTAGTCGAGAAGGTAGCTATTAGTGAGTAATCGCATCCTCTCATCATTGCGGCAGACGGATGCATCGTGGAAGCGGTGGACACGGTGATGAAAGTAAGCCCTACATATTATTACCAGACCACAGGGCATCAGCGAAAAAAAAAAATCAATCAAAGCCTTACGGAAAGATATGACGCTTGTAGCCGGCACCGGTATCTCCCGACGGCCAGGGGGTCTTTCGGGGTCCCATTGCGAAGGCGGGATGAATTGATTACCGTGTTCGCTTGATGCACTTGCGCACGTTCGTATTGCCAATATACCAAAATAATCGCATGTACCAGTGTAGGTGATGAATTCCGTATCCGAGCCTGTGATGGCGCGAAGAATTAGAGAGTATGTTTCCAAAATAGCGCAACCAACGATAAGGAACAGACGTATGGCGTTGTGATTGCGAATGAGATTAGTACACGTAGACCTGTTCTTTCCACGGCAAGTGTGAAAACTGGGTAACTCCGAGGACGGCAAGATATCGAGCGTCCAGGAGAACCGAGAATCCCTAGCTGGGACGTCCTGTGTTATTATCGTTACTGAATTAGCGGGAATTGTTGCCACCACTTACGATACTCGTTGATGAATGCTGGAGGATAGAACCGGTATTCTCGCTGACCTATTTCGAGAAGAGTGCACGAATCAAGTCTGGCAGAGCTTATTGCGTCCACTGAGTCGAGATACCAAGATGCTTGGGACTTGGATACAGTCTTTGCCGTCTTTGTCTTTTGTTGCGCTACCACCTGGCTGCGTCGATTCTGTTCCTGACTTCGAAGAAAAAGGGAAAAAAAAAAAAGGATAGCGCACTAAAACCAGGTACTCTGAACATCATTAATCCATCCAAGGCATGGAATGACAGTGAATCATCAGCCGGTGCCTGCCAATTTCACCAAGTCGAGTAACCCTAATGTTCGTCACTCAAAACTGAATACCGGGAGTTATGAAGATGTGTATCGGTCGCATGAGAGCCGGATAACAGACAGCGTACCCGAGTACTTGTGCAGGGCATTGGTACACGAATGCCTGGGAAGATCGAGCTGTAATGCGGGGCACTAAAAGGACACCATTATCTGATGAGCAGAACAAGATCAAAATCAGGCGTCAAAGAGATGGAAAGTTCACGAAGGATCAATAAACGCACAATGATACATAGTACAGGTACCGTTCCAGAGTACGCCATCGCCATCTTATGATAGCCGTGAGTCTCAAGTGCTGTGCAGTGTATGATCACCTGTACGGAGGAGGGTAGGAGGAATAGAAGTTTGAAAAAGCGCCGTCATAAGTTTAAATAGAGCCCGCTCCCATACCGCAAAGCCGGCATCTTGAATCCAAGAGGGACAAGGCGGAGTTCCAAGAGCCAAGAGGCAATTTTGCTGGCAGGGCCAAGCCATTGGAGGGATTTTCGCTGGTCAAAGTTCACGTCACGAGCCCGGAACCGCGAAATAAAGGTGCCTTTCCAAGTATGTGTCATAGAAACAACGAGAAAACTCCCCGCTTTCAACATTTGAAGAGTTATGGTACCGGGGGTCCAGTTAACGACAATGTTTCAATAGTAGAAGTTGTAAGCGCATATAGCAGACTGTTCGCACGCACGCACGCACGCACTGGAGTCGTCGAAGGTCGTATGACCACAGTAAACCGTTCTCCCGCCATGAGATGACTCAAGTGTGATCGGAGAGGTCCTGCTAGATCGGAGGGGAGGTGGAATTCAATGGGACTAGACTTTAGGAGAATCAGTGAACGAGAATGAAGGCAATTACTCCTCTCAAAGTTGTGTGCGGCCAATGCCAAAGTAATATCCCAGGGTTCCGGGTCGAGATCGACAAGAAGGAGGGGGGGGAAGGAGCAACGGTCATTTGAGCGAGTTCTGAGCGACTCGATGTCAACTTGCAAGCTGCACCAAATCCCCCAGTGCTCTTAATGAGCATGACGTGACGTCACTGGTAATCGAGTGGAATGGAATATGACTTTGATATCGCCTTTTTCGAGATCCTTGGAGTCCAAGATGGTCCTGATTGTCGTCCATTTCGATATTGTCAGAGAAGTGATGGGTTTCGGGCTACGAGGTCAGAATGAGAAGAGGCATAGGACGAAAGATTTCGAACTTTATAGACCTCGCAGTAGCCACGCCTTAGGACTACATATAATGGTACTATTTTCAGCGATGGAAGGTTCATGAGTGACACATAAGCTCACCTCTGTATCCCGTGCTCAGTGGCATGCTGTGTTATTTCATCTCGCAGAATTACACGTCGCGCGCACAGCCTTCCAGAGAAAAAATACACCTCTTTTTGGCTGCGATTGATTTCATGATCCTTCTCACCCGTAAAAAGATCCGGGTGGAAAACAATGCACCTGAGGGGTTACAAGGAAATTTTATGCTCACGAGGTCGTCACCAGACGTGCAGAAAGGAGGACACATTCTGCAACGAAAGGGAACACCTCTTATCCGAACTCGCATGAAAGGGACCGAAGGCGTCACAGGCCGGCACACAAAATGGGAATCCGCCCGAGAAAACCGAAGCCCCCGTCGATAAATGGAAGAGTATCTGATTAATCGATGGCGCTAATCGACAATGCTAACGAATTCGAGGGAGAGGCATGCTATCCTCGAGGCATTCTGATGCAAGACTGCGAAAATCATGATTGATCAAAGGGGTCGATGTTCAAAAAAGAAAGAGGGTTACGGCTTGCGTTTCTGATAAGCGGCCTCCGCCGATATTACGGTTTCGCAGGAGAGGGGTTACGGGGTAATCTGGAAAGCGGAAACTGCGGGTATAGGCGGAACCTGGACGCTGACACACTCGCACTCACCGTCACGGGCCGTGACAATGACAGATTTGGATGACGGCAGACAGCGGCATAACAAGTCAAGATACAGCACCTACACAGCAATTTAAATAAATCGGAGACATTTTACCATGATCACCATCGTTACCTTGAAACGAGACATAAGACATATAGGAACCCAAAAACCCCGGAATCAATTGCAGACAATACAGTACTAGACGATGCACGATGAACAGGAATCAGATATAATGATGTCGTGTATAACTAAACTACGATACGCTAGAGATGATAACCCAAAAATAAAATAATTGCAGTGTAAGTGGAAAAAAAAATGCAAGCTAAGTCGACACCTTGTGCCGACTAATCTTCTCGACGCCCGCCCCGAGCACTGTTTTCCGGGCGGCCTCATCGTCCTCTGACTCTTCTTCACCCTCACTGTACTCCTCATTGTCTGAATCATCGTCTTCACCGTCGGCATCCGTTGATTGCTCCTGTCGCATCACAAAGGCGGCCGGTAGCGTCACGGCTCGCAAGTTGTGTTCGCTGTCGTCAGGTGATATCGCCGAGCATGTTGGGTGGCCCGTCGGCGTCAATGATGATGACGGTGATGTTGGAGGCGATGGTAGTGACAATGCCTCCCGCTCCTTCTCCTTCTCCCTTGCTTCCCGCTCCTCCTTCTCCTTGGCTTCCCGCTCCTCACGCGCCTTACGCTCCCGCTCCTCCCGACGCTTCTTTACCCACGCCATTCCGCCGCCATCATCATCGTCGTCCCGGGCCTCACTCTGCAGCTTGCCCCACATCTTCCCACCCGCCTCCCTCGATGACTTCACGCTTCCCATCCCGCCATACCCCCATTCGACAAACTCTGGTTCGGCATCTGGAGCAGTAGCAAAGAGATTCCTTTCTCTCTGAGCTTTCTTTTGACCATAGACCCGCCCATTAAGCATCCGCGTTCCCTTTGCCGGATTTGGCGTATGTATAGTGGCTAGGAGGCCGTCGGTTTTTCGTGGTGGAGGCGCTCGTCCCTTCCGCTGTTGCTTCGGCACGTATGACTGAGTACTCTGCGACCTCCACAGCCCAGCATCAGCACTCGTCGTGCTCCCAGGGCTTGACCAACGAGAAAGTGGGTGCCCGTTCTCCTTTTCCCCACCCCGGAACATACTCAGCAACCTCGGCGTGGAAAAGCTCACAGGCCCAGTGAGGCTTTGTGTAGGCGTAAGCGAGTGCATGGAACTGGAGGCTGAACTAGACTGCGAGTCTCCAGAATATTTCTTCTTCGAAAACGCCCAGAAGGGTAATCGAGGAGTGGTATGGTGTTGTGGAGTAGGAAGGGCAGAGGTCGAGGGGGGCGAAATGCTAGTAGAAATGTCGCTCGCCGTGTCTGACGACGGTGGGAAGGGGGCTGAGAGGTCGGTCTCAGACTCGTCGTCGTCTGTCTGTTGGCGTGGGTCTGGTAATGGTGCGAAACGTATCTTAGCTCTCGACATAGTGAATGGTAGTGTTGGTGGTAGCAAAGGTAGTGGTGTCTGGCCTGCCCCGAGAACAGCCTTTCTCTTGTATAAGTACGATGACTAGACGTCTGATTCTTGGCATTTATTTATTACGCTTGGGTTTCCGGGGTCTCGATCGCGATCAACCGAGACCTTTTTTGGGTTGGTCTTTTTTGATTCCGAGAATCGAGATCTCATATTCGACTTGTTGCGGCGTTGCTGCGACCAGTTAGAAGAAGAAGGTAATACAGCCCTCCCCTTGTCGCCTCTGTTTTTTTTTTGTCTCCCGATGGTATGTTATCCTCGAAAAGATACTCGGCTTCCCTCTCCTACCCTGGGTCCGCCTCCGTCTCTTACGTATCCCCCGCTCCTACTCGTAGTCGTCTTATCCTAATCGTAGATGAACGTGCGCCCGTTCATGCACGCACTTATCTCTTTATTCATTCACGGACAACAGGCTCTAGCCACATCCCTCGCCTGGATCCATTAGCACCTACATCGCAAATTCTTCCTCCATTGCCAAATGCCCCTCTCATTCATGACATGCAGTTCTGTAAGCTGTTGATCCAAATTCCAATGTTGATGGTTCATGGATCCCCTCTATCCATCACCCGTTCTCAGGGCCCTTCCTATCCTCTCTGCAGGGGTGTGAAAATTTTGGCCTTGACAACACACGCGCACACCGGTAATACGCATATCAGATCTCACACGCTCCCAAGACAAGCGTTTAAAGCTATCGTTGATGATGTCCCCTTAACCGCCCCTTCCAACGCAGTCGCGGCGATTCAAACGTAGGCGAATGTGTGTCAAGTTCCCTTGAAGTTGTTAAATTCTACATTTTCAGAAGATAACCGATGACCGGTAATCGCTTTCTGGGGCCAGACCAGGTGTGCGCATGTACCGCCATCAATCACCAAGTGTTCAACATTTCGAGCGAAAGAACGACAACAGGCTCCTTCGAGAGTCACTTTCGAATATTCGAGACAAGGTGCACTTCGCTTGGTCTTCGGCTTGTGATTGCCTGTTCGAGCACATGGACCCTCAAATTCGACGACCCATGGCCAAATATCCAAACAAGTCCGAACCCAAATCATACCCCCACCTAGAGTCGCCAATAGTGTGGATCATAAAATGCATAAACCTTGAGCTGTTTGTGTTTTCATGTGATCGTCCCCTCACTCGTTATCAATAACCATCGACCTTCAGACCACCGTTATTTGGAATTCCCGGCTGACTGTGCCGTATGTCTTATGGCTCGTACCTTAATACTGTCTTCCTCCTAAAAACGACAATGCTGTGGCACCAAAGCTTGGCATCGCCGGCCGTTTGCTCAGTCTGAGGATGTACTCGTATGATCATCGCCGCTTTCTGGCTGCTAGCTCCACCGCAGTACCTCAGGACTCATGGTACGCCGACAAGACGCACACAACTAATAATTCACCACCCCATACAGTGCTCTACCGCCATATCCGCCACATTTTTAACCCATCTCCTGGTCTTGGTATGCTTGGTATCTTGATCATCACTCCTGCGGAAGCCCATATCGCATCTGTGCCTGCGTATTAGTACATGTATTGCCGGCACAGTTGTTCATACTTTGACCTCGAGTGTCTCGAATCGGGTATGTCTTAAGTCTGGAGGCGGGTAGAATAGATGCTCAGCCGTAAGTCTCCAGAAGGAAGCTTGCGAAGAATACTACCAATAATCGGGCCTAGTCCTTGTATGTCTGAGTGTTCCTCCTTCAGTGCTCACTGAGTGAACTGTGGATCGGCTGCCCAAACAGGAGTTTTGAGGGGGTCCTCCCTGATCTATCTTTGGTATAGTTTCAGTTCTGTCGACATCTTGTTATCTTTCAACGAAACTGTTTGGATACGCCAGCGCTCTACGATCATAATTGATGTTGAGCGTACCAATCGATCTCAACCATGTTTAGTCTTCTACTTGCTCCGGTCGAACATGCATGCCCTCGAGAACTTGGCGCTCACATGACCGTTGCCAGCGTCCATCCTACTGGTCCGCAACGGCAAACTGCACATCCTTTCCCCGTTACAAAATATGCAGGTTTCCCTCGGCGTTCAGGGACTCCTCGGGACCTTCCCGCTGGTGTGTGTCGGGTCAGAGAGTATATCCAATCCTCCCGTATTCATATCATTCATTCCATAACACGGGTCGCATGACAGGAAATTAACCATTCAGTTCTAGGGTAAGTTTTGTGGTCAAGGCTCTTGCCATTAGCGATCGTTAAATGCGTTCAATTCCCCAGGACCTGCTGGAATTGCTAAGGTTCGTTATCGATATATACAGCTTCTTCATTGATGGGACACGGTTGCCCACACACATGCTTGCATCGTGGATATCATTTTTCTCCCTATACTATTCTCCATAATATCTACATCTCGCGTAAAATCATCAATCCGTCATACACCTAACAGCGTTTTTTTCTGCCCTGTTGACATCGCGACACAGCTATCTATCCCTTACTCTCATCGGAATTCCTACCTCGGCCGCATAAGGAACCGTGCCTTCTTTTTTCTCTCTGGCCCACGACACGCCCGAGAGCATGTCCTATTCCCAACTCGAACGTGCGTTTTCAGGCCAATAAACTCCTAGTCTATTCGAGGAATACTGCATGCTACGTCTCACCCTGCAGCATTTGGACCCCAGGACTCGACCCTGCAGCAACCCCTTGAAAGACGAGTCTCACCTCCACACCGGGTTCATTATTTCTTAAACAGGGGAGAGAGAAATTTTATAATCGGCATTGTGATGACGACCGCCCACAGCCACGTTTTAGTTGAGAAACTTCTCCGGCAGAGGTATGCGCGGCTGTCTTATCTTTATATTAAACTTGACTAGCGGAAGACTCTTTATCTCTCTACAGCTCCTCTTGGAATTTTAAACTCTCCAGCAGATTCGTCATGACGTCAGATACCAGCTCTTCTTTGGATGGCATGTACTTATGTCATTCACTTTGGAGAGCTTGCGGACGGAGAGCTTGCATATTCGGACATTCTGATGTGTTCGCTCCTGCTTGGCGGCTTGGCTTGTAGATCGATTGCGGTCCCGGCAGTGCCTGTGCCACATTTACTTCGGGTGTGTTCTCGGACCTTGAGCTTCGTAATTGACTGTATGAAAAACCCACCTACGGGAATGTCGGTGTGGCAGAATGCTTACTACTACCTCCCACGACTTCCGTAACCGATGACGCGATCCAGGATCCTGTCTGTGCTTAGTGAGCTTTTTGAGATAACGAAATCTCAGGTCCTCTGATACACTCTTTTTTATCTTCATCGCATTGGCGCGTTCACGCGTGACGTATGCGCGTCTTGGCGATCTCTCTTCGGGGATTCCTCAAGGTGGAATCATACTGACCCTGCACGAGAACCTCTGAAACGGCTTGCTGGTCCGGTGGCGGCGGCGCGACGCCGTTTTGTATCTGGGAGGGAGGTCTAGACCTTCGATCTCTCAAAAAAATTAACGTTCAATTGTGACACTGTACGAGCCGACTGGTAGACAAGGGGTCTAGGTTTGCAGTTCTGGGCATAGTGCGTTTTCATTGATCGCAAAGATGTGAGTTGGTGTCGCGTCGTTGGTGCATATAGCACGACTTGCGCCTGACACTTGCTCGAGCACGAATTCAGATCCTGGTTTTAGGCCCCCCAGGGACTGGAGGGCAATGGAAGCCTTCAGTTCTGCCCTGCCAAGTTCAAATCGCTACCCCACAATGCCTCATCGCTGTACGATCACTGATCAAGAACACTTGTAATCAGATTTACATCTTGGACGCGGACGAACGAAAACTTCAACGGCAAGTAGCGAAACCCTGACTAGCTACGGTGGTATTTCGAGCTTCTACAGCAGATCTGAACCTTAAGACATTGCGGGGATTCAGTGATGCCCTTCTGCAGCTCAAAGAAGGTGGGCGCAGGGGAGTATTGAACTGGAGGAGACAGAAAGGAGAAGATCTGTAAAACGCCCGGTAGGAATGCGAGTGAGGGCAGAGAATAGTAATACTTACTGGTACCGAGCGTCTAGATTCCAGCGATGGCGGCTCGGCGTTCTCGTTATTTTTGTACCGCTCCAAACAGCAAGCTTCAGTATCATTAAGGATGTCCTTACCGCCTGTGCTTCAGACTACTAGTATTTCTCAAGCCTAAACGATCCAACTAACACCAGTGATCGGAGAGTGTTATCAACAAAGCAGTTGTGTCCCTTACTGTGACTGGAATCAATAGTAGTAGTCAAATTAGTGGGTCATATCTATGGTCTTTGAGCAGGGACTGGCCTGGACGGACGAAAAAAGGCTTTTCATTTCATTCGTAAACCGGAGGCTGTATATCCTTAAGCTTGAGGGCGAGACCACAGGCGAACTTGTCAGGCAGAAACATGTAAGGAGGCCCAGGTAGCCTGGCGAGCCGGCTTTATAAATACTCGCGGTACTCGTAAGGTAATCCATCACATGTTGGAGCACAAACACGTTCAAGTAGCAAGACGGTGAATACCGCATTAAGTACCTGACTGTACGTATGGAAATCCGTTTCTACAGCCATTAGAAGAACCACTGTTTGCTGCCGGTGTAGCCCAATGGTAAAGCACTGTACTTTAAGCCCTAAATCTAGGGATGGTCAGGAACTTGAGGTTGTTGTTCTATAATAGATATCAATGAAAGGTCAATGTTGCCCGCATAGCTCAGTGGTAGAGCATTGTACTTATGAGGTTACCAACCTGTTTGCTTGATACAAGGGTCTCCAGTTCGATCCTGGGTGGGGGCATATTTTGCGGGTATGCTGTAAGACTTCTTTTTTTCGTATATCTAAGATATTTAATAATGAGTTACGTCACATATCCTTTATGGCATTCTCGCTAAGTCTGTGCACAGACTCTTACAGACTTTGTGTCACCGCATGGAACATTGCCTGTGCGCTATCTCTGTCCATGCACAGCGCCTGTGCATAGAAACTTATTTTACTCCCAAAGCCAGGTACTTCCGGGCACGTGAGCATAACATTGAATTTCAACCCAACATCTTTGTTCACCTACGGTCACTCGATGATAGGAGTCGTCTGCGGCGCGATAGCCTCCATTAGAGATGATATTCGTTTTATTACTTCTACTGTTTTAAACTTTACGGTTTACCGTTTGATGCAATAGACAGTGTCCAACTTTTCGTTGACACTTATGATAGACATAGCTTCTCTTCCCACTGATATGCGACAGTGGAGCCCATGTGTACTACTTCCTGTCTTTGGGTTCATGAACTCCACTAAGTATAGCGTAAACATTTTGAAATGTCGTTGAAGAGAGATGTGGGGCTCTGAGTCAGAACTCTCAGGCTGATAGCGCACTTAAAAATTGAATGGCTTACTTATCTCCAGGTCCTTCGGAAGGCGACAATCGACACGGTCGAGCCTGAATTCGCTCGGTATCAATATATTATAATTACTGGCCTTGTGTTTTGTGCGTACGTTACCTTGGGCATATCCATAACTTCTCAGTGGTCAGGAGAACAATACAGTGGAACGCCACTGAAAGAGAACCTCTCGTTGTTTGAGAAGACACCCGTACCCTCTGCTGATATAGTGTCCAGAAGCGATCATTACATTGTGTTCCGTTGAGGGCATCGAGCGCTATCGAGACCCCATCATGATAAGTACGTATGGCATATCCGTGGGCGGTCTGGCGAAACCAGAGTTTCTCCGCAGAATTACCGATCCACTGTCTCAGATAACAAGAGTGCTAGGAGTCCCAGACGTCTATTGAGTCACTGGTACGAAAGGCTGTCCACATTTGAGAAAGTGGCTGTAAGTTCGATGAGGAGTCCATCAGAGCCTAAAAGCTGCATAATTTCGGCGAGCTAAATGCAACTCAATATCTTATTTGTCTGTATTTCAAGCTTCAAGAGTGAACGTTTGTACAGCCATAAGAATGATCCAGGCCCGCGGTGTATTAGATGGTAGCTGCACAAAATGCCAATCATAATCATATTCTGCTACTCCAAAAGGTAGTGCGTTGGCTACGAGCAGAAAGCTTTAGATGAGATGCGCGGTAGATATAACAAGCAGATACAGCATCGAGTTACATGTGGCTCTGTTAGAGGCTATCAGCCAGATGAGGAGGAACATCAAGAGAGCGATTTAGACCAGGCCACAGTAAGGTTTTGTGACGCATACGCGGGAGGCGCATAGACCTTGGAAGTACGTAGGCACCAATTTTCGAGATGGTGCGTTTGGTAGAATGCGTGCTCTGCTAGAGCGACAGCAATTGCGGGAAAGCTTCGCGAATGTTACAATTGTATTAACTGAAGAGTAGAATGGGCAAAAGAAAGACTCGTACGGCTGCATGCAAGTCAGAGAAACATTTAAACACACAAGGGTTTACCATTTGGCGCCGCGACTTCCTGCAAGCGGTGGTGATGGCGCTTTGTTCGAACATTCAAATTCAATCGACGTCATCATTGCTGGTTCGATTCTTACGACCATATAGTGCTGAATTAGTTGCAGTCAGCTCCCAGTCGTATACCAGTGTTTTCTAGGTGTCAAGGTTTTTGAGCCATTGTCTGGGGTCCTCCGGGCCTCCGTTTTCACCGAGATTTGGGAGAAGAAAGGTTTAGGCTGCCCGGAGAAGACTAAACTTAGTTGCGGCAAGCTCAGCCACAGAACACAAGGATTCATATCCTTCTGCCCGCCTCCTAAGACAAGTTTAAGTTGCACTTCAGGCTTTCCACTGTCAGAGGTCAGCGCTTCAGCAGCCGCGGCAGTGCCGATGATATCCTGAACATCAAATCAGCTCCTGACAGGTGAGCATCTATAAGCAAGGGTGACACGATTTGACATTTATTTTCCCAGTATGCGTTCGTCAAACGGAGCTATCGCTTAGATGCATAACTGGATTATTTTCTGCTACAGATCCTAGGTCTTTCACTTCCCAAAAGCGGGCGTTGCTAGGCTTTTCATTCGCGCTCGTGACTAGTTCTCGCAGCCATTTAGGATGTACGGATTCTCTAGATGCCAGACACCGTTTTTATGGTAGTTCAGGTAGACCGGCTTTCCAGAAAGGCTTTAGCGATGTACGGTCTTGTGCTCATATAGACCTATGCTTACAGACGCGGTGCCTCCGTTCAAAACAGATGAGGGTCGTGGATCACTAGGTGGTATTATTATTAGCTGCAATCCCAATGGTGCTTTCCGTTATTCTGCCGCCAAAATCGAAGAAAAAAAAAGGTCAGTGCAAGTGGACAAATGGATGATGCAAACGTCATTCAATGATTTCGCCTGATTGCAACAGCTGAACGCAATTGGTCTCACTTCATATAGCTTCCCCGGGTAGACTCGTCCTCTTACTTCACAGGGATAGTAATCAGGATATTCAGGATGATTGTCAATATCAGCAGTTGTCCATCCAGACAATACATAACCCTCCTGAGCCCTCGGAGACAATATACGTTTTGGTGGCGTAGAGGTGTACGCCACTCATCAGATGATTTGTTGATGAAGATATGTGCATCCTTTTTCCCTTCATTCGGTGTTGGGTTGCGAGAAAGCGTGAAAGCCGGTCAGAGCCGAGACTGAGACTGATCACGTGAATTACAAATATTATGAGTCATCATTGCCAATTTTGATCACCACAAAATGACAGAGCGAACACGTCCGGACGCGGAATACGGTACGGACAAAGAGGAGGATATAAATCAGCAGTCGTGGTAATCCTGGCGTTCCAATCTCCCACCTTAACCTTTATTCGCAGGTTATCCCGCGTGAGTTATTTTTTGTCTCGATCTCCTGCGCCTTTATTCACTCGGGAGTCGACGTCACCGATAGATCACATCGACTCTCAACTTGCAGAGAACCATCACCACCATGGCACCTCTTCCCATTTACAAGGAACCCACGACAGACCAGTATGATTTCGTCGTTATCGGTGGTGGTAGTGGAGGCAGCGCGTCCTCGCGGCGAGCTGCGTCGTATGGAAAGAAGGTTGCCGTTGTCGAGGTGACATCCCATCTAGGGGGGACCTGTGTTAACGTTGGTACGAGCATATATCCAGCGGCCTTTCTGTTTCTCATACTTGTCTGACTGCAGGATGTGTTCCCAAAAAGATTATGTGGCATGCTTCCGACATTTTTGAAAAGACCAAGCACGCCCTTCCTGGTTATCATATCACTACTCCCAACTCGCCCAGGTTCAGCTGGGAGACGTTCAAGCCCCAGCGAGATGCATATATCCACAAGCTTAACGGAATTTATCACTCCAATTTCACCAAAGAGGGCGTCGAGTACCATCGCGGTCATGCAACGTTGGTCTCAGACACAGAAATACATGTTGAGCCATCTGATGGTGGCAAGCCATACACGCTAAACACATCGCATATATGCGTGGCGGCCGGTGGCCACCCTATCGTTCCCAGCGAGGACACGATCCCCGGCGCTAGTCTGGGTATCACATCTGACGGATTCTTTGAATTGGAGAAGCAACCTAAACGTGTTTTGGTTGTAGGTGGCGGATACATCGGTGTTGAACTCGCAGGGGTGTTGAATGGACTTGGTAGCGATGTAAAGGTCGTCATTAGAGGGCAGAGGATCCTCAGGGGCTTCGAAACCGACGTCGTCAACGTCGTGGAGAAGTGCATGCAAAACAACGGTATCACCATTACCAGAGGCGCGAAGGTCAAAAAGGTCGAGGGTCAGCCAGGGGAAGGCACAGAGAAGACGGTCTATCTGGACAACGGCGAATCTCTCGTCGTTGACACCCTTCTCTGGGCTGTCGGACGTGCGCCCAACACTCCTGGACTCGGTTTGGAAAAAGTTGGCGTCAATCTTGATGATAAGGGCAACATTGTCGTCGATGAGTACCAACAGACAAATGTTCCCAGCATCTCGTCGATTGGAGACATTCAAGGCAAAGCACTGTTGACCCCTGTCGCTATTGCCGCTGGGCGCAGACTCTCCAATCGACTTTTCGGTGGAGAAAAGTTCAAAAACGACAAACTTTCATACGAGGATATCCCCACTGTAGTCTTCTCGCATCCTCCTATTGGGACAGTAGGCTTAACCGAAGACCGAGCCAGGGAGAGGTATGGAGATGACGTGAAAATATGTATGTATATGCCCGTCGTTTTGAGAGCTCGCGCTGAGTGGATGCTTTAGATAAATCCAACTTCCGCGGCTTATTCTTCTCCATGCTTGATGAGGAACACAAGGAGCCATCGTTCTATAAGCTTGTTTGTGTCGGTCCAGAAGAACGCGTCGTTGGTGTCCATATCGTCGGCATGGGTAGCGATGAGGTGCTTCAAGGATTCGCCGTCGCGGTCAAGCTGGGTGCAACAAAGCAGGACCTAGACGACACCGTCGCCATCCACCCGACTAGCGCTGAAGGTCAGCATTTTTTGTTTTATCTTGGCGCCATTGTAGACTGATTATGAACGTATAGAATTGGTTACATTGCGTTGAAGTGGCATTATTGAATACTAAAAACAAGTGTACAACTTAGATTGATCTGTATCATAATCTGACTTGAGATTTGTGACTATAGATGCGGTCGATGATGGTCGTAAGAAGCAACCGGGTAAGTCGTAACGTTGCAAGTACTACCACTCGGCGCAGTTTCTTTCCTGTTCACGGCCCTTTTATTCACACAAGTTCCATCGATTTTCCCAGCCAGCCTATCTCAGCGATGGGTCTTCATAATTTTCCATGCTCCATGTGTTCTATGTGGGGTGGATGAAAGAAGGACCAGCCATGGTCATGATACATGATGATTTCTCTTTCTGCGAAGACTACAATTGGAGTAACAAAGTACCACCTCTTAGGCGCTCTCGGTGCCGCCAGTATATTCATCGGCTGCGAGGCGATCCCAAAAAGTAGCGAGCTACATAGAAGGGATCGACCTTTTCACTGAACTAGACCTGCCCCTTTAATGAGCAACGTCTGTTTGAAGGGGTATCTTATTGGATTCATATCTAAATACAGTGCTAACACAGTTGGGCTGCAACGAACCCAGCATGTTCTTTGGCTGCGTTAACAATAGGATCGGCGGATGTGGGATGGTTCGGTAGATTTCAGGAGTATGTATCAACCCGCTTCGTTGACGTCTGGAATTGTCACTGAGATTCTCCGAGTTCCTATGTCTGACGCTGCAGATGGACTTTTGCGTCATGACGCTATCGTTGTTCTCTCAACTAACACCACAGGCCAATCATGCTCTGAAGATTGATATTGAACCCCAGTGGTAGCACGAGTTGGTACGCGTTTGTACAACGACCTATACGACGAGAGCTTCTGGCTTTCATGCGAAAATTTGACATCATCTAGAATCATGCGTTACGTATAGTCAGCTGCAGAGAAGGTCTTAAAAATGAACTCTAAATTCTGCCCGAAGAAGAGGGTAATGGTCCAAATGACAGACCTCCGAAGGTTGCCAAGTTCAGTGAGCAAGCGACTTCTGCCGCTGTGGGCAGTGGGCGACGTGCTCCTACTTTTGAAAAACAACAGACAGACGTGAGAGAACACCGAAGAATCAATTCTAGAAGATCGAGACGTGAGAAGTATGAACACTGGTGCCGATGGAACTGGTGTGGGTATACTAATGGAGCGGTAAAATATACAGAAAAGGTATCAACAAATATTAGGGTATTATCAGGCCCAATAATACACAGTATACGCGATGGCTAACTCACCATCAGCATAAGTTAGCTGATTAATTATATCTATACAGCGCACCGCCGAAAGTTCATCGAGGTTATTACCATATCCACCCGAAGGCCGTTTACATATTGGGGCCCTTCAGTGCTTGCTACCGCTTCCCGCTGTTGGCATTTTCCAAACGTTTCTTCCGACATGCCTCGCAGAACCTGCCACCCGTAACCTCCTCTTCCGGATGGGGCACAGAAGACGAAGACGCAGACGGAGATGAGGGTGGGGGGACAGTCCAATCGAAGACGCCGTCATATTCCACGCCTACGCGGTTCGCCAGACCACGAAACAATTCCCTTAGTCCCTCATAATCGGGCAAATCGTCAAATGACAAAGTCCGCGCATATCTGAGACTCATATTAACAACAGTAGACTGAAGGATCAGATGAACATACCTATATAGGACATCGAACTCAGGCGGTAGTCCTTGCGTCAACTTCTCCTCGGCTTTGAGTTTAGCGTCGCGGATTAAATTCCACGTTGCAGTGACCGGATTATATGGAGGAAAATCTGGTGTACCAGGGGGTGGATGAGTTGGTGCACGCATTTTCCGCCAGGGTAGTGTTCCCTTGAGGAAATAAATTAGCATATATGCCAAGGACTCTAGATCATCCCGTCGCGAAGATTCTATTCAAGCTGTCAGAATCGTCCATTGAAATGAGCACATTACGTACCGACTCCTAGATGTGTGTTAATAGCAGCAAAGAGTGATGTCCCCACACCATGCACGTCGTCCTGCTTGTACGGAATATGCGCTGCCGTCCGCGGGTCGCGAAACTTTTTGGCAAGACCAAAGTCGATAATATTGACCTGGTGAATGGATTTGCCAATGCCCATGACGAAATTAGCAGGCTTAATGTCGCGATGAAGCAGCGAGTGAGAATGGATATATTGGATCCGAGATATCTTCAAGTGGTCAAAGATGAGCTTCGCGTCAATTGGCGCCGGAAAATGAAAACAAGAGACGCACCAATTGATCTGCCAGCAGTAATACTGTCTTCAACGAGAAACACCGATTGCACATTCGGAAGAGATCCTCCAGCGAGGGACCCAAGAGGTCGATGACCATGACATTGTAGTCGCCTTGTTTTCCTGAATACATGATCCACGGAACCCCAGGACCGCCCATTAGGCGCTTATAGATCTGCGATTCGAGTTTGAGTGGAGAAGGTCCCTGGTGGTGGTGGTGCTGTGGAATATCGGGATCAGAGTGGCGACGTCGTCTGCTACGTTTGGGTTCCGATGGCTCGAGCTTGATTGCAACTGGCTTGCCGGCGACATTATGTGTGCCCAAGAAGACAGCACCACAGCCTCCATTGGCAATCTCCTGTTCGAGGCGGTACTTGCCACCGAAGGTATACTCCATCGTCGGAAGGTGATGATGAGATGCCTGTTTTCAAACAAAAGGCGTGTTAAAAATTCCCACGGCAAGGTTTCGCCTGCTGTTCTGTTTTGGGTTGAACACGATGTCGTGACTTTTTTCATGACCATTCACTCTGGTTACCAGCCGAATACCACGGGCGCAAACGACTCATTCAGGATAAATATAAATGATTATGTGCCCTTGACGAGCCCTGCTAACGTTCTCATCAGTGCATACTCGAAACTTCTCGATTTGTCGCCATGGCCCGGATGCTGTTGCTGCTGCGGTTTTCTATCTGCCCCTTCCTTCTCACTCTCGTCGTCGTCTTCACCCACGGATTATCTGTGACTATTGCTTCGGACCTTGAGCTTTGAGACTTGAACAATGCCTGCGTTTGGTGGCTTCATTTTCCTACAGGCGCATAAACTTTTATGCTTATATATTCGAATTGTTCCGATTCCTTTGACGACTGAGTGTTTTGGAACGTACCGTGTTGGGGTGGCGTCGTTCTGCCTAGGCCGTCTCTCTCTGTTAATTACGATGGTTGTCTGCCCCGCTGCTTCGTCTCTGATCGACCTTTGTTAACGTGACTTGACCTTCAGTTTGCTTATGGTGCTTATCTAAGCTCACCACATGTTCTATCGCCCAAACTTCGGAGATCTAGGTGCTACGAACAGTGCGCCTTCCCCACTCCCTTTCATCCATTCCGGCAATGCCAAGGCGAAGATCCTGTAACTATCGCCGAACGTTCTGGCCCGTGATTATAATGGACGGTAGACCTCGGACACTCCTTCTTGTTGCTTCAAAAGTGCCTCCCCAAAGGTCTGGTATATAAAACTGTCGGGTAACAAAATATCCGCAGCTATGAATCGACTGTATTCGAAACTAAGCTACCAGATTTTGCTGCAAGCGAAATAGTTTTGTTCCGCGGCCTGTGTATCTTGAACCCCACACCGTTGTCTAGGTCTGTAGTTACTAACTAACCGAGTTACTGATTTTCGCTTTGGAACATTTGACGGCCAGCTGATATAGTTTTTTTTTTTTTCTGTTATCGAAAATGATATCAGAAACTTTGTTTGGACGTGAAGCCTACATCTACGGGATCAAATCCTTCAATGATGGCCCTGTCCTGTCTTCACATCATCCTGGGAAAATGTTCTTCATCGAAGTCTGTCCTCATGGATATCATCGTCTCGCCTTTCCACAAGCTCCTCACGTCCAACGATTGTCCGACGGAAGAGGATGTCCAGAACATTACCCGATTCTGCGCCGAACCCTCGGGAAGGATCCGCATCCTAGATGCAGAGATTGCAGATTTGCAGGAAAGGTTCAATTCCCTCATCTCCAATGCCAGATCTCTACAATCACAGCTAAGAGTCGACGAACACCTCCCCTCATATTTTACGGCGCTTCTCTTACCCAGGGAAGCGCAGCAATCCTTACTTGTCCATGTATCAGAGATGAACGACCATCATGAACAGGTGTCAAATATCATTGATGTCGAGCTCATCAATTTACAGGAAATGATTCAAACACTCTCCTCTGAGCGCGAAGCAGTGCAGTCCAATTTTTTGGTTGCCGAACACCTCGCCATTCTCTCACCTCTTCGTCGCCTACCCACAGAGTTGCTCCAGAAGATTTTTCTGTATTGCATCGGTGACAAACCATTCCAGGATATTTGGCCGGAGGGTGGGTATGCTTCCGAAGCACCCGTTGTATTTGGGAGGGTCTGCAGTCGATGGCGAATCGTTTCCTTTGGCACCCCCACTCTGTGGTCTTCACTGAAGATTACTGTCTCGCGTGTTGCAGACGCCCCCGATTGGGCCGCTCCTGAGAGTCGAAAGATTCTCAGGGCCTGGTTGAAAAGGTCAGGGCATCTGCCCTTGGATGTGTGTCTATCAGCGAGCCGGACAAGCACGGCAGCGGAGCTAAGAGACGTGATATATTGCCTGGGCCTCCCACATTGCTATCGTTGGAGGCGCATCGTTTTGACACTCCCTATGTGTTTCAGCGATCATACAGTTTTTGATGGCCTCTGTTTTCCGTTGTTGGAACGGTTTGTCTTGCATATCTGCTCCCACACCATGTACAGTCCTACCGCTATGAGTGACCTCTCTTTTTTGGAGAGAGCTCCCCAGCTTCGCGGATTCAGAATCACGACATCCACAGCAGCACTCACCAGCTTTCCTCGGGTCCCTTGGCATCAGCTTGTCGAAATCCATATTGACGTTGGAGAGAAGTGGACATTCCATGGATCCAAGTTGTGGAAGGCCCTGGCTCAGTGCGTCAAGCTAAAGTCATTGCAGTTGAAGACGGCAAATCATTACCCTACTCTCCCAGGTCCGCAACCGGCATCTTCCCCTTATCGAGTGATGCTCCCCGGCCTGCGCGATTTCCACGTTTCAGGCAGAGAGCCATCTTCATTCACTTGGTTGCCATTATCTCAAATATTCGATAATCTTAATCTTCCAAAGCTGGAGAGTTTGGTCATCGGGGGAGGTAGTACTGGCGGTCTGTGGGAACGGACCTATCTGCAGTCATTTCTTTCGCTAAAAGGCTTACTGCAGAGATCGACGTGCCCATTGACTACCCTGTCACTCGATAAATACATCTCCGCACCCTCCCATACCCTACTTCAGTGCCTCTCACTTGTCCCTACCCTCCGCAAGTTGATAGTACGACAGAGCAGGGACTGTGGCAGGGATTTGATCGTTGATGATGATTTCCTTGAAGCTCTAACGCCGGGAACGTTATGCCCAAAATTACAGGTTCTGATTTTGGTAGACAGTGGCGTGTATCAAGAGGACGCGCTGGTTAGACTTTTGCGAACACGGTGTAACCCACCAGCCGGGGTGGCGAAACTGCAAGGAGCTTCTATCTCTTCTCATCGTCCCAAATCCCACGCTGATGAACAGATAAGGAGTTTGGGAAACTCTTTCACAATACATCGAGTATAGCCTCCTGAGTTTTGATGAAGGGGAAGAGTCCATCGGGCGTGGACAAGCACCTATTCAGACTGCTTTCGTTCAATTATTCGAAGATGTCTTATGCCTATTGTCTAAGTGCACTTAATGCCATCATAAATTCTCCGAAATAATAACCGATACAACCCAAACCGCCGCGTACAAACTTTGCCCTATATACTCATAAACTCGTAAACATTCTTCTTCCATCATGTCGACATGCACCTATCAACGGACAAATCCTCTGGATTACCCCACCAATACGGGAAGGCCACCTCTTTGTTGCTGGCACCAAAGACCGCAAAACTGAGGATAAACAAAATGACTTGACTTCCACCGTCGAGCGCCGCAGACGTCAGATAGTTGTACTTCTTGAACCAGCCAGGTCTGTGCTTCCTTAGCCACCACTGTGAGAAGAACCCAATCACGAAACACGACCACCACTGTCCGTTAACAGAGTATGGGAGGCTACAGATCGATTAGACTTAGAATGATCGATCACGAACATCGCACTTACTATCCTATGTATAAAGTGATGATAGGAACGTTGATGTACTTCGTTGTCTTTGCGAGTGTGCTCCCTGGCTTCGAGTATCGATGTACGAGCCAGAACGGGATCGGGCAGAACAGACCAATAAACCTAAGTCGACGTGACGTCAAAGATAAGAGAGGACCAATGGAACATAGACGCACATGCCAAACGGAATAATCCAATATCCGGATTCCTTCCCGTAGGTAAAGAGCTCTTTACCTAAAGCACCCATTGCCACAGAGCTAGAATTGACGGATTGGATAATCCATCCACTCCACTATGGAATTTTGTGAAGAAAGAGGATATAAGCATTGGTACAGTACTTACCACACGTGTCCCAGTGGGGTCTTTCAATACAGCTCTGTTGTTTGTTACAATCGTATTCATCACTGATCAAATGAGACTTAAGTCAATTCCGGCGATGGCAAACGACGAAGGAATACTCACTTGTGTAGTTGAAGATCGCTCCAATGATGGATCCGGCCTGCCAAAGAAAAATTGTCAGACATTCACAAACCAAAGCGAGCAAAGACGAACCATTTGGGCGGCGAAGGTGATTCTTGGTGGCAGCTTTGTGTACTGTCCCAATTTAAGATCTATTACAGTAATTTAGAAATCAGACGCAGAGCATAATATAGGCGGACCTTGCAACATATATAACGTCTGCCATGCGGAGCTGTTTCCGAACAAGTTGGCATACATGACAGTGCTGAGAAAACATAAGTACTTTAGACTGTCTTGGCGCCGAAATAAATTAGACACGCACATCGGCTCGCCGGGATGTATAAAGGCAGCTATGATCTGCACTGCGTACTTCAATGAAATGTTGAATCCAGTGGTAGCCGTGACTATACAGGTCATTCAGTAACATAGATCCCCAGATGGAGTGGAACCACTTACTAAATCCCAGGAGCGTAGCCATGAAGAAACTAAATACTAATTAACCACATGCATTTTCAGGACATAGATATTTCAAAGCGGCATGAAGCTGGCATACCCGTGAAAAAGATAATACTCCAAGCCGGAATCAAGACATATCCTCCCGGACCAGCATATGCCGTTCCGATAGCGACCCCTATGGAAACAAGAAACAGTACACCGTAAACCCATTGAGGGACCTCCTCTGCGTTTACAGTCAGTATTCAGCTTCGCTAGTCCGCTTAATAACAATTTACTATACTTCTTCATCTCTGCCAAAACAGTCCCTGTCAGCTTCAAACCTTACAACAATTAGGATGTCTCACCATTATAATGCGGATCATCTATATCTGCGTGTCCTCTCTTCAAGAACCTGAACCCACCGAAGGCAGTCCTCAACTCCTTCCAATGCCAAAGCAACACATACGTTACCGCGCTCCCGAGTGAGAGGTTGTAACACAACTGACTGATAGCATAAGTCGTTGTGTAACGCGGAAGACCGACTTCTGCGATTGCAGTGGCATTAAGATGGTAGCTCGAGTCGATAACGGCAGATTGATCATATGTGTCCCCATCCTTGCCGAACAGAGAAGTAGACATCCAAAGAATATCACGTCCATTAAAGACGTTCGTGTAATAACTTGCTGTCAGGACGATATATCCCAACAGCATGCCGACTATAGTAGACAGCAAACGTTAGGGCACGTCGATATCAATGACTCGGAGTATAGACGCACTATAAGAGTTCACCTCTGCAGCATGTAGATCAGAATACACGTTTACGAAAGGAGATAGTGATGCACGCACGCGTCTGGAGAGGCCACACCAAGGGGTAACCTTGGGTAATCAAAGTCCACGAGAGACCAAATGAGAAAAGGCCGATGCCCTCGTTACTAGATCCTGCCCCAAAGAGGTTTCGTACAAATGCGTGCCGTCCATTATCTGCAAGACATATAATTGAGATAGCGGTGAGGAGAGGAAACTTCGACGCGAAATGTTAGTACTACTACGTAAAAGATAAGTGGGAAGGACACAAACGGGGTATTGAGGGATCCATTCCCAGAAGAAGATAGCACCAAACTGGACTCTCATTTAGACATCTTACTTGAGCGCAAGGACAGACGAGTTAACATACAACGATCCAGAAGTACTTTCGCTTCTTCGCATTCAATGTCCCACTAAAGTGCAAACTTTGTAACAGGTTCACCACCGAGATATAGGATGGGTAGAATGCGCTGGAAGCAAAATGAATAGTGCACTATGCGTATACCTTGAGACTTACTAGGTCGGATAAACGAGGAGCGTCCGCACTAGAATAGCAAGTCAACATCCAGCACGACACATTCAGCACTTGAGCATTCACAAAGTCCAGCAATGCCGTAACCTATCATTTGGGTTGAAAAAATTTGGAATATTGCTACAGCGCCATTCAGTTGAAGGTCGTAAAAGAGATCTAGGACGTTTATCTGTCAAAACGTATCACTTTCGAGACCAGTGACGATGACCGACCCATGGCGGCAATATTCTCCATAGCTAGCGCTATGTTCGCCGCCGTAGATGCCATGATAACAATAGCAGTATGTTCTCTGGAGGAACACATTTGGAAAGTACCCATTAGGGATGAGGGACAGCACGTACTTGATGTTGAAAGGACCAGGATTCAAATAGCGCCAATACCCAGAGCTAGGAATTACTCCTGTGAACCATTGAGATAAAATAAGAGTTATGTGGGTGCAACAAGGGCGAAACATCTCACCATGCATGCCGGTACCCAAGACATAAGCAATGATGAGGCAGAACAACTGCGACACACTTGCATTCTGAGGCTTGAATGTATAGATAGTTGCAAGAACCTTGAGAGGAGATAGGTCATGACGGCTTGCCGAAGGGATTATATACTTACGGCAGAGAACGCGCTGAGTCCAACGCCCAGAAATACTGCCCTAAAGGTGACGATAGGAACGTCCGGATCGTCTCGGGTGGATATGACCTAGAAAGAGAAAATTAGAACTTGAAGCTCAGCGATGCAATTACCAACCTGAACAGAAACATCTGCAGCGTGCTCGATGACCACCTCGTCATCCACCTCTGCATCCAGATCGCTGTGAGAACTGACAGCTTCGACCTTATCTGCGAAATGGGCCTTCTCGGCATCAGGAGACTCTTTCTTGTCGAGCTCAGGTAGAGTCGTATCCTCGTATACGCTTGCCATCACGATAAGGGACGAGAAGTCCTATCAAAAGAAGCAGACTGCGCTGCTTAAGTAGTGCAAGTACACAATCGGGCAGAATTTGACGTACTGGGCTTATCTGGGTCTTCTTAGTAGAGCCACGCTGAACCAAGCTGATAGCAGCTCCGCCGCGCTTCCGGTCCGCCAAGAGAGCTAAGGTTGTGTACGATTTTCGTCGTTGACTTTTAATGTTCAAAGTCAAAGTCGCATAGAAGCCAGCCACCTCAGTAAGAGTAGAATATCTAGAGTCAGTATAGCACAGTTGTTGCACTTAGGGCGCTCTCCGGACAAACGGCTAGCCATGGTGTTGCTACTAGGATCACGTAGCACTCGGAGGTACGAACTGTTCCATCGTCGATCAAGTTTCTATTTCGAATTTCGAATTTCAATTGCAACGGTCGCAATCTTTTAACTATGCCTCCGCGGTCTACTTACATCGGCGATTCCTTCAGATCCTAATAGCTGCATACGACATGTATTATGGAAGTTTGTCCCAGCAAATTGACAGTGGCAGCCCTTTGACATCTAACTTCGATCCCCATACTACATCACGGCGGATTGCCACGCAACGCTCGGATATTTATTCCTATCTCAGTGAAAAATGCCGGTATGCACAAATGACTATTGATTGGAAAATCATTTGGTGATAACAGATAGGGCATATTAACGCCCTTATCTTGTACTCATGCTTGACCTATTATGATAACGCTAAAAACAATACTACCTATCGTGCACCCAAGGGACTTGTCTCCAGTACAACATGTCGAACCCATTCAAGTTAGCATTCTTGCTCTTGTCATCGGCTGCAGTACTGCCCACGAGCGCCCACCAACACCAGCACCCTTTCCAAAGTCTACAACAAGACCCGGTGGACATTAGCAAGGAGCCATGGACATCACGATATGGCGCTCAAGAAGACCTAGGCTACACTGGCCCTCTGAGCTTCTCGCACTTCCCCTATACGCGCTGCCTGGAAGACCCATCTCAGTTGTTCGATATCGCGATCATTGGCTTCCCGTTTGATACGACCACCTCATATCGACCTGGTACGCACACCACCCAGCCATCAGAGATCACCGCTAAACACCCCACAAGGAGCGCGATTTGGCCCTTTTGCCATTCGCTCAGGCTCCAGAAGACAGCGAGCTCGTGGATATACCTTGACGTGGGGGACGAGCCCGTACGACCTTGGAGCGGGGTTGCATGATTGTGGGGATGTAAGTGCATTTGCACGCCCATCTTCTTTGGATGAATGTTTAATGTTGTCCTCAAGGTCCCTCTCTCGGCCTACGATAATGCAAAAGCTCTCGACCAGATGGAAGCTGCGTACACTACTTTACTTTCGCGACCTGTCTTGGGCGGCACCAACGAGGCATATAAATCCCAAGTGGCTGCTATCTCATTGGACGGAAAGGAACATCCGCGGATTGTGACCTTAGGCGGAGATCACACAATCGTACGATTTCAATAACCATTATCTCCATATCCCTCCCCACAATCTGATAGATTCTGTAAAGGTTCTGCCGATCTTGCGGTCCCTGAACAAAGTCTACGGTCCGGTATCTGTGAGTGCTATCGCGCCTACGCTCTTCTGGATTTTCAATAATCTCCCCTAGGTAATCCACTTCGATGCTCATCTCGATACGTGGCCACCTAGCGGCACGACCGACCAAGAACGTATAACTCATGGCACCTTCTTCGCTGTTGCCGCTGAGGAAAATCTCATGTCCAACACCAGTATCCACGCAGGCATTCGGTGCAAAATGGCTGTGAGTCTCGAGCTCGGGGATTGAAATATCTGCTAAGTGGCTGATGTATTTCCGTATACACAGGGCATTCAAGACGTAGAGCATGACGACGCTGTTGGGTTCCAGGTCATCAGCACCGACGATATTGACGACTATGGTATCAACAACATCATCAAAAAAATAAGACAGAGGATTGGCAATAGCCCCGTTTACCTCAGGTGGGTCATCTTTCGTTTATTGTTTTGGATAAGCTTGATTGCGATTTTTACCAGTCTTGATATCGACGTCGTTGACCCAGCCTTGGCACCCGCAAGTATGTCACAAATCTCGTCATACCACTGACATTCTCTCACTTTTCTGTGGATTAGCTGGAACTCCCGAAACAGGCGGTTGGACGACTCGTGAAGTCAAGCGCATCCTCCGTGGTCTATCGGGGCTTAATTTCGTGTATGAACACTGTGTCTTTAATCACCTTTTTCTTTATCTAATGACACTTTTGATAGAGGTGCTGATATTGTCGAGGTTGCTCCTGCGTATGATTCTGGTAGGTGGTCTCCGCCACAGCTGAACCTGACCTGTTGCTGAAAAAATTTGTTACAGCCGATGTTACTGGCATCGCTGCGGCCGATATCGTGCATGACTTCCTGACGATGCTTCAACTTGCAGAACCACCTGTGCCCCACAAGGGTCCATTTTCTTTTGATGATTTGAAGCACTTGTGAAAAAGAAAGGCAGGAGAACGAATGTCAATGATTACGGTGTAATCGGTACAAATACCCTAGACTTTTTGGGAGTGAGGTGGTAGCGTAGTTCACCATCCAGTCGGGTACCACGTCGGTTCCAGAAATAAGAGAATGAAAGGACTATGTGAAGAGTTGAATAGTTCATCGAGAACGGATGGAAGAAGAGAAGAAGTCGGCTATCAAAGCATTAGTGCCACGCGAGAAAGGGATACTGGCGGTGTAGTATCCTACATCTGTGGTGATGTTGTGAAGAGATGTAAGATTATGACTGCAAGATGTTGACAGGCACGGACATAAGGCCTTGGCGACGACCACCCTGACATACGGAGCTAACCCTTCGTCTTTTCTTTGCCAGCATTGGTGCGTAGTCCTTACTCTCCTCCCGCCGTTTCCCTACATTTTTCCTAGGTCATCGCCGCCAACGCTCGTCCCAGCATGTCCAGCCCTCTACCCCAAGAAATCGTTGATCAGATAACGGACGAGCTGCAAGAAGATTTTACGACACTGAAGGCCTGCGCCCTCGTTTCCCGCTCATGGAAGGATTCCAGCCAGCGACACATCTTCTCTGACATATTCTTCGAAACGCCTCCAGAACCGTTGCCATTGGAAATGAGCCCATGCCACATCTTTCATCGCCTTTTAACCACCTCTCCTCACCTCGGACGTCATGTACGGCATCTCGAAATTTGCGATGAGGGCCGTACCTCCGACTCGACACGCAGATGGATTCTCGCCTCAGTCGAAACCCTTATGTCCGTCATTTCCTTGCTGAAATGCCTCAGCAGCGTCGATATCTCGTTTAGCGGTCTGTGGTGGGAGGATGTTCTTTCACTCAAGAATGTCCTCGTTGCCATATTCCAGCTCGAGTCCCTCAGGAGCGTCGCGTTGGAAGATTTCCAGGTTCGGCTGAACGAGTTGTTCAGTCTGCTCCAGTCCCGTTCGATCCGCGATTTATCGATTTCCGCCATCGAGGTCCTGCCAGATCTCTCCCCTCCCTTGCAGAGGTCCGTGATGCCGCTGCATGAACTGTCGCTGTCACTCCAGCACATGCAGCATGCTCAGGACTTCATGGAATGGCTCATATCCCCCACCTCTGTCGTCAATCTTAGCGTCTCAAAAAAACTGAGCCTCTTCGTGGCAAACTCCGACGAAGCCAAAGCTGCGCAGGTGCTGTTAGAGAGTCCCATACTCCGGAGCCCGGATATACTGGAGATTCAGACTCTAAATTGCAGTACGTGTTCCTTGGCTGCGCATTCGAATCCTGGTCTAAAATTATCTTCACAAAGGCGTACACATGCATCGGCGTGAAGAATGTCTTCCTCCTCACTTTAGTCGCTTCCGGCACGTACAGCTCAGGCTTGTAGAAGCATTGACTTGTGAATACTGCGGAAATTCCCTTCTAGAGATCGTACTGTGGTGGACACGATCCTTCGAAGCTATCGAAGACAATAATATTGAGGAAATCTCGCTTACGCTCACAAAGAGGTCCGCTTCGCGCTTTCACCATGTTCCCAATTATGTATGGCATGCCCTGGACGCAGCTCTGTGCCGACCAAGGATGTCCTCCTTGAGAAACGTACATCTAGGAGTGGAAGATCTCGAGATTGACAAAGCGTTGCTTTTGAGGTTGCTGCAGGCATTTCCTCTTCTTTATCATCGGGGCCTACTGCGAGTCTAAGGTTGGTTATCCCCACACTATAACATACTATCTGTTTTTCTCATGTTGATGCCTTCTCGGACGACAGGCTCCCTCCATATACCGTACTTTCGTGATAATTTCTGTGCTTGCTTTCAGTATTTATGCTTTTATATAACCATCCCGACTCGGCTGCTCCTGTTATACATACCCAAGCAGCAGTTGAACGCATATTTCTACGAATCTACTTATTATTACACCCAATGACAGCTTTCGGTCCGCCCAACCGATATGTCCACATGGCAAGCAACCCTGAATATTTCTTTCGTTTGTCATTCACTGGTCGTAGTCAGTAAGCAACTTCCTGCATTATAGAACGGGCAATGCTAAACATCGTGTTGCATTCTAGAGATCAGATGAAGAAGGAGCCAAGATCCGACGCCACAGAACGCTGTCTTCCCCAGGAACTAATTGATATTATTATCAACGAAATTCCAAGCAACGATCATCGTACCCTCTCTTCATGCGCCCTCGTTGCTAGATCATGGGTATATACGAGCCAACGCTGCCTACACTCTCGTTTTGCCATCTCTTTCCTAGAATCGGAGGAAGCGGGAACCGCAGCTAGGTCCACAGGGCAGCGATTTGCTCATCTTTTATCTACAGCTCCCCATATCGCGTCGTTCGTCGAGAATCTCTCGATAAAGAATGCAGAAGGAGTTGATCCGCAGCAGCCCTGGTTCATGTTCTCCAAATCAGCATGGGAGACAATCTTCCCTGGCTTGGGGAATCTGCTCAGCCTATTCATTGAATTTGGTTACTATGATTATGGGGATGATATCCTTGTATTCAAAGATCTCTTGCGGCGTGCCTTCAGCCAGCTTCCAAGACTGCGGGAAGTCACCCTCAACCAAATCTGTCCATTCATAGATGTATACGGCATTTTCTCCTTGTTCCAAGGTGCTCAAGCAATTAGGCACATCAGCCTATGTGACGTAGTCCCCTCGAGTGATGCACCTCAAGCCGGAGCTGATACTGCGAAAGTCGTGCTTCCAATAGATTGCCTCACGCTTTCTCTTGAGTACAGTGACTTTATCAGATTAACGGGCATGATGGTCCATCTTGTGGGGGACCTAGATGTACTGGACCTTTCGCATGTGACCACGCTCTGGACCCGCTTCCTTACGCTTTCAGAGGTACGCGCAGCGACCGAACTCCTCCATTCCAAAGAGACAGTCTTTCCATCTCTGAGAATCCTCAAAATCGAGATGGAAATGCTCCGTACGTTGAACCGCGGAAGCCTAGCCCGAATCTTGCGTTAATCCTGTCTATTTACAGCGACTGAGTTTAACACCAACATCGTCTTGAGTATGGGCCTCCCGGGCATACGCCACATTCACCTGATGATATCTCCAAGGCTCGCCGCATTCGATACCTGGTTTCCTATCTCCATAATGGTCCGTTGGTGGAGTCTCATCTTCACCAAAATATCCGAGAATTACATCCAGGAGGTCACAGTGATAATACCACCGAAATCCGCAATGGACCTATATAACAACGATGTGCCTATGTCGCTGGATGGTATCCGAGAAAATTGGAATGCGCTGGATAGAGCGTTGATGGGGAAAGAGATGAAGCGTCTGAGAAGGGTTTATCTCGACGTTGGTGGGGGTCTGGACCCGAATAAACCGTTCTTGGGCCCGCTGAGCATCGATGAAGCCTTGCCGATGTTGACGAAGGCAAGACTTCTTGCATACTGATTGGATTTATGAATGCGTGGATGGTACGATGCAGGCACAGTCTCGCATCCCGCACCCCGGAGGTTCGTTGTTTGTCTCCACGCTAAAAATGGTGGGAATAATAATACAAGCTGTCCCTATTTCATAGGTATGAACGATTGGGACGATTTTTTAATGTATCTTTTCCTTGTGGCTTCTTCTCCGTGCATCGTGGAGTCGTACTTTCAATTCCTCCGAGAACCATATGTATCATTGACAAGACCACTAGGCTTCGGTGTCCATGGTAATTTAGGCTGCCGTTAAGCTTCGGTGGCTGGAGCAAGGTTGAAGCGCTCTCTTATCCAATACCCGCATCACGTATTGATGATGCTCGAGACCTATTTACTTTACCTGCGACATGCTACTTTTGAACCGCTCAGAGGAGAAGAAGCATAATCTCGAGAACCTATTTGCCGACAGACGCACTGATTGAGCAATATTGAAATCAACCCAATGCCTGACAATTGAAATTGGGCTGGGGTTCCCAGACTGCTTGATGCATCGTCAAAGGCCATGGAAGCATATAAATGAACCTCACAGTGATGTCACTCGGTGTGCGAATGTCGACGCGTCCACTGATATTCAGTACTTATCGTCGGCAGTGAATATATTGGTAACCTTGCTCTCGGTGATTACTTGTAAGTAGCTGCCGCAACTTCTGAAATTACGCGAATCTCGAGGACGCTCCAATTCCTATGGCGGGCATGAATTCAGAGTTTTCGTAATTTGCTTGATCGTGATCGAGCCCATTTCGTATTCATGTACAGCAACTTCATTTCAGGAACGGGGGATGCTGCCACTCTCAGATCCTAAACTCGTCTTACCTTCGCCGATAGCTCCCGGACACGTCCTATAATCGTGATTACACACAGAGGACAAGTACGATGGCTTATATGCGTTGATTTTTGAACCCGAACGACACACTTCAGTATGGACCTGTGCGTAAACTCTGAGGAATATTTGTGATCGCCGACAGAATTACGCCTTGATAACCAACAGCAGCCTATGACGTTCCAAATCGTTGACCACTATTACGGAGGACAAAACTTCGAGGGTGATTGAGGGGATTCGCGTGTTTACAGAGCACGACGATGAATGACGACATCGGTAAAAGTTCCCCATGTCGATGATGTCTCCCACACACAACTAATGGTTGATTTCAGTCATTAAGCAGCACAGACCGCGGCCCGGTTTTACGTTACCCATCAAAACCGAGAAACAAGAACTTGTACGGCAGTGCACCATATGGAACGGGAGGGTAGTACATGTAAATAGAGTACAGAAAGCGACACGCAAAACATGACATCCTTAGAATTGCGGTTGTGGAGGCGGCTGGGGCGGCATAGCACCAGGAGGAAAGGCGAACCCTGGAGGAGGAGGCGGCGGCGGAAAACCTCCATATACCGGCATTCCCGGAGGAGGAATAGGCATCTGCGTAGGAGGAGCCATAGGCGGCATACCCATCGGCGGCATGACCGTCTGCTGTTGCGTGAACCCAGGAGGTGGCGGTGGTTGAGCAAGAACACCAGCAAATTGCCCTTGATACGGTCCTTGGAATCCAGGCATTGGCGGTTGGGCACCAAAAGCCATTGGACCGGGAGGCGGACGGGAGGCAACAGGCAAGGCGTTATTTTTACGAGCCTGGGCTGCAAGTAAACGTTCGGCAGATGTGCCGTGACGCTCTCCTTTGCCGTCTTTTTTGAAAGCGTACTGTACGGTTATCGCTTTGTTCATCAAGAATTGCCCGTTCATTGATTCAACGGCTGCATCGGATGCTTCAAAGTCTGTATACGAGACAAATCCGTATCCCTTCGACGTGCCTGTACCTGGATCGCGAGCAATCTATTGACAATATGAAGTTAGGATGAGATAAACATAAGTCTGGTGAGAACTGCTGACCTTTGCAGTTGTTGCCATCATACCAAAAGCGCTAAAGGTGTCATACAGTAGCCTTTCATCGACATTCTCGTCCAGGTTTCCAATGAACAGATTGGCCCCGACATCAAGTTGTTTCTTATCCGAAGATGCCTGTTTAGAGAAACATAATATTATTAGCACCATGACAGGTAGTATGTGAAGTCAAGAGAAGATATGTCATTTGAGTTGGGCTCCATACAAAAACCTGCGACGAACCTTGTTAACTCGAATGGGTTTGCCCCACAATTTAATCTGGTTCATGATCTTACAAGCGTATTCTGCGTCCTCCTCCGTCAAAAACTCACAAAAGCCGTAACCCTGATGAGCCATTGATATTCGGTCCTTAGGAAGGTGCACGTTCACTTTGTAATGGAAACAAATGTCAGATAAGAACCGGTGGAACAGAAGACCCTGCATACCAACGGGACCGGCTTGTAACATAAGCTCCCATACTAGCGCATCTGTGCAACGTTCATCGAGATTTCCCTGCAGAACAATAAGTATTTGAATTTAAAAAAAGCAATAACGAGGAGCATTCACAAGATACACGGTTGCTTCCTGATTCCTATCATCCTGTGGACGCGACATGGTGGTTTTGGAGCAAGGTTCACAAAACAAGAATTTGATGTTGACCATTGTTTAGCATCATCTTCCTTGTGCCATTCGAAGCTACAGGATTCTCAGTCCACGGCATATTGAATGCTGCTGCATTCAGCTTCATTTCAACGAACCTCGAGCTCACCCATCAACCTCTGAAGAATTTCTCATGTCACTGAAGGATAAGCACTCCACTTTTACTCTGTACGGACCATCTGGAGATTGGTTTTCTATATGTTACCACAGAAGATTACCACAGAAGAACAGGGACCACGCTACCCATTCGAGGCTTCCCCCTCCTAGACCAAGTGGTCCATGATGATATCTAGGCCGCATATTCTCCACATCATTCAGATCATGAGCGCCGAAAGCGACCATCACTTTGGTTCGAACCATACAGATCCTCATTCCCCGCGAGGACCGTCACTGATATTACATCAACTGTGATATTGACCATACTAGTTCTTATCTTCCTGGTACCTCTCCTCTCGGTATCGGCCTCCGCGTTGATCTTCATCTTGGTTCAAAATCTAATGCTGACATGCTGAAACTACCTCTACGGCATCTTCTCCAATCGTGCCCGTAGTGCGCTCCCCTAGAACGAATATATAGCCCTCTTTCTTATGGGACGGTTTCCTCAGCCTTCTGGTCTTTCATTACCAGTGCTAGCTCCTGTTGTAACAGCTCTTTCGTCTAACAAGTGCTCTATCAACATGTTTTCCGTTCGCGCCCTCTTGCTCGTGGTCACCGTCACTCTATTTGCCATGCTCGTTATGGCTTCACCCATCCCAGACGAGACCATTGCGAAGAAGTCCTTGAAACAGCTTGTCATGAAGCGTGGTGAAGGACCCACTCCCGTTAGGCGGGCCGATGAACACAAGCCTTCCGGGTAAGTAAATCGAGCTTACTGTTATCGAGCCAGAGTATTAAGGTTGCGGACAGGTGGGCCCGTGCGGAGGTCGGCAAGAGGTTGTAGTTCTGATTTCATTCGTCAATATTCTCATTTGACTCATGAAGGGCCATCGTTACAGAGCTCTGAAAGCCTGATCAATCCATCGCCATTCCCTGTACAATCACCATCCTTGTTTTCATGGTGAGTGACATCCATAGTTATCTATTCATCGGTACTTTTCACACCTATTTTTCAGTAGAAATATGCAGTGACATCCTAGTGGTGTCACCAGAGGTCTTCTTTCATTCATTCATGAATTTGTGTATATATTGGATACGTAGCTTTAACGGATTTGTTGTGTTGTCTTCTCAGAACTTCGTGCCTAGGCTGCAGATCCCCGAGGCCTGGCTTTAAAACGAACATGACAGAGCGGTACCGGGACCATGACACATACAACTACCGCGCTTGAAGATCGCACGCAACGTCATCGCAAAATTGCTCCGCCATGTCCATTCTATTCGCGTTCCCAATATTAATCTCACCCACACACCCACAGTCATGAATTATTGAAACGATGGAATAGAAAGGTCACCGAGGGATAAGGAGCGCCTACTATGTTGGGAACGATAACTTAGTAGTGGACAGGACCATCGGGGCTGATTTATATAATGGATGGGAGAGAGCAGATAAGAAAGAGGCGATACGACAGATCAGCACGTCGTCAGGTAAAAATAAATCGTTAAGAAGAGACGTTGAAGATGGAGAGGAACGCAAGGAAAAGTCATCAGTGGGCTGGGTATCACACAACGACACATCTATTCTTCCTGTTCTTGACGACGGGAGGCTCGAGTGCAGCGACAATAGCCTGAAAAACAGAATGATCAATTAAAAGATCCGGAAAGTGATGCAATGCGGCCCATACCTCGTCAAAAACATTCTTCAGGCCCTTTTGTGTTAATGCAGAACACTCGACGTATTTGACTGCACCAAGCTCCCTCGCAAGCCTCTCACCCTGTTCGTTCGTCACCGGTCTCTGTTTTTGTCTTGCCAGCTTCTCGATTACTTGAGTATCATCGCGAAGATCAATTTGCGTGCCTACAATGAGGCATGGAACTCCGGGACAATGATGGTGAACTTCTGGGAACCACTTCTCCTTGACGTTCTCGAATGATGCAGGGGATGTGACACTGAAGCAAACCAAGAAAACATCTGTCTGGGGGTACGATAGAGGTCGAAGACGGTCATAATCCTCCTGGCCTGTTCACAATCGGATTAGGAGAACTGAGGCTGCTATAGCGATAGCGATGGCAGCGCACCGGCAGTATCGAAAAGCCCTAATGTATAGGGGTCCTCTCCAATCATGACTGTCACCGCGTAGTTATCAAAGACCTGCGCAGAAAAGGGTCTTGTTGGAGTCGCATGGGGGCATAGATGGCCAACGTACGGTTGGGACATATTCGCTCGGAAATTTGTTTGTTGTGTATGAAATCAAGAGACAGGTCTACGCAGCAAAATCGGCCAATCAACGAACGGACCAGGACAGGAGAAAACCGATAACAACTCACCTTTCCCACAGCACCATCTCCCACTACCACACATTTGATTGTCTGCATGTTGCGTCGAGAAATTCCTACTCAAATTTATGTTGTGCGGAATTCTGCAGTACTCTGTAAGCGAGTTGAACGAAGATGAAGTCGAAGATAGCGGGTATCTGGTAAAGACGTCTGCCTGCATGCACTCTGGCGTGACAACCACACCTCGTGGCGGTGTCATGGGAGACCAAACGAGGCCGAATCCAGGCGCCGCAACATGGAAGCAAGACTCACAACTGCCTTGAACAGATAACGATGAGATATATAGCTTGACACCGCGATAATTGATGTCGTTCAGGTATACGGAACCGATTCTAGAGTCTGGAGAATAGCTGATAGGGACTTTAAAAACGATTGCAGCCAATGGAAAAGACAAGAAAACAGAATAAAAAGGGAGAATCAACGTACAGAAACAAAGAGGGAAAGGGGAGAACAGGGTGTGTGGGCGTTGAGAGAACTGTCTCGGACGGTCTGAGGTGGAAACGAGCCTGTTGATCGCATGTACCAGGAGCGGCCCTATCGCGCGCCACAAACACACGCAAACTTAATCTCACGTTTCATTTCTACCCACGCTCGAATTTCAATTATCGCGAGACGCAGAGAGTTTATTATACAAGTAAAATCAACCAAGCAAAATCAGCTAAAATACGACAGCAAGATAACAAGATATATACGATACAACAATTAATCGACTGTCTAATAACCAAGATATTATGCCGTTTTCGTACGCTTATCTGTTCCGCACTTATCAGCATCCACTGCGGATGAAAAAAAGCAATATACTGACTAGACTCTGATTGCGACGGCTGCGACCACCAAGACAAATGTCCCTGTTTAGTTCCAGTAATGATACAACCATCCTTTGCAGGTGATCCATCAAATCCCTGTCAAAGCGTCAGATTAAACTTGATAGATGTAGCAAAAAAATACTATACCGCCGCTGCTTGAATGATATCATCTTCGGGATCAAAGTGAACATGGCAGTCATTTAACAGCAATAGCATAGACATTCACCTTCCTCATGCTCCAGCCCATACACCAGACTTCCTTTTTTTGTGTCCCATATGAGAACACATCCTCCAGAACTGCCGTGGAGCACACCCTGACCATTAGCAACGAACACAGCTCCGAAATCACCGGACGGTCGAGTCTCAGTCTCTGTATTACTATAGACAGCCGTCACTTGACCTCGTCTATCAGCTTGAATATCCACCAAACGAGCGACTCCTCCCGTTTGAGCGACCAGCGCACAAGTACCACCCGCATTGAGGTCTATATCCACACTAAAGTCGAGTCACAGTTCAAACTATAATTGAAAACACGAGGACGTGCACTTACATCTTAGTCTTCATGAATGCATACACCCGTAATGTTCCATTGGGCACTTCGCTATGCCACCTGTTCCGACATCTCAGGATAACATAATTTAACTATCGCCACCACTTACAAAACACCGTCTCTCGTTCCACCAAGAAGAGCGGACCCGTCATGCACAAATTTAATGGCCGAGACATTTTGCCTAAGAATGGCTCGTTGAGGCTGCCATGTACCTGGAAAGATGCATTCTTGATTCACAGCCGCAAAATGAAAGAGTCACCCTCCCGTACCTTTACTCCATATCCAGATTTTGACACCAGAACGTGGCAAGGAGACAGCGACACGGTCTCGTCCATAAGCTAAGCACATTGAATCCTCCTCTGTGTCCTTGTCTTTACCAGCATTGACAATCTTGGTCCAATGCCATTGGTTTGATCCCTAGAACCAGCTTTCAGTCAGGGAACACCCCAACAGAAAAGCAGAGCATACTGTTCGGATCCATTTACTCACAACGCCGTCTTCTTGAAGTGTTATGATTCCAGAATCACCTTCCATCCAAACAACCGAGACGACTGAAGCCCCGTGGGACAGCTGCGCCAGTTCAGCACGCGTTTGGACATTCCACATACGTGTGGTTCGATTACCTGAACAACGAGTAAAGGCAAGCAGTCAAATTACAAAGAGGAATAAATCTCCTTACAGGTCACTGCAGCATACATTCCATCCGAAGATATCGCTATTGTCTTGATGGCGGTGTCGCTTTTGTCTTTGAGCGCGACGGAGTGTAAGCATTCAATGGTAGGCCACCTGAACTTTTGACGCGGCTTTTTGGAGCGCTCACAATCAAAAATCTTGGGAGACGGAGCTCGTTCACGCTTAACACCTCGAGAAGGACCAGAGTTTTGAGATTGTACAGGTTTCGGTGGCAGGGGGTGGTTGACAGGCAATTGAACTGGGATAGGTGTGGCTGAAGGAATGTTATCAACAGTCCATAATATGGAACTCGTCTCGACATACTGTGAGAAGAGTTTCTTTTCGTCGGTGTAGTGGGTGATGCATCTGTCGTTGCCAGGTATCAGCCAGAAAAAACTGTTATTGAAATGGTCCAAACCCTCAGACGCCTTCCGCTTCATCCGTGGGATAGACGGCGCTTCGTCAGTCTGACGAGTAGTCTTGGTGGGTATCTCAAGAGGCGTCGTCGACTTTCTGACAGTCTTTTCCACAGAAGACGATAACCGTGAAAGCAAAGAATTCCCGTCAGGTTTGTTCTCAGCGGGTACTTCGGAAACTACGCACATGGAGAAGTGTCTTCGCACACTTCCCTCTCAGAGATAATAGAAACACGTACCCGTTGGCGGTCTCTTTTCTTTCAGCACAGCCGAAATTGCCGGCACTTCAGCCTGAACAGGTAATTGAACGCAGATACGTTTCCATTTGCTGCCCATGGAGTTTAACTGAGGCATATCAACACCTTTCATTTGATTGAATGGTGTCGGAGGCGATTGCTCAGGTCCGGATGCAGAGACTACGGGAGGGGGGATTCCTGGGGGCGGCGGTGGAGGTGGAGACGACGGAGGTGACGGGGAAGAGTATCCTTCGATATCCAAGAGCCCTGACCTTTTAGTAGCTGGAGGAGTCGGCTTTGAAGTGTTGTCAACGATAATCGACGTAGCCTTGGTTAACGGCCAACCAGATCCCAAAACGACACGCTTCTTTGTGGGGTTAGAAGACACGGGTGTTTGACGAGGCGTTGGCAGACTACAAGGCCGTATTCCCAATGGGTTGGAAGCCATGCCAGGTGCTACGTAGGCCAGAGATTTTGCATCCGGCGGAGGAGAACTCGTTGCTGCGGAAGTATTCTCAGATATGGGAGTAGTGGTGCTCAGAACTAGCATGGACCTTGGTACCGTGGGCGGTTTTTTCCTAGCTGCTCGAGGCTCAGTGGGAATGGGTCTGGATGGTGGGCGCATTTTACTAGGCGAGGAGTCATTCGGCACATGCGATCCTTTCTCTTCACTTTCACCAGCTATCACGCCTGCGGGCGTCGAGGTTTGGGCAGGCTCTCGACTTGTTGATGGCTGTAGTCCGTTGATCAATAAACAAATCGGGATATTTTGGGAGACTTACCTCTGTAGAGGAGACAGCCACGTCCACCGGAGTTTCCTTCCTTTCACTACCAATAAAATCGGAAACAAAACCCGCCGACACAAAGGGGTTTTGAATGGCAAGCTTCAAAGGCTTTGATTTCTCGACACCAGCAGAAGTGTTTTGAGGCCTTTTGTGCACTAAGCCTTCCGCGGAAAGACCACCAGACGATGTCCGTGGAACTTCAGAGAGATCAACAGACGCATCATCGGAACTGCTAGACTTTTCGGCATCGCAGATGGGATCCGGCAACCGACAATTCAGAAGAGATTCAGCTTTGATGAAATCCATAGAGTCAGAGTCCTCTTGTTTTCCAGGACTTGGTAACATCATATATGAAGGCAGCGGTGTCAAAGGACTAGCAGGGGATTCGGTTGGCGAAATTTGCATGTCGGCAACATCAAGACTAGATGAGATGGAGGTCGGGGTATTCGTACCACTCTCTAGCACAGCAATCATGGCAGGTACACCTGTTGGGGAAAATACCGGTGAATCGGGAGTGCTGTTGCATTGAGAATCCAACTCCATTGGAGACAAAGAGCGTTCCTAAGCGCGTCCATCAAGGAACAAAAAGAAACCTCTAAACCCTACACTTACGTGAGCATCCTTTGACACCGAGCCGGTGTTCAGCGATGACTGTATTTTCGTCGGCACCTCAGTAGTCGCGTGCGTGACTGAGGTCTGCATATCGCTAGAAACGTGCGTAGATGACGGCTGTAGGGAGGTTTGAACACAATCAAATGTTGTAGAACATTGGGTTCGCACAGATGAGCATGAAACTTGGGGCTGCGATTGAACTGACGCTGTGGAAACAGAGGGCGCAGCCTGCACACCAACAGACACACGTGTGGCGCTACCGGCGTCTATGGGTGCGATGAAGGACAATAACAGAAGGAAGTCAGTAACCAAGCGCACCTGTTGTTGGAGAAGCGTCTTCTAAATTCCTATTCCACGCTCGACGCATTTTCGGAGGCATGGAAACTTGGAGTGGCGGAACCGATTCCTCCCTTTCTTTTCGCCTATGACATCTAGAACACACACCAGAGTCCTCTCCAGATTCAGATTCAGATTCTTCGATATCGCCTTCAAGAACCATAGCTTGATCTTTGAAACGCTCGTCTGGAGAGGCAACAGCGAGAAGGATTTCTTTGCCGGGCTTCACTTCGATACGTTTCTGTGCAAACAAGCTGAAGTACACGGAGGACCCCAAGGAAGTATCACTGCCCGAATTTTGAGATACTTGGACGCGTCGCAGGATAACATGGGGCTTTTGTGTCGACTTGTGAGGACGGAATCTCAGTGTCTGGCTTTTGATACCGAGAATTGAGGTTATGGAGGTTACTAAGGGTGGCGACTCGCCATCCATTGAGGTGATATCATCCATGGCAGCCTTGGAAATGGCGCCACAGAGGGTATAGCGTTGAGGCAGTATCAAGGTCGAGAGAAAAGCTGTTCTTCAGCTCATTGCCAAAGATGGACGCCCAGAATGGGAGTCGTGAGAAACTCGACACGTGAAAGACATGACAAAGTCCTTTAACTGGGTGCTCTCCATCGCTCAATCACTAATTGAAACTATTTAATCTTCACACCATCGAATTTCTCCTTAGGCTGTTGGCCCTGACCTTTTCTCCCTCCTTGTCACCTAAAAGCACCGAAAAGTCTCGAATAGAGCGCAGTCCCCAGCTGATGCAAGCGACTCTGTTCATCTATCCAACCCACCCTACCAACAGATGTTGATCTGTCTCATACGCTACTTCATATACATGCAAGGTTTGTCATTAGACTTCCACTTGTACGGTGACAGTCTCCAGTTTACGCTCTGTTGGATCTGCCGACGTTTGGGACGAAGACTAAACCTAGCTGTTAGAAATCTCATCGATTCGACCTGCCATCGTCTGTCAAACGGCCCGCAAGTCCACTATTCCTATATCATCTATGGATTTTTGCTTTGACACCAATGGCGCTAACCAAAAATATCCATAAAATCTATACAGGTAAAGATAATACATTCACTTCGTCGCACCATTCTCCTTCCTCCTAATCTCAGGTTCGACCGGGAATCGCTGATCATCAGGAGAAACAGAATACAACCTCTTCCATATATGCTGGAGTGGGCCCGGCGTCTTCCAGGCCAGCTCATCATTACGGAGCCACAGCCGAATGAGATGTCGTCTGCCCCATCCATTAACATCATCAGCACGAAAAAAAAAAAAACGTCAACGCTTACGTATGCTCCTCGTTATCCCGGAACGCATCTCGAGAATGTAACAATCCTAAACTGTTAATATACTGAATATCGCCCTTTTGGAAATTCAACCCCAGGGAATGCTTCTCGGCAGCAAAATGCAGCGCATCGAGCGCTTCTGCCTGAGCCTCAGAGATGGGTGGTATATGGGGACTGCGCTTCTGTAACCCGTACCCCGTAAAATGTCGTCGAGAGTACTGAATGACGATATGTCCATCTTCCTTGTATAGAAGCGGACGCGTCGTGTATCCCGGAGATCCACCAAAGCTGTTTCTCGATGTCAGCTCATACCCTAGACGAAAGGAAACCCAATAAAACAGACCTATCCAAAGGCCAGGGCTCCGCCAGCGTACGAATAAGGTCAGGCCGGGTGGCCGCGATCTCATTATACACCCTCCCTCCACTGCTGATCCTCGACACGCCGCCCTCGGCAGCAGATTGAATAGCCAACAAAGCAATCAGGTCACCCACGTCAGTGTGGAAGACCTGCTTGTCTGTCGTATACGCTGAATTCCCGATGCCACCTTGCTCGTGAGCGTGGCTGACGGTGAGGTCTTTGATATGAGCGAGTACCGCCCCAGTGGAATCCTGCTTCCCTCGGGCGGAGCCGACGTGTGACGATAGACCTGGTAGTGAATGTGAGTCAAGATGGATGCATAGGGAACGAGAAGACATACCGGCATAGACAATTGCCAAGTCCAACTTTGTGTACTGGTCGATTGGGATTGTCCGTAGAACAAAAAACCCTCGACCAGAGTAGAGTTCGTGGGCGAGGTCCTTCAAGATAGGGCTTAAATTAGGAAGGGGGAACGTCTCTTTGTTGATATAGCCTAATGGTTTCCCGGTACCTGTGAAAGGTTAGCACAGCGCAAACGAACATGGTAGATAAAAAACGACCTTTGAAATGCTCGAGCGCCGCGTCGATCTCGCCCAGCTCAAAGTCACTAAGCTGGTAAACCCACTGGTCTTCGCCAGTCCAGTCTTTGCCATCCCAAACGATAGGCCCTTCCACCCGAAAAGGAAACCCCTCTGGGAGGGGCACATCCAAAAGAGAAGGATCTTCAGCCAGACGACGCGCTGTACGCGCATGAAACTTGGCCTCGTCGGGATGGTAGGAAATGTCGGGTTGTTTCGAGCCTGCAAAGCCCATAGTGCTGTCCGTCCACCCTTTTTTGCTTTCCAACACAACGCGCCTATAAGTAAGTAAGGGACTAAGGATGAGAAAACGCCCAGGAGCCAACGCCGATATATAACCGAGTGACTAGGTGGGATGATGAAATAAATTGGAAAGAGTTTCAAAAGAGGAGACGGTACCTCGTATAATGGGAAATCTGCAACCGCCTTCTCACACAGGACGGATCACAAGGTGTTGGGCGAGGTGGAAGGAGATCTTTGGTGGGCAGCCGGTACCATGGTTAGCAACGCGCACGAGGACAGAGAAGCGGCCCGTTGGAGGAATATAAGAGACTAAACCATCCTACAGAGAGGTGGTCGACAATGAAGATGAAACGGGGATATGGTACGAACGAATGATCAGTGTCTCCGAGTATCTGGTACGCTCCGGTAAGATCCCGGTGTCATAACCGCGATCTTGGCGCGAAAATCGGGGGATCGCGAGGTGGTGCTGAGGGAAAAAATGGTGAGCCGATGGCAGGTAGCACGACATGTTGCTGCCACTCACTGTACCCGAAAACAACACCCAGGAGCCAGAGTACATAAGGTGATGTAACCGTACGCAATGGAGGCCGTCAATCTGAGGGTTGCATTGCGGGAACAAAGATGGTTTAGCCGTGTAAGAATCCTTGTTCGTTCCCTCCCAGGCAGGCTTCCGCGGGGTAAGGATAGACCTGGGGTAAAACACCTGTAAGGGGAGTTGAATGCATCCACAAAAACGCGTCATTCTTACGTTCACGGAGTCCCTGCGGTTCCGCTACGCGTTGTGTGCTGATCCTGTGTCTCCCGCGTTCTACGTCTTTGAAATTCCATCTTGACCGTATTCAAATCTCGTCCGTGTCCGTGTTTTCAAGCGTCGAGTCTTGACCGTCATAGAGATAGTAAGAAGGAACGACTGATAGGAATGCTGATTTGTCAATGTATGTGGGAGTAACGCGCACGATTCATCAACTTAGACTGGTAGTAGTCTACAATCAGGCATGTAACCCGAGGTCCCGAAATCGGTGTGTTCCCTTCACTTGCGTCCCCATTCAGGTATCGAATCTAATGATGGTACACATCTGCAGAATCGGTTAGCAACCCCCCGGGCCGTCACAAGTCATACAGCCTCCCCAACATCCTCCTGCTCCTGCTCCGGTTCTGCAACCACCACATTACCATCACCCCCCTTTACCTTTGCGGGTTCAAACGACATCACAACCATCAACGTCGACTTGCCCCTCGTCTCATACGCAACATCCCCATCCTCACCCCCATCAACCTCATCATGCACCTCCACCGTCCCAGTCGTATACTCCGTCCGGACTTCAAACGGCAGTATCGGGGGCAGCGCCAGCGCCAGCTTGACGAGATGCGGGATCGCAGCGCCCATCGCGCTTAGATGGAGGGTTTTGTATCTACCGAGGTCACACAATCCAAAAGAAGAATCGAGACACGCCACACGCACCCATCTCTCAGAGCGAGATCCTTGCACCGCCGCATATACGCTCCCAACGCCATCTTGCGCGTCACGCAGATGAGGTTCTTGCCTTCTTTGTGCGCTGAGCGCGGGCCTGTCGCTGAGACGGACGCTGGGACGATTGGGAACGGTCTCGGGGCCGAGAGGCGTCTTCTTTTTGGTTTTGGTTCTACAGTGGCACATAGTCATTAGCAGCAGTCGATAATTTGACCTGCTTACGGTCGGTAGACGACTCATTTTTGCGTTTATTGGCCATCCGGGCGTGTGATGATGGTGTGCAGTCAAGTAACCACGTGCTGGAAATTTTAAGCAGCTTCTCCTTTTCCTTTTCCTTCTTCTTCCTCCCATCATCGTGGCCACCTGGCCTTGATCCTTTCTTGTTTCTAATTTTTTTTCCCTTTTCTATATAACCCAAAACGCATATATACGATGTCCCAAGATGTGGCGGAGCAGAACATTCAGATGTGGAAAATCAAGAAACTGATCAAGAGCCTTGACTCTGCCAGGGGGTGCGTACGTCCTTGCTTATTGTCACCCTCGCGGTGCTGATTTGCTCTTCAGCGCAGGGACATCCATGATCAGCTTGATCCTTCCTCCGAAGGTCCGTCTCTCCGTCAGTATGAGTCGTCGTATGCTAATTCAGTCCCTTGCAGGATCAAATATCCCGAGCTTCTGCCATGTTAACGCAAGAATACGGTACAGCGTCCAACATCAAATCCCGAGTAAATCGTCTCTCCGTCCTGGCAGCCATCACCAGTACCCAACAACGGCTCAAGCTTTACAACCGAGTCCCGCCCAACGGTCTCGTGCTCTTCGTAGGCACCATCCTAACAGACGAAGGCAAGGAAAAAAAGGTCTCCTTCGACTTTGAGCCTCACAAACCCGTCAACACGTACGCAATAAAGAGCCTTGTTCACCGCCCCGGGTGATTTCCTGATCACCCTTACAGGTCCCTCTACCTATGCGACAACAAGTTCCACACCGAAGCTCTATCGGAGCTTCTCGAGTCCGACTCCCGGTTCGGGTTCATCGTCATGGATGGAAACGGCACCCTCTTCGGCACACTCGCTGGAAACACCCGCGAAGTCATCCATAAATTCACTGTCGACCTCCCCAAGAAGCACGGACGAGGAGGTCAGTCTGCACTGCGTTTCTCCCGTCTTCGTGATGAGAAGCGTCACAACTACGTGCGCAAGGTGGCAGAGTTGGCCGTGCAGCATTTCATCACCAATGATAAAGTCAACGTCACGGGTCTTGTCCTGGCGGGAAGCGCGGATTTCAAGACGGAGCTCAGCCAGAGTGATATGTTCGATTTGAGGCTGGCGGCAAAGATCATCAAGGTTGTGGATGTAAGTTATGGAGGTGAGAATGGGTTCAACCAGGTGGGTGACTTTACGTATTGTTTGGGTGGGGGGGGTTGGAGATCACGTCTCTGATTTTTTTTTTCCCCTTCAGGCCATTGAACTGGCTGCAGAGTCTCTCGCGAACGTCAAGTTTGTTCAGGAAAAACGGCTCATCCAAAAGTACTTTGATGAAATCAGTCAAGATACGGGCAAATATTGTTTTGGTATCGAAGACACGCTCAAGGCACTTGAACTCGGAGCGGTGGAGACCCTGATCGTATGGGAGAACCTCGATATCACTCGTTACATCCTTCGTAACGCCGCTGGAGGTTCGCATTCATGTCCCCCCCCCTCCCTCTCCTTCTCTCCGTACTAACTCGCCCAACAGAGGAAATCGTCGTCTACCACAACAAAGAACAAGACAAAGACCGCACGAAATTCATAGACAAATCTACGGGACTAGAGATGGAGCAATCCGAGGATCCACAGGCGCTCCTGGAGTGGTTTGCGGAAAAGTACAAAGAGTTTGGAGCCAACCTTGAATTTGTGACGAATCGGTCACAGGAGGGGGCTCAGTTTGTCAAGGGATTTGGTGGCATTGGGGGATTGTTGAGGTACAAGGTTGATTTTACTAACCTGGGGACTATTGATGAGGAGGAAGAGGATGAGTTTTATTCGGATGATGATGACATCTGACGGTTTTGCTGGCTCTTAGGAGCCCCGTCCATCGAGGGTACGACGGGGGGGGCGGGTGGTAGGGGAAGTGGAATGGGCATTGGAAACAAGATGCTTTGCGACCGAGTTGTGAACATCCGATTCTTGTCCTTCAAGGTGAACGATTCGTGCGTTATTTTGGGGTGGTGGTGGCTGATATTTTCTTGATGGTAGGGCAATGTTTGAAGCACAAGCTGTGTACTCGACAGATGGGGTGATTTTGTATGAATATGATGAGATTGAACATTAAGACTGTTGATTCCCCAAGCAATGATACTGTATCTGTCAAGTTCGAAGCCAAGCAGTCTTTGCAATCTTCTTGAGCCTCTTTTGCTCCTTGAAGCGCTCCTACACCGCAAAACGCATCAAGACACACCCAGACCAAAAAGAAAAGAAAAGAAAAAAAAAAAAAGAGAGAGACTCACCAAATCCTTCTTACTCGGCCTCTTCCTCTTCTTTCCCTCTGCCTCTTCCTCTTGTTGCTCCCGATCCCTCTGGGACTCCCAGGCAGCGACGTCGAAATAAAACTCACTCATGCGCTTGGCGCGCTCATACTCTGACATGTGGGTCGGGTCGCGTGCGTCGTTGGCGGTGAAGCGGCCTGTGCGGGCATTGAACTTTGCGGTGGCGGTGTAGGGACCGCTACTGCTGGCGCTGGGACCGGCAGCGAGGGTGGGGTCGAGGTAGGCAAGGGAGGGATCGATGCCTGCTGCGAGGGCGGCGTCGTAAGCTGATTCAGGTTGTGGTTGGGGTTGGGGTTGGGGTGGGATGAGAGGGTTCTCCCATGTGGTCTGGGAGGTGACGGTGTTGTAAAAATAGTACGTGTTGTGCTGGGGCGAAAAGATGGCCTGCCAGTCGCCGTTGGTCGGCACAGCGCTGGTCGGTTCAGCCGGCTGTTCGGGAGTAGAGGTGGACGGTTCGGGCTGGTCTGACTCTGACTCTAAGGGTGTCGGCATGGGGGGGGGGGGGGGGGGGGGGGGGGGGGGGGGGGGGGGGGGGGGGGCAGGGGCAGGGGCGGGCGAAGACATCGTGGCGGGAGGCAAGAAGAACACTTGCCCCAAATCGACACTATCGGACCGGTATTTGCGGCATCTTCCGTGGATTATGATTTACTAAGTATATATATACTCCGAGTCTTATGGATTCCAAGGCGAGGAAGCAGTACCTCCCACTCCCGCCGTGAGGTACACTGCACTCCCATCGTGAGCAATATAAAAGCAATCCTCGAGACGCACGCCGACCTGTCCCTCGATATACACCCCCGGCTCATCCGAGAACGTATGCCCCGTCTGGATCACGACCTCGCTTGCGCCATTCAGGTATGGATCCTCATGCACCTCCAAGCCGATCCCATGTCCAAGCCGGTGCGTAAAGTATTTGGCATACCCCGCAAGGCTGAAGAAGAGCCTCGGGGCTTCATCGACGCGCTTGGCGAGCACCCCAGCACGCGCGGTTTCAAACGCAATACGCTGGGCCGTGCGGACCGCGTTCCATATTTGGAGGTGGGTGGAAGGGATGGTCGACACGCCTCGGGGGAGGGCGACGGTGCGCGTGACGTCGCTCCAGTAGCCGTGCAGGGAGGCGGTGCAGTCGAACAAGGCAAAGTCGTCGGGGCGGAGACGGCGGTCGGTGCCGCTTCCGTGGGGGAGCGCGGCGTTTTCTGGGGCGTGGCGGGGGTGAGCAGGGGGGAGGGGAAAAATATATATCATGGATCATGTTATGCGTACCTCCAAATAGAGTTAGACAACCCCCATCTTTGAGCCCGGCATCGGCGAGGGTGCGTGCGGCGAGGGTGCGGGCATCCGACTCGCGAATGCCGACGTGCAACTGTTTGTGAACCCGTCGGATGCTCATCAGCGTAGCCTCGTTAGCACACCTCAGCAAAGCCAGCTCTCCCTCCGACTTGCGTTCTCGCAGCTGCCTGATCTCGACCGGCGCTGCGCTCACCGTAGCCTTCGGGAACGCGCTCTGCAGACCATCCACGATGAAATGGCGGATACTCCCATCCACGAACACTGTCCCCTCAATCTCAGGTATCTGCTCATATGGATTCTCGTCCTCTGCCCACTCTACCCATTCCACCTCAAACGGGATCGGCAGAAGCCTCGCACGCGTGCCTTCAAACTTGGGCGTGAGCACCCTCAGCCGAGCAGACGCATCCACGATAAGCAGCAGGGGTCGCTCGGAGAGGTGCCAGTGTGAATTCGAGACGTTCGCGTAGTAGAGCCCGCTCGCACCGGGTTCTGCGATGTATGCAGAGGCGTTGGGGGTAGTGAGCGTCTGTGCGAGGGTGGCCAGCCGGGTGTCGAACTCGGAGACGGAAAGCGGGCCGAGATGCGAGCAGTGGGAGGCTGTCTGACTAACAAGTCGTCGCGATGGGTAGTAAGCTATGAAACACGCTGCCGTGAGCCCAAGACTTAGGCAGACCAAGTGCCATCTCTTCATCTTCATGGAACAAGGTCAAGTACCGGCCCGGGTTCCAAAGTGTCGACAAATTAGCTCATTCTCTGCTCTCACACCGGTCTCGATCGTCTCTTCAATGCCCAAGCGTACGACGGCCATCGCGGGAAAGCATTCACCACGCCCACATCCCCACTCGGAGATGTTTTTAAAAAAATAAATTATTATTACACCCACAACTACCAGAACCTGCACTGCTTCTCCGCCGGAGGGTTAAGCTGCCTAATGATCAGCGCTTTTTATTCATCACACAACAATCAGAAATTTCACAATCACCTTTGCGTCCTTCGAACACTTGAACGCCTTCGCAAACTCTGGGATATTAAACACTGTCCCATCTACGCGATACTGCGAGGGCGAATGCGGATCCGTGCGTATACGTTGTAACTAATTAGTTACGTCATCAGCACCAACAACAAATCCAAATCCTAGACAGTCAACTCACAGCAGCAGCAGGTTTCATACTTCGCGCCCATATCCGGCCAAACGATATGAAGAACAGCTGTTCCCTACAGAGAATAAAATTAATGAATGATCATCCGTATGCTACGCACACAGACTAACCTCGTAAAGTCCAGCCCAGGAAGCAAGTACTCGTTCCCTTTAGCCCTCGACGTCTCAAACTGCGCTCTCCAAGCTCGATACGCCTGAATGAGTCCGGTATCCCCAATGTTCTCCCCAGACGTTCTGGAAGGGTGTATGTCATTTCATAGGCACACAACTTTCAAATGAAATAGAACCGCTTTACAGATTTCCCTGTTAATCCTCGAATCCGTCAGGAGGTCATCTATGTGTGTGATCAGAACGAGGGTCTCCTCACGTTGACATGGACTTTTCCGCCTTTCCCATCATCGATGGTATACTCTGTCGTATTAGCGTTAACACCTCACGCTCATCATGCATCAAAGTGACCTACCAGAGTACTGCTTCACAATACAATCCTGCTTTACTTGGAACCCAGCGCTCGTCGAATTGCTCCACCACTCCTCCAGTTTGCCCTCTTGATTGTACATTCTCCCAGCAGAGTCAAAAGCATGCTGCTCAGGTCCTCATGAGTTGATTTACAAAAAAAAAGTATTAATAGCTGCCAACCGTCAATTCGTGCGCCGCGACATGTCCAAAGGCACCGTACGCAAGATAGCCCGGCCTACATATTAGCAAAAACAAAGAAAAAAAAAAGCCCAAAAGCAACACATGATATCACATACCACTCCTTGGAGAAGAAAGGTGGCTGGAGGATACCGGCTGGGAAAACGATCTGTTTTCCTGTCAGCGAATCATCCACGAACGCCACAGAATTGCCACACCTCATTGGCTGGTGGGTTGAAGTAGGCGTTGACCGTAGAAGGGAACATCTCCCAAGCCTCTGGATCCCGGGTTTTGCCCAACTGGAACCATTCTTTGACCTTCTCACTTGTTCTACAGAAGTAGAAGCAGTTGAGATGCTTTAATAACGGACCTAGACATAATAGATACCCACGTAGCACTAAGGACATTCTGGAAGAACTTATTCTCGTCAATTTCCACGAGTCCGTAATAGCTGGCAATGGATTCCGCGCTACGTGTGTCAGGGGATACTGGGAACCCAACTTTGATGCGTATGGCATCTGCCTTGTTGGAAGCGGCTTTCGCCGACTTCTTGTCCATCCAGTCGACGTGAGATAGTGATTGCTTGAATGCCTCGACAATGTCTGTCAAGTTTATTTTGGTCTAGGCAAGATAGAGAGATGAAAAAAAAAGGAACCAACCCTTGATAACCTTCGTTCCCTTCTCTTTGGATTCACCACCAAATGTTTCGTTGACAAAATATCTTCCAGTAGCAAAGCCAAGGGTGGATTCGACCTGGCCTACGCAATATTCGGCCCGATCTCCAACGGCGCCTTTCTTGATGCCGGACAAAGTCTCTAACAACGACCTTTGGGCTTGCCAAGCTTCCGTACCCATTCCAAGATACGCCGACAAAGCAAGAGCAGTCTGCGCGACGAGGTACGTTTCAATAACATCCGCAGGCGACTCATCAAGTATTTCCGAGAGCGACTCTGCATACGGCGGGTACGTCAAAATGACTTTGTTTGGGAAATTGCGAGGAGCAAACGTCGTGAAGTAGTCTGAGAAACGAATCTGGGGCAAAGTCGTCGTCAAATTTGAGAGCGGAACTGGATTATAGGTGGCGACCGGATCTTCTTGCAAGATATCCCTGAAAGCGCAGATTAGCCATGGGTCGGAGCGACCGTCTTGAGCCTTACAGATCTAGACTAGCGTTCGCTATTCTTGTCTCAAATTTGACAACTTTCTCAGCCAGCTCATGCGCCCTCTCGGTTTGATTGACTGGCTTTTTGTCGCCGTCGTCCTCATCACCCCAAGGAGGCCAAGGCCAAGGGGGCCAGACACTTTCAGCTTGATTTACCAAGGAAGAGGAATCTGACTTCATTTGTTCCCACAAGCTTTCTTCCTCTTCGATGAGAGTCAAGAGTAGCCTTTCAATGACGTTCTGATAAACCTCCAGAATGGACTCTTCAGCATAGTACTCCTATAATACAAAAAAGTCATGTCCGCGTTTACGCTCTGGTACTATTATTTACGTACCTTGGAGGGAAGGCCGAGCGACGGTTGGTTGAACCACAATGTCATAAAGTTAGGAGCAACCCCAACGTCACCTTCGATATTGAAAGAGAACAATGCCTCGATGCCTAAACCGCGACATTGAGGTTTCCAACGACCAAGAAACGCTTCAGAGCATACCTCGGGAATGCAAAAATGCGATGGCAGCTGTAAGTCCTTTCTTACTCTCCTCGGTAGCACTACTAATATCAGTACTGTTGCCGCGGAACAATTTTCGTACAGTCTGTACAAGGTGAATCAAGGGCTCCGTGCCAATTTCGTCCAACTTGTTTTCATCGAGACACGAAGCATACATCCCGCGAATCTTGGTCAAAAGCTGTTCATCGGCCGTCGGCGCCGCAGACGTTGGATGGGGGCCCTCAATAATCTTTTGAAGAATTCGCTTGTTCTGTACTGCTAGAGCCTCAAAGTTTCCAAAACTGCTCTTGTCTGCTGGTAAGGGGTGTTCCTTAAGCCATCCACCACCTGAAAGACAGTTGCCAATACTGATGCAATACCAGGATGGAAGTCACTTACTGGAGAATTCGTAAAAGTTCTCGCAAGGATCCTGGGACGTGTCCAACGACGACAGGATGGATGCAGAGAGGATGACGCATTGCGGAGTAAGACACAGAGGCTAAAATGATCGTTCGAGTTTACGTGAAGTAATGACACGCATAGAAACGTACTTCTCTAGGCTGGATAGTCGGTTCCGGAGGGGACAAAATAGTTGTAGTCGCGTGAGAAGTCGTGGTAGCCGTCACTGTGTAGGTCTCATTGGGTTTGTCTCCGTCATGACTACCGCCCTGCCCAGTATTCAGTTTATGTTGGACACCAGCAAAGAGGCCGATGAATATCTTTGCCGCGTGGTCATCGTTAGCAGTCAAACATGAAGCAACCAGCACTACTCACCGAGCTTAGGAGTAGCAAAATGAGCACCACTACCAGGAGTACTTTCGTGAGAGGCGTAAGTGCTTCCTGTACTATGGAAGTGATGCGTTCGCTGAAAGAGGGACGATGCTCAACAACTTGCGCGTTTTCGACGTCTTCTGCGTCAGGATCCCGGAGAAGTGGTGCTGTTTCTGCGCGTCGGGAACGCGTGAGCCGGTCATCAAAGCACATTTTAGCTAGGGAACAAACCATATGCAGCGTCCGCCATGGTGACGGACTGAGAGTCGGCCTAGTCGACCCAAGATGGAGAAGAAGTGGACTGTTGTAAAAGCTGTGTCAAAAGGTGCCTCAAGGACAGTGCGTAGAGGATTCAATGAGGCGACCACGGCGACATGCAGAATTTGGCAGGACCCTCTCCACCAAATAGCGGTCCGAATACCCGCATGAGGTGCGACTTTGGTGCGGCGGCAACGTTTTTCGGACTTGTCGCGGCATACTAGACAACTGCTCGGTATTGACTTCAATGTACTGTAAAATACAGATTTTTATGGAATTTCATAAGAAACCCCAGAGGCTGATCGCAAATGTCGCCCCGAAAAAATAAGGTACTTAAGATAGTTGTACAATCGTTACAAATCTTCAACATGTTCACCCCAGAATATATAGCATCCTTTTGGATATGTCATTTCATCGTGCGAATATCAGGCGCTGACAGAAACTTCAAAAGACTTTCCAAGGTTGGTGGGGGGCGGTGTGAAAAACTAGAATCATCAAAGTCAGCGTCGCTGAGGTTGAAAAAAGAAGTCGCATTATGTTTTACCCGTGTCTTAATACCTCCCGCACTTGGAAGGCGGGTAGACCCTGCACTGAGATATCCGTCGACTTCGGCAGCAGCGCCACGACCCTCGCTGATGGGATTATTGACGTGAGATCCATATCATACATAAAATGGTCATAACGCACTTGATACCCCAAACGATCAAGGACTGTCCACGTCTGCAATCACCCGCAGCGAAGACACCCTCGACGTTGGTCGAATATTTCTGTAGAAGGGCTAAATTTGCAATCATAAACCAAAAAAAGAAGTGCCTGACTTTGAATGGTGTCTGGATGTTAGAACGGGCGTCCTGTTTGAGCCCCAAAGCTTTGATAACTTCAGCCTGAGGACCCAGAAAACCGAGCGCCAGGAAGACCAATTGTGCAGGGAAGAATTTTTCAGATCCAGGAACTTCCTCCATCTTCCATCTTCCGCCACTATCTTTGGTCCATTCGACGCGAACTGTCATTGCAATTTTGAGCCTAATTTCCAAATAGATTGAATGTATTTCCAACGTACCGGTATTCAAACCTTTGAGCTGACCCTCTTCATCAACGACAAAGTCCTTAGTGGAGATACAGTATTCGCGAGGATCTGTTCACATGATCAGCTCAAAAATATCCATATTAAATGATCGGATGACTTAACCATTTCCAAAGTGGGCAGCAACTTCGGTATGACCGTAGTCAGAGCGGAAGATCCTGGCATTGAACCCCATTAGTTCAACCTGCCATAAAGGAGCGGACAATGAACTTACCGAGGCCATTGCGGCCATGGGTTGTCCCTCCCACGAGAGACCGGCGGCCTGGGCAGTAACTCAAAATTCGTGACAGACTTCGCGCCGTGGCGCATCGACGTTCCGATACAATCGTTTCCAGTGTCACCACCTCCAATCACGATGACGTCCTTGCCTTTGGCATTGATGTAGTTACCATTCTCGAGCTCAGAGTCAAGGAGAGACTTCGTGTTGAGCTGCGCAGATTATCAACATACACTCGTCTCTTCCTACCCTCAAAACATACCTGTAAGAACTCCATGGCGAAGTGGATACCATTCACTTCGCGGTTAGGAATCTTCAAGTCCCGAGGCCATGTGGCGCCTGTACAAAGAACAACAGCATCATTCTCCTCCCGAAGCGTGTTCACATCAATGTCAAACCCAATATTCGCATTCGCGACAAAGGTCTGCAGAAATATGTAAGTAAGATCGCAGCAGTATGCAGGTACGTCACGGAAAACGCACGATGCCTTCAGCAGTCATGAGGTCGATACGCCGCTGAACAATGGACTTGTCAAGTTTCATGCTGGTAGAAACATTCAGAAATGATGCAATAAAAAACGGTCGTACAACTCACTTGGGAATACCGTACATCAGCAAACCTCCAAAGCGATCATTTCGATCATAGACGGTGACTAGATGACCTGCTTTGTTGAGCTGATCGGCGCAAGCCAATCCGGCGGGGCCTGATCCTATGATGGTGACTCTCTTGCCAGTTCGGAAGGAAGGAGGATTCGGAGCCATCCAGCCCATCTCGAAACCCTAAGTTCAAACAAATCGTTAGCTGAACGTGTACCCACGGCAAAGCGGGATCTACCTTATCGATGATAGCGCACTCAATGCTCTTGATGCCGACAGGCTGCTCGTTGATTCCTAGAACACATGCTCCTTCGCAGGGGGCAGGGCACACCCGTCCAGTGAACTCTGGGAAGTTGTTGGTCATCAGGAGTCGATTGAGTGCATCCCTCCATTGGCCTTTGAAGACGAGATCGTTCCACTTGGGAATGATATTCGAGATAGGACAACCGGTGTCGGACTGACAGAAGGGTACGCCACAATCCATACAGCGGGCGGATTGATACTTGAGCTCGCTTTCGGTCAAACGAGTAGAAATCTCCTTCCAGTCCTTGACACGTTTACGAGGAGGGCGGTAGGCCTCCCCCAAGCGCTTATACTTCATGAAGCCACGAGTTTTGTCTAGCTTATTCAGACGCAGCTTCGTTGAGGAATCGTCCACGACAGAGTCCTCTAGGTCGACTACGGAAGGCTCGTGACGAGACTTGGGAGTGACTGGAAGAGAATGCGACAGAGGACCCTTAGGCAGAAGAATGTCTTCCAGGCCTTCAGAAGCCAAATCGACTTGGCTGGCTGTCCGTGAAGGAACGAGGTCAATAACACTTTGCCTCATCTTTTCTTCCTTCTGACGTGCCGCTTGCTCCTCCAACACTCGTTTGTAATCTAGCGGCATCACGCGGACGAACAAGGGTAGAAGGTGGTGGAAATCGTGCAACACTCGGTCAGCCACCTCAGACCCAGTATAATGACGATGATCTTCGATGAGACTGCGCAGAGCGGCGATTTCACGGGGATCGGTGACTTTGCCGAGTTCAACCATCTCCATGTTCACTTTTGAGGCGAACGTGTGAGCGGTGTCGAGGACATAGGCGATACCCCCGCTCATTCCTGCCGCAAAGTTGCGCCCAGTTGTGCCAAGTACAACTACTCGTCCACCGGTCATATACTCACACCCGTGGTCACCAGTGCCCTCAACTACGGCATTGGCGCCAGAGTTCCTGACCGCGAAACGTTCGGCAGCGACACCACGAATAAAGGCTTCGCCGGACGTAGCGCCATACAAACAAACGTTTCCAATGATGACGTTCTCTTCAGCCTTGAATGTGGATGCCTTAGGCGGATATACGATCAGACGACCTCCAGAAAGACCTTTGCCGACGTAATCGTTTGCATCGCCTTCCAGTTCGATAGTAATACCTGGCGCAAGGAAGGCACCGCATGCCTGGCCGGCGGATCCGCGCATTTGTACATGAATAGTATCTTTCGGAAGGCCTTCCTCGCCGTAGGACTTAGATACGCGATATGACAGTGAAGTGCCCAGGGCACGGTCGGTATTAGTGACATCGCAATCAATGTGGACGGGAAGGCCTTTGGTGAGAGCCGGCTCGGACTCATCGATGAACTTGTTATCCAGTCGGATATACAGCTTGTGATCCTGTGAGCGGACACGGTAAGTCGCTGCACCGGGACGCATCTGCCAAGCTGGTTTCAAGAGGGCAGAAAGGTCTAGGTGCGCAGTCTTAGGTGTGCGCATCTTCTCATTGACCTTGAGCATATCCGCTCGTCCAACCATCTCGTTGATAGTACGGAAACCGAGCTTAGCCATGTAACCGCGCAATTCTTCCGCAAGATAGTAGAAGAAGTTGATGACTTGTTCGGGCTGGCCAGCAAACTTGGCACGGAGTTGAGGATCTTGGGTGGCAATACCCACAGGACAAGTGTTCACTGGTTGGAAACGTCAATAAAAACATGAACGTGCGAATAGTATATTTAACGTACGATGACATTTTCGCATCATGATGCAACCCATCGCAATTAATGGTGTTGTAGCGAAACCCCATTCTTCTGCACCCAACAAGCAAGCAATGGCAATATCCCTGCCTGTTCGGATCTGGCCATCGGTTTGGACAGTAACTCGGCCACGAAGGTCATTCAATACCAAGGTCTGATGTGTCTCCGCCAGACCCAGTTCCCACGGTAAACCTGCATATTTGATCCCCGTCCATCGGGATGCCCCGGTGCCACCATCATGTCCAGAAATAAGGATGTGGTCTGCCTTCGCCTTCGCGACACCACTTGCTACAATGCCAACGCCGACTTCTGACACCAGCTTCACGGAAACACGGGCACGAGGATTCGAACACTTGAGATCATAGATGAGTTGTTTCAAGTCCTCAATGGAATAGATATCATGATGTGGAGGAGGAGATATTAGGCCAACACCGGCGGTGGAATGACGAGTTCGTGCAATAGATCCCGAAACCTTGTGTCCTGGTAGTTCCCCACCCTCCCCAGGCTTCGCACCTTGCGCCATCTTAATCTGGAGCTCGTCTGCGTCGGCAAGATAGTTGGATGTAACGCCGAATCTTCCAGACGCAACTTGTTTAATGGCCGAGCGCATGGTATCGCCGTTGCTGAGAATAAGTGACCGTTCTGCATCTTCACCTCCTTCCCCAGTGTTGGACTTTCCACCGAGACGATTCATAGCGACGGCAAGAGTAGAGTGTGCTTCCATCGAGATAGACCCATATGACATGGCACCGGTGACGAATCGACGAACGATTTCATTCCAGGGCTCAACCTGTTCGATAGGAATAGCGGTGGCGTGTTCGTATCTAAAATCTAGTAGTCCACGTAATTGAACTCGCTTAACCTGTTCATCGGCATTCCGAGAGTACGCATCGTAAGCACCTTGATTTTTCTCCCTTACCGCGTCCTGAAGGTTGGCGATGCCCGTGGGGTCGTTGATATGGGCTTCACCTCCGTCACGCCAATGATATTCACCTGATTCAGGCATACCAGGTGGGATGATGGTGTCACGAGTTGGCCAGCCACGTTCATGGAGCTCAAAAGCATCCATCGCGAGAAGATCAAAGGTCGTCCCTTGGACTCGGCTCGCGGTCCCGATGAAGCATCGTTCGACGACCTGACTGTGCAAACCAAGGATTTCGAAAATCTGGGCACCCTTGTAGGACTGCAGCGTGGAGATGCCCATTTTTGACATAACCTTCAGAATACCGTTATCGACAGAGTGTCGGTAGTTATCCAGAAGCTCAGCAACCGTTTTGTCGTCTTTGATACTAAGAATGAGATGAGTGAAATTAAACAAACCGTGAACCGAAAAGCATACAGTTTCTCTCGCCCAACTTTGTGTATAGTCTCCATCACCAACCATGGGCAAATAGCATCAGCACCATAACCAACCAGAACACAGAGGTGGTGAACTTCACGAGCTTCGCCAGTTTCCACCATTAAGGCAATCTTAGCACGCTTCTTTTGAAGAACGAGATGATGATGAACGCCTCCACAGGCAATCAGGGCTGAAAGGGGAACGCGACCAGAGCTTGTCGCTCGATCCGAGAGAATAATCACCTTCACACCATCATCGATAGCTTCGGTGGATTCACTGCAGACTCGCTCTAGAGCAAGCTGATAGCCGGGAAGACCCTCTTCCTTCGGGAATGTGATGTCGATAGTTCTGGACGGCCAGGTACCGTAGGCAGATTTGAGATTTTTCATGGCGTTCATCTCCTCGATGGAGATGAGAGGCGAGGGTAACATAATACGGTGGCATTGTTCAGGTTTCATCTCTAGCAAGTTGCCTTCCGGACCTACGTACGCTTCTAAAGACATGACGATGTTTTCACGGATGGGATCAATGGGAGGATTCGTAACTTGAGCGAAGAGTTGACGGAAATAGTCATAGATAAGACGAGGTTGGGTGGCCATCACAGCTAAAGGAGCGTCATTACCCATTGATCCTAACGCTTCCTTTCCGTCGGAAAGCATAGGAAGCATGAGCAGGTTGAGCTGCTCGACAGTGAAACCAAACGCCAATAGCCTCGGGTCACTGCTAAGAGGCGAGTCGTCGAGGACAGGCTCAAGAACAACATGACTACGTCGGGCCCGCTTCATGATGTTGGGTACGTGAAGGACGTGGGCTTCAACCCAAGAAGCAAAGTTCTGTTTGGAAGCAGTGGTTCTCTTAAGCTCCTTGTCGTCGACAATCCTTCCTTCCTTAGTGTCAACAAGCAGCATGCGACCTGGCTTCAGGCGGCCCTTCTGTACGACTTTCTCGGGAGGAACAGATATAACACCGACTTCAGAGGCGCAGACCATGATGTCATCGCTGGTGACGACATATCGGCAGGGTCGAAGACCATTGCGATCAAGATTCGCACCGCAGAACCGGCCGTCACTGAAGGCGAACAGTGCAGGGCCATCCCATGGCTCCTGAAGACATGCCGCCCAGTTATAGAATGCCCTCTTTCCTGGTTCCATGTTCTCGTTGCCTTGCCAGGCCTCGGGAATCAACATCATGATGGCCTCAGGAAGAGTGACGACACCGTTAACTACGAGAAGCTCAAGAACGTTGTCAAAGGCAGCAGAGTCGGATCCGCCGGTCTCTATGATGGGGTACAACTGCTCGAGTTGATCGCCGAAATTCTTGGAGTGGAGCACGCCTTCTCGAGCGCGCATCCAATTCTTGTTTCCTCGAACAGTATTGATTTCACCTTTGACGTGGATCAGAAAGCTGTATTGCAAGCGAGTTCCGGTGGCGTACCATTGTGAGCCGCCCATCTCATAGGCTGTGCCCGGTCCCAACTGGGGAACGTATTCGTCGAGAAACGTGAATGCACCAGAGTGAAGTGGGCGCGATATAAGACATGGTTGAGATCGTGGTAATAGTTGTACACTTGCGGCGGGGTAAGTTGACCCTTGTATACGATGTTTTTTGACGATAGCGAACAAACGTAAAAACCTTTTGCAAGCGTACTTTAGATGATAAAACAAGTCCGAAATACAATAAGCTTCGCTGAGAACACATAAGAGCGAAATCACAAACATGCTATGAGTCGCGCGCTTGCGAAGAACATAGAGCTGAAGCTCAAAATATTTTGCATCGAAAGTCCCACCTTGGCTGACGCTACCATCACCATAATGAGCTCGAAGAACAACAAATGGCTGAACGATAGCCGGCTCTTTGCTACTTGCTGCTGGGCCGAGTATCGTTCCATCAGTAGGGACTTCTCGCCAGCCCAGGACTCGCAAACCGAGGTCATTGGCAATCTTGGCAAATGTGGCCTGTTGAGTTTGGAGAAGGACGGGGTCGTTGGCCTTGAAGAAAACGTTGCCGACTGCATACTCGCCGGGCTCAGGAAGAAGGCAGCCAATGTCTCTTTCAGCCTCTCTTTTGAAGAACTCGTGCGGAATGGCAGTCATCACACCAGCTCCATCTCCGTCTCTGCTGTCAGCACCGGTAGCACCTCTATGAGTCATCGCACAGAGTAGATGTCGAGCATCAGAGACGATCTTGTGACTGGGCTGCCCCTTGATATGGCAGAGGAAACCTACACCACAGGAATCTTTCTCGTTCTCGTTGGAGTACAGACCCTGGTTAGCGGGCATGGCCCCTGCCCAAGAATTGGGATCACGTTCGACGGCATAGAAGCCAGTAATATTTTCTGCAGACGCAGACTCGGATACTAGGGGGAAAGGATCTGACAAAGGGGGAGTAGCGACGGCAACACTGGCCATAGAACTAACAAGAGGATACTGGTGGTAGCTGGTCAAAGAGGAGGAAAAATATGAAGGGACCGTTGAAAAGAATTTGCAAAGTGGTCCTGGTGGAAGGGAGGGAAGAACGGATGGCGCGGACACATACTCCTCCGCAGAGCTCGGCCGAGCAGGACCGAAAAACCGGCGAAATCTGATTGGCTCTTGGGCCTCGGCCAAGGACGGCCCATGCGGCATTCCTTCAACCGTGTGGTCAACTGCTCATGTGGCTTGCTGTAGTAGATGGCTAACTCGGATGGATCATGTGTAGCAGCCAGAGAGCTAGTTGGACGGGCGACAATTAAATAAATGGCAGCCTAGGACAATCACCATTAGGGATCAAGGATTCAGATGCCGGTTGATCTCGGATACTACAGCTGGAATTTGCCTTGCATCCTTCCCCCTCGCTACACTACGTATGCACGTTCTTGGGAACGTGCATACTCGCTTCGAGCACCCAGTCGGAGTCTTGAATGCGGGGAAATTACAGAGATTTGACGAGATATCTCTATCAAGTTCTCCCGCGAGTCAATAGCATCCTGATCCATATATATATTCCCTACTTACTCCTAATGACATGCAAAAAAAAATACCGGATGTAAATACTGGTCTCAGCGTAAAAGCTCCTCAAGATTTGGGGTGTACAACTCAGACCCCGACACACGCAATACTTGGTATGGTTCTACCCAGGTCTTCCAATTGAACCCTCGGGGGACTGACTTCATCATGACGCATTCTTCATTTCAGACGTCCGCAGCAAGTCCTCCCTTCCATGTTATCGCAATACTACGAAGATACCATATCCGGCAGAATGGCGAGATAGAGTTGAATTCATGTCTGATAATCCATAAGGCGATGGCGTGACACTGATTGTGGCCTCGAGATGTCCCTGCATACCTCAGCCTCAGGGACAAGCGCCCAAGAACCTGAGACCACGTCTTGGTCATTTCATGTCAACAGGACTCAGGTATGAATCAATATAGCTGCCGAAACCTGTTCCAAGTTAAAGGCCACGCTCAGTCATGCATTCTCAATAAGTGGAAAATTTAACACGTATGCCAGACGGAAGCTTTAATACATGGGATCGCACCGTACTGTATTAACAACGCTTCCCTCACACACCGTTCTGGGCGGAACCACGTCGCTCGCATTTGAAGATTGCACGCTGTCTGTTATTCTGGTTCCCTCTTGCTCAGATGCATCGGACTTGGGAGATAGGATCAATCTGAAATTTTCCGATGAGCTTCAGTCACACCCTTAGGCTGATGAGCGTTATCAGATTCGAGCCCTCTAACACTTTTACGGATCAGTAATAATGGGAGGCTGGCCTACGTGCTGATTCCGATCTAGAACTGGCTATTGCATACACGAGGCATCCACAAGAGCCAATAACTAACAACCTGAAGCTGATATGGAGAGATGCAATCGGGCAGCCCTCCATTAATCTCGTCTCTAGTTTCCAGTTGATCTGCGAAGTACTGCAGAGGACCGTACTGTACCGAGTGGAACGCCGAAAGACTGGGATGACGCGTGATAGGAGCTTAGCCGGCGCCATCGTGAAGCGCGCAACAAACAGCCGCTATGTCCAGAGAAGACGTCAACTGCCGGCCAAACCGCTCCTGATTGGCAACCTACCCTTGTGGTGGCCGTTGTACTGCCTTACGGTCTCTCCTGATGCCATCTCCCAAAGCCTCGCGGAGTGGTCGGAGGAAGCTCCGAGAAGTAATTTTGAGTCACACCCAAAACAACGAAATAGAATTAGCTTAACGTACCTGTGACAAGATAGGCCGAATCTGCGCTGAAAGCACAATCCCAGACCCACCGCTGATGTCCAGTGAGGATCTTCTCCTGCCTGAACTCAAGGTTGTGAGAGATAGACCATATTTTCACAGTGGTATCGGCGGAACAGGTCGCTAGGCATCTAGTACGGCACTTTCATGAATGTTCCACATCAAAACGAGGGGGATGATACTTACTTCGTATCGGGACTGAGAAGACAACGCGTTAGATATTTGTTGTGAGCATGGAAGGTTGTCACTGCTTGAAAGCGTGGGAGGCCAGAAGCCTCGTCATTTAACTTCCACACGTAGCATTGACCCTTGCAACGGCAGGATGAGAAGTTTGTAGAATTACTGTTTATACAGACTCACTTTATTGTTACCGGCGATTAAACACGAACCATCGGAAGCCAGAGTCACCGATCGCATAGGTATATCACCTGCTGGAGTCTGCAAAGAGGTAGTTGAATAAACATGAACGGCGCGAGCAACCTACAAGTTCATGAGAGCATATATTCTCGGACAAATCCCATTGTTTGATGCTTCCCGCCTGGTCGCACGATATCAATTCACCTTGGTTCGGATGAACGCAAACATCATTGACTGGGAAAACGGAGGAGAAATCATTACGAGGGACCGCAGAACCAAAGGGAGAAAGGGCCTTACCAGGAGCGGTATTATCGTATGTTCTATGTAAATGTGGATTTCTGAGAGAATAGGAATTGGATCAAAAGCAGCGAGGAAAATAAGGGTTCAATATCGTACCGAAGATCCCATATTTTGACAGTACCGTCTTCGCTTCCGGTCACCAGCCACTTTCCCTCGCTGTGAAATTGAATGGACGTCACATTCTTGGTGTGTCCATCAAAAGTTACGAGCTGACTATAATGAGTCGAAAATACATGGTAGACCATGTATGAGATAATTACAGGCTCGTTGGTCGCGTTGGATATTTCATAAACGGTGACCTTCTTATGTATCGCGGCCGCGAGAAGTCGCTTGCTGAAGGGTCCATATAAGTGGGTCAAAAACAAGGGAGCTGAGCGATGGCTTACTCTGGGGATATCGCGAGGCGGTTTACTTGCTAATGACAAGGTATGAGCACTGCAATAACACGTATCGAAAAACGCACGGACACCGGATTCCCCAGTTCGAGCAATGGTTCGAGAGCATATTCCACTCCAAGCTTCCCAGAAACGAATTTCGTGGTCGTATGACCCTGTAACCAGAATGACAGACATGTCACTAGCAGCGGCTGCCTTGGACGTTGAAGATGGAGCCGGCATTATTGTAACGAGGTGAAAGTACGAGGCTACGAGCAATGGCCTCTCATGCAAATAGGAACAAATATTTGCTATTTTTGTCACCGGAAAAAATGTCCAATTTACATCCGAGGCTCTCTTCGCCAATCTGGATGCTATTTTTTTTGACTGGGAGTTCCCATCCTAGTATATGGTTCACCAACCAGCCGAGACTTTACTCTTTCGTACTTTTTCTCTGGACTCTGTCACTTCTCTGGAAAACCGGTAGTAGTACTGCACCTTTGGGGCCACTGATCTCCCCCATATACATAATGAAGTCGTGAGATGGTGCCGCTCTCCTGCATTTTACGATATTACGTTTAAGCCCTGGACAACAAGTTGTACCTCCTTGGGACCTTGATCTTGATTGGGCCAGCCATCCGGTTGGTGCGTGATCGATTGCGTGGACCATAAACTTGGACCCACCGTCACAAAACCCCTCATAACCGACATGGCAGCGGCGTACGAAGATAACCTCCCGAGATTCACATACACTAGCTTCTCATATCTCAAATGAAATTCCATATTCATTCGTTAAGTTTTCGAGGGCCTTCTTCCCCCAATTCCTATTACCGATCTGGTCTGACTTCGATTCACAGCGCTTGCTAAGTACTCCCTGCGTATTATGCTGGTCTCAGATAAAAGGCAGTGGCATTCTCACTCTATTGTCTCCCAGTTCGACTATTTTGGCTATGAACTCTATGCCAGTGCGTACACACTCTTCTGTGCACTCTTCTACCTAACTCGAAGCTATGCAGGTTGGTAGCCATGTTTTCTTCTGGGACACAAGAGGCCAAGTCATCAAAGGGGTCATCCAATCCACAACCCGGACGGCCGAGGTATGTGGCATTTGTCTCCTCCCTCCACTTCTTTACGATGCGAGCGGTTTTTAAACACAGGGCTCGCTGATGGTGGTTATTAACAGTGACGCAGGACGAACCATCACCCTGCCGTAAGTCCCATCACTCTATGATATGTTCAACTTGCTCATCCTTTTGGACTAGTGTGGCAGCTGTCACTCTAGATCCCAACCCCAGCTAAACGATTCGTTAGAATGACTTCGCCTTTCGCGTCTCTGCATTATGTCTCTGGGACTTTGGCATGGATTTTTCTCTCATGGGTTATAGCGGATTCCTCTCTCTTCAGGCACATACACATTGTACCATTACTTCGCGCACAAGTTCCTGTTACTTTCCACTCACACAGTAATTTATTTGCGCATGTGGCAAGCTCATCAGATTTACGCTACGTAGATTAGAGATCCTCAAGTAATATTATTATAAAGACTTTCTCCTCATGTCGTTGCGCGGATTTCTGATCTGGAAGACCAGTGCCACCGCATTTTCCCACTCAGTAATAGCCTATCAAGATGAGCTCAAGACCATGCGGATGAAGTTCAGTAGTTATCCTAAGGCAGTTTGCAGTCGTCCTGAGCAACAGGAACCAATCAGCATCATAACATATTGAACGAGTAGTCGCACGATCATGACTTCTCGCTGTCGTGGACGTCAAATATCAACCCCAGGATTTTCGACAAATATACAATTATGTCGGACCAAATCCGCATTTAATCCCAGGAATAATTATGTACACTTGATCGGCTAGTCATTATTGGATTAGTATGTCGTTTACCACAGGTGGCGGGAAAGGGTTCGTGGTTTACTGACCCTGACTGTTTGAATGTGCAAAAAGTTCAGCTCCTCGCGACTTCAAAAATGTCCTTGAGAAATTTGACTTACTATACAGAACCCTCCCCATGGGGATGCGGCGGCATGGTCCGATAGCAGCATCAAGCGATTTGGGGTATTTGACGAAAGTAGGACGCACTGCAGCCAGTGCAAAGTGTGATTAGCCAGGGAGGAACTTCTGGACAAAACATTCCAAGGCAGAAAAGAAGCGGCACAGCGAATAACCGGAATTCTTCACTTTGTCAAAAGTGTGAATTATAGAAGAGTGCCCTCCACAAAGAGTGAAAGATCCATCGGATGTTTGCAAATCTCGAGTAGATTTCAAATTTGCGACGCTCAGTTACTGAGGGAGTTACCAAGCCGCGGCAGGAAGTATCAGCTCCAGGGAGCTCCCTTTCACCAATATTACACAGGATCATCTTTCAAGTAACGAGGAAGAAGAGATGGAAGGAAACGGTACCGCACAACTTGGATGTTAGCATCAACACTGACAAAATTGCGTATTCAAATTCGGCATTCTTGACTTGCCGGATGTGTGCCGAAGTTCTCCTCCTACGAGTTCCATTTGTAGGCACCAAGTTCTGACCTGTGGGATCTACAAGGACATAAAATTGACCTTGAATGGTCGGTATCCGTTCATGGTGAAGACCGATGCTGGCAAGGAGCAAACAGACGTTGCCTCCAACAGTTCGTGACCTCTTGCTCAATTTCATTTCGTTCATATCTAATTTGTTCTTCTAGAGGAACCTCATGGAAATTTGCAAGCAGCTTTGGCCCGTACGGTTACGAGGGGTATGGCACTTTACTTTTCAAGACCTGTAAGACTATTTCGACCGTCGAAAGGTAGCGTAAATTTGCCCTTCTTCTAGAATACGTGGCAATTTCATTTCTCAGTCTCCGGATGGCAAATTTTAAGAGGATTGGCAGAGAAGGATGGCTCGTCTCTCAATCACCGATTTCTGTCGTCGCTGGTCAAGGACCAAGGAGTGAGTAACAAATAATTTAAATCCATGACGTTGAATGTATTTGATCTATAATACTACCGTCCAGTTCCTGGTGATTCCTAAACACTTCATACCACCTATGATGGTAAATGCTGTCCTAGGTACCGTTCTCTGGACGACTTATGGGGAAGCTTCTGCGACCCTCGAACCGTACCTTGGATCTCATCCAATTGTGAATGCGGCGCTGTCGGGGGCAATTGCAGGGGGCGCTCAGGCTGTGGTCGCTGCGCCAGCGGAAAATGTTCGGCTACTTCTAGAAGGCGGAAGCGTCTATCATTCATGGTCGCATGCGTGGAAGGAAGTATTTCGGGGCACGCACTTGATTCCCTCAGCTTCCAGAGAAGAGATTCGTGAAGTTAGAAGTTGGATGAGAGACGTAGGTGACATGGCGGGGCGCGGATGGGACGGCTGGGGATGGGGCTGCGCTAAGGATATGTGCGGTACGTCGTCTTCTAACGTTTGTTATTTCACTGGCTCATCTTCGCAGGGTTCGCATTGTTTTTCTCGATTTTCGAAATCACGCGACGTATTTCCGTTTCAGTAAAAGAAGCCGCACATAACCTAATCGCTTCAAAACTTGCGATAGAGTCGCTGAGCGAGAAACGGAAGGACAGACTTGCAAGGCATTTTCCAAGGACTATGCACGGTGTCACGCTTGTTACAGGAGGGGTAAGCTGCCCGTTACTTTGAATCAAATTCAGGTTGATGATTTACTTTCAGGTTGTAGCTGGATTGGCTTATGAATTCGTTGGACGACCTTGGGATAATGCACGACACACCGTGCAACTGGATCTTTTTTCGTCTGGCCACGCCGGCGGGAAACATTCGCCTTTCATAGTCCTCTTTGACAAATTTCGCGAAGAAGGTCTCGCCTACTTTTTCCGCAATCCGTACAGAGTGATAGACCACTCTCATTCGTTGAGTCCTTCCCAGCTTCGCCTGAATACCATGTTAAGGACTTTGGGTCGTGTCGGACCATGGGGCGTGGGCTTCTTAGTTTGGGAAACTTACAGTAGCTCATAGTCATTCTTCGGAGCCAAATATGTATGGTATCGTTTACTTGATCTCCAGGCATCCTCTTACTGATGACATACTACGCAGGCACGTATTTCATACTACAGGCAGAGCTTAGCTCCATACCTGCCGAATGCCGACCGTCATGGACTATCATGTGGTGGTGGTGGTGGTCCGAGTGTTTTGTTCAGATCCCCATCATCCGAAGACCTTTTATGAATGCAGCTGTTGTTTATGACCCTTACTGGCTTGGCATGGAATCAGAACGAATATGATAAAAGCAGCTCCCCCGTGGACAACGCCTTTCTGTTCTTTGTCACTCTGCTTGTCTGAGATCGGACGTCCGAAAACCGCGCTTCGTCTATTCATTTGCTGCCATCAGCCTCTTTCCTGTTCACAAAGGCAGACCGATTCCCGACGAACCTTTTATGAACGTGTCTACGAAACATTAATGTTATATCTATGACACTGGCCAGCTCTGCATATCCGGACTCTCAGGCGACGTTCGGTTATCGGCCACCATGAGGAATCAATCTTTCATTTCGCGAAACGAGACAAAGTCGGGTGGAACCCGAGAGGTCTTCCGATAACGCCTGAGAGCTTACTGTCGGGAGCGTTGGAAGAGGAATCTTTGAGCACTCGTTGCCAGACCGCGGTACTTTTTGCACAGGTTATCCGCGATGCAGGGTGTTGATACGCGTTGACATTCGCAAGTCGATCGCAATCAGTCTTGGGTGCGCCATCGCATTGGCACCCAAGGTCCTGAAACCTCGTTCGGTGGTAATCGCGGAGTTAACAAGATGTATTACTTGGGACGTAAAGCCATTTTATCCACTGAAAATACTTCTTTCATCTCAGTGAGAAATCTGGAGCTGTGCATGCCATGTCCGACGAGGATGTAGGAAAGCTCTCATCTAATGTGGTTCGGACCTTGTACACGTTGACCGACATCCATTACTCTTCGGTGACATTTCGGAATCCGGAATCCGGAATCCGAACCAAAGCTCATTTTGATCTTGTTATTGATATTTTGTGACACACCTTTCCTCTCAGGCTGCTGTGGCACGAACACTTGACTGCTCGCGCGAACGCCAGGCAAACCCGGTAGCTGTGGCACGGGCACAACTGATTTCGACTTCTCTTCTCATTTATTCTTGTCTGCACTTTGCAGTTGCGGGAAAGACCGAGCCGCGAAACTACTGACACGATCTCCAATACAACCTAATCGGCAGAACCTATTGAGCCCTAAAATGATCGTTTTTCTGCCACCATTATCACATTCACATTGCCTCAAGGCCTCAACCTCTCGGTGCATTTTTGGGGCTTCCGCATTTTTCTGCGATGACCCAATTTTCTATCCTAGTATTTTACTCTTGCTTGATGACTTTCTGCACACCTTCTCTCCACTTCATCCTCGATTTTTCGTTTTAGTTTCAAGTTAAGGGCCAGCTGTACACATAGAACGCCTGGTTTGATGCTTACGTCATCGAAATTTCGAAATCAACATTTTCCCACTTTTACTTCGCTTACCGTGTCGCTTTCCACCCAACAACAGCCTGTCCACATTCCGGGTGCTAAGCCTACTTCTTCTGCTAATTTATTTGCTTCGAAATGCCTCGTTGCACAAGAAAAGGTTGCAATAAAGAGTTTACTCAAGATGGCAATGAAGCGTGCATATTCCATCCAGGTGCCCCAGTAAGTCAGTACTTCTTTTCTGCACCCAGTAGTCTAATGTAAAGTAGGTATTCCATGAAGGACTCAAGTCGTGGTCCTGCTGCTCTGATGTCAACAAACCGGTGCTAGAGTTCGATGAATTCATGAAGATTCCTGTATGTATCCATGCCGCAGCTTCTGAAACGTAGACCAATCGGCATCTACTAGGGATGTATGAAAACTGAACGCCACACGAACGATGCGCCAAAAGTTGAACCCTCAAAGGCGCCCACCAACCCCAACAATCTTACTGTATCTGTTTCCGAGGATGGCAAGGAAGTGTACACCTCGGACGCGGCACCTACTAATACCTCACCTCATTTGGAATCGAAGCCGCCAACTTCTCAAGCTCTTGCTTCCATGCAAACGCCTCTGCCAGTCATTGAGGAAGAGGATGATCTCTCCATACCAGTCCCAGTCGGAACCAAGTGTTTAAGGAAAGGATGTGGCAAACTCTTCGTAAGCGATGAATTTAACAGACATGGCAATGGAGAGGGAACCGTCTGCATATATCACCCCTCACCGGTTCGTACCCGCTAAGCTCGTGATGTGCGTATACCTGACTGACTTTTTTTTCGCGTCATAGCCGATATTTAGGGAAGGCAGCAAGGTATATTACTTACAGCCAGGCCAAGTGCTTCTGAGAATCGTCTCCCCAATTAGGGCTATCTCTGCTGCAAACGTCGCGTCCTCGAGTTTGAAGAGTTTCTCAAAATTGAGGGGTGCAAAACAGGTCGCCACCTTTTTGCCGTTAAAGCAGCCCCCGGACCAGTACGTTATATCCTTTTGGCAGCCAGCATATATTGGATCTCCTGCTGCTTTGAACACAGACCCTAACGGAGTGTCGTATCGAGCATTATCAGACAGTAGACAAGGTGCATGTCTCCATCTACGCCAAGAAAGCCGATAAAGACAAGACCACCATAATCTTTGGAAGCGACAAAGTATATCTAGTAATCCTGTCCAGATCATTCTATACTAATCATACTTTTTCAGGTGATCCTTGACATCCTGTTCCAAGATACCAAGAGATTCACCCGTACCCTCGATCTCGTGGGTCCGATAAACGCTGACACATCGACGTTCCAAATCATGGGAACCAAGGTCTGCCCTTCACTATTTGATGCTTCCTATACGCGATTAACTTTTCACTTTCTAGGTTGAGCTCCACCTCCAGAAGGAGGATGTGAGAAGTTGGCCAGTCCTAGAGAAAAGTGAACTAGTAAGAATCGGCAATTACGCCGTTACTTTCGGGGTTGGTGGTCGAACTGGAACTATTGGTGGCAAAGAAATCATTCTGGATGCATCGAATCAAGTGAGAACAGGGTGAACGGTGGGATGAGTTAGTTGTATTCGTAATAGATGTAGATCTATAATAAAACATTCTTCTAAGCTCGTGGATAATAACACAAGGTCCCTACCATAATATCATAATACGCCCGGTTTTTCTATGGTCTCATACGTTTGAATCGTATCTCCCGGTAAGAGATCTGAGTATCCTGCCAGACCGAGTCCACATTCCGTTCCCTTACGAATTTCTGTGACCTCCTTTTTCATTATCCGCATTGTGTCCACCGTACCTAAAAAGTACGTGAGAAAATGCACGGAAATCACAAAGACATCGAGCTGACCTTCGTGGATAACTTTTCCATTCCTCACCACCTTCGCCGTTTTATTTTTCTCCACCAGCCCGCTAACTACACGAGATCCAGCAACCTTCTTCGTTACGCCACCCTTCATCGATATGTCGAAAAGCTGCAAAACAGTGGCCTCTCCGGTAACTCTGGTCTCATAAATCTTTGGTAACAGATCTACGACACGGGCCGTGATATCATCTACCAATCGATAAATAATTCCTGAGGAACAGATCGGAACTTGATTTTGGATAGCGATGGCCTCGATAGGCTTGGGCACTTTGACCGAGAACGCAACAACTGTGCCTACAGGACGAGAATCAGAAAAGCCAAACAACAAACAAGACTTTGAAAATGGGAAGGCATACCTCCCGCAGCCTTCGCCATCATGACATCCGACTCTGATACATCGCCAACGGAAGAAGAGATGACGCGACTCGTTGCAACCTCATTTCCAATCCCGTGGATGGCGCCCACTACTGCCTCCGCACTACCGCTGACATCTGCTTTGACGACCAGTTTCAACTCCTTTGGTCCAGTCTCAACAGGTCTCTGCTCTCGTGCTGCCTCCTCTGCCTCCGCGGCAGCTTCCTCCTCTTCCCGCCGCTCCCGCTCCTCTCTCCTAGCCTTATTGATAGCCTCCACGTCTTTCAACGAAGCCTCGATCTCCGCCTGCCTAACCCTATTGGCTAAGGCCTTCTTCACGTCACTTTCAGAGCCCTGAACCACCTCGTCTCCCGCGTTTGGAAGTGTTTTCCAGCCAGACACAGTCACGGCCATACCAGGGTAAGCAGCTTTAACAACCTTTCCTGTTGAGTCAGACATGACTCGTATTTTGCTTTGACTAAGCCCTGCTAGGATATGAGAACCTGGCTTCAAGCAGCCACGAAGCACCAAAACTGTGGCCACAGCACTTGCGAAAATATTTCTGAACGTGTTCTATAACTAGCAAGAGAGATAATGCACTCACCCAAGTCCTTTCTGCATTTGCGATTCTAGAACATATCCATGCACGGGACCATCTCCCTCAGCGCGAAGTTCTTGCATCTCTGCCATGGCAGACAATGTTTCCACGAGTGTTGGCAAACCCTTTCCAGTCAACCCAGACACTTGTACCGAAGGAATATCTCCGCCAAATTCCTCCAGCTGTACGTCCGCCGCCAACAATGCCTTTTGAACAGCATCGACATCGACGCCTGGCTTGTCGACCTTGTTAATCGCAACGACGACCGGAATATTACCCTTCTCTTTCTGTATTAGTCCAATGACTTCCCTTGTTTGCGGCATTATACCGTCATCAGCCGCCACAACTAAGACGACAATGTCGGTAACACGGGCACCACGGGCGCGCATCGCAGAGAATGCTGCATGCCCAGGAGTGTCGAGGAACGTGATCGTGTCTTTTGTACCAGGAACAGGAACGGAGAAGGCACCAATGTGCTGGGTAATCCCGCCCGCTTCACCTTTTGCGACAGATGTGGAACGTAAGGTATCAAGGAGCGTCGTCTTTCCATGATCGACATGACCCATAATAGTGACGACTGGCGGACGGATGGGAAGAGAGCTCGGGTCAGGATGTGGAGGGGGTGGGTAGAGATTGAAGGCCAGCTCATCGTCGACAATTGGATTTCGTCCGAATTCCTCTGCGAGTAGTACAGCGTAGTCAGCGGTGAGAACTGTGGCACTCGTTTGTTAGAATAACGGATAAGAGGACCTGACGCTGCATACCATAATCATAAGACATCTGATCCTCCATTCCTGCCCTTCGCATGGCACGTTGCAAGGTTGCTGTAAAGGTGGATAAATGAGCCCGTCCTTCAGGGCGTGGCAATGCGACTTACTTAGGCGAACATCCAACAACTGGGATAATGAACCAACGGATATCATGGTAGGAATATAAATGTCCGGGGAAACACGTTTCTCGATGACAGCTTTCCGCGGTCTTTTTTTCACTGTCTTGACGTCTGGTACGGTGCGCTGTTCAGTGGTAGCAGGTCGAACATAGCCCATTGTTTTCAGTATAGATCCCCGCTCTCCATACCGCTGATGCTTGCTCCGCCATCGTTCCTGATCTCTGAGACTTTGCCCGTCATCGACCTCCGGCTCATATTCCACTTCCGACACTTCCTCTTCTTCCTCTAGACCAACTTCGTCAGGCCTTGCTTTAACCTTTGCTTCAACCTTTCGTTCAACCTTTCCTTTAGATAATGCTACCGGAGGCCTACTTTGCGCGGAATCTCGCTTTCGTGTAGGCGAAGTCGCGTCTAGCCTTTGGACTTGATGAGGGGCAAGTCCTCGTTCTATTCCTTGTCCTAGATCCCTCTGGCGCTGGCTGACAGACGACAAGGGTTTCACCTTCTCCCGTACCGGAGCAAACGTTGGCTGAATGGTTGGCTGAACGGTGGCCCTTTCCGATGGTTTGCTAGGAATACGTCTCATCCAATCGACAGTCTGCGTCGGAGTTGTGCTGCCAGAACTTTGTTGTACCCTCCTCCCACCGCGAACATATCCTGACGTTTGCGGTGGTTGAGGTGGTTGTGTCCATTTCGAGGCACCCGGTGAAGACGAGTGTGGATTAGTGGACGCAGTAGATGGTACTGGTATACTTGACGGCTGCCGTGCCCATTTCCCCATCAGAGGCGAGGTCGAAGACCTATGAATACTGGCATTTGACGAAGAGATGTCCCACTTTGTGTCCTGAGTACAAGAAATAAGGACGTGCACTGGCAGGGAACAACAGGACACGAACTTTCAGCTTAGCTGCAGTCGACGACTGTCGGGTCTGAATACATCTTCGACAGACGCTGGGAAAAGCATGTCGTCTACAATGCATAGAGGATAGTAGAGGAACGGACCCGCTACGACGTGACTGGAAGCAGGAGTACGATCGATACCTGGTCGATGCAGTCCGAGGAAATAATGGAAGGGCTCGAAATTGGTTATGAGGCTAAATCAAATTTACCAACTTGGGGAATTTACTCTTATTTTCTGGTTTGTTTCACCTATATGCATGTCCAATTGCCCCAGACACAAGAAAAACAAAAGATAAAGATGGCAGATATTTAGAAACCTGAAGTCAACACTACTAGATAATTATCAGTTTTCTTCCAAGCAGATTTCGAACAACCCGACCCGGCCCGCAATTTCCTCAGACGTCAATCCACGTGGAGTCACTCGCCTTGCGGCATACGATGACGAAAGCCGGCACTGCACTGTCTGCATTACTTTTCCTACTGACTCCATGTTGGGAAACGAGGACGACTACATCTACAAGAAGAGGAGACTGCACAGAGCATGCGATTTTTGTCGACGCAAGAAAAGTACGCCCATATTTTCTTGATTTTAATTCATCAATATGACTTTTGTCTCCTGCTTATTTTTAGTACGCTGTATGGCTAACCAAAATCTTCTGGATGCCTCAATTTATAGTGTGAATTACTAGGCGATGGTGTAAAAATGGATGGAAGTGACCGGTGCTCCAATTGTAGATTGTACGATGCGGAATGCACGTACCTCGAAGCAGCCCAAGTGCGTTTTCTTTGTCCGACATATAACGAGGACCTAATGTTATCACACAGAAGCGTACAGTATCAAAGGGGTTCGTCCCGTATCAAATTTTCTGTCTTCTTCCTGCCCAACGTGACTCGTTACAAGGAATATCGAGCCTTGGCCAGATAAAAGAGTCCAGAGACAGGATAATGTAATGAGCAATGTGCGTTTAGGAATACTTCCTCGTCCACTTGCCTCTTACTCAACGTGTTACGTCAGTTTGTTCATGAAGGAGAAGATTCCCGCCGTATTTCCTCGCGTGCCGATGGGCTTTCCTCTACCTCCGCGCCTTCCACACACAATTCAAGCTCACCTCTCATGCCTCTGAAAGAACTGGCTGCTACAGGGCGCTCCCAGAATTTAACTAATGATTTGTCAAGCATAAAGCAGGAGGAGTGCGACGATTATTTGAAACTCTCCGACGACTTTCAACGACTTGAAGTGCGAGACGATTCCGTGTACCGATTCTTTGGCAAATCCAGCAGCATACAACTTATTCAGACAGTCATTGATCTCAAACATGGATATGTGAACCATGAAGATTCATGGATCCCATCTAACTTATTTGATGCAATGCGCCCGGAATTTAGGACGAAACGATCTGTGAGTGTTCATCCAACACAGCTGCCGCATTCTTGGAACTTACAGATGATCTAGTGGGAATGGAACGACACAGCGCCGCCCTATATATGCACATACACGTTCCCGCCAGACGATCTCCTAGCGGATTTGATCGACATATTTTTAAATAGGAACGACATATCGTTCCCATGTCTCCATGGACCTACGTTCCGACGGTGCGTCAAAGATAACCTCCATCTCAGAGATGAGATGTTTGGCGCTGTTGTATTGTTGGTGTGCGCTAACGCTTCGCGGCTATCTGATGACCCCCGAGTATTGCTCGACGGAGAAGATTCAAAGCAGTCAAGTGGTTGGAAATGGTTCAATCAGGTGCAAAACACGAGACGGTCACTGCTCGCACTGCCAACTATACATGATCTGCAGTTTTATTGTGTGAGGCTAGTGTCTTTCGTATTTTTCCGACGGTTAACATCCTTATAGTTGTTTGGATCATTCATCTTTGGCACGTCTTCACCACAGGAAAACTCTTTTCTCCTTCAAGGCTGTTTCATGGATACTTATATTCCCACAGTCATGCTGGACAGTAATCGGAATGGGGATACGGCAAGCTCAAGATATCGGAGCGCACAGGAAACGGAACGGTCCGCCCACTGTGGAGAGCGAGATGGTAAAAAGGGCGTTCTGGTGTTTAGTGGCAATGGATCGAGATGCCAGCTGTGCATTGGGTCGACCAAGTGGGATAAATGATGAGGAGTAAGCGATCTACATGTCAGGATCACAACCTCCCTTTCATTATCCGATTGCAGCATCGATGTCGACTTTCTCATCGAATGTGACGACGAATATTGGGAAAATCCAGATCCCGAGAAAGCCTTCAAACAACCTCCTGGAAGACCGTCTAGAATAGCTTATTTTAATACAACCTTGAGGCTGAACCAATTACTTGGATCCTGTTTACGCACTATAGTGAGTAATTTGTTATAGTCTTATTCTCAAGTTGATGTGGCCTCTGTTTACAGTACTGCCCGAACAAGTCGAAAGTTCTTTTAGGTTTCGTCGGCAAAGAGTGGGAACAGCATATTGTGGCCGAGCTCGATTCCGCGTTGAATAAATGGGTAGATTCGATACCTGAGCATCGTAAGCACCTGCTTGAATATCACTTTCAATCGTCAGCCGAAAACGTTTTCCCCCAGTTCGGTGGGACCCCCATCGTGAGGATGAACTATTCTTCAATCAATCTGTATGCCTGTACACTTCGTACTACCACCTTCAAATCCTCATACACCGGCCCTTCATACCATCTCCACGAAATTCAAGCCCATCACAATATCCATCGCTTGCGATATGCACGAATGCTGCTCGTTCAGTGAGTCATCTTATAGATGTACAACGACGAAGAGGTGGATTTTGGGCTCAGCCTGGATGTCTTGTATGTAGAGTCTCCCCAGCTGGGTCTCTTAATAACTTATTGACTGTCTCAGCTTGACACCTTCGCTGCCGGAATCGTCCTGTTACTGAACATTTGGGGAGGGAAAAAGTCAGGTCTTGCCCTCAACTCGAAGAAAGAAATGCAGGATGTTTACAAGTGTATGCAGGTGCTGAACGATATGGAATCTAGGTAAGTTGGATCTCCTACGTGTCTGTGTTCCTACTGATCCACTCACTCAAACCCTACAGTTACCATTTGGCTGGACGATTATGGTAAGAACATGCTAATGGAAGCTATCAGTCTAATAACCTTCTTTTCAGGGATATCATGTATCAGCTGGCTAATGCTACCGACTTGCCGCTACCTCAGCAGGATTCTTCACCCGCGCAAAAACGAGGGCGCGACCATGATATAACAGGCACGGCTTCTGACTCCGATTCAAATCGGTCTCAGAACGATTCATCAGAGGAGATGTCTCCATTTGCGCCCGGCTTCGCTGTTTTTGACTCTGGGGACATTAGTACACATCCGCAGCAATCAGCCAGACAGGCCTATACGAAAGGCTCAGCATCCAATCCGATAGCTGGACCATCTCATGCTCCATATACCTCACAGGATCATCTGTTCGACCTACCGATGCATAGCGCTGATCTGGGGAAGATGCCACTTCACGGTTTGGTGAGCTTCACCGACGAGATTCGGGATCCGAGTCAACAGTGGGCGGCGACTACTTCGGCGTATAATGCTGGGGCGTCATACAACATGAATGTACCATCGAGCGTGCCACAGGGTTTTTCTTTTCCAACGAATAGCGATGGAGATCTTCTGTCACCATTAGGTACGTTGATTCCGGAGCAGCTTGACGATAACGCCATGGCTGTATGGTCAAATGCTCCGAATGGGTTCGAGTCAGTCAATTTTCTCTTTGTCAATTTCAGCTTTTGACGTTTCCCTATAGGTTGTATGACTGGATGGCGTACCTTGATGGCGTCTCTCATGAGAATGACGTTGAATAGCAGTGAAGGCGCACTATTTTGGTTAAAACCTATGTGTATCACAATTAGTTCTGTATTATCCTCAATCTTTCCATAGAACTTTAATGTATCATTTGCCAGTTTTCTGAGCTGCCAGGACTCGAAATTTCACAACGTGCGCGCTATATATAGAATTTATTGATCATGTGACTGTCGCGTCGTGTCTGTCGCGTTGTTTGGGTCACGACGGAAGTGCCTGTTTACCTCACCTTTCCTTTTGACCACTATTCGCGACGGACACTTATTGCTATGCCATCCAACATCAAGCGCACCTACAGCGGGCGCCGTAACCGCGTTTACCCTCCATCATCGCCCATCTCTGGCTTGTCATCATCCCCGGCACCGACCACAAGCAAAAAGAGGCCGCTTCAAGAACGTTCGAACATCAGTCCGCCACCTGCTAAACGGGCGAAGAAAGAGATATCAAAGTCCACGACGCAGAAGAGCCTAACTCAACTTCACTTTTGCATCGATCAATCTATCTTGCGGACATGCTCGCTCTGTGGGCTGTCATACACCAAAGGTGTACCAGACGATGAATCCCTGCATCGGGCACACTGTAATCGCGTACGGAGAGGCATGGAGTGGGGAAGAGAAGAACGACGAGAGAATGAAAAGGCTGGTCTCGTCGAGGTAGCTGGCAGTGTCATGCTTAAGGATGGCACACAAGGGAGAATCATCAGTGTCAGGGCAGACGCAGGAGGGAAAGTCGGATCAAAAGTGAGTCTGGATGATGTGCAGTTGACTGCTGTGTACTCATGAACTCTTATAGCTATCAACACTATTCGACACCATCAACATAACGCTGTCTTCACCAGCGCTCACTCGTGAAGCCTTGCAGGCATCTAGAGCGTTTCTCTTCTTGGTACCTGCATCCAAAGTTGCTTCTGCGCGGGAAAAGATTGTCGGATGCGCCATTGCGCAAAGAATTTCTACAGCTATGGCTATTGCCGAACCAGACGTGAACGCTGAACCTACCAACTCGCCAACATCTACAAACACCGATTCCCTCATAGTGGTCGACACTGACACAGGAATCTTTTGCCATCCGGAACCTCTTCCTACGCCACTTGGCATACCTCGCCTATTTGTCTCCCAAGCACATCGGCGACAAGGTATCGCAAGTAAGCTACTCTCTGCAGCGGCAAGAACGTCTATACAAGGCTGCGTGCTCGACCCTAGGAAAGGGCATGTGGCATTCACGCAACCCACAGGGGATGGCAATTCCGTGATGCGAAAATGGGGAGGGGGCGGGGTAAGGATTTATGTAGAGTGATCTGGACCGGAGGTGTGAGAGTTTTCGTTATGCCTATTCCATTTGTATTGTCGATTTGTTGTTGTGTTCATGAGGTTTAGAAATATGATTCTAGAACCTGAGAAAAGGCAACTGGTCGGATGAAGCAGATAAGAAAGCAAGCAGCGACAAAGCAGAGTGCAATGATGAGGAAGAAATCGCGTGCTGTGATGCAGTCAGAGTGTTGGCGTGTAATCAGAGCGGGAAGAAACTCACTCAAGTCCTTCTCATAATGATGCTTCTTTCGCTTTCTACAGCAGCATTTACAAGAACACCTTCCTCTGTGTTTACAACAACTGCATTTTCTTTCGACTCGACGAGGTGACGCTCTGCGGGATCTGTACAGGAAGACATCCGCCTTCTTGTCAGCGATGCGTACTTGAGGTCTAGGCATGTTTTTCGACTCGGTAGTGCTGGGAAGGAAGGGAAATTGGCTCTCTGTCGTGTTAGTGGTGCTGATGCTGGCGGTCGTATGTTCGCCTGCTGGTGTCACGCCTCCACTATCCGATGTTGATGCCGTGACTGGCGACATGAGGTCCACACGAATAAAGATAAGATTATTAAAGATGGAAGGCAAAGGGAGCGAATGACCACTGGCACTTAGAAGGGCGGTGTGAGCAGTTCAAAAAATAGGAAACAACGATGCCATGGTCGTCAAAGACAGCGAAGCGTCGGTTCCTCCTCGGCATTTCCGCGACGTCGCTGGTCGAAGTCATGTGATAAGACAGGGGCTTTTCAGAGTATCTAGTTTCCGAGTCGATGTGTTATTGTTTTTCAGGATGAACATTGAGCTGACAACAAGAAGAGTAGTAGCGAAAACGATACATGCTTTTGGGACTATTTAATTCGAGCTCCAATAGGTCACCGTTTGTGCAAACCCGTTTGCATTGCCACCGTGATGGACAACTGGCGTTTGGTCAACGCTAACTTGATACGTCGCCCCAACAGTGGACAACGAAGAAATGTACACTTCGCTGTCTGATGAAATGTCTGCGATCTGGGGTTGACATGAAACGGTTGTGAGGCAGGACTGCGAGTAGTTGTTGAAAAAACTGTATAACCCGGCACCTAGGACGCAGTATTGTTAGTACTTCTGGAATGGAACAGAAGCGATGGACTGACCGAAAATAAAAATGTTATTTGATGACTCGATGCGTAGACCCCAAGCGCTAGTGATGTCAGAACGGAATATGGGGTCGTTGTAGTTAACATGGATACCGAATGGACCAGGAGCTGGAGGAACTGGCTGATAGTATGGCTAGACGAGTCATGTCAAGATAAAAATGCAAAAAACAATGCGGCGGACTCACGGTTTCCGTTTGGATTAATCCTAAATAATGGTTGCTTGCATTCACAAGATTGTATTGATACAGAGAGTGGTGTTCAGCTATGAAAAGGTCAGCAATACTTGTCATTCCTCGCGTGTGCTACGCACAAGCTGTAGAAAAGCAGTTAGCTCTGTTCAAATGCTGCTAAAGAAAGTAGTATGAACCTGTTCCCACCATCCAAACAGGACCGCGAGATTCCGATAAAATGCCTCGGCTAGAGAAGAGAGTCACCCGGGCCTCACCCTCCTTGTCAAGATCGTGATCCGCGAGCCAAACCCAAGTTCCCTGAAATGTACAAAGTTAGCACACCCCCCCACTACTATATTTGAAACAAGCCTGCCTCCAGAACAGCCGTAGCCTCCGATGTCAAATGCAATCCCAGAAAAGCCGGCGAACATGAAATAGCTTCACTTCCCTCTGGACAATGTGCTGAATCCATACCAGATCCCTCAGCTGAAAGATGACCGTGATCATGATTTTACGCTCAAATATAGTGAAATAGACCTACATCCTCCAAGGCTTGGGATTTGGACGTCAACCAAGGCAATACCAGGCGCAAAATATATAAATGACGTACATGATATGGCTATCCCACATGCCCGGACCTGCAAGGTTATTGTCGTAGCCACGAACATTCCATTCAAGTACAATAGCGCCAGGAGCTTAAGACAATCAACCTCGTGACTCCCTTGCTATCAACAAGAAATTTACCTGGGCCGGTAGTACTAGATTATTCATGTCAGATGCACAGTATCTTTCTTATCTGGGAGAGACGATACCTAAACACGATATCGGTGATTTCAACAGATCCCCGAGAACCTGGCTGGCCAACGCGTACCATTACCTTTGGGTTTTTGACGTCCTTGAAGTAATCGCCCTTTCCTGAAATTTCGGACCAAGCCTCGCCAACCATACGGCAACCCGCGGGGATAGTGACCGTGGAAGTGATGATGTACACGCCGGCGTCGAAGAAGATAACCTTACTATCGTAATACTGAGATTCGTCCAGCGTAAGCAGGCGGCAAAGCATTTTGTAAGAAGGCTTACTTACTTTATTCAACACTGATTGAATTGCCAATGTATCATTGGTCCTAGAATTGAGATCGTAAGATAGATTGACCCTGGCAAAAGGGGACCATGTGCAAACCTTCCATCACCTTTCGCGCCGTGATCCTTGACGCTGACGAACTTGTTCACCGGGATGTCTTCATACTGCGGATGCACGCGTCCAATCACTTTTCCATCTCGGTCAAGGAGAGAAGCAGGCATAGAAGGGGCTTCGATAACCCCTTGAATGAACCTCCCACTTGAATTTGAGCCGGTATAGACGTTGCCTTGACCCCAAGACTGAATGGTACGGATCCCAAGGTGAGCTCCTGGAAGAACAATAGCCCCGTCCCCAGTACCGACAGCAACAGGAACGTTAGATAGCTGGATATTTTGCAGGACCAAAGATCCGGTGAGGGATCCGTTACTAGCAACAGACGAGCGTACAAAGGTTCCCGTCGCTCTGACCTTGGCATCTATGATCACTTCGGCACCCACAGTCTGACAGGACGTAAACTGGGAGCCTCATAAAGAAAGCTCGGATGCCCACCTGAGTGTCCAAACTCTTCCCCCCAGTTAATAGATCAAACCCAACTTGGCAATTGTTGATAGTCACGCCTTGGAATGTCCACCCTGCAACACTGCTGAGAAGAGTCTAGTGAGTTCCAGACTTGGCTGCATACCCCAGTTCCAAATAGCAAAGATGGCGGTGTTGACTCCATTGAAGACGACGTTTCGAACGGTGAATCTTTGGAAGAAGGACTGAGCGAAACGGAGAAAGAACATCGGAAGAAATATCGACTGACTGTTGGTTCCCTACCCACATCCCGTATTTTCCTAAGGGACACGAACTCGGACCAATTTTTACAAAGTCCTGAATTCAAGACAAACCTCCGTTGAACTCAAGATCCGACATAAGGCCACCACTAGCAAACGAATCACTTGCGTAAGGTCAGTGGTCTATCTCTGTGAGTGAAGAAGTACCTTCCATTCTCCATCCAGATGCTGCAAGCAATTTTTGTCAGATAAGTATACAGCATCAGATGTGAAATAAGAAAAAAATCCTACCCTTGATGAGCCGTGTTGGGAGCGGAAGACATCACAAATTTGATGTTGAAAAGTGATGTGGCTTGCCCTACTTGCCAATGTATACCCGTACCTTGAGACTTTTCGGCGGGTACTCTGACAAAAACTTGGTATCGAAGGGACAGAAGCAACAGACTCGACGTACTGTGTAACATCGATTACGAAGTTTCTCACAGAACGGAAACTACGACGGCCATAAGTGGTGCGTCATGTGTGTAACTTGATTGCGACGTACAAGTTGTTTGTGGGCGTGTACCATTGAGCACCATTCCCCCCAGGAATGTAAGGGTTGACATCTGAACCAAATAGTCAACATTACGCAAGGATAGCTACTGCCGAACAACTAACCAATAACAGCCATGTCGTTGAAAGAGTTTGAAGCTAACAACGTTGGCGGATTTTTGGGGTCACCGATGAGCTGAGTAGCGTAGTAGGATATAATTGATTTTGAGACTAGATATGTCCTGTATAATCGTGTCATGGCATTATTAGATATGGTAGCGGAATAGAAGACGAGGAAATCCATACCCCGCCGGAAAGTAAACGATGGCACGCGTGGTGGTGGAAGATCTGCATTTTCCTCCTCCACACCGTTTACCGTGAGAAATAGCCCGACTGGCTTCATGATTAGCAGGAAAAATAATTCGGAATGAGAGACCTGATACTTGATAGCTCGTGAATCGTCGTGTTTCCCGTCGCCCACGGCTCCAAAATCCTTGACGTTGCGAAACACCTGGTACGATGCTGGATCAGGATTGAATGGGGAAGTTCCCTGATGTTTGATAGCTTCAAGCCAAAATGGTTCTCCAGTCAAATTCTCGTTGGCCGATACTGCCGACTTTGAAGGCGTCACTGAAAGTACGGCACAAAAAATGAGCAAGCCCTGTATTATAGGGGAAAGCATGAGGGAATAAGATGAAGAAGCGTCTCGCTTCAAGAAGCCTCCCTCGCCCCCATCCAGCAACGGAGTAGATAATAGAAGCGAAAAATCCAACTAGTACGTCGGAAATACGTACACCGAGGTAATATACGACGGAAAAGGGACATTTGAAGCCGTCGACTGGCCAGGTGAACCGATATTCAGGTTTTTTTATACTCACTTGTGCGGCCTTACTTGCAGCAGCACTGTCAGTCCGACTGCGCCTGGAAGCCGTCAGGCCGATCACTGACTGAGGACCGCGAGGATACTTCACCTTCGAATTCAGATGACTCTCAGTATGGATGTGCTTGCACTAGCACCGAAATACTATAGAGGACTGAGATACGATGGAGATGAATTGAGATGAAGCACTGATGAAGCCGAGATACGGATTTCAAACATAACGTCATCATCAATCGAGTTGGCCGCAAACAGAATTCTGAGAACAAAACTTGGAACGAAGCGTAAAAGGAACTTGAGAAACTAGAATGGCTTGACATGGAGAAGCCGGAGAAATGAGAATCTCAATCGACAGAGGCTCAGTGTCATCTCAAGACAGTACTTCGTGCTTTCGATCCATCTAGGCGACATGTTGAAAGGTTTGCTTATATTTTGTAAAAAAGGCGTGTGAATGTCGACATGACGCGAGCGCGAATTGAGTGTCTCAAGAAAATAATACACCGGCGCGGAACAGATAGGTAAGTGAAATTATAGCAGATCATAGACAGCAAATAAATATTAGAATACATGTTACTTCGTGGTCAAGATCCTACGTTAGATAGATAGTCTATAGTGTTATGCACCCAGCATAGTGAATTCTCTCACGCGGGACTCCAAGCGGTGGTGAGCGATGCGAATCCATCAACATTGTCATTTTCGCTGATGACACCCGCGTTGTTGATACTGATTTGATATATAGAAGCAACCGTAGCAAGGCTGTAGATAGTTATCGAAGATGCGGAATCGATGTCGACCATGTGCATCTGGCAGCTGTTTGAGTTCAAGCAAGTCTGAGAGTAGTCCTAGAGAAAATATTATTGATGGCAGAACCAGGGCAATCGGTGTAGTAACGCTTACGGAATAGAAACTGTAGAGTCCAGCGCCTACAGTGGTGATATTTAGTACAGGAATTGAAACATGTAGAAGTTCACACACCGAACACTATAATGTTAGAGGACGTCGCCACTCTCAGTCCCAGGGCCATGGTGATTTCACCTCCAAATGCAGGATCATGGTAACTGGAATTGACACTGAAAGGTGTAGGCGGCTCAGGCGAAGGCTGGAAGTAAGGCTGATAATACATCGTGACCGTTAGTTCTAAGGTCCTCCTTGTGCATGTCAAATCGCTTACCGTCTCAGTCTGAATCAAGCCCATGTAGTGATTTTGTGCGTTGACCAGATTGTATTGGTACAAGACATGATGTTCGGCTGGACAAAGATTTCAATTGACAACATGCCACTTTTCGATGCTTAGCATACATACCAGCTAAGATATCGACAGTCAGAGAACACATAGCTTATACTGAAGATAGATGACTTACCAGTCCCAATAAGCCATACAGGACCCGCAGATTCAGACAAAATTCCACGACCAGAGTAAATGGTGAGTTGTGAGACACCGTTTCCGTCAAGATCATGGTCAGCAAGCCATACCCAAGTGCCCTTCACGCAGCAACTGAGCACACTAAGACCCGTGAGAACCGATGGAAACTCACCTCAAGGTACGCTGTCGACCCAGATGTTAGATGTAGAGCAAGGAAGGCCGCGTAGCAATTATTGTATCCGCCAGCACCACTTGAGGGACAAGTTGCAAGCTCCAGTCCGGTTCCAGCAGCTGGTACCATATCAGTTTAATCTTCAGGGAATTTTAAGAGATACTGACCACCACCCAACCTGTGCAACGTCTCAGTATCATATAATTCGTCGTATTTTTGAAAACGTACCTGATATGAGAATCCCACATTCCCGTGCCTCCTTGGGTGGTCTCATGGACATTCCATTCGACTACGATGGCGCCGGGAGCTAGATAAATCCTCTTAGTTATAGCTAACGATTAATCATGAATCGAAAACCGTACCAGGAGCGATAGTCTAAACATAAATTCGATATCAGCTACTGAGAATTTTGTAACGGCCAGATCCTTACACTGAAAATGATGTCCGAAATCTCAACTGTGCCTTGAGAACCTTGGGCACCGACCCGAACGACGACTTGGGGGTTTGACTGATCTTGGAAGGCAGAACCTTTGCCTGCTATTACGGACCACGCCTCACCGACCATTTGTGTACCAGCAGGGATAGTGAGCGTGCTGGTGACGATATACGTTCCGGCATCGAAGAAGATAATTTTGCATCCAGCGTACTATAGTAAAGGTAATGTCATCAGAGGCTCGGGTGTCATCGACGACACATACCTGGTTGAATATACTGGTAAGAGCAGCAGTGTCGTCTGTCGTCCCATCGCCAACCGCACCGTGATCCTTCACGCTGACAATTTGGGAGGTGGAATAATCAACATACTGAGGACGCGTCTTTGCAAAAATGAATCCACTTCCGTCAAGCAATGACGCTGGCTTGGCGGCCGAAACAATGTTGCTCCTAACGAACTGTCCTGTTGGGTTAGTTCCAGTATAGACATTTCCTTGTCCCCAAGAGTCAATCTTCATCGTTCCTCCAGCAAGAACAACTGCCCCACCAACAACGCCAACAGCAGTGGTGACATTGTTCAGCTGGACGTTGTTAAGGACGATTGATCCAGCAAGGGAGGTACTAGGGCTCGACGTTCGAACGAAGATGGGAGTGTTGGTAACAACTGCGTCGATGATAGCCTCAGCCCCGACAGTCTGTGTGTCCTCTGTCAAACCTCCTGTAGCCAAGTCAAACCCAACCTGGCAATTGTTGATAGTAACACGTTGGAAAGTCCAACCCCAGTTCCAAAGACCGAAAACACCGGTTTGAGCGTTGTTGATGGTGATGTTTCGGACAGTGAATCTGATTGGGACTGAGCACTCCTTTCGAAATTTAAAACTGTGATTTACATACTGCTGATTTCCGACCCACATACCGAACTTGCCACCTGTGAACACGAGGTCTCCCATGTAACCCCCGCTGAAAGAGTTATGATTATGATTGAACAGTAATCATGTGAAAGCGAGGACAAACCTTCCGTTCTCCATCCAGATACCCTATAAAGTGCGTCCGAGATGAATATCGAAACACATGCGACCGACAGACTTTTACTCACTTGATGGGCTGTATTGGAAGCCTGGGACATGACGAAATGGATATTCGTCAAACTGGTGGCCTGGGCCACCTGCCAGTGAATACCGGTACCAGTACTCGTTGCAGGCATCCTGGAAGCTCGTTAATGAGAACAAGACTCTCCATGTGGACGGAATAAAGTACTCACTGAGAAACATCTATAACGAAGTTCCTAACGGACCGGAAGCTACGGAATGAATGGCCTTTTAGCCTACAACTGCAACAGAATAAAAGGGGTCACATACAAGTTGTTCTGATTCGTGTACCACTGAGAACCACCACCTCCAACGAGGTAGGGATCCGCATCTGCAGAAATGAAAAAAATTAGGGCACGGTTAAGAAACTAAGAATAAATCTTGACACATACCAATGACAGCCATTCCCGCGAAAGACGGTGCCGCAAGGAGGGTTGGTGGATTTCTGGCATCTCCGACAAGCTCCGTGTAGTAGTACGCAATGATCGGACTAGAAACTAGGTATGTGCTAAAAAAAAAAAAACGGGTTCAGTAATCGACCAAAATAATGAAATGTGAATGCGTACCCTTGGGGGAAGTACACGAGCGCGGGCGTCACTCTGCGATTCAGTTATATTTGGCACGAAAAATTTTTCAAAGAAGCACATACGTCGAAGACGCGCAAGTGCCGTCACCGCATCGATTACCAGCACTAATCGCAGCGCTGTACGAGACAAATCAGACAACATCACTTGTTCAGAATGTTATAAGGGCGTACTTGATGGCAGCGGTATCGTCAGTAACCTAATGGACGAATCGCGATGAGGTGGGTACTAGATTTCAAAAGATACGACTTACTCCATTGCCAACTGCACCATAGTCCTTGACGTTCCGGAAAACCGTGTATGAGCTTGGGTTAGAATTGAAAGCAGAGGTGCCTTGGTGCTTGATGTTCTGAAGCCAGTAGGGGTCAGAGGATGCAGCAGTGCCAGATGTGAGAGGAGAGGAGCAAGTAGTCCCTAGGGCAGAGACAAATGTGACAATGTAACTGAGAGCTACGATGAAGAAGAGCCTGTAGGAATGGGGCGCCATGGTAAAGAAACTAGGGGGACTGGCGTTGATCATGTTGCTCAGAATTTATACTCCCCAATATATTCCGAAGACTGAGCACGCATTCACGTTCGCCCCTCTCAAACCGTCGCAGTCAATAAAGCCCACATTTAGTCGCATCTCACATGTTTGCACGTCCTCCTCGTGGTATCGACGTCCGCTGGCATAGCTCAATGGGGGTATGCAGGCTTCAAAGTTCGGGAGATGATCAGGATATGGCAGGTGTGGAATGGAACTCCCTTGGGACGGCAAAAGCGTAGTGCTCGGTATTTCTTGATCATATGAGTTGCTCGTGATAGTTCGACGTTCGCTGGCGCCTCATCGCAATATCGGTGCACGAAACGAAAACGCTGATGCAGCTTGTTATGGGCATACTATCACGTAGAAAGGTATAGCGTCGTGTGACTGTCATCCACGCAACTTCAAGTCCACGTGAAGCCTAAGAAAGGGAGCCGAGTATCCGTGTGGCAGCGTGAGGAGAAGTCCCAGTCGTGACGCAACTAATATTAACGAGAAGAGAGGTAGCGAGAATACCTCCAGGATCCGAATGTGTCCTCTGGTAGGACACCATAGCTGGATTTTACCTGAGTAACATGGAATATGGTCGAGTAGACACGCCAAGGGCTGGATTTATTGGGGTATAACCATAGAACTGGCATCTGCTTGACTCCAAGGCGTCATAGAGACCCATCTAGGTAACTGTACAGTGTGATAGAGCAGCGACCCTGTGAGCTGTTTCGGTGCTCATTCGTGTCCAGGCATGACCTTCAAAAATAAGCTTCAGATCTGAATGAAAATCATATGAACTGGTAGCAAGGCACGCGCAAGCGGAACGGATGCTTACTGGAGATCTTCATGTGTAAAACGAACCATCAATGATGACAATGCTCCGTAGAGCTATCTACCTCCGACTGGGGGGGAAGGAACTACAAAAAACGATACGCCAAGGTCGTAAATCGTCTGTCACGAGTCTTCGGACCACAAGGATGTCTAATCCAAAAGTCCCGGCAGCTCATAGTAGTCTTCCGCTGTTGGATCGGTTTGATAGACGATGAAGACCTTCCGTGGAAAGAATGGACTTGTAAGAGTTTGATTGCCAATTATCGACATTTGTCACGAGAAGGCTCGGGCTCCAACATGGATCCACAATGTACGAAGAACACCGAAATGCACAGCATATGGGCTTGAATGGCGGCTTGGGGTAAACCGAAAGGCAAGAGAAGCAACGACGGAGGTCCGGTCCGGTCCGGTCATCCGGTGCTGGAACTGCTACGACTTCTGGTTAAGGTGCATCGGATTCTGTGACTACGGAAGATCCGTGGGGAAGACCACCAATTGAAAGATTCTTCTTCATTGAATTCCAGTTCCCTCAGCCTAGACGTGGCACTCTACTTTGCCGTCGGGTCTAAAGTTGAGCTATGGCACGCGGCAGGCGTTGCGAGCATTACAATTGTGATCCTTGCCAATTCTCCTATTATCGATGGATTCGGAGAAAAAAGTCGGAATCCATGCGGTAAGGGATCGATCTTTCCAGAGAGGTGCACCCTGCTTTGAATTTCCATTATTTATGCGCAATAACTGTGAGCGTACACGAGCAAGAATAGGAGCCAAGAAAGGTTGAGCCGAAGGTATGAAATCCATGCTCCAAACTTAAAAGAAACACTTTGGAAATCATAGATGTACATGATCGAATAAGGTTTGATATCCAAGAACAAAGTCGGGCCTTTTGAAGCTCGAAAGTCTGTAACAAACACTGTATTAACCGTATGTGTCGAGTACAGACGCGACACCTACGAACATCAATACCCAGTTAGTCCGACTCTCAATGCCACGAAGGTCAATATCTCACACCGTGGACTTCGGCAGTTGCTCCTAATAAGAGAACACTCTGCCTCCTACTGTAGTGCTAATTCATACAAACATTCCCTCATGCGAAAGAGACCCAGGACTTCTGTAGGATTTTGCCTGAATCGACCAGAAGCTAAAACATGCAAAATTGGAGATGTGTTTATATCAGATCGAAGGAAGCAAGACTTCTGAGCGGACACTGAAAACGCTAACTCTTTTTTGAAGAAAAAAACTTTGTGAGATTAGCTAGCTACCCAGAGCCTCGGCGCAAGAGTTCCTAGTATGCAGTAGTAGAGGCATGGTGGTGAGAGAATTCAATAAAACGCGGAGTCCGGACCGCGGACAGGTCACGTGGCAAAGCTCAGCAAGGCACAGCGACCAGAAACACTCTACCGCAAGGCCCTTCAACTAGTAAGGTGCGTAAAACTCTTAAGAGTAGTAGTATGCCTGCTCTAGACTTCACAATATAACTTGAAAGAAGGCGTACATAATATTGCATCTGTAAAGGATATCTACAGTACCCTTCAACAACTGCGAGAAACGGTGCGTCTCAGTGACACACTCGAAGCATACCAATAATCTTTGGTTGCAGACTTCAGCACAAGTACCTACCGCTGTGTCCGGTCTTTTGTATTGCAGCTTTGAGAGAATTCAAGAGCGCTTTCAATTTTATAGCGTCCATCTCGGACAACACGATGTCTGTCGCAGGGAAAAAATAAAGATTCCGTAGAACGACTTGTCGGAACACAATTCACATGCATCTAACGGTGCTTTTGACAGTGTCCCCAAGTCTGTGTTTATCGTGGAGTCCAAAAATTGCTGCACCAGGTCCTGAGGATCTGTCAAACCTTAAGGTATATTTTCAAGTTATAAGATGAAATGACTAGTGATCTCAAAGTATCTAGGGGTGGTTATTTTCCACAATTTAAGGATTTGAAGAATCAAACAAATCACTCGTGAACTCCAAGAACCGTCGTGTTAAGCCTCTCTTTCCTGTGACGGCTTTCTTTACACTCTGAGCTTTTTCCACACTGAATCGGCTCACAATTGCAATATGCGATCGGCCTTCCTGAGTCAGCCCTAGGTCATGACTTTTGTCAAAACGCCGACTCAAATTACTGAAGACCGACGAAGCAACCTGTTAACAATACTGGGGGAAAGAAGTCTTTCCTCGACACAGAAAACAACTACGTATTTCAGCCTACAACCGAGTCCAGCGGTTTGCAGATAGAGCCAGCAAATCAAGGAACTTCGAGCTCGAGGATCCGAACAAAATATTTCGGGGACACATTTCATGCCAGATCCTATCTAAATGGCCTGGTCCAAATCTACGAGGTTCTCCGCGGCTTTTGGTCATGACGACGTCAGAAAAGCGAAGAACCGAAATCGCTCACGGAAGAGAGGGGGATAATGGGAGCTGCTGTCCAGACGATCGTGGATCGGAACTATGACAAGCATCAATGGGCAAAGTCTGTATAGCCCAACAGCCGTGTGGGGCTTTGAGGGCCGAGGCGAAACATCCCAGGCCACGATGCATATTACATACTCTCGATGATGCTTCGAACGACGGGGGCGTGGATGAATTTTTGGGCCAAGGCCGGGTTAGTAAGTCTGAGGGGCGACACGATACCACTTGGTTTGCTACAGGTCACGCTGAAGACGGATACGACGAAAGAGCCTCGTGAGAGAGTTTTTGGATCTGAGTATGACTATGGCAAAAGCGGAGTTCAAGCAATGTTGCACCGAGCGTGAGACTCAAACCTTATCTATCCCTCATGTTGCGTTACAGATGTTTCCTTGATCGCAGCATTAGGTGAGCTCAGCTCAGCTTTTATAGCCTTCAAGTTACTATAACGCCTTTTACAGTCTCATTGTGGCGCTAGATAGTTAATCAAGTTGTGTTCTAGGTTCATCACGTCGGCCTTGCCACCTCAAGCCATCTATTCAACGCCGCTTCTGAAACATGGAACAATATCCAAAAAATGACCCATTTCATCTCAGATCCAAGCTCTCTTCTCTGAGAGGTAGCGAGACAGTATAAAGTCTTCCGCCTCAGAAACTCGCGAGTCGGCGAGGCTGATATATCAAACTTCACTGTACTCATCATTTCAGGATTGATGGATATAATAGATGGTGGGGCTCTGCCCAGCATGGGCGTGTCATGGTAATCCAGCCAAAAATCCGTGGCTGCTTGCAGCACCATCTCTTGCTCTAACTCTTATTCGTGTCTTCATGTGCTAATGCCAAGATATTATTTTTGCGTTATAGTGGATACAACGATCAACGCAGTCTCGTCGTTCGTTATGTCCGTGAGATGCCGTAACTTGCAAACGACCTCCTTGGTTGTACTTAGTAGGTGTGGCAAGTTTGCTTAACTCCTTGTGTAGGACAATTTTGTATTTGCCTAGGCAAATCGAGGGGCCTATTGACAGTGATCTATACGAGGAACCTTAACTCGTCAACTACTTCAAGTTAGCGACGAAGATAGACCAAATTGGGTCCTCCGCAGTTGATTCTCTTATTCACAAGCTTGGAGAAGGATGGAGACATCCATGTGCTTGATACGTTCCATCACCAATTAATGATAATGAACGGTCATTTGCCTACTTTCCCAGGTGGGTCATTCAAACCACTTCAACTTTCCAGCTCTCTAGACGCTGCGCATATCAACAGTATCCCACCAATGCATTGCAACATATCTATTTTTTCACCACGTGAAGTTGCCGTAATCGCGTGGCATGCTTGTTTGCCAAGGAGAACACTGACTGTATTTTATTTTCTGACTAGTAGAGAACGCATAGAATGGTAGAACACTTGGCGACGGAGATGAAGGTGGGATCGTGAAGGTGACAGATGGATTATCGCCACCCCCACCAGTCCCGTACTACGTCACCAGTTTAAAAAGCGAAACAGACAATGTCTCTCATCCAGATCGCCCACCATGCCTACCCTTGAAATCAAGACCAACGTTCCTGTATGTACAGCTACATATGTACCGCATGCTACTACAACTCACTTGGCCCGATAGATCGCTGATGTGAACGCATTTGCATCTCAGTTTTCTCAGGTGCGTAGGTCTATCAGCTTCCCGGAATATCTATACACATGCTTTCTTTCCAGGAAGCTGCACGAATCTTGGACAAACCCGAGGCAGTCTTTTCCATTCTGGTCACCCCGGTTCCCACTATGTTGTTTGCTGGGACACCTGATCCTACGTTCAGCATGGCTGTGGTAAGGAACACCCGGTTTCGTTGTCCAAAATGCCTGACCACAAGGGAACTTCCCAGACGTGCCTTGACACGCTTTCGCCTGAGAAGAACCTCCTTTATAGCAAGGAGCTCTTCGCGTTCGTTGAGAAAGCTCTCGGCATTAAAAACGACAGGGGATACATGTGAGCTGTCTGCTTATTTCTCCACCCGCTCCTCTGATGGAGGCATACGATTTCCAGCACTTTCTTGGATCCCGGCCGATCCAACCTTGGGTATGTCCGCTATCATTTAAAGAACTGACATGACATTTATTCTTTAACAGGTTGCACAGCACCACTTTTGCGTCCATGTTCGGCGACAACTAGACCCTGGAGAAGGATATTTATTGTGGCTGTCAGAAGGAAACTAACCACAATGCATATCATACATGATTGTGCTACGGTCTGAAAGTTTAGGTCTGTATAGTAGTGGCCCCTGCTCTTGTAAAGCGAAATTTTTGGTTTTGTTGGTTCTCCTGAAATTTCTGAGGACGAGAATTTCGTGCTGTGGCCCTCGGAATATTCTGGTGCATTATTCCGTTTTCACAAATGATTTCGATTGTACAAATACAATTTCAGTATGAACTTCAACCTCCGTTTCACAACATTTACTTTCCAAAGATCGTAGCAAAGGTGGTGCTCTGGTAGCTGTGAAGACGGGGTGAGACAGCAGCTGCGCGGACATTTCGCTAGACTTACCCCAGGTATGCCCTTCCGGGATCCAGGAACGTGCTATGAAAATCACGGTGAGGACTACTTAGGTGACTATATGATTGTAAGACTTACATGTATCCCCTGTCGTGCGACAAGGAAAGGGTCTTCTTCAAGAAAGCAGCCAGCTCTTTGCTATACTGCTCATTCTTCTCTGGGTTGATGTTATCGAGACTGATCTGTAAAAAAAGTTGTAGTCACTCGTTGCGGGGAAAGGAGCTCGGTCCTACCACAAATAACGTGAAAGCAGGATCAGTCGTCCCAGCGAAGGTCATGATGGGAACAGGCGTAACGCTGACAGTAATGTACGACTCGGGTTTTCCAAGGATGCGAGCTGATTCCTGTCGATAAATTAGTCAGTTCTGCAAATTGGGATTCTGGACGGTACGACCTGACCTTGGAGAACTCAAGCGCAAAGGCCTTGAGATCAGGGATCTAAGCGACAATTGTGAGATCAGGATAAGCACAGACAAGACGGTAGTCTTCTTACAACAGCATTCGTTTTCAGTTCGAGAGAAGGCATACTGATCGTTCTGAGAAAGCGGGTTAGACAAGTCTCGGACTGCTATCATCATCTACCGGGACGCCGTTCCGCCGGTCGGGCCGACTCGGAAGTTCAAGTTAGCCCGCTCCTGTGCAACACGCCAACCAATGTATCTTAGTTAGTGCAATATTATATAATAACTCGACTTCATTTCATTGTCTTCACCATACAACACACAAGTATATTTAATTTCAATCAGCGTCCAAGAAAGGAGGTATCTAAGAGTCCAGTTAGCAAGCATGGGTTAATAAAAGAATCTGTCTTTTGATCTCTATGGCAGTTTCCCATGGAGCCTCCCGTCCCTCGAGCTCCGACCAACAGTCACTCCAATCGAGCCGTCCGGCCTTCTCCAACCTTGCAACTCAACGTCCCAGATAGATACATCATATCGAGAAAGAGCAAGAGATACAGCGGCAGTCTCTCCAGGCAGGATTTCAACGTTTGTGAATCCTCTCAGGATCGAGGGAGGTTCTCTAGCAGACAGTGGGTGATGCAAGTACAGTTGCGGTATCTGTTCATAATTCCTTTTCAGGTCAATAAATGGAGAGATCAGTAAGAAACGCACGTCGCCGCCATAAACCGGACCGGTGTTTTGGATGTTGAACGTGACATTGTACGCAGGTTCATGGAGCCTAAATTTGCGTGTGAGGTGTGAGTACACAAGTTGCAATCTACTAGTGCACATTTACCACGCGGCTGTGGAGGATCCTACAGCGATGGCCGTAGCATTTCCTTGCTCCCAAGCGTCCACCTCTGCGGAGCTCGCGAGTGAACCAGAAATCTTGGCAATCGTAAGATCGGTATATGTAAAGTTGGTATAGCTGAGTCCGAAGCCGAATTCGAAACGAGGTTCGATGTGTCTCTGTTAACCAAAAGAATTAAAATATAGCATTATGGATGGAGACAACAAAATCGGCAAACGTACAGCATCGAAATGACGATAATCGACATGCAGCCTAAGCGATGAATGAGATTTTAGTTAGCTATAGTGAGAGCGCATGGATGCTGACCCTTCAATGTACGGAATGTTCAGGATATCCTCACTAGTTCCACCAGTTACCAAGGGGGCGTTGTAGTCATCCGCATTCTTAGCAATGGTATAGGGAAGACGTCCAGAAGGGTTCCAGTCACCATACAACACATCTACGAGCGAGTTGCCAGATTCCGTCCCGGGAGCACTCGCCCAGAGTACCTGAAAAACGCTTAGCCAAGTAGCAGCCATTCAAAGAAGCTCATACAGCAGTAACGTTCGGATGTTCAATCCAGGGTTCGATGATTAGGGGACCGACGCTGTGAACGACGACCATCGTATTGTTGTTCTGAGCAGCTACCGCAAGAACCAGGTTGTCTCCTCCGTGCCACGCCGTGAGATTTTTCCTGGAACAACTCGTCGATCTCTCATTAGATAAATCAATGAAATCCACATACCGATCACCTTCATTTCCATCTACGGTAATGTATTCCTCACCAGAGTCAGAGTTGATGAAGACGAGAGCAGCAGACTTTCTAATGGCATCGTTGCCCGCACGAGGGAGGTCAAAATCATCCAGGACCCATGAAACAGAGGTTCGGTCCTTTCGAGCCCTCGCTTGGATTGCTTCCAGAGGCTACGAATTATCATGAGCCAAATATATTTAAGTTCGTGCCGAGATTTGATCTTACAGTAATGAGGTAGGTGAAGTTCGCCGTTCTGATAGAAAACATAAGCAAAAATCATTCCACCATCATCGGGTACGTTCTTACCCTGATCCCCAGCCTGAGGCCAAAGTCCCATCGTCCCCTCCCTGCAAAAAATATATCAATAGTGTATACAAATGACCGTAAGGAACTATCCCCACATGATCCGCAAATCCATTTGGACCGACTCTTCCTGGACCAGCATCAGTGCCAATTATCACCAAGCTTCTAGGCTTCTTCAACGGAAGCGCGCCATCAACGTTCTTCAAAAGAATGGTGCTAGCAGCACCAACGTCTCTAACAAGCTTGTAATGATCGTCTTGAACGTCAATATGAGCGTTAGTAGCTTCGTTATCTGGACGGAAGGCGTCAAAGTTGACATCTGGATAAGTCGGTTCGTCCTGGTGGAGAAAATGCCATGAAGCAAGAATACGAGTGGCTAGATGTGTAGGATGAGAAACCTAAAAGTCAGGAGGTGGCGAGGCATCTATCTTACCCATATCATCAACACGCGTCTCAGGTATGGTGTCATTGTAAACATACGCCGTCAAGTTGCCGCCGAAGTAGGAGTTGCCAGAGTCGAACGTCACGTCTCCCGGCATAGTCATCTTTAAATGATGCTCGTCAATACGCCTGGTACAATGATCCAATCAATCGTACATCAAGACCCGTGATCGCGGCTATCGTCGACATCGTAGCTTGCCAGTCGGACATAATATCTGCAAGAGTCAGAAAGGTGAAGAAAGGGCGAACGGGCACATACATCCTTGGAAACCATACTCCCTTTTGATAATATCGTTCATCATCTTGTCGTTTTCGCATGCATAAGTAGCGTTGACCAAGTCTATCAATCAATGTCTAATAATCTTTCGCAGCCAAGACTTTATAATGACTTACTGTAACTGCACATCATACTGGCAACACCAGCCATAACACTCCTCATGAAAGGGTGAGCATAGATTTCGTGCTGTGTTCTGTCGTCCACATCAGAACTTTCCTGGGTCCGTTTGTGTTCCTGCTCGCTATGACATAAATCATCAGTATTGAGATGCCACTGGATTAGAAACAGCTCACTTATTGATCAAGTGTTTGGCACATGCTTGAATGCCACCCTCCTGCAAACCGAGGACGGTTTCGTACGCGGTTTCTCCTGAAAGATATGGATCAGCGCCGAAACCCTCCCAGTTGCGACCGCCTTGGGCGACCCGGCCGATATTCATCATAGGGCCTAAAGCAACGTTAACACCCTTTCCATAGTGCTCAAGACCCATGTATAGCCCGCGGAGACGGATGAGACGCCGGTTCCATCTAGGCATGCCATCAATTATGTTGAATTAAAAAAAGCCGGCTTCAATGCGCATACGTCGCGGCAGCATTCACCCCGGTGGGGAAAGAGGTCACAAAGTCGGCATCTCGAACTCCCAGAGGCGAATCTTCAAGGCACAGTCCAGGGTAGTTATAGGCTGGGATTGCGGGAGTATTCCCCTGGGAAGAAAAGAATGAGAATAACGCAGCCTGAGTGGTGCAAGTATATTAGAACGCACCACACAGCGACCTAATGCCCAGCCAATGCCAGTTGTTACATTGACCTTCTCTTCTAAAGTCATTCTAGCAACCTGACAGTAAAAAGAGTTATTTTCAATAAATTAGGATGGAACGGACCGTTATAACAAATAGTTGTCAGGCGCCGATCACATGAAGATGCAACTCACAAGGTTCTTTGCTTTGGTATACGCAGTTGTCCATGCAGAAGAATAATCCGGCACATAGTTGGCGCCCACGACTGGAGGGGTATGAGGATCCGTCTGTATTCCACTTCCAGCACTTGGAGAAGGCAAGGGAGAGAATGTATAGGACGAGATAGGAACAAAATGGCGAGTCGTTGTGGCTGGAGAACTTGAAGGAACGTACGAAGAGGAGGACAGCGACGTTACGGAAGACTCGGAAGCAGACGAGACTGCCGACATCGAACTGTCTGATGCGAAAGAAGTTGATGTAGCAGCAGAAATGGTTGAGGTGACATCAGAAAATGAAGCAGAAACGGCCGAACTATTGCTACTGATAAAAGCTGACGACGATGAAACGACAGAATATGCTGGTATCGCGGATTCCGACAAAGACAATGAGCTCAAAAGGCTAGATGTCGCGGCAGAATTGGCTGTAGTGATCGAGGGTGCGCCAGGATCTGGAGGCTGCCGATTGAGTTGGGCAATGACGAGCGGGAGGCAGGCCAGCCAACGAATGTGTCGGAATGGCATGGTGGGAGGAGGAACGAAGTGCAAACACGCTCGCCCCGGACGTCCTCTTGGATTTAAGGCCAAGCCCCACCTGATCTGGGTTCTGTGACGTATGACTGATCACTCGATGCTGCTGACCAATGTGCGCCTCCCTTCAGATGTGCCATTGCGCTGAACGGGGTGCGAGGATCGAGCTGTATTTTCTGGGGGAGAATTTACACGATGCGGAAGAGCGGAAGAGAACAGATGACCATTGTGGCGTGCGGCGGAAGATCAAATCAATTCAGATCTGGTAATTTCCTTTCCTTTCTGGGGTTTCTCCACACTACTAGTAGTGACGAAAGTTCGAACAGAAAGTGGAATCACGCGCAATCAGAATTTAGATATCGCTCTGATATTTAACAGCATACCGACGGTCAAATAAAACTGCCTAGAAGCCAACGGGAAAGCGGGTCTGTACTAGCGGTATAGCAGCGCACCAGAGTTGTTCATCTACTGGTCGTTGTTCCATCTTTCTTCTTCCATTACTCTGTGCATGCAAAACAGGTGCTATATGATATTCGTCCATTAAAGAACGTGACACGAACCATCTTTACGAGCCTGACGATATCAGTGTGGAAGAGAAACAACCCTTGATGAAGTCCATACTATAGTTGGAGAATATGTTAGAATTCACTTCTCAAAGAACTCAAACTGTTATTGTTTGAATCTGGATAAGATAGACGTAAGTAAAGCACTTCCATCCAAGAAAAAATCCTTCATTCCGAGTAAATCCTCGAAACTGCTTTAACTTCTTCTCAATGGAAAACACTTTGGAGGTCTGCAGATTAGTGGATTAGTTCTCCGACCAAACAGCCTCGTTGACGACATTAAGTAAGGTAGGGGCGGAAAAAAGTGTTACTTGGTAAGGACGACCTTCATCTTCCAACCCTTCAGACGAAAATTCCATTACCTGACTTCATCCTAAGGATAAGTACGTGGTTATGGAGAACCGAGGCATCTTTAACGATCCGCGTCGATAGAGCAACCTACACCCAACTTCCGCGTGTCTCCAGTTGATAGAGGGTACGAACGAAGGAGACGTTAAGATCGAATAAATAATTATCTGCACGGTGAGCAACGGAAGTACAACTTGTCTTCCGTCTGTTTCGTGGTAGATTACAGAACGAGCAAGTCTGGGGGTTATGAATCGGATTTGAGATGGGTGACGGCAGAGTTGAAATCAACAGCTTGAGACAGATATTCAGACTGCACTCCAGGGGACATCCGTCCAAGGACACGTATTTCTCGTCGTGGATGGTGGTTAATGACATAAATGTCATTATAACTGACGACCGGGAATAGCATCCCTTGATGGCAGAGCGGCAGCACTGTTCGAGATGCCAATCCACACACTTCAATTCAAGTTTGCTTCTTTGCATGATAAGGTAATTGGAATTGAAGCTCGTAGGCCTTCTGACTTTCGATCTCTGAATAGACAGCATTCTTACTATTCTGACATCTCATTACTATTAAGCTCCAAGTTCTCCGGCGACAGTATCGCCCCGCCAACTTCGACTCGGTGATCGTCGGATTTTTAACATATACTCCCGTAAACCCAAGGAAAGAAAAAGGGTAAAGCAGCATTCAACATCCCCCCCATCCCCCATCTCCGCCTCCCTCACCCTGTGGGTTCTCGTTGTGGCATCACCCGCATGGTCTTGTCTCTGCGTCTCCATTATAACAAACGTTATCACCACCAAGTCAAAGTCCGGTGTACAGCCCGGCTGGATTCGCAGACGCGACTTCCGTTCACCAGCGTACAGGGCCCCAGAGGTCGACGTGCACGTTTACCGTGTAACCTCCTCATTCGAGCCAACTCGTGTCAGCTGGAGGTTCATTCAGTCACCACGGCTGACACAAAGATTAAAGAATACTCAGAACGCACCCGACGCCTTTCACCATCTTCCATCTGTACTCTGAATGGTCATCGCCCAAGAAATATCGAGATCTATGCCATCATTAGAATCTCCAAAGTTTCCGGTCGCGACGACGACTTACGAACTGAATGGTCCCCGTCAATACAGGAAATCTGTCGCCGGAACGGCGCTACCCGTCAATCCCCGAAGATTGTTATTCCGCGCGACGGTGGGGTTCTCCTAGTTCTTCCACTCAATCGCGCCGACAACACTGTCCGCCTCTGACTCTGCCAGCCGCTGTATTCGCGACAACTTGCGACGTCCGTGCACTTTCGTTGTGCTCATTTGGTAATGTGCAACGCCACTGGCCGAAACAAGTACTGTTCGTAGGGGGTTATCGGGAACGAGAAACAGGTCCATAGAGCGAGAAAATATCGTGGTGGGCAGATAAGTACGACTACAGTTGAGACCAACTGAAAAAAGAAAAGGCGGACCGACACTCTATCTGAATCGATATGCTTGTGCGCTGACAGGCCGCCTTATATTCGAACCGATCACATAAGGTAACTGGAGCGCGCACTTCATTTTCACTTACTGACAACGTCCAGGAAGTAGTATGAGTTCCTGCTCGACGTCGTTAGTTCGGACAAACGTAGATGACATGATATATACATGATATATACATACTTGCATTGAAATTCCACGAAATGAAGATTCTATAGATGTACTGCAGCGATACAGAAAAAATCCAGGGATAGAAGACTACGAAGATAGAAAATTAAATACGCCAAGAGTATTGCCAAACCCAGCTAGGCTGTATGAGCGTGCGGCGACTAGAGGTGATACTCGTGTAAATGGCAGACGAGGAAATGCGCTCTTCGCCGAAGATAAGGAAAAGATATCCTGGGTATCGGTAATCATCGACAGAGCAGAGGCCTGAACCTCGAAATTCGAAGGTTCGAACGTCCATACTTCCCAGCGATCCAGCGTGGTCAACGATAATCCATGGGAGGACGACGTTATCCCCTCCTTGTTCGTCCTTCCGACAGTCCGTGGTCTCCTCCGAACACCAACCACCCGATATCCCGATACTCCCCAACACCCCCTCTCGCAGCTCGTCTCCCCTATCTTCACAACCTGCAGACTCTGCCAAAGCTTCGACGATCCCCTCACTCCTTCCGCCGGACCAACCATGTGATTCGTTTCACACTCTTCAACAGGTAAGGTTAGTTCCGAAGTACGTTTACTCGAATCCTTCTCCGATGCGCGCCGCGAATGAATGCCATGTGCAGATACAGGGAATGAAGCCTCAAATGCAGATGAGAGCCTCGAGCGTGGATCTTGAGGCGAGTTCAGGGACGTGAAGCTCCCGCTTCGGGAGCGACGCCCGCCAAGACCATCAAATGAAAGCTTACTGCGTGATCGGGTGGGTGTACATGAGCATCGTCGGGTTTCGTTATTGTCGCTGAGGTAGGCTCTGAAGAAATGAACAAATTGGTTGACAGAGAACACGAGGGATAAACTGTCGAGGGACAGATGACCGCAATGGTGGCATGCATGGCGGGGCAGCGGGGAGAGACATAGTTGGATCACTTTGCCGTAGGCCTCGTCGAGGACGCGGATCATTTCACCAGTCATTCCGTCCCAGAGGGAGATGACTCCCGCCTCGGTAACGGCTCCAACAACAGTGCGAGTTTCGTCCTCCATGATTGTCCGGCATACATCTACCTTTGTGATAATATCAGCAGGGTTTCCCGCTTGAACTGAAAAGTCAGGCATGAAAATCTTGTCTGTTTCGTCAATCTCTTGTATCTCCAGCGTACCATCATCCAAACAAAAAGCAGCGCAAAGGGAGCCTAAAGGTCCCGCTCGGAGAAGACGGGAACTGACCATATTCGCTCGATTGAGCGGGCGAAGCTGCATCACCGTCGGTAGCTCGCCGACCGCCCATTTGGCCACGACACCATTTTCGTACGTTGCAACCACAGATATCGGGGCAGCTTTGTCCACCGGTGACGTGGGACGAGAATGAGGTGCGCTTCTTCCTATCGGGTTATTGAATTCGACTCCAATAACTCTCGCGGACGAACTGGCCATCGTAAGGTGGGGAAAAGCGCATATTCGACCTCTCTTGATCGTCCACACAGCAATGACTCCTGCACCGGTTCCCACAGCGCAGTGCTCGCCTCTCTCATCAACTGCTACACACGTAATGGCAGAAGCACTTGACGACGTGCTCGCCGACCTTAGCAGCACATCAGTGGCGTCGATTGATAAATGAGTCTGGGTGTCTATATTCCACAAAACGATCTCATTTTGTACGCCAACGGATGCGACGACTTGACCGCCTCTACCGATTGCGATAAGCTCAACGTCGCTGGAGAATGTCCGCGGAAGCGTGGAGAACGATAATTGATTTCGAAGAGAAGCGGTTTCCGCTGGAACAGCCTCCTCCTCTACATCAGGGCGGTTCTTTTGGGCTTCAAGTAGTTCCGCATCCTTTAGAAGGTACAAGAGCAGTCCGTAAAGTGCCACGGTTGTAGCGCCTATAGGCAATACCATGATCTTAAGCAGCCAGAGTATCAACCTGAGCGTCCTGAACTTCAGGCGATGTGTTTTAGGATGGTCAGGGAGGGCGGTGCTGTCATCAACATCAGGTCGGAGGGTCAAGATCGTAGGACTTTCAATTCGAAGGTGAAGCGCTGATTCCGTTGGATTAAATGTTTTCCAAAGATGCCAGACTGGATCATGGTTATCTGAAATGTGGATGTTACGGTCTACTCGCGTAAGTGCTCCCCGATGAATAGAGGCGTCAGGGCTTCCTTTCATATCTGATGGCAATGTTGCGTAATACAACGTCGCAGTCGTTGCCAAAAGCTGAGAGTACTGTCAGACTTGGACTGAACTGCAATGCAATCAGATTCATACCAAGAAGAGGCTCAGGTTCTTCTTCGCTCGCCCACTGAATAGGCCCTGAATGACGTTGGCAACTTTTTGCCACTTTGACCGAGGTTTTACGGACTTTTTGTCAGGTATCGCGAACGGAACAGCGGGTACCAATCCAGGATCTTGTCGTAAAAGTTCTTCAAGCTATACAACCGGAAACTGAGACGGACTTTAATTAAAGTATTGAATACTTACCTCCAGACGTTGCATGTCTATGGAAAGCACTGCAATAAAGAACGTATGCGCCAAGAAGCCATGGGCCACCAGCACTACGATGGCGAATGCGCAGAACTGGCGTATAGCACCTCCAGCGAAAAAGGCAATAGCTCCAAGGATGGTGTTGTAAGATACGACTTTGAGAATATTGGAAGTTCCCGCAAAACTCAGTCCTTCGGCAATTCGCTGTTTGACCGACAACGTAACATGGGTCCTGCCAACGGCATCCACCTTGATACAAATCAACATAGTGCTACAGAGGGGTATATGTACGAACCAAATTAAACATATTCTCAGCACCAGCAAACAAAATCATAATGGCCAACAGCTCCCTATATTCAAATCAGAGATCAGGGGCGATTTGATTAGCTTGTAAAATAGGTACTTACCAGGGCACCATCGTAATCTTGAAGCCGACGAGAGCGCAAACACTAAGACTAGTGATTGTACTAACTGTGATTTCCACTAAACCCGTAAACATTACACCTATCCGAGAATGAACCGTGTTCATTTGGCGCATCGACCAAAACACGTATATGGCGAAACTGATATAGGCTAAATAGAGAAAAGCCGAGATCGACGTAGAGCCTTTATTCTTGGAAGGGGTTGAATGATACTGTTGGAAGTATTAGGTTGTGACTGACAGAAAGGAGTAACAACATACCTCTAGACCCAGCAAAATCGGCTCTTCTGTCTGTACATGCATCTCCGTATTTGACGATTTAGCGGTTTCTATGGTTTGTATCCAAGATATATGATCAGATTTCCCCACACAGTCGGATTCGGGAAAGAAGTAAGTGAGGGCGAGATATGTCGCAAAATCAAAGTCGGTTCCGCCGACATGATGCTCTTCAGAATCTCGACCGGCGAGAACCATGTGAGCCATTATGGGAATGCCCGAGACGGTGACATTCTTTGAAAGACTCAAAGTGTCAAGAATATTGGTGTCGGAGAGTAGAGCGTTTTGGTCATAACGCCAGAAGACAAGGGGAGATACCACAAAACACCGGCCGTCTGAACGCTTTAAGCATGGAATCTTGCGACTGCCGATGAGGTCGCTAAGACGGTCTTCGAGCTTGAGGGTAGATAGGAGAATCTGGTGGTTGAGGGCACTGTCGTCTTCGGGAAGGGGGCTCTGAATAAGGATACGCTCTACCCTCAGCGTTCGGCCAACTCCACACCTAGCACGGGACACTGAGTCGCCTCCTACACGAAGGCTCTCATGCCCGGACCAAATATCCACCAAATCTTGTTGCGCATTGAAGCCCGAACCAGTCTTCATTGCAGTAAGTGTCTCAAGGATAGACTGGGTCTTGGTAGAGGTGTACAAATCGAGTGCTGGGTAGAGAAGTGAAGTTATGACGACGCCGGATATGAGAATAACGCGGATTTGGTGGGTTGCGCAATGCCTAGGTAGACAGGGTCAGGATGCTGGACACCAGCTTCCGCGGAAACTCGAGGCACTCACAGCCCAAACCGAAGAAAGAATCGACTTCCGAGACTCCGAACAGCTGCAAGAAACAAAACAAAATATTCGAACATGGTGAATACGTTCTGTCCGTCGTAGAGGCTCAGGACATTCAAGAGAGAGCAGCGAAGAAGTTATCCCGAGCAAGAAATAGGGTAGAAAACGAATCTGCGACGCGCATTCAAAGACAATGCTAATGACAGGCACTAGATGGATGGATGCTGGACTGCTGGAGCATTGGCTGACGAGTACGTACGTATACACTCTAAGACAAGTCAAGACAGGACTCGGAAAGGAATCAAATTGAAATTTGCAATCTCGGTAATTCCCGGTGTCTTCCATCCCGGTGTCGGCCCAGACTTTCACGTCACGATCAATCCAAACTCGTCCCCATTCTTTTGCTCTTGCTTGCTAGCCATCATGAGAGGTGGTCGACAATTCCACTCTGCATCGAGGACCCTCTATCGCTGTTCTCAGCAGTCTCGACGACGTGCGTGGCTCTGTATCCTCGTTGTCCGCCTTCTGACCGATAAATTTTCCAGTTATTCATTCAACGCCTAGTCGACATGAAATCAGCACCCTCCAAATGCCTGCAATGTCCCCAACAATGACCGAAGGCGGAATTGCCTCTTGGAAAAAGCAGCCGGGAGAAGCGTTTATAGCCGGCGATGTTCTTCTTGAAATCGTAATCTCCATCTTCTTTTTTTTCGATTTCCGACATACTGACAGGCTGTAGGAAACGGACAAGGCTACTATCGACGTGGAAGCCGTGACCGATGGGCTGATGGCAAAAATTTTGGTGCGTCGGTGGCGTTTACATCTGCGCAACGCTTATAGTTTGTATTCAGCTACCGGATGGAACGAAAAATATACCAATTGGAAAGGTCATAGCCATGTTAGCAGAAGAGGGTGATGATATTTCTAATGTACAAGCTCCCAAGGAAGCAGAGGCATCACCGACCTCCTCGCTGCCCAAGCAAGAAGCCGCTCCTTCAACCCCACATCCAGCTCCGACCCCAGTAGCACACTCGTCGTCACCGCCAACCCATCCGCGTACCCTGTTCCCATCCGTCTACCGCTTATTGCAGGAAAATAACATTACCAATGCTGAGCAGATCAAGGGTACTGGTGTGCGCGGCATGTTGACCAAAGGCGATGTTCTTGCATTTTTGGGAAAAGCTTCTGGTCCTCTCGGCACCTACAAGGAGTCTACACCTACTCAGTCCCCCATGCCCATTCCTAAGAAGGACGAGCCAAAAGTAAGCGTCCATTTATCCCTTGAGGTAATCAATTTATCTTGTTATAGCCTATAGACGCAGCCGCACTCCGACAGCTCATCGTTTCAACAATGCTTCGGAATTCAGTCAATCCGTTTACCGCCCCGGGGCCACCCCCAGATTTCGACTCAGTTATTGGGGACTATCTTTCATCACCTCCTGCTGCCCCCAAACCGGAAACGAAATCCCCCGCTGCGTCTTCCAAGTCAACCGCAGCTTACTTTGACGGTCTCATTTAGACGCCGAAGGGTATTATGTATTTTATTGAGCGACAATATAGATCAGCTCGTCGTGGAGATCAAACTTCATTACACTGGATCCGGGTTATACGGAGGCATGGTTTGGACTCTACCTTTCACCGGCCATTGTTCTGTCATGGTGTGAGCCTCCCATATTCTTCCCCCCCGAGCGACGTACATCAGCTCTTTCGTGCCGTGTATGGGACCGTCGAGCAGATCAAAATCCGGAGGGTATATAAGAAAGTCCGCTAACTTTCCTATAGACAACGAGCCAACTGAGCCAAAAAGCCCAAATGTGATGGCAGCCGACGATGTTGCTGCCTGGAGAACCTGTAGAGCGCCGCATTAAACAAAAAAGCAGAGACGGAAATTATGTGAAGAAGAGAACCTCGTAATTTGTCAGGCCTCCATACTTCGTGAATGCCATCTCCTCATGGTAATTGAATCCTAGCGGTTTCTCCCCGTGTGCCCCAATATGCGTCCTCAGGCCCGTTCTCACCATTTTAGCCGTGGATAATGAAACATTGAATAGAGCATATGCTGAATAAACCGGTTAGCGTTTCAAAGTTCCTCGTGAGAAAAGACGTACAGGTCAATGGCCGCGCTGTCGATTCGTGTAGTCGTTCTAAAATATCGTGTCGCGAAAACCGTCTTAGCCTAAGTAACAGAAGATCGTGAAAATTTCTCTGTGAAGACAAACGACTCACTTTGGGTCGTTCGGAATGTCTTGAGTCGCCCAAACATACTGTTCTCCAAAAACGCCTCCATAGCTGACGATATGTGTTGGCGTAGAGCCTGTACCGCTTTGTGACCACAGCGTAAGGACATCATCATACAAAACGGAGACAGGCAAAGCATGTTCAACAGTCGTCATGCCTGAATACTGACCGAGTTAGCCAAATCAACAGGAGAACAAGGAGACCTCTGACCATCTATAATATATGTTAGGTCCCAATCATAATAACCACCACCTTCAGGAACACAAAGCAAGCCCATATCACGAGCCGTTTTCAATAGTCGTTGACGAGAAGCACTATATCATCTATGAGGATTCTCTCACGGGGAAAAGAGAGAGAGACGGGACTCGTACCGCGAAGGCAGCTGATAATTCTTATACGACAAACTCACTGGCCCGCCTTCAGCCCTAATCCTCGTCAGCGCAGATACCGCTTCATCCATATTCACAATCTCTTCATGCAATCCCTCCCATCCCCCACCAAAAATAACAGACCCCGTAGTCAAGATCCGAGGCCCAATGAATTGCCCACTCTCTAAACGACTGCGCTCTATGAAGGCTCCAACTGTATCCGAGCTAGGACTATTTTTCCCTATGAGAAAACACTTGAGGCCGTCAGAGATTCAAGACGCACTTGTGCATTGTGGTTACACCATAGGCAAGGAAATTCTGCATTTCCCATGATTTGGCAGGGAAGGGAACAAGGTAGCCTCCCCAGTGGGAGTGAACATCTATAAAACCAGGTATGACAAATCCTAAAAGAAAGGACTTGAGTCCAAGAAGCTGGGACAAACATAATGAATTTGCTACCCTGATTGGCATTGAATTTGACAGCATCGTCGGGAACAGAAACGCCACCAACAGGGCCGACAGCTTGGATTACACCATCCTTGACCAACATAACTCCCTGCCTGATAAGATCCTTTTCGATGAGGCCAGTTTCCATTGTCAAAAGGGTCGCATTGTATACAGCCACGACACCCGACCATCCAGAAGCCTTCGCCTCTTCTTTCAGACGTGCAATATCCGTGGAATGTTGAACGAAGATTTCTTGCGATTTGACAAGATCTTTCACGCACTCTATACCAAAAGTCGAGGGATCGTTCTTGATACTAGTAAGGCATGTCTTGAGACGGGAGACTTCCAGTGAAAACAGTGTAGGACCTAGAAATAGATATGGGTCAGATACACGAGGATGAAGCCACTGCTTTACCAGAGAGCCAACATAATTTTTTCCCATTCCCACTCCACGTAACATCATGTCCACCGTGAAGACTCAACCTCGCCAAACCCTTCGTAGCTTTGCCTGGTTTCGCCCAAAGTTGTTCACCGGGCTGGATATCGCGACCACAGGCGAGATACACATGTTGGAATTCGACAAAAGCCACAAGGTTATCGGCTGAGACAGAGACTTTGTTTGACATTTTCCCGGATGCAAGGATCTGTTGCTTGTAAGAATTGGAAGCATCAGTGACGAACGTGCGTCTAGGTTCTTCCACCAGAAGCTGATACTGATCAAGAAATCGCAGGCTGATTACACGGTCGTTGTAAGCGATGTTTGAAGGGATAAATTTTAGATTGTACAACAGAACATTATCGTGTTCTCCCCTTATGGGTAAGGTCAAGTCTGCAAAGTAAAGCCCCGGGCGTGCAGTGGCTACGATCGTCCCGGTCAATGAATCTCCAGCAGTCTTTACGAATGCAATCTTTCGTTGCCTGTTCGTGCCCGGCGAAATAGCGGGAGCAAGATATCGTCCGAGAGGCAATCCCTCGATTTTGTACGCGAATCCCGACGACAGATCAGCTATTTCGAACGAGGTGAAGTCAGTGTCTGACCACCGGCAGTGAACGATTAAATCGCTAGAACCAGAGACAAAAGATGGCGAGTAATACGGGTAACCGCGGTGAAGAATCGGTACCGACATCACTTCCTGGCTCCCAATAGGCTGGACAACGGTCACTCCAGCAGCTTGTAATACTGCTCGTCCCCCAGAGTCGTCTATATGGAGCTCCTTGAAAGCATGTACCCTCATGCTAGCCTGAGTCTCCAACGAAAGCAGATCCACACCGCCTTTGATAGTTTCTGCCATTTGCATTTCGATATGAGCACGGAATCGGATAGGATGCGGGGTCCCACTCGCGACCCGCTCCCCGTCCCGGTTACTAGCCAAAGGAATATGATGTATTTGACCGGCTCCCCAGATGATAACAGCATTGCCTGTGGGAGTAAACGCAAAGGAGGGGTATGTCCCCATAGGTGCCCAGACCGAGCTTAAGTCATATGTCAGGCCGTCGAAGACATGGTGAATGGTACCGGTGTTAAGATCCCTGAGAGATATTGTCAGATGATCTCAACGGTGCGAAAGGAGCGCATACTTCAGAACAAGAACTTCATGATCTCTTGCTCGTCGAACAAACGCGAGAGTTCGTCCATCCCGAGACAACTGCGGTCGGCTAGCGCCCCCGGGAAAAGCATCAACAATGGTCTCCTCCTCTCCGCTGGTCACATTCAGAGAAAATATGGAGTAAACGCCCTTATGTATGTCTACGTGAGCGTAGTATCAATAGATGTAAAGTAATAAAACGACTAAGAGTCACCTTTACCCTCGGAAATCGTAAATGAATCTTGGACGTTCTTGGCGTAGATGAGGGTATCGTTGTTCCTCCAAAGGAATTGCTCGGGGCCTATCTGTTGATTATCATAGTCATCAACCGTCATACCAACAGGAAGAGTCCTGCCCAGGATGCGACGGCCGCTCTGCGGCTTGATCGGTTTCTGGGGTCCGTCTGCGAGCAGCGGGACATCGTACTCCCACCCTTCCGACGCAGAAAGAGTGATTTTTGATGTGTACCATTTGGATGCGATTATCTTGTTACCCGATGGATGGAATCGTGCGTCAGACACCCAGCGAAATGTCTCATTCGTTACACGTCTCGCTCAAGACAAATACATGTCAGACAATGGCCCTAGAAAACAGAGACATGCGATACCTTCAAGCCGGCCCTCACGTTTTAAGCGATCGGTTTGCCTATCGTCGTAGGTGACGGTCCCCGGCCTGACGTCCATGTCGCGACACCCACGCCAGGCCATGACCCAGATATTCTCCACTCCCAGGCCTGCATCACTGCGAAACACAATCCTGTCACCGTCTGGTGAGAAATGGGGGTCCGAATCATAGGGAACACCAAGCAAGACTGGGCGGGCTCTCGCTACACTGCGACGATCTTGCTCGTCACCTGGGATGCAGTACAAATCCCCAAGCATGTCAAAGACAATATCCCCTGTCGTAGGATGCACATCCAAACGCAACCATGTCCCTTCCTCAACGTCGTATTCGAGTAGTCGTGGGTACGCAAAGTCGGTGGATATGTCCCAGGGTGTCTGTTCGCGGTATGGCCAGATATTATCCCGCCATTCGGGTGCGGAGTCGCTGGTGTGTACGGCGCTGAAGTTGAGGCTGAACAGCGAAACAAAAGCAGCACAGATAACGAGGACGAGATAGCGGATATTGAGTCTGGGTCCCAGGTAAGCTGCCGCCTCCTTATACGACGCTAAGAAACAGTCAACGACTGCGAGAACGATATCACGACTTGGCCCGTACAGTTGTTACCCTTGATGTCAACCCTCGGAGCAGGTGCGCTCATTGACCTACCCAGTCGACCCTGCAAAGCGTAGTATTACGGCGAATATTCGGATGTGCCGGTTCAAAGTTGGAGAGCAAGAAAAAAAATTAGTTGGATTTTTTGTGTAGGCCAGTGAACGGCCTGCATATATACTGTGGATAAATCCGCGTATATCTGAGCAATAAAAATCCGAACGACAAAATCCTTTACATCTTAGGCCTAAGTATCGGCTTCAGCTTCAGTGGTGCCGTTCTTAGCCTCTTCCTCAGGCTTTTCTGCTTCCTCCTTCTCATCGTCCTTGGGGGCATCTTCTTTGGCGTGCTCCTCTTTAGCCTCCTCTTCAGCCTCTTTCGCATGATCATCTTCTCCCGGCGCCTGCTTGCTTCCAACGACAGCCGCATTGACACTGACATGCGTCATGACTTAACAGTGAGACAAGTAGAGCCGGACAATCACTCACGTCAGCATGACTTGGACCTTTTCTTTTTCATCGCCGCCCTCTGGATTGGGAAGCTCCACTGAAAAGCGTTTAGTGCCTTTCCAGCCATAGCTGCCAGTAGCAAAGCTTGTAGGCAACAGCGCCAATGTCGCCAAGAATCCGGGATCAGCTGAGGTAGCGGGAGCCGACTCATCATCAGCAATACTCGGGGGTGTGTGTGTCACATTGATGTGCAAAGGGAGGGCCTTGCTCTTGAACGTGGAGGCCGGCAAAGAGGCCTTTGAATTTAAGCCAAGTTGGTTAAGAGGGTTACTCTACCATGATAATAGAGAAAATGGATACCTTGGCGCCTCGTTTACCACCCCTCTTTGCGCCTTTGGTTGTTGTAGCACTTGTGCCGTTGTCGGTTTTTGCCGCCTTGTGTGCTCGGGTAGTGGGGCCAGTGGTGTCGTCAGACGCTCTTTTCGTTCCTAAATTGAAGAGGTAAGTAAGTGCCAACCATGACAGAAAATGAACTAGCCAGCCATCTTTATTATGGAAGGCGGAGTTACGCTGTGGAGAAATGGGTGAGGATGATGGGGTGCGTCTAAGAATGGTTGACGAAGGAAATGAATTGGTTTTCGATTTATATTCCCCTGGCGACCACATGACGTCACGCGTCGTGCTACCAACGTCAGGTGACCAGGCGCGTTCAACGGCCGAGAATAACCGGCGCAGAAAACAGCGCAGCTGTATCCAAGCGAGCCAGAGAACAAAAGCCGGAATAGCAGTCACGATATGGTGGAAAAGCAGCTTAATTCATTAGAAATACAAATCAGATACATACGAATTACAGGTCGAACTCAAAGTCGGAATCGTCTCCATCATCTCCTGAACGTCTGATGTTTTTCTGCGCTTTTCCATTAGTAGAGGCGGCGGCAGAGCGCATCCGAGCGGAAGGATCACGGCGATCTTCCAAGTCGTCGTCGTCCGAATCGTCGTCGCCACGTCGTTGGTCTGTCGGAGGAACATCGGGGAGGTCGACAGCGCCAGTCATTAGTAAAATGGCTTCTAGCTCTATGAAAACGGTGAGCATCAGCAAGCCGACCCACGGCTGCAAATACGCACCCTCAGATCGTCTTTCCCGGTCCGAACCCCAAGCGATGACTTGATTGCGAATCTCTCCTTTCCGGTATATGATCAACATAGGTATTCGAGAGTCGGGAAGGTTCGGTATGCATTTATCGCCAACGATAGATACAAATTTTGTCTTGGGATAGCGTGCAGCCAATGCACGGATGTGCTCAAAAGTACGCTCGCTCTGAGGGATTCTTGCAATTAGACGAGTCAGTCATCGGTAGAAGCCTGGAACAAAACGCTCGTACCCGTCCTTATACAAGAAACAAACCACTCCTGTGCCCTTTTCTTCGTCATCATCCTCCTCGTTGATCTTGCTTGCATCAGTGACTTCTCGAGTATAGTCGTCCCGTCCGATGGGATACACTCTTCCGAAGCGGGCTTTCTTCTCAGCGTTTCTTTCCAAAGCTATACGCTGTCGTCGATGAGCAGCGATCAGGCGTTCCATCTCATCGTCAGGAGCATCTTCACTTAGTTCCTTGAGCTCGGATGGTGTGTAATCCTCCAGCATCTCCTCTAGCGTTGGAGACGGTGGAGGCGATGGCGACGGGGGTGTAGGCTCCCGCGGCGGTATGATACCATGCTTCCGAAGAGCATCGTTGCTGTATATTGCACTCAGCGGAGATGACAGGAAAAATTTGAGAAAACGCACAATTCGGTATCTTCATTGGGGTTAACTGACATTACGATCCTTCACGCAGACAGTCAGAAAACGTAACCCTTATATATGCACTGACTGTTGCTGGCGCAGTCAACCGCAGAGGCTCCGCAGAACGAGATGGTGAAAGGAGAAGAAAGGCCACGTGGTTACGTTTATTATCCCTTCTAGTATTTGTATGGATGATACCGAATCTCCCTCCCCTCCTTTCCTCAACAGGGTCACGCTCTCCAGCTGTAGAAACGTGCGATGCACTTTGTCTCTTGATCCTACCTTCTTGCCATGTCAGCAACTGAAGGGGACACGTTGATCCCCCGCAAGTACCAAGAAGAGGTCTTCGTTCAAGCCCAGGAAAGCAATATCATCGCAGCGCTGGAAACTGGTAGCGGCAAGACCTTCATTAGCATCCTTCTCATCCGATGGATAGCAACCAAAGAAGCCTCCCAGGGCAAGGCTATCATATTTCTGGTTCCGAACGTTGCACTAGTCGAGCAGCAGGGCAACTTTATCGCCAAACACACGTCGTTACGCATCATAAAGCTACATGGTTCTCTTAACATAGATTTGACTGATAGGGCAGGATGGAAGAAGAAATTTCTGCAGTATGATGTCTTTGTGATGACAGGTAGGTGCACCACATTCATATTTGCAGTTTGCAGTACACAGTAACTCATGCATTACCAGCGCAGATATTTCTCAATCTCATCACCCATTCGCTGTGGAGCATACCCAAGGTATTTGTTTCCCATGCTAGCTGGGGTCCAAGATTAAGACTGAACCTTTGGATAGGCCTCTCTGATTGTTTTCGATGAATGCCATCATACCCGGAAGAATCATCCGTACAACAACATCATGCGCGAGTACAAACATGTCGCTACCTCTGATCGACCGAAGATATTCGGGATGACAGCCTCTCCCATTTTGAACCCGCGAGATGCCATACGTTCTATGGAAGCGCTTGAGGCCAACCTGGACGCCAAGATCGTCGGCATTCACATACATGTGTCCGAGCTTGTGGAAAACTCACCTAAGCCATCGGAGGTATTCGTCGTTTATTCATTACGTCTGCACTTTTCTTACCGGCTTTCGCAGACTATACAGAAATATCCGCCTCCTCCTCTAAGACCCAGTTGTGCCATCTCTACACTATGGGCCTCGTTAACTGTATTCGATATCGTGCAATATTCCGACATCGAGATTCCTTGGGCAGAAATTGAGCGACGATACCACGTAACACTCCACAATCTAGGTCCATTCTCGGCGTCTCTCTATCTTCATGCAGAGATGTGGCATCAAATCAGGACGCTAATCATTCAAAACAGTAGTTTTATCTCAGAGTCTGCGTCTACGGAGACCGTTGAAGTCGTCAGCGCACCAGCCGCAAAAGAACTTCCTGCTGAGGTATACTATATTGCTGAGATCCTCCTCGATTTCCAGTCCTTCTTTATCCTCGAGTCGAATCCCACTTGTTCACCCCTACCTATTCCGCTCGAATGGTGCACACCAAAGATCAAGACACTCGTTGACGTAATCCTGGCACATCATTCCTCCACATTCCAAGGTATCATATTCGTAGAGCAACGACAGACGGCCATGTGTCTTGCCAAACTTCTTCCTAACATTTCGCAGCTCAGTGGTCTCGTGCGATGTGCAGATTTAGTGGGCCATGGCGATAACAGCGAAGGAGTGTCCAAAGATATTATGACGGCTAATCAAGGAGAGATCATCAAGTTGTTCCGGGCCAAGGAAATAAATTTACGTGAGTTTTAAACTTTCCATTTCACAACTCTCATTTAATCGGTTAATGGCAGTTATTGCCACCTCCGTGGCTGAAGAGGGCCTCGATTTCCCGGTGAGCTATCAAATTTTAACCGGCCGTCCAGCTCTCCTCAAATGGATTCACTATCAAGGCTTGCGATCTGGTGATCCGTTTTGACAGGGTCCAGCACCTGGTCGGATACGTTCAGTCCCGTGGCCGTGCTCGAAACAAAGCCTCAAATTTTGTTATCATGGTCCAAAACGACGATATAGCCTATCTCTCCAAGTACCAGCAGCTATGCTCTGCAGAGCCAGAGTTAAAAGCCATCTACCAGGCACGGCGGGAGGAAAAAGAAGTCGAAGCCATAACAGAGGAAGAAGAAGAAGAGATGCTTGACCCCCTTGATCTAGCGGCTCGCGAGCGATATGACATCCCTTCGACAGGCGCATTCGCCAGCTACGATAACTCCATTTCGCTGCTTAACTATTTTTGCTCCCTCATTCCGTGCGACAAGTACACCTCTCAGCATGTCCCTGTCTACACCGGAGAATTCCAGTCGACCCTTCGTCTCCCTTCAGCCCTTCCGATTCCTCCTGAAAGCCTTCTCTTCCACGGTCCTGTGAAATGCTCGAAGAAGGAGGCGAAGCGCGCAGTAGCCTTCCAGGCTGTGAAGCATTTGCATGCTCTTGACGTTTTGGATGATTACCTACTCCCGGTTTCTAGTAAACAACAAAACGACAAGGATCTAGATGGGAGAGATATACCCGATATTAACGTTCCAGAAATGTTGGATGTTCCGATTCGGGATCCTTGGACGCTAGGTTCCAATCTATGGATGCATGTGGTCTATGTCGACGGGCGACCTGTTGCTGGATTGATTACCGGTACAAGACTTCCTGGTGTCGACGTTCATAGTTATTCTTCAGTTGCTGAGATCCGACAGGCCCAGCAAGTATGCCTGACCTCATCAGAACGTGCAACCATAGATTGCTATACGAGGCAAGTCATCTGGCTTCGTAACACAGCCAGAGAGACCATTCTCCCCCTCAGCCTTTTTCTCGTCCCAATAACCTCACATCATGCACCTGACTTCGATGCGATGATCCGTCTTCTTACTGATCCTCAAGGGTGTTTTGACTGGGGCAGTGTAGCAGAACAAGACTACAACAAAGTCATGATTTTGAATCGAAATCAAAATGGGAGACCATATCTCCTCCATCGTATTCGCTACGACCTTACTCCCATGTCAGCTCCCCCTCCAGGTTCACCTGAAGCTACCTCTGCCACCTACTATGAGTACTTTGTCAACCGTTGGTCCAGGAAGAAGTGGACTGCCGAAGTTCCCACTGATGGACCCATGATCGAAGTCACCATTCTACCTCGTTCCAGTATAGGTTCGTATTTCCTTGAGTTGCAGATAAACAGGACTCCCCAAGAATCTCAGTCGGTTCGCCTTCTACCGCTTGGTTGTTGCGGCTGGCTAGATATGTCATACGATATGATCCAGGCTTATCAAATCCTTCCCCATCTCAGCCGTCGTATCACTGACATATATCGTGCCCGTCAGGCAAGGTTTGAACTCGGACTTCCTCCGATCTTGGACGACCTCCTAGTTCAAGCCTTGACCATACCGAGCACTCAAGCCAGCTTCAACAACCAACGTCTTGAAACGCTGGGTGACGCCGTATTAGAGCTTTGCACCACCGTTCATCTCTTCAACAAATATCCCTACCGACACGAAGGCCAGCTCGACATCATGAGAAAGAGCAGTATTTCAAACCGCTTCCTCATGATGAGGGCTTTGGATGCGGGCTTACATCATTTCGTCACCGGGGAGTCTCATAGCTTAAGGACGTGGAGATATGTTTTAGACGAGAGTAATGACTCCGATACTGTGCAGCGCCTTGCACAGCGGACGTATCCTAGAAGGAGTCTTCAGGACTGTATGGAGGCTACACTGGGAGCGGCATTTGTTACGGGTGGGATACCTATGGCTCTGCGGGCGGGCTTTGCACTCGGGCTCGCCATGGGAGGGCCCACATCTTGGCCGGAACGCTATGGTATGAAATCTGAAAGAGTAGTGTCATCCCTCTTCTCTCAGCTGGAGGAACGACTGGGGTACAGGTTCCGGAATGGCCGTCTTCTTGTCGAAGCTGTCACTCACCCTTCGTTTGCATCGGTTGCTGACACTACTTCCTATCAACGCCTTGAATTCTTAGGGGACGGTATTATTCCTTTTTTCCTTCTTCCAACTTGCTGCTGTGTTCTAATTCCTTGATATACAGCGGTGCTTGATCTCGTTGTGGTGCATTACCTGTACGCAAAGTTTCCGGATGCGACCTCTGAGCAACTGGCTCTTCCTCGAGCGAAGGTTGTCTGCTCAGCTGCTTTGGCCTATCTGGGCGTCAAGCACCTCGATCTGCACATGATCGCACTCATCAATAACGTGGACCTAAGCATGGCCATGGAAGACTACGTTCCCATTCTCAAGACGTTATCAAGTACGGATATCGTCACCCAAGGGTACAAGTACGATCCGCCGAAAGTGATCAGCGATATTTTCGAAAGTATCATGGGTTCTGTCCTCATCGACTCGGGATACAACTACGAGGTTACTGCTGCAGTGGTGGAATATGTTATGGAGGATATTCTGGCCGTCCTTTCTCCGACTGTTCGCCGAGATCCCGTTACTGAGCTGTATCAGTGGGTTGCCCGTTCAGGTTGTCGAAACAAGATCATCCTCTCGTATGTGGTGTCTTCTTTGCTTCGCACTTGTTTCTGACGCTGCTTCGTAGACACGAACCAAAGAGAAAACACGTTGGTGTAGTAATTCACTTGCACGACGAGCACATCGTTGGCCCAATCGTGTCCAACAGCCTCAACACCTCGAAATTTGCTGCCGCTGAGAGGGCTTTGGCGATCTTGGGAGATGCCACCAAGGACAAGAGTCTGGATCGGATATGCAACTGTTCCGAGATAATGGATGTTGATAAAGAAATTGCATTAGAATCCGTGGGTGAAGGTATAAACTGTCGTTCCAGAGAGAAGACGTAGAATTCGAAGATCCCGAATTCGTCGTCCCGTAAGAAAGGTGTCAGCTTGGATTATGAGTAGTTGTGGCTAACATTGTAAACTAATGTACTTTGCAACGACTTGTGTAGAATATCTTAAGAACCTCAGTCTATCCAATGCTCGTCGATGTCGGATTCCGATATTTTTCGAGCTGCTTATGTTGGCCCACTTGTCTGAGGTTATTAATTCGAAGAAAATGCTTTCAAGTCTTTGGCGCTGTAAGCTGTAAGACCCGAGCCTATTTATCTCCGCGCGCTCCGGGCCTATGAACGCATGAGCACAGTAGTAGCCATTAGTTGAAAGCCGGCCTCAGTAATCCTTTGGAGTCAAACCTGATGAGTAGATAGTTTATCTGTACACCTACGTATACGAGTCTCGGCATGCTACCATCCTTCTTCACCAGCTCGACGTCCTCGGTAATTACATTCCACCAACAAGCCAGCCAACGCGTGCCCAGGATCAGAATAGAAATCCATCAAGGCCCAGCCACGGAGCCTTGTTTCGACACCAAGTATAGGCTTTATCAGGTCGTTCTGAAGGTCATGACCAGACACGTCACCGCTGCTGCTCAATAAGTCCAAAAGCCATCTGCCAACTCTGCTATTGACTCCCTCCACACCAAGTCCCCATCTCGGCCAACCAAAACCTCGTGCTACGGTAGGCGGAGTCGCAAGAGGGAATGATGCAGCAGAAAAGAAGGTGATGGATAGCGTCTTCTGAGGCTGGTCATCGAGGGGATGCATTAAAATCTCTGTCGATAACGCAAACTTCTCTGGTATTGACAAAAAGGAGGGTATAGCATACCTAAGATGCGATAAAACAAACCTCGGGAGACGAGACAGATTTGCTCACCAATCATGTGTACGAACGTGGGTATCCTTACATTCCCAAGTAAAGCCATCCTTCGCGCTATCCGGCCAGGTAGTAGGGTGAATTCCCAAACCTTCAAGGCCACCTTCCCACCCATCGCCATTGCCACCAAAGCGACTGATAAGGACCACCTTCCCCCTTACTTCGCCAAGGGTCGGCACTCGATTCTCCAAAAACCACATGTCTCTTCCGCCTGGACCATTTGACATTTCCTCATGCACAGTTCGCGAAAAGGTGCTCGGCTCCGTGGTGGCAAAGTCCTCCTGCTTCATGAACATGACAATGGTTTCTCGGCAGGTCTCCGGCGCGATCAGAAAAGTGTAGATAGTACGCTGCATATCTTCGAACGGCGTCCTTTCGGGGTAGATGCCGTGGTAAGCTATGAGACGAGAGCTAATGACTGCGAGACGTATGTCTACGACCCTAATACCCGACTGGAGCTGGACAGCGAGAGGCGTGGAAGGAGATTGGCATTGAGATATAGGCCATCCATAGAATGCCATACTGATAGAAAGAATCAGCAAGGGCTTGACGGTCCATGAAAAGATTTCCTACGTATCATGTGTGCCTGTGATATATGTATAGCATTAATATAGGTGCCGCAGCCATATATATTATATCACCCAAACTTACCAGGTAGTAGCAGGGAATATAATGGAGACATGTCAGGCATATCAGAGAGAAATGCAGATACGTTTCTCTTGGGTAGGATTATCAGCTTGCGATGATTCATGGCCATCTGTATCCCATATGTATGGTCACTACGCAGGTTACCCTCTAAACTCATTAGACTCACCTTAACCGCGTAAACAGACCAAGGATGACCGTCCTCAACGGATAAACGTTGCCAAGTAATTCCAGCTCTCATAGAGAACTGAACCATAGCTGGGCACCATCCCTCTGTCTCCTTGATAGCTGCCTGACTAAAGAGTGCCAGTTTCCTGCAACGTTTGGGTACCTTTGCTTCCAATGGGATCCGGGAAGCCAGAACCAGATGTTTATCATAATCCTTGCGGTTGGGATCCCAAGAACAAATTATAGGATCATCAGTCAAGTTCAAGAGAGTGAGATGCATGAACGGAGGTAGATGCACAAAATAAAGCAAATAAGGTGGTACCGCTTTCAGATATACCCCAATAGTTGTCCCAGCGCCAGCTGCATCGTGGCTTTGATGAGGCTGCCTATCGGAGTTAAGTCCGATATGGTTACTCAAATAAACATGCGAAAATAACGCGTCGACTACACTGCCTTTCCTCGGATACTATACGATATACTATGCTACCTGTACGTCTTGACTATCGAGAAGGGGAGAACATCTTTATCCATCTAGCTGTCAGGTGTTGAAGGCGTCCGTACACGATGTGCGGTACTTTGTGACACTTTTACGTGGCGTCAATTTTGTTAACGTGAGTAGCAACGGTGATATGTGGGGCCTTCTCAGCCATCTTTAGAGGGCTACGATTACCGTCACCGAGAGAGGCTTTATTGCAGTGGTAGAAGAAGCGCGTACTCTGTTGGGTTTGTATATCTCGGTCTCTCCTCTTCAGGACTAAATCAAAGAGTAGGAACTGCATATATCTTTTCTGACGTCTTTGATGAATACGAGTATAATTCCGAATCACCAGGCAGCACCCAGGATAGCGCCGATGACGAAGACAATGCGGCCTTCGAAGTACCACTAAACACCCTTATTGAATGTTTGAATATATTCGGAACCGCGGGTGGAACTAACTACAACGCCTCTGGAGGGGGCCGACATAATAGGTGGAAAAAAGTCGGCGACAACGACGACGGTGATGACGGTGACGATGATGATGGGGGGCGGGGCAAGATACAACAGTTCTTTGGCGGTAGTTCTGAGAAGAGAACAGGGATGCGAATGTCGTATGCAGGTGCTGGATATCCTTTGACTCTGCTTCTGTGCGTGTTTGCTCTCTCTTGCACGAGACTATGTATGTCTTACGTCCTTCGCCAGTGCCGAAGACTCGACTGGTCCGACAACAACGTGTGAAATATCTACATACGATGCAGAACCTCACCTTGAACTTCCGTTTGATCTGGAAAAGATGTACGTGGGGATTACGCTCTCCGTGGATTTCACTGACCTTCAATCCAGGGTTCTCAAAGTCATTCTCAAGGTGAGGAGTGCTTTATTCAATTGTGCATCTCTTCATTTCCTCTAGTCAGAATGGTTACGCGATGCCCTCTCAGAATTGGATCCTTCTTGCGAGAAACTAACCTTTATCGGAAATCCTCCCCCAACCGGAGACCCCTCCCAGCCTCGACAGAAGCAAAAGGCAAATTCACGGGTCAGCTTGAAACCAATGCTTCGTATCAAGGCTACAGGAACGTTCGGCAGCACCGAGGTGCGTGAGCTTAATACTACCGCTTTCTGTTGCATGACCACAAAAAACCAGATGGACTACCCGAATGATAGAGACGTCCTAGAAACCTTCGATTGCGCTCAATCCATCAGCTTCAGGTTCGCCATCACACACATCCTCATGCGCTTCTGACGGGACCTTAAAGTTATCGGTTCGCTCATATATCTCGAACGCTGAGAGCACTGCAGAGCTCTACAAAGACGTCCCTTCGGATTGATGATGAGGGCTTGCTGAGTCTTCAGTTCCTTATGCCGTCTCCGTCTCCCAAACAGGGAAAAAAGGATGAAGGCCCGGCCGCTTTCATAGAGTTCCGGGTGAGTTCGTAAACAGAGGGTATTCGCGTCCTTGGCTCAATTGTCATGTCAGTGCTTAGCATTGGACGATGACCAATTAAATGTGAAGCTGTATGTATGATTGTACTAAATTCTTGCGGAATATGCACATCTAGGCGGATGTCGTGCTACTAGAGCGCGCAAGAGGTGCTTCTCATGAGAGGTTGAGAATTCCGCGCGAGGCCGCCTTGACACAAGACAAGGCAGTCAAAACTATGGGAACATGGCGGTAGGGAAGCTACCCCCCCCGAAGTTCGCTTTGACTTATTGTACCTGCCTTCCCTCGCGTCCGGGACTTTTCCCAAAAGTAAGAGATTACAAATTCTTGTCATAGTATTGGATGAAGATTGATTGGACTGCATTACTCTATATTCTCGGAAAAATCGGAAAGAGGTCGCCTGTTGGCTTCACTTTCACGAATCACAACCACTTGATCTTGAACCATGACCAACCTCCCTAGGCCTTCTTTCCCTTTCAGTAACGGATTGGCTGACAAGGACTGTCCATGGAAAACCTGGCTCTCTACGCCGATGGATATTTTCTGCATCAAATTTGAGGACACGTATCTATAAGCAGTGATCTATTTTCCATGTCGACGTTCGAACCGAAAGCACAGAGGCACGATCATTGTGTTTTAACTTTCACTGCACAACCATCAGAACAGGGACTGTGGTGCGTGCACGGACACGTACGTTTGGGTTCAAGCCACAGATGTCTGAAGTTTTTCACAGTACGTCCAGCGAACAACGCAGCCAGCAGGACTGCACAGACAGCTCTGGCTGTGTCGTTGTCAACAGGATGTACGGCTTTCTCGGACACGGCGCCACCATTCAAAAGATCGAAGATGAAGGTATGCGCCTCAGCCCAGAAGGGCTGGGCATGAGTGAGCAGGGCATAAAGACCCGTTATTGCCGGTGCGCACCACAAATCTGAAGTAGTCCATCCATATGGCATGAGCTCCGGTGGAGTTTGTAGCATCATAGGCGTCGGGTTCATGAGCGAGAAAAGGTTAGTTAAGAAGAAACCGCCATTTGCTGCAACCTTTGGTGATTATTCGGTCAGTAATATTGCCATATCAGCCTTAAATACATACGAAGGAGGTAACAAGCAGTGTCCAGGAAGAGTTTGCGATATTCGACGACGCGTTAGCGGTGACGACTGGTGGTATGAGGTCGCAGAGCAGGAAAGCACGCGTAAAGCCATCAACAATAGAAAGAGGGAGTTCCATTTCGAAGGTGGGCGCGGGAACAAGGGGAAGCGCGTCGACGATAGCTTGCACGAGCGTGTAAAAGATGGTTGTGGCACCAGATACCATGAAGGAACAAGGAACGCCAATCAATGGTGCTGCAGAAAATTTCAAGATGGATGTCTTTTGTGTGAATAGTGAACATACAAGTCATGGCTTCTCCTGTATGCAAATCAGGATTCAGGCCCAGGATATGATATGACAAGCAGGTAAGTACGAACCGCCGAAAACGACAGTCAGCGTCGTCAGAGCGCTCCGAGCAAACGACCTATTTTCGACCAGAGAATGCCCTACTTTCGATACGTGTTCTCGATGAAGCACTTCCTTCGTCTGCCGGAGGATTAGGCAGAGGCGGAATGCTGCCACGATGTCCAGAGTGGTAATAGGCAACCCAAACCAGGTGAAGGGAGCCACAGGCTTCAAAGCATGGTCGAATACAGCAATTATTGGGTTCATTAGTGACATGAGAAAGGCGAAAAGCGTGGCAGGAAGAGGCGGAACTCCGGTCCAATACGTAACAGTCTGCTTCCCAGGAGTTTTCGAGACTTGTTTATGCTGCTAAGGTGCAGGGATGAAACACGTCAGAGCTCATTTTGTGCTCCTTGGATTGTTTTTTGGACCTGTTACTGTTCCTGATTTTTGCAGCAAACTGTTGTAGTTAGTGACATGAATCGAGACACACTGCCATGTGGCACAAACAAGTTTGCCTTCTTATCGTCATTCCGGTATTGATTTTATTGCCCGGGCGCTCTACGCAACAAGGGCCGTATACTCATGCTGCGTGGAAAGCAACCGCGACCCGCAGTTATTGTAATGCAGGCGCTTAGCTATGGTCACGAACACTAGTTCTCTTCTTGCTTTGTCGCCTTACAGATAGAATGGCACATTGAAACTACAGGCCTGCGGGTGACTGTTGACTTCGCTTTGTGCACCGTTATAGCGATATTTCCTTCATCGCGCAACACGAAGTTCTTCGTTCTAAGGACGGCTCAAAAACTCAACTTGTTGACTTGTCGTCATTTCGTCAAGCACGATTTCGGGTACCTTTTCGCATGCGTCCACTTTGCTATTGTGCCTTTCTTGCTTATCTCTTCGACTTAACGGCATCAGCTTCTGAGATCTCGACGTTTTGCTTCCATGCACAACATGCAATTCGTCGGAATAGGAACAAATGTCGAACTTTTCTCTCCCTGACCCCGGGTCGCAGCGTCCTTGGCACCCGCTCCTTGTTTTTATCGATGTTCACACAACAACCTTTGGCTGCCCACAATTTTTTGGTGGTAACTATTCGGCTCATCAAGTGTAGCAACACGAAAAAAAAAGGCCTTTCACGTCACCCCAAACTAGCGTTTCTCTCGTTCATTGTTTGCGGCGGGAGTCTTTGTGCTACATTAGGCCGTATGTGCGATCTGACAGGCACGACATGGTCCCGAGCTTCAGAAGCCTACTTACAATGGCCTATTCTTGGTCTTTCAAGCAAAGCTGTCCATCTCTGGAAATCTCCAATTCGAACAGCGGAAGATATATATACGCGTGAGATATAGTAACTGCTGTTACTTTAACTTTCCCATCATACGCAGAGCACAGTGTGTAACCTGCTTCTCTCTCTTTCCCAGCAGCTCTAGACTAATATTATCTGGGTCAGATCCGCATGGCGCAACCTACACTGAGGGATTTTCTCCACTTGGGCGCCAATCAGACTTATTCTTGCCACGCTCTCTTTCATCGCTTACAGTCAACCCATTCCACATTACGCGCTCTAGGGATTCCAAGGGATGGGCACGTACGCCCACAGTCCATTGCGCCTGACAACGTCGTGACGCTCCATATCGACCAGCCTACCAACCTCGAGCAAGACTCGTATTTTCCCCATGTCCTCAATAGACTCAAGGATGAACGTGTTCTTATAACCAAAATCCTGATGGGCCAAACGAACTGGTACAGCTTCCGACCCCCATCGTCATTAGACCTTTCCGGGTTTATCCACATCACTCATCTGGTTATCCACAGCAGTATTTTCAGCGAAAATCACTTGTGCTCCCTTCTGAGCTCCTTGCTCAGTCTGCGCACTGTGGAGCTCCATAATAACTTGATGCAGGATTATCGTAATAATCAAGTTGCCAGTACCCTTGTTGAACGACCTAACATCAGGGCACTTGCCTTAACTATGGGTAACGATACCTGTTGGACCTTGTTGGATCTTTTTACGAGCGACCGTTCTCCTGTAGAGCCGCATACCTTTGAGCGGCTTGAACTTCGACGCCCAAGAAGTCTCGCTTCCGGCGACGGTAGCCTCTCTCGAAGGATGTCGGCCCTTTTGAAGCTGATGCAATTCCCCTTTGCACTTGATATGGACGATTTCAACATAAGTAAGTCGATCCTTTTTATCTGTTAGTTCCTGTTGACCACATCCCACTTCAGCTCTGCCTATGTCACCCATGCTTAACTTGGAAAACATCAAAGAACTTACAATCACCCTCTGCGCGTTAAACAACTACTACGATTTCAGCTATCAGACACTCGTGTGGTGGACGGAGACGCTCAGGAATATCCCAGGATGGACTAAGCTGTGCACGATCACGATCAAAGTAGAGCTTGGGCCCCCGGCTGCTGTGAATGCGCCGCACCCCCATGACCTCGCACAGTGGGCAGCCTTTGATGAAGCTCTATGTCGTATCGAGATCTCCAGTGGCTTGGAACATTTGCGTTACAAGGTCGTTCCCAGGTCTGGATACGCAGGACATCCCAGTTATGATTGCGATACCATGAGGCGCTGGTTGTGCTTGAGATGTCTCCCAAGGGCGCGCATTTTCTATACTGCATCAGAAGACTGCGACTTTCGGGTCCTGGACTGGGCGAATCGAGAGGTTGATATGAGTGGAATTATGTAAGGAGCTGAAAGAATGATGTTACACGCCTCAGATATATTACTATTACTATCACTATCTTTCCCAGTACCTGTATTGCGGAAAGGAATTATGTAAATAGTGATGAATGCCGTCGTACGCGTAGAGTTCTAGAGTTGACTCGGACATTTCTGTTTTCTTCATGGTAACCGGATTGAGCAGCCACGACACCACCATGATCACTTTTCACCACGACTATTTATTTAATGAGCTCAAGGACTCAGGAAGCGCTTCTGCCCCAGAATGACCGGTAATAGTGCCTACATTCTACCTCAGTATCTATATTGCATCCTTCGAATCATCTCTTTTCAAACTTCGCCTAGCCCTGGAGCGCAGAATCTGACCAGGAGATCTACATTATCGAGCCCCAGTCAGGAGACATTACGTCATGGCTCCTTCGAGCTCCCTTCAGAGATTTCTATTTTCCATTGTCCGAACTGGTGGCCATGTCGCCCTTTAGTTTCGCCGATTCTGACGACCGCAGAGTTGTTCGTAGGCAAGAAAGAAACATCATTACTTCTCGTTGAATTAGAGACAGGAAGAATCAAGGCAACGTTGAACTCAAAGATCTTTGTGTCCTTGGGATCCATTCGAGGGCTTTCAGGATGATGATGATTTGGATTTGGATGAGCTTGAAGGAAGCAAGCCCAAGCCCCTGCCACCTACGGAGCTGTTCGTTGAGAGCACAGGTGCGTTGCACCAATACTCATCACTATTTTGGCGCCAATTGCCTTACAGATTACCACATATCGATTTATTTCTTGACCTCTTAAGAATTCTGGGTCGACCCTGCCACCCGTTCAATCCACATATGGCCTGAATAACCAGAACACATTGTTACAAGCGTCATACAAACCGCCTAAAGGACAGCGCATGCACTCAAGGATTCCCCAACGGCGACATTGTGTCCTTCAAGATTAGAGGCGAAGACACTGGCATTCGTCCATGCTCTCTATCACGGGGGTGACAATTTATTAGCCCTACGTCAGTTATGACTATCTCGTAATTTGGCGCCTATTTATTGATTTATCGGTGTTGCGGTATTCGATGTACTACGCAAGCGTCAGCCTTACTCCCGTGGATCGTATATTTTCATACTTCTTCAGCCCCGTCCGAGTCTTCAAGACGCCCTACCATCCCCCTCCAACGCACCTTCAACCGTAGTTCAGCTTCTGGAGAAACACACAGCAGGGAGCAACTCCATCCAATAACGTAACGTGCATGTATAGAGGGTATTATACTGAAATACTCAAATCGTTCAAAAGTAAAGACTAGAAAAAAATCATCAAGCAACGTAATCTTAAACAGAGCCGACAGAAATATCAGTTCTATCAAACACCAGCGACAATCCTGAGAACGCTTCAGTAAGATTGTTTTTAGAAACAAGAACACTTACTCCTCCGCCTTATTCAGGGCTTGTACCATACCGATAACCTCTCTCCTCCTGTTAACAACATATTCGCTCTCCTTTAGAAGGTCGTCGAGCACTTCGGGCTTGTACAGCTCCTGGAGTAGCTCCCTCTGCAAGTTCTCTTTCGAGTGGTTGACCAGCGTCAGGACAATAGCCTTTGGCACCATGTCTATCATCTCCCGCTTGACAATGTTGAAATAAGAGTTGATCAAAAGTTCTACGTGGAAAAAAAAAAGATTAGCAGCATATTCACAATGGGAATACATGACACTAACTGATAACTTCTGTCTCCATAGTCTCACGATCATTCAGGGCCGCCTGAGGCTTGATAATCGCTGGAGGTGCTTCCATAACAGGGGTAGAGGTGCCTTTCTTTTTCGTTGTGGAGGTCCGAGCGGCGAAAAAGGATCCGAAGAAACTGGGCTCTTCCCGTTTGAGGTCCACATCCAAATCGCGATTGTTGTTGATGACACCGGGAGCAAGCTTTCCAGACTTAGGGTCGGTTTGTTGAGGAGGAGGCTTGTTAGCATTGAGACGGTCATTGACGATTGACATTGCTTTGTGCCCATTGATGAAATCAGGATGTGTCGTGTTAACGTAGCAAGCTTGCATACTATAATGATAAATCAGCAGCGCAGTATAGAAGCACAGACTTCTACGTACGCAACCATGTCAGTCACGAGTTTCGTGGTCGGGTTCAATGATGATTTGAAGAAGTTGACAACTACCGAGTTGAAGCGCTCCCGGAGGGCTGGATACCGCCTAAAGGCTTGCTGTAGGTCTCTGAGAACGGCGTCTACGATATGATTTTGCGGGAACCTACGATCCTGCCCAATAACTGGCCGAGAATACGGATGAGTTCGTCGTACACCAATGTACAACACTTCAGACTGGGATCCTCCAACCGTTTGATCTGCTGCTTGATAATAACCTCAAACGCAGCAGTACCCACGAATAACGCCGGCGTTGAACCCTATCAACAATGAGCAGACTGGCACATTATGAAAACAAATTGCTGCTCACCGAAGAATTGTACATGATAGTTCGAATGTCCCCATCTTTGACTTGATCAAATGGATCGATGCTTTTGATTCCATTGTTGAACAGCTCGTGGAACACAAAGCTGATACGAGCACCTCCGGATAGCTCATTCAACGACAAATCATTACCACCACCGTCAATAACCGTCCGGAACTCTGAGGTAAACTCAGTGATAACGGACAAAACGACGTTACCTGAGCTGGCCTCCGCTTCTGTTCCACCAAGTGACTGTAACTCCGCATTATACTTTTGTTGTTGTTGGGCAATTCGGGCTTTAATGTCGGGCAGGGTAGCACGAATGTGGTGCATGAGGATCATGTTAAGCTTTCTTGCCAGGAAAGGGGTACCACAATACTGAGCCTTTCCCTTGTATGAAGGGTGTAATTCGAAGAACTCGCGCTCGGCATCGAGAGCCGACTGAATGGTCTTCGACGCGTCAATGTCTCGCTGGCCTCGGTTAACCACAGGCACATATCCCAGTCGCAACGGAATTATGCGTCCTGCAAGGATGTCCACAACATCCGTGCCCTTATCCCTGTATGCTCATCGTCAACACACACAGAAAGAAACAGAAAGCAGCGCACGCACATCAAATCAACTTTGGTCAGAACACCAATCGTCCTAGTACCCTCGGGGTCCACCTCTCTCGCCATTTTCAAACCCTCCGAGTTAGCCAGGTCCACGTTAGCGGGAGATACTGCCAAAATGATACAGGCCGGCTTTGAGATGTACTTCATCAGCATGTCCCTTATCTGCCTCTCAATATCTTTGGGTTGGTCACCAACTGGAACTTTGGTTATACCCGGCAGGTCGACCAGAGTGAGAGTCAGGACATTAGGAGAGAATATACGGAGATTGATGGGAAGAGGAGATATGCCTGCATTGCGTCCTGTTTTGGCTTCGGTATCCCGCACAATCTCATCACGAATCTTGTGGAAGTCAAAGAACTTTTCGCCAGGTAGATGCAGGAATTCGCCCCATTCATCGGCGTTGACGTTCTTGTCCGTGCCATTAATTTTGGCTGTATGCAACACGTTGGAAAGCGCACGAAAAGAGAGATGAGCTACGTACGGGCTCCATTAGGCTCGGATCCAGCAGGTCTATGAATAAGTTGTAGGACCTGAATGCCGACGGTCAGCTCATACCCAGGAATAAATGGTGGTACGTACTAGCGGTCGCCGCGTCACAATACCCGTTCCACGAGGCAGAAAATCTCGGCCGACGATATTCTTTTAAAGCGAGGAGAGTAGTGAGTATTGATGATATAAAACAAGTCTTAATGCCGACGCACCTCGAGGACACTACTCTTGCCGCTACTCTGACTCCCAAGCACGCATATCTGAGGAAGGTCTATCTGGGATGCTGACGAGCCGACTGCGCTGAAGACATCCTGCAGTTTGTTGATGATAGAGACAATCTCTAGGCCGAGTCCGGTAGGGCCAGCTGTCGCCATTTTCTATGAAGGTGAAATAAGGGAAAGAGGGAGAGACACGAGGAACAGAGGCGCTCAATGCCGAATGGGAACAAACTAGGACAAACTCAAAAGCTGTACCCTGCACTACTGCGGGTTCACTGCCAGATCCAATGCTACTGCTGTTTGAGACCTGAGGAACTCTAGTACTGCGGTTGGATTTGTAGCTTGCCGAGCCATGGTGTCAAAAATCGGTGATGGAACAGTTGGGACTGGGCAGATGAACTATCTAAAGGGGAACTGAATATTGAGCAATGTATGTGACCAACCCATGCCTCGGTTTTAGTTAATAGCTGATCATCCATACAGGTAAAGTATATTGTACTTCTAATATATCAAGATGCAACTGCGTAACACAGCGCAGACAATGAACTTGGTCAAGTCAGAATATGATCGCGTCAAGTTCATGATTGCCTGATTTGTTGAACTCCCTGTCACCGAGGTAACTCGTCTGTTGCACCAATGATAGGCAAATCTTTCAATCAGACGATGCTATGAGGCTTCAGCTTGGTTCGATGAATTCTTTCCAATGTCTGGTTCTTGCGACATGCACTTCACGATGTTATTTGTCTCACTTCTGTCTGTTCCATCAGGTCGATACAAGACGGGAGTGTAAATGCATAAGCTATGATCCATTTACCCTAGGATCCCCGTAGTTGAAGGACAGCAGCTAGATTCAATAGCGCTGTAACCTGTAAGGACGTCCTGGGCCTCTACGACACCGTCTTCTTTTCCCTTGGTCTTATCAGCTTGAAAATGGCGCCTGCACTACAAGCGTCCGTGTACGTGGCAAAGTAAAGACCTGGTCGAGTTTCCCGGTTTCGCCCATGGACACTTGAGTCTTTGATGACTTATAGTGATGAATCCGGTAACACTGCCTTTGAATGAATTGTGGTAATGATCATCAATCGAACTATGACTTGCTGCGGACTAAGTGGTCCAGGTAGTCAGAGGGAAGGCCACGGATCTATCTATCGTCGTCAATCAATTGCGAAAGCCGGTAGTTAACAATGCACACCAGGTGTATCCTGTATCATATTTGGCGGTAAAACTAATCCACCAAACCTAGAGCAGACGAGCAATCAGTTTTGGTGGTTTGCGGCAGTATTATGGCTTGTTGAACGAGGCTAACCTTATAACCGGCACTTCTAGGTCCTCCCGTGAGTTTCTTTTGCGGGATGATCTCAACTGTCGGCACTCCACTTTGGACAAAACACTTGTTACATTGGGTTTTTCACCGAAACTGAAGGCACTTAGAGTATAAGCCAATATCCAATCTGCTTTGCTGCAAGATACTCCGTAGTCCAGCAATCGGAGCGACGGTGGTGAAATCCTTTTTAGAATGATCATCACCCGTCTACCATGGACACTCAGTCTACGTATGTGCTACATACTATGCTTTCGTATTAACACTTGTTGTAAGAGTCAGTAAGACCCCGCCATTTGACTGTAAGTTACCTAATCCAATCCGTACGTACCAAAGTTTGAATCATCGTTTACAAGCACTCAAAAATCAGATGACAGTTTACAAAACGCGCAGCACAGGGACGAATACACCTCTTCGTCTAACTTCTAGAGAACAAGAAAATCTGAGAGGTCTCTTGAAGTCTCTCTGGCGAAGGGTGGTCGAACATATTGGAGGCGTGATTAGTTGGTTATTTATCCCGCCTTCATGACGTCGTCAATAGTGCACAAGAAGCTTTTCAAAACTTATCTCGATGAGTCCGTGTGGGCGCATTTCATCCATCGTCAAATTTAACGCTGATTGTGCAGAAGTAAGAATAAGTTTTCGTCCACCAACAATAATGACGAAGCGTATATTTTCCATTGAACATTCACTGCGACCAGTAGACGCCAAACTCTTGCGCTGGCCACTCAATCGAAACGGGCTACCCTAAAATAGCAATTTATTTTGATGTGCATCGGTCGTGTCGGCGATTTTCAGCTACCACAGGTAACGGTGGATATGATGAGAAAGATCTGATAAACAGAACGGTGTTGCCTCTTGATACGGAAGATCACCAGGGACTCTACACCGACCTGGATACAAGGACCACACTAACGGACAGGGGCTAGTGAAGTAACCGAAGAATGTGATTGATGCAAGACAAGTGTCTGTGCGCACCAAGTAGATCCTTCCGGATCTTTTTTACCATCAGTTTCCATCAGTGATTGCTCTGATTGTAACGGAATCAACGACACAGAAAATGGGAGGAACATGGCCACCGTTGAAAGGGTCTTCTGTGCTGGACAAAGGGGTGTCCTTATCGTTCTAGAAATGATTGCGTTGTCAGGGGCGACGTATTGTTTCAGACGACACGATAAGAGATTGGACAAGCCAGGAAGAAGGGAAAAGCAAAAGACACAGGACATACTCAACAGCGAACAATGGGCGATACGAGAGACAGCGAAGAGGTCGCCGGGACCGACGACATGACGAAATCAAGAAAACAATAGGATGAGTCAGATATAAATGCGGACCTTCAATCTGAGTTTAAAATATAGGTATATAAGGAGCGGGCGGACGAAGGACCGTTCCCGTTTTCTCCCCCTCTTTGATTTTCTCACGCCACTTTTTTTTTTTGCTGCAAATTTTAACCAAGCATGTCCGGATCGTTCGCGTTGCCCACTCGTCAACTGAACCTCTTTGGTTCCCGGACTGCTCAGCAGCAACAACAGTTTCAGGCACAACAGCTGCAGGCTCATCAGGTTCAGCAGCAATCCCAACAGCAATCGGCTCAGCATGGACTCGCCCTGCCGTCGGGTAACCCTTACCTCCAACAGCCATCGAGACCAGGCCTCGCCTTGCCAGGTCCTTCTCCGCTGTCAAATTCCTATCAGCCTCCACAACAGGCTTCATCATCACAGTCTTCGTCGCAGACGCAGACGCCTCCATCGACGACGAATGCCGTAGCTGGGCCTTCCACCCCTGCCGCGACCCCTGCTCCAGCGATACTCACTCTCGAGCAGCAGCATATCACTGCGGTCGAAGGTATCGTCCCCACCTTGCAAAACATCGTCGCTACAGTCAACCTTGACTGTCGCCTCGACCTCAAAACCATTGCCCTACACGCCAGGAATGCTGAGTACAATCCTAAGGTTGGTCTTGTTCACATCCCCTTTAGCTTTGTTACACGCATCGAACTGGTTTCATTGTTCGACTAACAGCGTTTTGCGGCCGTCATCATGCGTATACGCGACCCCAAGACGACCGCGCTCATCTTCGCGTCGGGCAAGATGGTTGTGACTGGTGCCAAGTCAGAAGATGACTCTCGGCTCGCGTCAAGAAAGTATGCACGTATCGTGCAGAAACTTGGCTTCGATGCGAAATTTTCAGAATTCAAGATCCAGAACATCGTCGGTAGTTGTGATGTGAAGTTTCCCATTCGCTTGGAAGGTCTTGCATACAGCCACGGACAGTTCAGCAGCTATGAACCTGAGGTACGTACGCGTTAATATCCATGTTCTCTTTGTGACTGAACGTTTGCATAGTTATTCCCTGGTCTTATCTACCGCATGATTAAGCCTAAAGTTGTGCTCCTAATATTCGTTTCGGGCAAAATTGTGTTGACTGGCGCCAAGGTAAATATGTTCTTTTCTGTTGTGCTTCCGCGCCTGTTCGCTATAGTTCAGTGCGTGCGTCAGCCATGGTCGTGACCAAGTGCATGGCCATATGTCGTATGCTTTCAGTGGATAAATCCGCTGACACTGCTCGTTTGACTAATAGGTCCGAGAAGAGATATACACCGCCTTCAACACCATCTATACCGTGTTGTGCGAATTTCGGAAACCCTAAAGTGGTGTTTCATAGTCGACCACTCCACCTCCACGATCGATCTTGAACCTCATGTCCTTTTGTCGTACATTCTACCCCGCCGTTGTAGATCTCGAGGTGTGAGAAAGAGGCACCACTTTTTTGGCATTCTGCAATTTAAAAGCTTTCCACCCCCTCCCGGATATTTGCTTTTACGTGTGCTGATTGTTTTTTTATTCTTCGTTTCTTCTCGTGCAATTACCACTATTCCCCACCCATCCATGCAATGACAGACATAACATACACATACACATACAATACGTATACATAGCAATAGCATCACTTTTCCAGTGGACAATTCTGTGTCGTCGTTTAGTGTGAATACAGAGTCTTTTGACCATAACATTGGTGAACTCGGCGAGTTTGCTCACTATTCCCTGTAACTGCCGAAGCATTCAATCGGAACTGTGAAAACAGCGAAATGAAAGTTCACAGCTAAATTTTCGCCGTCCACATGTATGCAGGCAGGGACATCAAGGCTCAGAGTCAGCTGCGTGCCACCCATCGATATGGCAGCAATGAGAACCGTTGATCCCGATTGCGGGGAAGTATTTGACGGGCTAGGATTACTTAGCGTGTTTCTTTGCCTCATGTCCTAGAAGATCGGAACTCCATTCTTCTCGGTTTACATGAATACATTTCATCGCCGCAACACATAGTTGGGTTATTCGATACCAGAATAACGTGGTATCACGCAGTGCCATCCTGCTTCGATTTTTTTCGTTTCTTCTTCTTCGATCCTTCTTGCTCGTCCCGTGCTCGTTTATTGGCCATTGAGGTGGGATTGTTCGTCTGAACCGAGGGTGTCATTTCGAGTGGTTGAACGGGAGCTTGATATCCTTCCGGAATGACGAGTCTGGGCTCTGATAGCACTGCTCGATGCGTTTTCCGAGTTTCTGTATGTTTTCGGTTAGTACGGAAGCATGCAAGGCAAAAAGAGGTGGGAGACCCACGGGCACGCAAGACCAGGGATTTGGGCGATTTGGTCATACTACTGTGAGCTACGTCTTGCGGCACGCCTAGTAGTGTTATCCTGTCGAGGGCATGGACGAATCAGGATCCAGCGCCTAGGATGATATGAGTGAATCACATACAGATTGCCTACATCCCCTGGTGCTCGCAAGTCGGCCCTGGAAATCGCACCGCTACTGACGATAATGCCTTTGCCTTTGCACACGCGCGCCAGCTCCCTTGCTGCGCCCCACCAGTTGCGTTTAGCTGATGCTCCATTCTCTGCTGCGCTCGCGTCGACAAGTGTGGAATCGTTTTCGCCTCCGAGAGCGCCAACGTAGGTTATCTCGAAGACCGCGCCATTCTTGATAGCTGTTCGGATGAGAGTGTGTTTGAGGTGGAAGGGTAGGCGGGGCAGGGTGAGCGGAAGGGAGATGATGTGAGCTGTGAGGGGCGAGGGGAGGCTGTGGGTGAGGCAAGCGAGAGCTAGGGTAGCTTGGTTTGTTGGAATGAGACTGAGGAGGTCGTATGTGTTGAACAGGGTCGTTTGGGCGTTGATCTAGTTAAGGTGAGGCGCACTGACTTGAGTGGGTAAATAACTGGGACTCACTAGGCCAAATCCTTTCTCACTGTCCCCGTCGAGTATTATAGAAAGCCTCTTCAGATATACGATGCCTTTCCTTGATGTTAGCTGCCTAAGAAGGGGATCTAATATGTTGACATGCATCTTGGGGTCGACTTTTTTTGCGACGGTTTGGGTGAAGGCGATCACGTTGTATCCCACTTTCTGCAGCGGTCAGACATATTGCTTGTTGAAAAAGAGGTTCAAGCATACAATGAATGAGCATATCGATTCTCGATTCAATAACGGACATCTGGGCGGCAGTATAGCGAATTTCAGTAGAAGGAGCCTGCTTTCCTTTTCCCTTTTTGTTGCCATTTTCTCCGAAAGATATCGGAATATTGAGGTCGTACATGGTGTGACAAGCAGAAACGATGAAGGCTTACGGTGCACAGGCGAGCATATCGTGATCCGAGATAGGGCGGACCGACGCGTCATATATGAGGTCATTCCAAGTTTGGACGAATCTATTGCACTTGCTCTACTCCCCCATTGCTCTCACCCACCTCATGCCCAACTATCTGCTCCAATGCTGAAATTGCCTGGACGAGGCATCGTATTATCTTCAATGCTGAGGACTCATATCATCGTGGAACCGGCCGATAACATAGCATGCGAACCAAACCCTTTGTAGAGCTATTGCCGCATAAAAGGAGAGTAACTATCTGCGTCCATCCTGTCGACTCACCAGCATTGTCTGGCCATGGCTGGTGATCCTCTAGCCTATACTCGAGTCTCGGTTATCCGAAGCGCACCAAAATAGAATGAAACCTATGCTACGAAAAGCATATCGAGGCAACGATAAGATGAAAGATCAAACAGCGAAGGTCGTCTCGTATGTATCAAGTGCCTGTGCTTCATCAGCAGCGTCTCTAAGATTAAGCATCAGGTCTTCGCTCGTCTTCCACTTGGTCCCCGGGCCAGCGCTACAGGAAGCCAACAACAGATGTTATCGAGGAAAATCGGGCCTCTGGGGATAGAGAACAGTAAGTATATGCGGTTGGATCTGACGAAAAAGTACTAACTGCAGACTTTAGTCACAGAAATAACTAGGTGCTTCAAGGGTGCTGGTGAAGCTTGAAGTGTGAAGGCTGTTCAACCTGCGCGAGAAACACATTTGAACGCTGCCGCCCATGAGATCTAACAATCTAACATCGTTGGATTGCTGTTGGACCAGAACCACACACCGACACAGATATACAGAAGCCTCATCCTGCAGAGAGGTAATGGGGCGGCCAAGAATCAGCTGACAACACGCAGGCGCCGAAGAAAGATCTAAAGAAGAAGCCATCAGGATCATATGCACCAAATTCTGTGACAGAGGAAGCTGATGTCGATTATCAGTCGATACAAGCGAAGTCGGAAGACCCTTAGACGTCGAGTTGAACCTCGCAAGTCGCTATGAGAGCCAGAAAGCTCTTGAAGGTTAGTATCGACAATAATAAGGAAAATTTACCCGCATTGAAGGTCGAACAGAGATGTTTCGACGGGGTCCTTCTCATTATATGCTGTTCACGCCCTGGCCGTACGCGCACAGGAGTCCGCGCCAATACCCAAACGTCCGAAGGGTCTTCTATGGCGACCATGTTTCTGTTCCTAAGACCGCTTCATCCCAGCCGCAGCGGCGATTGCCAAATCTTCTTTGACGTTTTGGCGTACAATTCTCATACGTCTTCCATACGTATTTCGAAAACACGTCTACTTGAGGAGCTAGTAGAAACTTAATCACTCAAGTTCCCCGTTGGACAAGCGGCAGGAAAAGAGCATGCAAAAGAGGTTACGTGGTCTGATAACGCGACAGCAGGATTCAGGTACTTAATTATGATCTTTGATTCCGCCACTACCCCGTAACTCCACGTGCCGAGGCCAGAGCCAAACAACTACTTTCACCCCGTTACGATTTTCTGATCATTCAACCACCCGGCCTTTCAGTGACTTAAAAGTGCTCGTCGATGGATTAGCGTCAAAGCCGGAAAGGAGAATATCCATGTCGGCAAGCAAACGCATTTCCACCCCGAGCCGTATCCCCCGGAATTCCCTCAATACTCCTCGGCCACCGCCGTCAGATTCCCCAGGACATACGTCCACTTTCAAGTCGCTGTCATTTCGGTCTTTACTGCCATTTGGACCGAATAAGTCCACTACACATATTAGTCCTACTGTTACACCCAAGTCGAGCACAGGTTCTAATGGTACTGGCTGGCACGGAGGATTCGGGAGAGGAAAGGGTAATGTCAGTGGGGTCAAAGAAGGAGGACAGGAGAGGAAGATGAGCTTTGGGAGGGTCATGGTCATTGACATTGGTCATACCAACAAAGAGAAGGAGTCAGTCGGTGAATTGACTTCTTTTACTTCTTACTCCTTGTACTGACTTAATATCAGCAGTCGAACCGTCTGCTCCGACATCACCCCTTCCCGACTTGTCTACGATAATAGAGGCAGACACGTCTGGCATCAGTATAAGTAAACATCTGCCACCTGTTTCTGTCCCAGATACCCCCCAAGATGAATCCAAGCTCCCCGACTTGGAGTTTTCGATACCCGACGACGAGCTCGACTTGTCCACCTCGCACATAGGTGCGCAGGTACGCGAGGCCATGGCCTCTGGAGCTGGCTGGGGAAAGACCAAAATAACCAGCTTGGATGACGTGAAAGTCGAAGACAGCTTCGATCTTGATAAAGAGGTTGCTAAGTTAATAGAGGGGGACGAGAAGCAGGGTCAGGATGAAGAGAGCTTCAACTTGGACCAAGAAGTCGCTAAACTCCTGGATGCGAAGCGACCTTCAGATTCCGTTAATGGTCTGGACACGAGCAAAACGGTCATTTCTCCGTCACCTGATCGTACCGCAGAATCGTTGTTGCCACTTGCGCGACGTCCCCAGTCATCACTACCACGACTTAGACCCATGACATCGCCTGTCATGGTACAGAGCATTTTTAACAGGGAAAGCAGGGAGATTTCAACAGCCAGAGAGAACTCTCCCGCACGAACATCGATATCCACCAGTTCATCAAGGCACATACCTTCCTTTGAACACCATGAATTTCCTAGTCATCCCTCGCATATACACCATTCAATGAAGCTTCCACCCTCACCATTGTCGTCAACCAGCACACCGCCCCCCTTGAAGCCCAAGGCGACGGCGCGTCCGCCAAGTGCACACACGCGTTTAAGGCCGAGCGTTGACATCCCTCGGACGTCCATCGACACGCCGTCTGTGAGATCGCGAAAGCGGAGCGTGAGCACCACCGGTACGGAGCCTAGACGAGAAAGGCCAGGGAGTAGTATGTCCTCCTCCCCTTCTCATCCATGGCTAGGTCCGCGTACGGAGAAAGCCTTCAAAGCTGCTGGGTTACTCGATTTTGACAAAGACCCGGGATTGAAACGCTACACCTCCTTGAGGGGGGACAGCCATCCGGGCAGCAGTAGGCGGGGAAGTGAGACTACTACATACAGTCGCGCGAGCGATACCTTGGACAGTCCGTATCATGCACATGGGCGCGATACCCCTCGGAGCGTTAGTACCGCACCGACATCCATAAGCGACGTCGAGTCCGAGCGGATGCGAGAGAAACACGAGATGGAGACAAGCGCGTTGCTTGGTGCACTGAGCGACTCGCAGCGGCTAGTGAAGGTGTTAAGGGAGGAAAACGCTGAACTGAGGGAGCGGCTCGCGGACCGAGACGCCGAACGGAATGAGCTGATTGCCGAACGGCGGGAGTTTGAGGAGCGGCTGAGTGAGCGATTAGACCTAGCAGACCGTGTGGGCGAGTTGGAGGAGGAGAACGCTGCTTTGCGGAGTTTCGTAGATGGCCTTAGAAGAGAGGTGGCGGCGTGGGAGAGGAAGGCGGCATTTACCAAGGTCAGCTTCGATGCTGACGGCGATGTCAGTTCGATATCACGAGCGGGGAACAGTAGACTCGATCCGGATGACTGTGTACATTTCGATCCGGATATCGGCGTGCGCCTAGACCCCGACGTTGAGGAGGAAGAGGACCTGACTGCGAGGATCAGAAAGCGGGTTAGCACCGCGTCGAGTCTATTCCCCATTTTGCCGTCGAACATGTCGATGCTGATGGCCGAGGATGGAGCAGATGTTGGGTCATCATCCTTGTTGAACCACCAATCTTATCAGCACTCACGGAAGGATTCGCAGGGTGACCAGTCGATGATCACCTTGTCTTCAGGTCCTGGAAGTCCACGCAGTCTGTTCCTGAAGCCGGAGGATGAGGACCATTTGGTTGACATGGACAATATCAGCTTTGGGCCAGATGCAGCGGCTTTGCCCAGACATTAAGATTATCTATTTATTCGCCTTTCTTTGTAGGATATTTGGGGCACATTAATTTACTGGATACCCTATTTCATCGTTACTTGTTGCACTTGCTTCATTCACTGTATATTAGCATAACTAACATCGCTGCGCAATAAATGTATTCTTGTAACACTGACGACGCTTCTTCATTCATTTTCAATGTTAAGGGCATCGTAAAGCAGCTGCTCATCGCACTAAATCTGAGGGCGAGGGCTGTACTCTTTGAGTGGTAAATCAAGCGACATTCTTGGTACACCGCTCTCATCAAGATGCTATTTGAACTGTATACACGTACATAAGAAACTTTACAGGATTTACACACCTCAACATTCCATAAACCAGATCCTCTCTTCCAACGCTTTTATTTTCTCAGACATATAGTGTTTGATCGTACAAACATCATTTCCATCGGTTTAGAATCGGTCTACATTGACCCAACTGTCCCGCCTGTGCTTTCGCGCATGCTGAGCATCATTACAGGGAAAATTTCATCGCACTCACTTCCCCGTCTTTCCGATAGTCAACTTGACTGTCTTGACCTCAAATCTGTGGAAATCCAGCTTGATCGACCCTCCACCCCTCGAGCCAGTCTCCGAAACCGTGAGCTCCTTCGCGTTAAAGTCATCTTCCAGTAGATTGGTAAGGAGGGCTTTCTTGACGTGGATGCCGCTACCAACGCGCAGCGTCGCCCGGGCATGCCCGCCAAAGGCCTCGTACAGACGTAGAACCACCGTCGTAACGTCCTTGGTGTTGTCTTCTCCACGTTTGACAGTCTCAAGGAACACATTGGGTGCTTCATGGACGGCAAAAGGAGTGCTCGATACCAACTCGTTCGCGATGTCGCCATGGCGGACTACGTAGATCATAAGACAGATGAGGCGGCAGGCTGGTAATAGACTCACGATACAACGGTGAATTGAACAAATACGCGGCCATGGGTACGTCAGACTCCAAGAAGGATCCGACGTGCGGCATGACAGCCCAGGAGAATTTGTGTTCACCTTTCAGTCACTAGGTATCAGCATCAACAGGAAAGAAACCATTGAGCGACAAACCTTGATCCTGTTCTGCATCAGGGGCCGTCGCACTGCGCAGGAGCGAAATACGGAGAACATTGCCCAAGCAAGAGAAACCGTATTTGGATTCAGAAAGGATACCAACTCCGTATCCGTATTCACTCAAGTCAGCGTACTTGTGGCCACATACTTCAAACTAGTGCGAGCTAAGAACGCGAACAAGCGCTGATACGCAGGTACCAACTCACCTTGGCGATGTCCCAGGTCGTGTTCTTGTGGGTGGGCCGCTGTACGTGGCCGAACTGCATCTCATAAGTGGCGAAGTCACTGTGAAGATTGAGAGGCAGCTCGACTATAAATTTGTCAATCGCTGCGCTCTGCCATTCTGGGCATGCACCCACATTTCAAGAACTCGTGTCTTTGGCGCCAGTCAACCACGGCGTCGAAGACGAACATCGAGCGGGAGTTGAGTTTAGTCGTAGCTGTATGTTAAGGTAAATAAAAGTAATACTACTCACGGAACGAGGAACTATACCAGGAACTGCATCAAGAGAGATCTACAACAAGAGACTTGAGTGAAAGGCTGACGAGCGTCAGATCAGGCGTACTCACCGTCACAGATATTCTGCTCTGACCATACTTTAATTCTGCTCTGACAGACGCACGCAGAGGACCATGGGCAACCACAGACATGTGAGAGAACTGCAATGGGTGCGGCATTTCCAAGTGATGGATTTCAACATCTGTTTTCGAGATGAACATTAGGATCTTAGCAACACAAGAACGTCTCTTACCCCAAGCATCCCAATAATTAGGACGATCCTCGAAAATGATCAAACCGCCAGTAGTTCCTTCCATGAGAAGCTCACGGCTGCAATCAGAGTTAGCAAACAATATAACAACATAAACAGTAATCGTACCCTTGCTGGACGTCGAGAAGGCTGGTGATCCTCCCACTGGAAATAGTTAATTGTACGCTGGCATTGCGCAATACAAAGTGATCGGATCCGTTTGTATAAACTGCGCATCTGGGTAGGATCAAATTATATACCTCAGGGACATGAACTTACCAGCCACAGGAAGAGGCACCTCGGTCAGGGAAGGGCCACCCAAGTCATTGATGAGTCCAACGTTAGTCGAGGCAGGCCCGCACCCCATCATAACATACCCATCTTTGCCATCCTTAGAAGTTTGAACCAGCTTATCTCTCATGCTACCCGACACCGGGATCTTAACGATCTCCTGTCGAGGGAAGAACGTGGTGTTGACTGCGAAGATTTTGGAAAGGTTCGCAGTCTTGGAGCTAAACTCCGGAGATGTGACCGAGACGGAATTAGGGAAGAGGACTTTGAATGCATCTTCCAACAAGACCTTACCACTCTTGAAAACTTCGGCGTAGTATTCTTCCGCTTCGTCATAGGCCATTCCACTGTTACAAGATTTTAATTCATAACAAAGGAAGGAAATGATGTGACCCACATTGCGGATCCTGGGAGAACTTTAGGAGTTGAGGTAAATTCGACGACCATCAGTAGTGTATAGGATTAAACCTACTATCGTGGACTGGCAGAGAACCAGATTAGGGTTTCTTCTGGATAATGACGAAAGTATAAACATACACTGGTTGAGCAAGACCTTCTCCCAATTGTCGTTGATTTGCGTTCTGGGATACTTATAATCTGGGGACTTGAACAAGGATGCCAGCGTAGCCAATTGCTAAGTACAAAACATGTGAGCTCTTTCCGCTGGTAGTGAGCATCATCGCATACCTCGATGTCGCGCATGAGGATCTCAGAATGACGGTTTCCCTTCTTAATTGATCCTTAATCAACTATCAGACATAAAGCATGGGGCAATGTTCCAAGGTTCTCACCATGTGAAGTATATGTGCCGCGATGGAACTTACACAAAAGTCAGTAAGTACTATGGTAACGGAAGACGACTGTCACCTCTAGATAAAGTTCACCGTGCCTTCGAATTCATCAACGCAATACTCCGCTTAGTGAAGGGAGTTAAACTCACCAATTCGGCAACTTGGACCCTTGGCTCGTTGTTGACAACAGCATGTCAAAGAACTCGTCAACAGAGTGGCCCATGCTGACCGATTGCAGCTCTCTGTGGTTGTTAGTAACTGCCCGGATGCGACGAAGCTGACTCCAAACATGAGAGACACCGGAGAAATATTATGAGACAGAGGTTACATTTTCCAACATCTTCGGTAAAGGACCTCCGCCTCCATCTCCGTTTCCAAACACGAGAAGAGCAGCAGTCGATGATTCCAAATTCTAAGGAAAGAGCATGTGAATACAGCGTTATGCTAAATTGCGTTTACCGCTGACCTTGTGGTTCTCAATGCCTTTTTTGACATCTCCAACAGTTGCCTGCGCGGTGTAGGTATCAACTGTACATGATTAGCTTGTACACACAGTAAATATGTCTGTCAACGAACCTGGTGTCATATGGCACAAAACCTGGGTGCCATCGATTCCCACCCAATTAAACGTACTGTGAGGAAAGTTGTTGCTTTATCGGCCGATTAGAAAGGAATACGCCTTAAACGGATATGGAAACCAACATGTTGTTCCTATCATGACTATGTATCAGTATATATAGACTTGAGCTTTGACGATAGCGTACCAGCTCAGCTTCTGTGTGAAGAAGTACTTCATCCCAGCACCTCGGATGAGTTGAGGAAGAGATCCAGTGAGACCAAAGGAATCGGGCAGCCAGGCTGTATCGCAGCGTTTGCCGAATTTTGACTCGAAATAACGCTGGCCGAAAAGAAATTGTCTGATCAAGGCTTCACCGGAAGGCATGTTCGAATCATTCTCGACCCAGGAGCCGCCGATAGGCTGGAACCTGCCATCCAGAACCTTCTCCTTGACTTTCTCGTACAAGGGCGGGTACAACTGGATATGATGTTAGAAGATATCGATGCAACAGAGAGATATCTCGCCTGTTCAAGCCATTTGAATTGCTGCGCCTGCGAACAGGAGAAGCGGTGCTCAGGGTAACGTTCCATGAGATCGACTTGGGTTGACCAAGACCGGGCAACTTTCTGTTGAGTAACATGATAGGGCCAGAGCCTTTTGAATAATACGAAATCAGTAAGGGTCCGAAGAAAAGGACTCGGACCAACCAAGCAGTATCTATATGACAGCTAGGAGACTATCAGTATCGTGAACGAGCAGGATTGGTTTACGACATACTGGCCTAAATCAAAGTTAGAAGGTGTGTACGTATTAAATAGGAGAGAAATTCATACCAATACCCCAGACTCTTGAATTTTTTTCGCCTTCATCATAGATACCAGCACCTTTGGCTTGCCACCCTACCCCGAAAACTTCTTCAGCAAGTTTACGAGCTTTCCCGATGGAAGAAACGTCTTCTTTATGGAAGACGTTTATAATCTCATTGGCAGCGACAAGAGCTTGGTTTTGTAACCTGCGGAGAAACTTGAGGATAAAGTTGAAACTAAAGGATGAAAAACATACGGCGTATTTCCCCAGAGATTGTCGATGATCTCACGCAGAGTCTGGAAGTCCCAAAGTAGATGCCAAGCTTCATGGTTGGGAACAACAAGATCTGCCGACGCGAGACCAAAGTACCTGTTCATCTATGGAACGCATTAAATGGTATCTCTGCACTATCAGCCAACTCACATCAGGAGGTTCTATAGTATCGCCGTTCCATGGAACGCCAAACATTCCATTGCAGGTAGACTCGATTACGATCTCATATTTACCCTTCTTGCGCGCGTCTGGGGGAATAATATGCTCAACTCTACGATCTCCCCCATATCCCCCAGTGATGCCTACGAGTCATGAGATTGTATCACCTTGGTAACAGAAAGATTCAGACCTTGCAGCGGCAACCCGTCTGTTGTGTATACCATGGCCTCGCATCCGGGATCAAATTCAACTGTTGGTGGACTTTAATTGGTGACTATAAGAGCCCAAGTCTGCAACGCACATTGCACAGTTTCGTATTGCTGCCAATATCCTGGTATAGTGAGCGAAACTTTCCACCAGTGGTTGGTCTACAACGTGTCAGCTTGCCTCTCCACAGCCTGAACTAACTCTCACCCCTCCGGAACAGAAAAATAAGATATAGTTCTAATCGTGTAACGCAACGGGACTTACATGAGGGCCCAAACGAATCTCCTTTACGAGCCGGTTTGAAGTCCTGCTTCATGGCTTCTTTGAATGTAGGCTTCGTGAGTCCGGGAGCACTCCACCTGACCAAAGATGCATTAACAAGCCTTACTTATTTGTCATCGATACATACACTTGAAGCTTTACATGCGAATCATTATCCACTCGATGAGTATAAAGCACCGAAGACAAGTTCATGTCAGAATAATGGCCGCCTTGGAAAGTTCCTAGCCTTCCCTGTGTGAGGCTCTTGACCCATTTAGCCCCAGCAGAGTAATTAAGCTGTGGATATCCCTCAGAGGGTTTCGTAGTATGATGGCAGCTCATCGTTGTTGGTTAAGAACGAGTGACGTTGCGACTATTCGATTCGGCTGCCGGGCCGAGAGATTGAAAGTCGCATAAATATAATAAAATCAAAGAGGATCATCAGCAGCATGGCGCAGTGGTAGCGTGCGGGGCCCATAACCCCGAGGTCACTTGATCGAAACAAGTTGCTGCTATACCACTCTATTCGAGCCGTTTTTTTCCCTTTTCTAAGGGAAATCTATTTGGCTTCACTCTCCAGAGTTCCCCAGGACCAGGACCCAGACCCGGGCAAATATTGGACGTGTGTATTGCGAATCCTCCAGGGTATGTACATGTAGTACTTAAAAATTCCGTATAACCAACTTCCATATTTTACCGGACATTCAACGGATCACATGAGGTCAACTTTGCCATCGATATCAGTGTCTGTTGCACCTGTACCGTTGTCACTGGACCCTGCACGACGGAGCGCCTAGAAGTGTTGACTAAGCGAAGGAGAGACCTCAGCTCTCAAGTCTCTCTCGTTGGTAGTCAGCGATGAGCGGACTGGTTTTGGATCATCTTCGCATAAAAGCCAGCTTCGTACTGTAAGACGCCTTCACAATGCCCAACGAAATGTGGTCCTTCATCGACATCCTTGCTTCCGCTTTCCTCGTCGCTCATCTCGCCTTTGCGCAGACTGTCACAACGGACCTTTACTCATCCCTGATCCCTTCCAAGGTTTTGGCCACCGCAAACAAGTTGAATAACCAGTTCCCTCAGTATACCGACTCGACCGCAGGAGTTTGGCAGTTGTTCAGTGCGGACACCTGGACCTCTGGATTCTTCCCCGCCACGCTGTATGCGCTGGAAACACGCCAGAGCCTGTGCGAGGCGACCTCTGCGAATGGGCTAAACGCGGCGGATTGGGCCGAACTGGGACGGCAGACAAGCGCTGGGTTGGCCCCCCTGACGACGAGCAATAGTGTTGGACACGATGTGGGGTTTTTGAGTTTCCCGTATGTGGAGGAACTAAGCATGTTGGTGTCCCTTATGTATCTCTACATACAGCTGAATTTTCCTAGCCATCCAGACAACACCACAGCGGCTGACATTGTGAATGGCTTTGCGACATATCTGGCTGGACGATTCAATCCTACTGTGGGGTGCACGAGAAGTTGGGATTCGTCTGATCCTACGGATTTCGTGGTGCGTGCCCTGATGGACTCAACGTGTTGGTATTCTGATAAAGTCGCTGCAGGTGATTATTGATAATATGATGAACCTCAATGTCCTCATGGTCTCTGCCCAATTAACCGGGAACTCGACGTTGAGAGACATCGCTACTTCGCACGCCAACACGACCATGAAAAACCATATACGAGACGATGGTATGGCTACTCCCTAATTTCATAATAAATCATATCCAACTTCATTAAATTCAGGTTCGACGTGGCACGTAGTAGAATATAACGCCACAACGGGTGCCGTTATAGACAAAATAACAAGCCAAGGATATGCTGACAATAGGTGGGAGTCTTTCTGTTTGCTCTTTCAACCTCGCTCCAGCTTGTTGCAGCACATGGAGTCGCGGACAAGCCTGGGCGGTATATGGATATGCAAATAGTAGGCGCCTGCTCTCTATCTAGTGATGACTTGTCCAAACTGATGCTTTCAGTGTACAATTGGACTGGGGACAGCAATTATCTGGTGACAGCCCGCCATGCAGCTACATATTTCCTCGACACTCTTCCTTCTAATGGAATCGTACCATGGTATCGTTCGCTCTCCGCTGTATTGAGAACCTGTCCCTGATAGATCATTACAGGGATTTTAACGCTCCAGTGGAGAATCGTCCAGCGGATTCTTCTGCAGCCACAATCGTGGCAACTGGTCTTCTGTTACTCTCCAAGGTTGAGACCGATCCCACGAACAGTACAAATTGGTCTACTGCTGCTATCAGTGTATGTTATTCCGGTACTCTATTGTAGTTCGCAAGATTGACTTCATATCGGTGCATAGATTTTGAACAATATCACGTCGCTAGCTTGGGATCCTTCCTGGGAAAGTTTACTGGCGAATGGGACGGTGAATAAGCCTGCGAACAACTACCTGACTGGGACCGTTTATGGTGAGTAGAATTAAGTGTTTAATCGCCTTTGCATTCTTATGTCATTCTCAGGAGATTACTATTACATCGTTGCCGGCAATGAGCTCATTTCGATGGGCCTCGCGAACTGCACGACACTCGCAACCACCAACACCAACACTACCAATACTAACACCACTTCCGTCTCCAACAGTGCCCGACGCAACAGCCATCCTTACTTCCCTTTCTCCTTATTTTGATACCCTTACTGCTACTTAAATCTACTGACTTATGCTACGTCTGGCTGGTACCGCCTTGTTCTGCAGTGAAATTATTGAAAAATTCGACCACAGGTTGATTCTCTCTGCCTGATTGCTGTGTGAAGGCACTGCTCTTCGCGAACTTCCAACCTGTGCACCGATATGTGTGTTCTCCAAGGTTCTGACATGGTATTACCTGATTGCTACATGGGTCCTTCGCGCTCATGTTCTTCCAATTTTGCCTGCGCTGTGCCGATACCTGCTCCCATTCTGAGAACCTCAATTTCCATCCACTGCGGTGATTTCTCCTGCTGGTGACACCTTCGGTGCCGGGTCAGCGAAAGTGTACAGTTCCAGGATGGATACTACCTACACTGATTTGAACGTGTCGTCGGTGTCGTTGCTGTGCACTGGAGATACCGTCTTTCACAGTGACAACCCACTTTCGAGATACGAATCCAATCACTGTTGATACACTTCTTTGGACCAGTTTTTGATACACTAACCACAATTTTCTGGATTTAGGTGGCCGCCCGCTCATCCTCGCTTTACGTAAGATGTCGAACGTCGGCATATATTGAGACGGCTATTTGACTCCGTCTCCTTTACGACGACGACGACGGCTACTAGACTACTACTTCGTATCTCTGTCGTTTGCAAGTTTAACTCAACCTGAGCGAGATAAAGAGTCAACCACGTCAAATTCCAACTTGCACTCAATGTAGTTCTCTTGTCGATACGAATCGACGGCTCGCTCTGATGTTGTAGCAACATGTCAAAGCCTGTCCGGCCCGATATAAACACGGCAGGGCTTGGGCGCCAACTTAGCACCAACGTCCATATCATAATTCTACCGGGGATTCATTCACATGAACTCAACTTTGCTGTCGATATTACCTGTTGCACCTGTACTCTTGTCATTGGATCTATTTCTTTGCCATTTCCTGTACACCTGGATGTCGTGAGCAGACGGAGCACTGACTAAGCGAATGAGAGACCGTCTCAACTCTCAGAGTCTTTGCAGTCAGCGATGGGCGGACTGGAATCGTACCATGGTATCGTTCGCTCTCCGCTGTGCTGAGAACTTGTCCCTGATCATTGCAGGAATTTCAACGCTCCAATGGAGAATCGTCCAGCGAATTCTTCTGCAGCCACAATCGTGGCAACTGGTCTTCTGTTACTCTCCAAGGTTGAGACCAATCCCGCGCACAAGAAAATATGGTCTACTGCTGCTATCGATGTATATCACTTTCATTTACTGTCCTTCATATGACTGAGTTCATTTCGGTCCGTAGATTTTGAACAGTATCATGTCGCCGCATGGGATCCTTCCTGAGAGAGTTTACTAGCAAACGGGATGGTGAATAAACCTGCGAATGACTACCTGACTGGGACAGTTTATGGTGGGTAGAAATTAAGTATTTTATCATTTTATCGTCTTTGTATTCTTACGTTATTCTCAGGGAATTACTATTACATCGTTGCCGGCAATGAGCTTATTTCGATGAGCCTCGCGAGCTGCACAACTTGATCAAACAGTCAACAGAATCTATCCCAGCTGTATGTAAAGTACAATGATGACAACTTTCGGTGGCATACAAACTATACAAGTCGAAGAAACAGTCTGATAAACTTCGTGAACCTCTTTTCGACATGCTAACTGCGATTTCTGGATTCTTCATCGGGATCTCACTTCGCATCACCCGCTGCATATCCTCACTCTAGCTAAAATTTCTGGCGTCGGCATGTATTAAGGCGGCTGTTTGTCTGCTTGCAATTTTTCGTCTCTCACTCGTTGCGTGCTTTACTCGACGTGAGCTTATCTTTCCCCCGTCAGCGGATTGATCAGAGTCATCCACGTCAAGTTTCAACTTGCGCTCTCTCTCTCCATTGGGTGCAGTCTCTCATCATTCGACTTGCTCCGATGTTTCAGCTCCGTGCAAAGGCTGTGAAACAGGCTCAATGAAGGCACGCTCCCCGTCAATGTTATCTTTACCCTCGTATCACAATTCAATCCCATATCTTAGTCTACGCCACCTAGTGGTGGCACCCAATACCGTTTCATTCAGCTAAAGATAAGCTACTCAAGCTCCTTCCGCCGGCATATAACTGGTTCTCCTTTCCCCATACAAATTACGTTCTCTCGATGCAATATAATCATATGCCGGGACATCACCTCATGACTCCACAGAAATATCTTGGATGTCAGGAGAACAAGCAGGCAGAAAACGTATAAAAGCTTGCTCAAATCTCAGGTTTCTGTTCAGCACCAGCTCAGATAAGAGCTGCAGCTGAATACCTATCGAACTCTCTCCATGAACACAGTCAGTCATCATGTCCTTCTGCCGCGTTCTTTTACACTCATCTTCTCTCAGATGACTGCTCTTCCCGTCAATGCCGCCTGTGGCTCTTCCAGTTGCGGCTGCACCACTACGTACATTACCATCTTATGGCTCGTTAACCACTAAAGATTTCTCTCAGTTGCAGTTGCAAGCCTAACGAATGCAAATGTTAAATCTTTATAGACCACTTCTTCGAATTCCATTTCATTCAACGGACCACAGTGGCGAGTCTGAGTCTGAGATATGTTACGAGATCCTTCCTCTCCATTTAATCCCCTTATGATGGATGATATATGTACATATGATGACTGATCCCTAGTAATCTAAATGATTTAGCGAAATCTACACAACTCAATATAGTCCTCCCTGTCCTTCTTGGTGTGCTCATATCATGTGCATCGTAGCATTTGTTCAAATTAATGCTATCATAGTGATCACACGTGGAGCGGAGGTCATTGATGTAGCTTCCATTTGGCCTACATGTAGAAACATGTTTAATGGGGAAGATGAGAGACTGATTTCTGTGAAACAAGTGGAACACTTACAAAACAAAATCCAGCCCGTCTCAATGCAGTAATGGCACTTTGCTTGCGCCTGTCCATCACATCCCTTCGAAATCATACCCAATCCCCCGATGCTCTTCCGGTACCTTGATATTTCTTAGCAACGGATCCAGAGAGGCGAGCTCATCCTTGATTCCATTCCTTGCGAGGTTATCCAGCTCCTTCAATAGTGTTGACGTCATTTTCTGATGACCGCTTAGCGCGTTTTATGCAAGAAAGGGACAATAAATATGCACCTTGAACTTGCCGTCGACCTTGTGAATCATATCTCCCAGAGTGGGAGTCCAGCCACCAGGGGGTGGACTGCCCACACCACTCATCGTTGTTCCGATGGAACCGCCATTGGCGATTGCCCAGAGACTCCCGTTTGGCTCCTCTCCAAGTTGCGGCTGTGGTTGATTGATGCTCGGGGTGGATTGACCGTTTGTCAAGACGGAACCGTATGGGTTTGCGCTGTGTGTCGGATTATCCGATGCGAAAAGATACGACACGCCTGGATGCGGTGAAAGGAGGCCTAAGGGCCCCGTCATTTGCTGCGAAGGGTGAGAAAAGGGTAAGGGGCCGAGAATTTTGGATATCTTGTTATACACCTCCGAGATCACGTCGAGCAATGAGAGCAGCGTCTGATGATAGTCCAGAGGATACGGTATGTGGGGCGTCATTAGATACGACGCGTCGTCAACAACAGATCCTGAATATTCCGCAAAATTGCCCTGTCGCTTCCCTGGTTGCCGTCGAAAGAGACGCTTGGGCTGCCGTATTTTGGACTTGTCACTGTCTTCCTTTGACTGGTCGTATTCGTTTAAAGTGTTAATGAGTCCTCGAAGCAGGTCCTGTGGCTGATTTATATCGAGAAGATTTGAAAGAGACATTCCCAGGATAGCGAACCGATGCGTCCTAATATAGTCAGCAAAAGACAATAGAGCAAGCGCAATACACACACCTCTTCTTCATGGCCTCGTTATTAAATTCCCGTTCCAAGTCCGCTCTAGATATGTAGATAGTGTGAAACCAGTGACTCCTCCTGGGGCAGTCAGTAATGGACCAGCTGGGAGGGCGATCCACGTACCCTTCATGCATATTCCGCACGTATGTCAATGTAATTATTCTCTTTTGCATGAGATCCCGGAGCTGGTCCACAGATGTTCCTTGGTTCAGCGCAGTAGCCGTGACGCCTATGGACTCTGAATGAAGGGATTGAGCGTCCCATTCCCTCGCCATAGGTGTCGTTGTCGTCGAGGTCGGGGCCGCTACTATCGAGCTAAAAGAAGCCACGGCGGTGTTCAACGGCGTAGGACCGGATGAATTGCCAGAGACCGGATTCTTGAAGGACGAGAGGAGATTCTGCGCAGAGGACTTGCGACGCATCGTGGGCCGCTGTGGCAAATCTGAAGAGAACGGCGCGAATTGAAGCTGTGACATTCTTGCATCAATCAGTTCCGTGCAGTCTACTTCTCAAATCAGAAGTGTAGAACAAGGAGTTAGACAATATTTACTATGTCTACTTTTGTAAAATTAAATTCATAATCTAAATAAGCATACAGAAAGATTATGTAATATGTGTACATAAATACTACATGTCAGAATTCAATTGATAACCTAAATAGGCACAGTATCTTGTATCTCGTGCCTAATTGGCTGGAGTGCATGGTGCGAGCACTGGTCTAGCGGGAAGCCGCTCACGAGAGCAGAATATTATTACAACCCTCACACTTCAACATGTTTGAGTGCTGGGTGAGTACAAAGAGTAGATACAAAGAGTAATGTACAAGGGACATGAAATTACAACTACAATGTTCTGTTTCTGATAGAAAGACAGGGCATTCACTATTAGTACAATGTCAGTAGCCCAAGGTCAGAGAACACACCTGGTGAGACAACAAGAGCATTAGTCTCACGTGTGTTTCAACCAGGCCAAATAGATATGCCAGGAAAGAATGGTGGAAAGCTTCTCATGATAAGATGAACTATATGCTGAGAGGTGGATATATGCAAGGAACAGATGTATGCCAGGGGGCAGAATGTTGATGCCTGCATAGTAGACATCAGAGTCAGCAGCTAAGAATGACACATACTTACTTACCAATTACCCTTGTGTAAATCTCTTTTAAATCTGACTAATTGGCTGGAGTGTATGGTATAAGTGTTAGTCTAGCAGGAACCTACTCACAAGAGCAGAATATTATTACAATCCTTATGCTTCAACATGTTTGAATTGAGAGATAAGATGAGAGAAAAAGACAGTCATAGTGATTAGAGTTGAGATTTGATTAGAGCATGTAAGAAAACAGAGTTCTTGCAAATGTAGAGTGCAAAGGCATCCAATGACCAATAACCATAGGTCTAAATGATGTAAGACAAGATACCATCCTCAGCTAAAGCCATAGCACTATTAGAACTCAATACAGCATTAGTTTATCATGTGTTCAGATTATATGCAACTTGGGCATAACAATAGATGGATTAGCCAGCAAAATTAGAATTGAGAAAAAGCTTTCAGAGATGTCTTATAAACTCTATTCAGGCAGGAATAGATCTATGAGAAGTGATCCATAAACTGAGTTGAAGGAGAAAGTGTTTGTTATGATTTGCAAGATATATGATGAAAACTAGGTAAAGGTTGATTGTCAGATCATCAGAAGAAGGAATGATTGCTTTTGAATGTTGTATCAGCTTTGTGTGTGAGAAGCAAGAAGATATATATATCAGAAAACCACTCAACTGAGGACTGGCAGACAGTTTTCCTTTATGATCACAATTTCTTTATGTCAGATATACTGAGCTTAGCAAGACACAAAAGGCTATTGAAACCAGTGACTAGCATTGTGACAAAGAGTTAGTCATCATAATTAATAGAGTTGGCAAAAGTGATGATTGCAAGTCATACATCATCCTAAGAGAGTGATAGCTTTCTTTTTGTAAATCTCACAAACAGTGACATCCTTTTAAGATCTCTAAGACCAAGTTGCTATTCTGGACAGTGCATGCATTAGAAAAAAAGATTTCCAATCAATTGCAGATCCTAGAAAGATATATGACCTGAAAGTTAGATATCTTAGCTAACATTTAAGAGACCTCAAAAGCTTGCTACAAGCTAATGTTTGGCAGTAGAACTTCACTAGACCTCTCCAACTATTCTTTTACTTGCCATTATCAAAACTTTATTCAACTACCAGTGTATTAGAGAAGAGAACTTTGAAAGTTTACAGCTAGAACATTCTCTTTCTCTAAAAGCTTGCAACTAGATCTTTTCTCTTTTATATCAAACAAAGCTTATAGCTAGAGCTTCTGTTTATCTATTCTTCACTCACTCTCAGCATCAAACACTCTAAAACTTCACTCACTACTAGAGCTTCCTTTTCACTTGTTATCAAAATTCTTCACCAAGAACTTAGCACATTCTTGCTCACATATAGAGCTTCCTTCTTATTATTATCAAAGTAAATCCATAAGAACTTCTATTGATACACTTTTGCTCACACATAGACCTTCTCTAGATCTTTGTTCATACATAGAGCCTCTTTAGAACTTCACTCATCATGTTACAATTTTTTAACTTTTTCTATCTTTTAACCTATTCTCACTTAATCAGAGTGCTTAACCAAGCACTTAATATTATGAGACTCACTTATACAACTATAATAAACAGGCCAAGCTCATTGTTCTGCAACAGTGCCAGAGCCTCTTGATGACAGACAATACCTTTTTGTAACAGTAATGACAACCAAGAACAATGAACACCATAATGTAGAAATGCCTATAAAGCACAATAAGTGGACTCAGACATGACTGTACAAACATACAGTATCTGTTTACCATATGTTTAATTCACATGCAGTTTGAGCTTAATATGAGCCTATGTGGCAGAAAAATCTGCCTGGACATTACTGGTGACTCAGAGAGCAGCAAATGGCTGACACCTACTAGTTAGACATGAGTGAAGGGCTCTAGTACCTCACATTACCAGAGTACACTAAGGATCTAGTGGACAGAGTATGAGCAGAAACTAGGGTAGCAAAAGTAGTACAGAATGCCAAGAGGCACTGGGAGCCCCCCTTTTCTTTCTCTTACTATGTGCCTGAACAACTGCCATCAACAGAAAGCAGTCTAAGTAGTTAGGGAAGCCAAAATCTCTTTCAACAAACCTTCTGATAAGTTCTAGCATTGCCCATCCATCTATTTGCCAGAGCAGGGCCCACTACTGGCATCAGCAGCAACTGGCAAAGGCAAAGAAAGAGAAAAATCAGTAGTGCTATTCCCTCTGCTGCCTGAGAAACCATCTGATCACCCATGGTATGATTAATAGCTGTGATCTCTGCCAAAGCCCAAAAAGCCTACACTACTACTGATACTGATGAATTAGAAATTGTTTGACTAGCAGACTCTCTGTAAGCAAAAAACACAAAACCTATTTGGTAAGTGAAACTAAGGCACAGAATCTGAAGGCTGGTCCTAGTGAGTCTAATCATATACCTCTATATGGTGACTAGTCTCTAAATGGATATAGCAAGAAGTAGCTATATGGATATGAGACTCTGAATTGTTTACAGTGACTTACAGTTTATATATAAACTTTTCTATAACAGAAATATCATATAAGAATCTGGATAATAGATGGTGCAATCTATATGCAATGTGAACTTTTTATTGTTGGAATCTTATATATGGTCTCAGTGGGGTCTAGAGAAACAGTTAGTGTTTTCCAGTTATCTTTCAAAGTCTTCTGTTAGGTTTAGGCAGTGTGAGGATGATATGCAGGGGCAATAGATCTCTTTCATGTTTTTTAGAGATAAAGCAAGACAAAGCAATATTTCATGAATTAATAAGTTTGCTATTATCATATGCAAGCATTATAGAGTTGTCAAGATGCTATAGCACTGTTATGCACATGCTGCCAGCCTCTGTGTCACCTCAACCAACCACAAATTCAATTATGCTATCCATCAGACTCTGGCCACTTCTCATTACCTACTAATTTCATTTCACTATTATCATTTCACATTTATATTTCACATTGTAATATCTAGACTCTGAACTCGGTAGCAAATACTAACACCGGAACCCAATGGAATCCAACTCAGAATTAGCTACCATTAGTATATAAAGCCATGTACATCATTGTAACTACTCAGTTTGAATATCAACTTGGATAAGCCAGCTACACTTCACACCCACTTTCACACCTTCTTACCTCATCTATCAGATTCCACTCTGAAGAACATTCTGATTTGCTCCTCTAACAGAACTTCATTTGGTCCATCCAGATCCTTGAGCTCTGACTCAAGGGTGATGTTGCTAATAGCTTCATCAATGCCCATGCACTCTGCCAGACTCCACACATGCACTCAAGCCCACTCAATTGGCATGTTCCTAACAGTATATTCAAACTCAAACCCTTGAGTCAAAAATTTTATCATGTCCACCACATTTACTGAACTCACAGAAACTGATCTCAAACAAACCCAGCCCACCCATCCAAATATGTTTTCTATGGAAGACATTCTGGCCTCTGCCTCAAAGGAACAACCAGGTCTTTTCAGATCGGCCTCTAGTAGAGGACAACCTTTCTATAGGGAAACCTACAATCACTCTAGCTTCACTGCCTGCCAACTTAATTATAATGATTCCTCTAACCCTTTTGATGCCACCAGCATTCCAACCAATAGAGTCTGACAGGCCAGCCTGATGTATAGTGCCCAAACTGACTCTCCAATAGACCTCTTATCCTTGGGCAATATGCATGGGAATCCAGACAGCCCAGACTCAGAGGGCAGAAATAAAGACACCTCTACTCATACTCTCATCTAATGAGAACCAGATAGTAATCCACCAAACCCTTTTTCAGGTAGACTAAGAGGATCAGGAGACTCAGGTGGTCCCAATGACTCAGGCAGCTCTAATGGTCCTGCAAGAAGTAACAATTCAAACCAGCAGAACATATTTCTAGAATTTATAAACCTGTTATGAGGAGTCTCTGCTTCCCTCAACAACTCTAAACCAGCCACTATTCATACCAAGATCAAGGAACTGGAACCATTTGATGGCTCTGACTCTCACAAACTGAAGGCTTTCATTGTCTCCCTTCAGTTGAACTTCAACAACAGACCTACTACATTTGCAACAGATGCTAACAAGGTTAACTATTCCATCTCATTTCTGGCTGGCACTGTGCTTAACTGGTTTGAATCAGACACTCTTAACCCCAATCCATGGAATCCACCAGCCTGGCAATTCTCCTATGCAGCTTTTCTAGATGAGCTTCATAGCAACTTCAGCCCCTTTGATGCTATCAGAGATGCTGAAGATGCATTAGAATACCTTTGGATGTGCAATGGAGACTGGATCATAAAGTATATAGTCTAATTCAACCAGTATGCTTCACAAATTGAGTACAGAGATAACTCCCTCTGCCATACCTTTTACCATGGCCTCTGCACCCATATCAAAGATGACATGGCACACTAT